GCTTAGTAATTTTAATAATTTATATAATTTATACTTATAAATTACAATTTTTTAGTAATTATTATATTTTTTAATATATTTTTTAATATACTTAATTATATCTGGCTAATAGTACCTTTAAGAAATATTTATAATAGTTATATTAATACCTTAATGCCTATTTTAAGGCTTGTTATGGTTTACTTTTATAATTTTTTTATAAAGTGCCACTAACTTTAGCATGTAAACTTAGTTTTTAAAGTATAATAAGTTATTATTTATTACTTTTTAATATTTAAGGTCTTTTTTACGGTCTAGATTTACAAGGTTATTTTTTATTTTTTTAAACTTTTTATTATATTTTTAGGTTACTTAAAGTAGTTTTATAATACTTAGTTATAATTTATTTATATATAGGTTTTTATTTACCATAGYAGCTTATATATTAAGTTATAATTTAAATTTTAGGTATAATAATAGTTAGTTATTTAATTACTTTTATAATTTATAAAGGACTATCCTGCCTATAGCTTTTTTTTTTTTTTTAAAAATATAATTTATTTTTTTACTTAAAGTATTTACTAGGTTTTTTGCCCCCGGGCAGTGTTTAATAATAAAATTAAAAGCTATAAGTTTTTTAACTTATTATACTTGTTTTTATATTAGGTTTTTGGTTATTATAAACTATTATAAATTATTATAATTTATAAGTAYYTTAATARRRAATTTGCTACCCTTAAGGTAGTATTTTTAAACTTAAAAGTATTTTATAATTATAAGTATTTTAAAGTTATAGGTTTTATACTAGGTTTTTATGTTTTTTAATTTATAAAATTAAAAGGTAATTAAGTGTTACTATATATTTTTTACTAGTTAAAATAATACCTTAGTAATAGTATACCCTAAAATATTAGTTTATAACTATGTGCGTAATTCTAGGTTAAAGTATTATAATAATAATTATTTTATAAATTTAAGGCGTAATATATTAAATACTTTTAAGGCCTTTTTTTTAATAGGTATTTTATAATTATATTAAGTTTTATAAGGTTAAATAGCGCTACCGCGACTTAGCTATAATTTTTAATAAATTTTTAATAAAAGCCATAAAATCTTAAAAAAAATATTACTTTTTTTATATTTTTTAATATTAGCCACTTTGTAATGGTCTAGACTTTTTTTAGTTTTATTTTAATTTTATTAATAATTATAATAAAGCCTAAGAAGTTAATTTTTTTAATATAAAATAAGTATTTACTAACTTTTATATATAGCTTAAAATTACATAGTTTCTTAAGGACCATTTACACATGTTATTTATATTTTTTTTATTTTTTAAAAAAATAATAATATTATTTAAATAAGTAATATAAATTATATTAATTAGCCTAGCTAGGGCATGGTTTATATAAAATTAAAATATTACTAGTATATTTACTAGTTTAAATAATATAACTTAGTATTTATAAAATTTAAATTACGTTTTAAACACTGTTTTTTACTTATTTTCCTTATAAATTTAGAGTTTATAGTACGTGTTTTATAAATTTAGCTATATAAAAATTTTTTTTATTTTTAAATAGTTAAGGGTTATGTTAAGCAGTGGTAATAGGTATATATTTTTAATTATAATAGTATTTAGGTCTTAATAGTTTATATAAAAATATAGGTTATTATTTTTTTTTAATATAAATAGCACTAGAGCTCCCGCAGGGCTTTTAAATAAGTATATTTAGTTTTTTTTAAGTATTTTTTTTAATATATTTATATAAAACCTTAAGCTTTTTTAAAAATAATAAGTAAATATACTTGCTTAAAGGTTTAGCACTAGGTTATAACTTAATTATATAATTATAAAATTAATAAAATATAAAAATATTTACTTTTGCTTTAAAAAATATATTTATATATTTATAATATTATTTAGGCAGCAGGATTTTTTTAACCTTTATTTTATTAAAGTATATTATAATATAGTTTTTTTACTTAAAAATTTATATTAAAAGTACTTTAACCCCTGTAGTAATTTTTATAATATATTTTTATATTATTATTATATAYTATAAGTATTTAAAATTATACTTTACTTTTTAACTATATATTTAATTACTAGTTTATTAATTTAAAATAGGTATTGCGGCTAGCAGCCATAAAAATCCTAAAATTATATTATAATTATTAATATTAATAGCTTTAAAGTTTTACTAATAATACTATATATTACGCGTAAAATTTTTAGCATAAACTATAAATATATATTTCTTATAAAATATTATTATATAGCTATTAATTACGTGTATTTTATAGGCTAGCCCTTTATTTTATATTAAGTAAGACTTTGCCCAGCGCTAGTTTATAAAATTTACTTTTACTTTAAAATTAATAAAAACCCTTATATATTATTATTTTTTATTTTTTTTTTATTTTTACCTAGATTACCCAGGCCCGCGGTGTATTTTTTTATTTTATATAAACTTTTAAAGCTTACACCGCGTAAAGCCTTAAGGTTTTATATTTTTTATATTACTAAATTTACTTAAAAATTACTATTATAAAAGTGCTTTTTTTTTAACCTTTGCCTAGTAACTAGTAATATTACTTAAAGTATTTAGCATGGTTATAGTTTAGGCATTTACCTGGGTATAGCTTTTTTATAAATAAAAAATTATTTAAATTATTAGGTTATTTTATACTAGTATTTACTTTTATATTTTTTTTAATAATAAAAAGCGCCCTAACTTTAGTTATTAATAGTTTTATATAAGTTTAGTTAAAAAACTTTTTTTTTTTTATAATAGTTTTTTTTTACTTGGGTATGTTATTTTTAATACTTATTAAGTATAATATATAGTTATTATAACGCTTTAGTTTTTAGTATTTATAAATAAGGGACTTTTTTTGCATATTTTTTAGGATCTTTTAGTATAGGTATTCTTAACACTAATTATTATTATATTTATAGGGTAGGTGTTTTTTAATTTAGTTTAGTAACTATATAAATTACCTAATAATTTACTATAATTATTATTTTATATTACCTTACTTAATTAACAAGTTATTAACTAGCACTATCTTATTATTAATTATTTTAATTAATATATTAAAAAATTTTTTTTAAGTAAATATAATTTCTACTTTATAAATATTAAACTATTCCCGCCTGTGGTTTTTTACTAAAAATTTAATAAATTAAAATATTTTATAGCTATTATTTAGGTAGTAAGTTAAAAAGGTTTTAAAGTATATTTTTATATTTAACTTTTAATTATTAAATTTTTTAATATTATTTGCTTGGTATGGTTTTATAAATAATAACTTTTTTAAAAAGTTTTTTTTAAATTATATTATTATTATTATAACCCCTCTAGTAATTTTTTTTAAAATTATAAGGTTATTAAAGTTTATTTAGCGGGGGATTATTAATTACTTAATAAATTAAATAAGTATATTATATATTTATTAATTAGCTTTAGCCCTTGTAATTTATTAGCATGCCTTTTTAATTTAAGCATAAATTTATTAGTATTTTTTTTTTATAATATTTTTATTCCTGTAATTTTTTTTTTTTTACTAAAATTACTTTTAGCATTGCCTGTAGTTTTTTAGTAATTTTTTTATTACTTTTATTTTCCTGCTTTTAATTAAGTATTTTATATTTTAATATTTTTTATATAATTTAGGATTTAATAGCAAGGGCGCCCTTGGGGTTTTTTAATTAAAAGTTTATAAATTTTTTTTTAGGTATATTAGTTAGTTATTAAGTTAAGGTTTATAATTATTTTTTTAAAGTGTTATTTACTAGCCCCTAGGATTAAGTTTATTATTTAGCTATTATATAAAATAAGTTTTTTTTTTTTAAAAAAAAAGTAATTAAAACTATAAGTTATATTTATATACTATAGTAAGCTTAAAAAAATATAAATTATTATAATAAAAAAGGCATTATATATTTATAATAAGAACTAATTACTAATTTTTTAAGTTAAAATTTAAAATTAAACTTAATATTTTATATATTATATAACTAGCCGCTGCCTTGGCGCGCGGCTAGTTTAGTGCTAATGTTTCTCCGCCCGGCGGCCTTAGGCCGCCGGATTGTGTTATTACAACACTGCGCAGTTGCAACACCATAACAGTGATAATAAAAGCGCCCGGCCTAGCTCTTACTAATTATAGGTAATTAAAAGTTATTTAAATTACTAGGATTAAAACTAATTTAAAAATTTTTATTTATAACGCCTTTAATTATTTAAGGGGTTATTAAAGCGCCTAGGTTATTTTATTTTTTAATAAAATTTAATAAAACCTTTTCTTGCGTGTTATTTATTTATTTTTTAGTACCTTAATATTAAAATTAAGGTTTTATATTAAAAACATGTTTTTATAAGTATTAGTAATTAATATTTTATATTTTTATAATTTTAAATAGTAAAATATTTAAATTATTTACTTTTTTTTATATATATTTAGCAAGGGTGTTTTTAATAGCAAATTTATTTTTAAAACAAAGCTTTATTTTAAAAATTAGTAAAGTTATAATAATTTAAAGTTAATAGGTTAAACTAAAATTTATAATTTTTATTAAGATAATATTTTTATATGGGTGGGGCTGACCGACCGCCACCTAGGCGGTCGGGCTCAGCGAAGTGACGAGTACTCCGTATATCCACCATGAGCCACGTGATGCGCCTTGGCGCTCAATCCTCTGCAGCTGCCTGTCGATACCCCAGGAGGAACGGCGATAGTCAGCGCGTTTTCTCTGCCCTGGATTTCTTGGCTCCGGCTCAGAGGAGGAATGCCCATCGTATATCAATAAAGGCTCAGCTATCTCTTTTTCTCGCGCGCTCACTGAGCCCCCGAGGCTTCCATCCAGTTGTCCCCCCGCACTCCACCCAACGATGCCTGCTTTTGCCCGAATTCCGAATGGGCAAAGTCAGGCCACCATCTGAATACTCGCATTGAGGGCATGACAACATATTGAAGCTGAAATTGTCTGGGCCTCGCTCCCAGTTTCCAGGGCCATGGAGGCAGACTGGGGCGAGCTGATACGCATCCCGCTACCCCCTCCGAACCCGCATGGACTTCCGACAGTTGCGACAACAATTGCCTTTGATGATGTATCGGAACTTCTATGGGCGGGGAATGAATATGTCTGTTATACCCACAGAGACATGGGATCAGTGCGCTAATCGACTTTTGTGCTTCTAGGGCCGAATTACCTCTTTCTACGGCCCCGAGCTCCAGAGATACACTTCCGTCCGTGCCCATCCCGTCGCCGAAGGACCGGTACGACAAATCATTTTCCACGAGAGAGGAGTTATATCACTCTCGTCGAAGAGTGTGCACATGATTACACGGCGTGGTCTAACACAATGGCACATCACCCACGAAGAGATTACGGACCTTCGCTGTATGAGCTTCACAGCCCAGACGAATAAGATTATTGTTGCTGGATGCCAGAAAGCAATGTTTACCATCGATATCGACAAAGGAATTATTGTCGATAAATTACGGACCGAACAAAACTATCTGTTATTGAAGAGAAGTCGCTACCTCTGTGCTGCGACGGATAATGGATTAGTCAATGCGCTGAGCCTGACGGACTTTAGCGTTGTAAAGTCATGGAGTGCTCACGCAATGGTTAGTGACATGGATGCCCGAGGCGATCTTCTGGTTACCTGTGGCTTCTATACAAGACAACCTGGGGTTCTCGTAAATGATCCGCTGGCGAACGTGTACGATCTCAAAACGCTATCACCCCTACCTCCTATTCCTTTCCATGCCGGAGCTGCGTATGTCCGTATGCATCCCAAATTACAGACAACAAGTTTTGTTGCCTCCCAAACTGGGCAGTTTCAGGTCGTGGACTTGATGAACCCGAATGCGTTCAAGATCGAACACTTCGGCGTCTCTCACATGCTGGGTATGGATATCTCGCCATCCGGGGAAGCGCTGGCCATAATCGACACAGATTGCTCTCTCCAGCTATGGGGGTCTCCAGCAAAGATCCATTTTAATGAAATGAGCAAGGAAGTCGAATTCGCCGATGTCACCCCACGGCCGCCCCCTCTTGACTGGTCGTCAGACGTTCCTTTGAATGTGATCGGTATGCCTTATTACCATGAACGGCTTCTCTCCGCGTGGCCAAGCCATCTCTTATTCGAGGTGGGTAGCCCACCAGCTCCTATAGATCCATCTATCATACCATATCTGCGCTCTGGGGAGGTAGGACAATATGCGGCAAACCCGAAGAAAATGAGAAGATACCAGGTTGAGAATACTCGCGCCCTGGCATCGTCTGAATCGGCTTTGATTGCGCCGAAATTCTTGAGTGAAAAGGCGAGAGAGCAGAGCAAGAAGTTGGATGATCCCATTGGCGACGCCGCCGGCGCGCTCGCTGGTGCCAAGATCAGCAAAGAATCAGAGGACGATCCGCTTTTGAAGTATAGCAACGTTGAGATCAAATACAGTAGATTTGGAGTGGATGATTTCGATTTCAAGTATGAGGTTTTTAGTTTATGCTGGATCTGGGCTAACGTCAACAGGTTCTATAACCAAACAAGCTTCGCCGGGTTAGAAACGCATATCGCAAACTCCTTTACCAACTCCCTTCTTCAACTCTTCAAGTTCATTCCGCTAATACGGAACATCGCTCTTCATCACGCTGCGACTTCATGTATAGCCGAAAGCTGTCTGCTCTGCGAAATGGGATATCTCTTTGATATGCTTGAAAAAGCCAACGGACAGAACTGCCAGGCTACAAATCTACTCAAAACCTTCAGTAGCTTCCGTGAAGCCTCAAACCTTGGACTGTTGGAAGAGAACCTCACAAACAAGTCACTTTCGTCAGCGATCCAGGCTGTGAACAGATTCTTTCTTGGTCAGATTGCGCAGGACTATCGGAGGATCGCCCCGAACTCGGAAGATCTAGATATGAGGCTGGCTACCATCGCGTCAGAGTCTATTCGATGCATGTTTTGTCAGAACGAGATTGTGAGGCCTGGAAATACGCTTGTCAATGAACTGGTGTATCCGCCGATTGACCATAAGCAAGCTCGTAGGAACCCCACCTTGAGGTTCTCGAATATCTTGAGGGCGAGCATTGAACGGGAGGCGCAGAATCGGGGATGGTGCCACATCTGTCGGCGATACCAACAGTCGGTTATGCGGAAAACAGCACATCGCATGCCGCTGGTACTGATGCTCAATGCAGCAGTAAACAACCCTATTTGCCGACGCCTCTGGACGGTTCCAGGGTGGCTGCCAGAAGAAATTGGAATCGTGCTCGAAGGCGGCCAGGTTCTCTGTTTCGAAGGGGAAGACCTCAGGATGCGCATACAGGGGCAAATGCCTGGCCTGATTGTCTATGATTTAGTCGGATTGGTAGCAGAAGTTGACATACCAGAGCACCAAAAAGCGCATCTAGTATCGTTCATCAACGTCTCTGTCTCGTCCCGCGAACAGGAGCCGCGGAGTAAATGGCACCTCTTCAACGATTTCCTAGTCACAGAGGTGGACAAGGATGAAGCTTTGCGGTTCAACCAACCATGGAAGTCACCATGCGTGCTGGCGTTCCAGGTTAAGGATGCGCGACACGGGATGGATGATAATTGGAAGAATTTCCTGGACACGACCCTGCTTTTCCGGGACTGGTCATTAAAGTAAGCAACCACCTGCACCAGGCTATAGCTGGCGCATTCACACTAACCTTGCTAGTAACGGACGCCCGGTTGAATCTCGCGTCATGCTTTCCGAGCAGGAAAAACCCACACCTGGGACACCGGTCGCTCTTGACACCGAATTTGTCGACCTTGAAAAAGCGGAAATCAACGTCAAAGCCGATGGTTCGCAAGAAATCGTGCGGCCGAACAAGAGTGGACTTGCCAGAGTATCGGTCCTCCGAGGGTCAGGAGAGCAAGAAGGCGTCCCGTTCGTTGATGACTACATCTCTGTCAAAGAGCCTATTGTTGATTACGTTACGCAATATTCGGGTATCAAACCGGGTGATCTAGACCCGCGGACCAGCCCGCACAACATTGTGCCACTCAAAGTTGCATACAAGAAGCTTTGGCTACTTCTCAACCTCGGTTGCATATTTGTTGGCCACGGTCTAGCATCAGATTTCCGCAAAGTCAACATCCAAGTTCCCAAAGAACAAACGGTGGACACGCAGTTCCTGTTCTTCCACCCTTCAAAGGTCCGACGTCTCAGTCTGAAGTATCTAGCGTGGGCCGTGTTCAAGGAATACATCCAAGAAGAACCAGTAGACAACAACCAGGGTCATGATTCAATCGAGGACGCACGCATGGCTCTTCGTCTGTGGAAAAAGTTCCAGGAGTACCAAGACGCTGGGATCGTGGGACAAATCCTAGAAGAGATCTTCCGCGAGGGGTCCAAGTTGGGATTCAGACCTCCGCCTCGCAATGGCGTCCCTACAGTCCTCTCTCGGCCTGGAACCGCCGTGACGATGCAGAACAATAGCGGCCGCAATACGCCCAGTACGCCTGATGCCAATGCTGCGGCGAGTGCGCCAACAACACCACGCCAGGCATTCCGGCGGTCGATAGCCTTGACACCGAGCAATGGCACATTTTCAGGGCCTGGTTCGGGTGAGTTTTTCACTGGGAGCCCACTAAAGTAGCCTTACCCATATGAAGTACAGGTACCAACCTGATATGATCTAAACAATGATTGGCTGCCAATTGGAGGCAGAGTGCATTGGCCCATAGAACCTGAACAATAGGTATCATTACAGAATCGATTCTCCTTTATTTTCTTTCCCTGTCTCTATACGCCATGTAAACCCTTCGTATCCCGTCTTGCTTTCCTCTCCTCCACGAGAATCACCGGCGTAATCGTCAAAAGCAAAGCGCCCGGCCTGTGCACCAAAACGCAGCCGCCACCCCATCCCGCGCAATCCACGCAGGCTGGAAATACCCAACGCTGAACCCGCTTGCCGTGCGCCACCCGTTGATAATCGCCGATACAACAGTCGACTGTTCTGGGTATTTCTCAAGCGCGTAAGCTGTTATCGACCTACACGGTACCGGGTGATCATTAACATAAGCCCTAACCCAAGCCCAAGGAGTGAAGAAAAGGTATACACGGTACTGGATATCACCCCGCTACCATGTCCCAGCAAAAGGCAAGCCCGATGCACCGTTTTTTGAAATGTAGGGTTAGGCCGTAGGTTAGCAGGCCGCATGCCATGGTGGTGATTGCGGGCCAGAGGCCGCGCAGCCGGTACTCCGGGATCCAGTCTTGCTTGAGTGTCCGCTAGATCCAGGTGAAGAAGTAGTAGCCGGATGTGTAACCGGTGTATCTGGGTTCTGTGATGGTATGGATTTATGGGGATGGTTGGAGTTGTAGTTAGGGTTAGGTAGGCTCATACCAATCAGACCGCCGATAATGGGCGATGGGCGCCCAGGCAAAGAAGCCGACGCAATGGTATTGAATAGATATAGAGGTTGCGCGACGAATGTAGACACTACTGTAGCCGTAATTCCTGTTTAAATCAACAGTGTTTAGGCACGAACTCAGCACCCCATACTCCAGCAGTATTCAAGTGTATACCTACCAAGGGGCCGGTATACATACACATGGCTAAGTTCTTGTCTAGTCTATCTAGCTATCTATGCTACTAAAAGCGCCTTATGTACGTTGCAATCATGATATCACTGCGCCGTTCTCCAACCAATGTACCTAGAATAAGACGCGAAAAAAAGCATCTCTATAACCAATTCAACGGTTAACCCGAACCCATCCTCTAGAACCCCCACTGCCGAATCCAATTCTTTATCAAGCCCCCATCAACCCCTTTCAGCGCTGCCATAGTCCCACTCGCCGCCTGCGCCTTGTCCGTACTGATTTCTGCCGTCAGCGTCTCCCCAGAAGTCAGGCCCCGGAAGAATGGAAGGAGCTTGAGGGCAGGCTTGTCCGCGATGTCATCGTCGGTTGGGTTCTTGATCTTCTCGAGCTCATTCAGCCAGATGGCGAGCGGGGTTGGTGTCACTGGGACTTGACTGGATGCCGACAAGGATGCTTGAATGGAGGGCAGGAGGGAGGACCAGGGTGTCTTTGTGGGGTTTGTCAGGTGAAAGAATGTTGCGTCTGCGTCTGCTTTTGGTTCGGATTGGGTGGCTTGTAGGCGGGTCGTGAGGATCTCGAGGATGATTGTTGCTAGTGTGTCCTGTAACGCAATTAGTATCTGGATCTCAGGGCGCTATATTAAGTGTATCGGGGAGAACACATACAACAGGGATCCAGTCAACATTCATACCCCCCAACGAATCCGGCACCGCACCCAAGCCTTTGCTCGTCTTCAGCAGGATAGGCACCCACTCACTCGGGTTCCAGAGACCCGCCGTCGTCGTCGGGCCAGCAATCTGCCCAACGCGCAAAATGCTCGTTGGAACACCAGCCCGTCTCGATGCCTCGAGGCAAATCCGCTCGCCTACGTGCTTGGACTCGCCGTAGCCCTGTTCCAGGACGACATCAGGTGTTTCCATGGCGTTTTCGGGAACAGATGTTTCCGTGCCTGTGGGCTTCCAGTTTCCAATTGTGCTGACGGATGACACGAATGCGATATGCGCTGCGTGGCGGCTGGTGATGCTGAAATCGATGAAGTGTCGCACGCCGCGGATTTGGCTCTCGAAGGACTCGACTGGGTGGTTGAAATTTACCGTCCAGCCGTTATGGATGATGAGGGTTACGCTTTCGAGGAGGGCGTTGTATTTACTCTCGTCTAGGCCAAGATTCCGTTCGCCGAGGGAGGCTGTCAGGAATTCGACCCTGTTCGAGTCCGTCAGAGGCGTGCTCTCGAGGGCTTTCTCGATGAAGGAGGTGGTTTGCTTGGCTTGCGCTGTGCCGGAGCGGTTCAGGCAGTATATCTTGGAGATGGTGCTGTCCTGTAAGAGGGCATTGAGGAGGTATGTCCCTAGCGAGCCGGTCGAACCGGTGAGGATGACCGTCTGTGTTCCTGGAGGAGTTTGGTTTTTGATCTGTGGTTGAGGGAGGTCGTGCGTGTACTTGGTGATCATATTGGTGATTCGCTCCGTTCGTGATATGGCAGTCACATCATTGCTGGTGCCGTCTAGGATACTGAGTAAGGACGCCGCTAGCTGGGCGATACTGGGGTGGGCATAGACCTGCTGCTGCGTGATGCTGGTAGACAGTGCCATACTCAGGGCTTTGGCAAGCTGCACGGTCTGCAATGAATCCAAGCCCGCGGAAAAGAAGTCCTCTTCGTCTGTGATCCCTGGTCTATCGAGTAGAGTTGCGATCTTGACGCGGACCCATTGCGTGAGGTTAGGTAGGTCAAGGGTAGACGGGAGACTCTCGGTATCATCCTCTGCTGCAGTGGCGTAGATGGCGTCAATCTCCTCCGCATAGTCGTTGTTGACAAGTCGGCGCTGGGTCGTACCCTTTGGAGTTAGCTTGAATGGTTTATCTGGGGAAGCAAGCCTGATATGGCTGCGCATGACGCGGCCATATCTGGGCACTGTCTCATTTGCGCGTTGAATAGTCGGCCAAACGTTGTCAATGTATCCTTTTTCGTCATTTACATTGGCCTCGCACCAGTTTGGCTCTATAAGCAACGCGGATTGAAATCTCTTTTCGCCAACAAGCACTGCCCTCGCCACAGACGGATGCCCCTCCACCATCTTCTCCAGCGTAACCGGGTTGAGCTTCTCGCCGTTGCTGAGGACGATCACGTCGTCAAGTCGGCCACGATATGCCCAGCAATTTGGATTTTTGGGGTGTTGGACAAACAGATCCTTCGTGTGGTATTCAGTAAGGTCGGGGAAGGTGTGAAAGATGCCCTGGAAGGCCTTTGTATTCTCACCTCGGCGGATAACTAGTTCGTGCAGGTCGTCGCTTACGTGTTGCATCTCGATTCCGTATGCTGGGCTCCATTCGAAATAATTCCAGTCCTCTTCGTTCTCGGGAGCAAGAGAACTAATCATTCCTATCTCGCTGGAGCCGATGACCGTGCGAAGTGTCGTGTACTTTCGGATCCGGTCGCCAGTTTCTGTTCCCAGCGGCGCACCACCCAGGCAGACGAATTCCACAGATCTCAGAGCGTCCAGCCCGGCCTCAGAATGACTCATGTCCTCCAGTATTGATGGTGGGACCATTGCAATATTCGGCTTCGTAGCTCGGACGGTATCGGACAGCATCTGGACAGAAAGAGGGCCATCAGGGGCCGCAACATAAGGTATTCCGTGGAAGATAGATGCGAATGGTCCAATGAAGCCCATTAGATGAAAATTGGGCGTGAGGGAGAGTAACAGTGCCCCTGAATCAATAGCATAGCCATTGTACAGAGCGTGCTTCCGTCCCGCCGGTATAATATGCGGCGCGTGATCCCAGGCCGCTAGAAAGCCGTGTGTGAGGGGCACTGGCTTTGGCATGCCCGTCGTGCCGGAGCTGTGGATAATAAATGCCACTTTATCTTCCATTGCGGAGTATGGCGCAGTGAATGGGTAGTTTTTGGAGGTCGAGCTCAACAGGTCTGTCGTTGGCGGAGCTTCAAGGTAGACTGACTCCGGACGGAATGCTTCAATCTCCATGGTTCGGCGCTGAGTTTCATGTGTGAACAGCATTGTGCCGCAATCCGTTGCATTGAGGACATGCTGATAGGCTTCATCTGATAGACGAGTTGATGGAAGGAAAGGCGTATGACCTGTCTTCGAGCAGGAGAGGACAAAGATGTAGTAGCGAATGTCGTTGGCTCCCATGTATGCAATGGTTTCTTTTCCCTGCTCAGCCTTACCCACATGCTCGTCAATCCACCATGCCAGGGCGTCCACCGCATGGGCCAGATCATTGAAGGTTACATTGCGGAATCCATCTGATACTGCTGGTCCTTTGGGGATGATTCCAAAGAGTCTGTCTGGCGATGAGTGTGCAGCTTCGTCCACCAGGCGAGGAAGGAGGCGCTTTCCCACTGGCGATGTCATGATGAGTGCAAATTGCAAGAGTCCAGTAAGTTGCTCCTGAACCTGAGAAGGATTTTTGGGCAATGCATAGTTAAATACTGGTTCATCATGATGATCTGCAGTTCGACCCACTACAGATCGGCAGATCGGATGGTTCTTCTTCCAAGTTCTACCTTGCCGCAGTGCCGATGATGAGAGCATTGTCGGAGCCTGATATGAGAGGGCGATACACTACTGGGTCGTCTTGACTCGCAGCACTCGCTTGCGTTCGGGACTCCGAGTGCCGGCTGAGATGCACGCCACGATGCCCAACCATTTCCCTCGACAAGATACACTTGGCTGGCTGCTGGAAACTGTCAGAGTGCACAGGTAAGTGTTCCAAGAAAAGGAACACCTCGAGGTTTCTCTAGATCCAATCATCATGGTGGGAGATTTGGTGACGGTGGCTAGCTGAGGTTCTGTTCCTTACCCCACAGATATATGTTGCAGCTGCTTCGTACACAAATTCGGTATTGTGCACGAAGATTGAATAATAATCTAGACGCATTGATATTCTCGAGTCGAAGGTAACTATTCTTGTTAGAATCAACGAATAGAATCAGAGTGTTGTGTTGACCGTGTTGCTATGGCTGTGGCTTGATAGGGCACGATGCTAGTGCGGCGTGGTGGGGAATGACGTGGTGATTTCAGCTCTCTTCCCTCTCCAGGAACATCCTGCAAGAAACTGACGAGCGAAGCGGCATACCCTCTCGTCCTTATTCTGATTGATTTGCTGCATACTTTCTGCCTTTCTTCCTCTTTCTTCCGAACTTTGGTCTTCAACGTCCGAAGCCCCAGGCGAGAAGAATCTGAGCCCCTCGTACCCCGCTCCGGAACACGACAATGTCCCGACACCGTGTCAAGGCCGTGAGCTACGACGACGATTACGACGACTACGACGATGGATACGACTCCCAAGACCCAGAAGAGCGTGAACTTCTCGAGCAATGTACTCGCGAGGTGCAGAGTCAGCTAGCTGCGGGGGACCCGCCTGTGAGCGCGACTCGCGACGAGGTTCAGGAAGCGCTGTGGCATTATTACAACGACGTCGACAAGTCGGTGAACTATCTGAGGGGTATGTCTTCTATGCGGGTACGTGTTGTTGGACACAGGCTAATGAAGCTGGACCAGGCAAAAAAACGAAGGAGGCCGACAAGAAGGCCGCTACGGTAAAGGCGAAAGTCAGCACAGGTAAGCGACCCTGATTTTTTATAGTGTGCTTGTGGTTGGGCTCGAGTCTGTAAACTGGTGTCATTTCTGTTTCGACATGGCGAGAGTAGGTATGTGAAATCTCAATCTGTGTTCAAGCGACTCGACTGACTTTGTTTAAGCTTGAATGTGTTCTAACAGGCTCCTTAGTGCCAGCATATCCCATACCTCCTACTACTACGCCCTCACATCCTCACTTCTCTGCGGCTGAGTTCTTTCGTGACTCTCCCTGGCTTAATATACCTGCGAACCGGAAGGCGGATATTCTCATCGAACCGCTGTACCCTCGACTTGGACTTCTAGGTGGAGCACCGGAGAACGGTGGGGGGAAGGTGTCTAAACTAGCTGCTTTGGCAGCAGCACGGAAGAGAAAAGAAGGCGACAAGGCCCCAGCATCTACACCGGGACATGATATTCAATCTGCAAACGAAGCCAAAGGAGCTCCTTTGTCACTCCGGGAGAGACTTGCGAGTAAACAAGTCAAACAAGAGAGTTCGCCTTCGCTACAAAGTTTGAAGCGACAATCGCCGCCGCAGGAGAAGTCGCCTGAGCCAAAGCCAACCATCCCAGCGGCTACTAGCCTGGAGGACGCTGTGAAAGACCTTCAGATCGAGGATAAACAGCGACTAGACGAGGAGAAAGAGGAGCCACCTGCGGTCAATATACGCGCTCCGCCTTCAACCTTTGCCGCCACCATAGTTGGAGATGACACGCGCCCGAAGTTGACCGAGCCCAGCCACCTGTTTACGGACACCCTGGATCTAATGAAAATCTACGGCCAAGACCTCGCTGAACCATTTGACTTTGCAGGACCCAGTCCGGACGATGTAGTTTTGAACGCCCAGAGTTCCGCTAAAGGTTTGGCTATTCGGCGAAACATATGAACCGCCCTAATGAACTGCAGGCTTCAAGTCGAAACAACCTGCCGCGAAGCCACAAGGGGACAAGAAAGCGGCGGGTTTGGCGGGTGATATGAGTAACCTCAGCGTCACCGAAAAGGTTAACGTAAAAAGCAAAAATCTGGATGTGCTCTCGGAGTACAAGAAAGCCAAGCGGAAGAATGCCATGAACTTTGTGGTTATCGGTTAGTTCCAGCCACATTACACGAGTTGCTCAGCCTGCTGATAAATCAAGGCCACGTTGATGCTGGAAAGAGCACTCTCATGGGACGCCTACTAGCGGATTTGAAAGCCATTGACCAGCGGACACTCGACAAGTATCGAAGGGAGGCAGAGAAGATAGGAAAAGGGTCCTTTGCCCTGGCGTGGGTGTTGGATCAAGGCTCTGAGGAAAGAGCGAGGGGTGTGACCATCGACATTGCGACAAGCAAGTTCGAAACTGAGAAGACCGTTTTTACCATCGTGGATTCTCCGGGTCATAGGGATTTCGTTCCGAACATGATTGCTGGGGCTAGTCAGGCCGATTTTGCGGTGCTTGTTATCGATTCCAGCATAGGGAACTACGAATCAGGGCTGAAAGGCCAGACTAAGGAGCATGCTTTACTCGTCCGCAGCATGGGCGTTCAGAGGATCATTGTTGCCGTGAACAAGATGGACACTGTACAGTGGGACTATGGACGATTCGAGGAGATCGAGCAGCAGGTCTCGGCATTCTTGATCACTGCTGGGTTCCAAGCGAAAAACATCTCTTTCGTGCCTTGTTCTGGAGTCAATGGGGACAATATCACTAGACGAAGCGAGGATCCAAACGTGTCTTGGTACACTGGACGTACCCTTGTGGAAGAGCTCGAGACAAGTGAACCGTACTCCCACGCTGTCGACAAGCCCTTACGGATGACAATTGGCGACGTGTTCCGAGGCAGCATACAAAATCCACTGTCAATATCCGGCCGAATCGATGCAGGCAGTCTACAAATAGGTGACCAGGTTCTCACTATGCCGAGTGGGGAGAGCGCAACTATCCGGAGTCTAGAGATCGACGGGGAACCTAATGACTGGGCTGTTGCTGGTCAAAACGTTGTCCTGAACCTGGCCAACATCGACCCGATTCATCTTCGCTCCGGTGATGTTGTATGTCACGCAACCGCACCTATCACCAACGTTACTTCATTTACATGCAAGGTACTTGCATTTGACCATCTTCTTCCCAGTGCGGTCGACATCCATCGGGGGCGACTGCACGTCCCTGGCCGGATTGGCAAGCTGGTTGCCACGCTGGATAAAGGGTCTGGTAACGTCCTCAAGAAGAAGCCGAAGATCGTTCAGCCGGGAAGTGTGGCGCGGATTGTTATAGAGTTAGACCAGGCGGTACCTCTAGAGGCGCCCACTCGGGTTGTTTTGCGAGCTGGTGGTGATACAGTGGCTGCTGGGTTGTTAGAGTAATAGTCTAGTAGACTATATGAATAGATCTATGAGATGCACATAACTGAACTTCAAAGATTCTGAGGCATAATCTGGCCTTCCAACTAGTGACATGAACCTTGGATCAAGACACATGTCCTAAAGATACAGTTCTGAACTTCTGAAGTGAATGATATGGTCACTTGCCTGCTTGGTCATTCACTATTGCCAAGTTCTGGGAAGCAGGGCCCTGCGCTAAACCCTTTCTAGGCGGCCCCTGCAGGAACTATTCTCCATCAGGCTTGGTCAAAGTTTCTTTGGAGTTCGATTGCCTTCACACCGCCCCCAGAACTGTGCAGAACACTGGCGGTGAGTGACTAGCTGGGTCCATGAATGGCATTTTGACCAATGAGCGTGTGAAAAGTAACTTGCATGGTGAAAAGGCCAGATGGCCGCTCTCCTGCTTTGCCTCTCCCTCCGCATAAAAGAAGGCCACCAGAGATCTCCAGAGCCCTTCTTTCTTTCTCCTCTCTAACTTTCTTCGACACTACAACCACTTCTCTTTACTTCTCTCCCTTCCAAAATCACAGGTTGGGCCTGCTTTACTACTTCTTTTCTCTTTTCTACTCAGTATTCCTCCTTTGTTTAGAGCAGCCTGGTCTACACCTTTTTCCCGCGACTTCGACAGGAGTCTTTGACACTCGAACTCTACACTCACATTCGCTATGGCGCGTCCCTCTGCTGGTCGCGGCGTGGCCAAGCCGTTCGCGACTTGGACCACTATCTTCTACCTCCTCCTTGTCTTCATTGCGCCTCTCGCGTTTTTCGGATCCGCCCACGCCCAGGAAGATGATTCTGTTCAGGAAAACTATGGCACTGTTATTGGTATTGATTTGGGAACAACTTACTCGTATGTTGAATCCTGTTAATCGAGAAACGGCATGAAACTAACTGCAGCAGCTGTGTCGGTGTGATGCAGAATGGAAAAGTCGAAATTCTCGTCAACGACCAAGGAAACCGTATCACTCCCTCCTACGTCGCTTTCACCGATGAGGAACGCCTGGTCGGTGACGCCGCGAAGAACCAATACGCCGCCAACCCCAAGCGGACCGTCTTCGATATCAAGTGAGTTTTCCTGGAATGACAACATTGAATGGAGATTCTAACAGTGGTAGGCGTTTGATTGGTCGCAAGTACGACGAGACTGAAATCCAAAAGGACATCAAGAACTACCCCTTCAAGGTCGTTAACAAGGATGGAAAACCCAACGTCCGAGTTGAGGTCAACCAGACCCCCAAGACCCTGAGTCCCGAGGAGGTTTCCGCCATGGTTCTCGGCAAGATGAAGGAGATCGCTGAGGGCTACCTCGGCAAGAAGGTCACCCACGCCGTCGTTACTGTCCCCGCCTACTTCAACGACGCTCAGCGTCAGGCCACCAAGGATGCTGGTACTATTGCCGGCCTCAACGTCCTCCGTGTTGTCAACGAACCCACCGCCGCCGCTATCGCCTATGGTCTGGACAAGGGCAGCGAGGAGCGCCAGGTTATCGTGTACGATCTCGGTGGAGGTACCTTCGATGTCAGTCTTCTCTCAATCGACGACGGTGTTTTCGAGGTCTTGGCGACCGCTGGTGATGTTCACCTGGGTGGTGAGGACTTTGACCACCGTGTCATGGATCACTTCGTGAAGCAGTACAACAAGAAGAACAACGTCGACGTCACCAAGGATCTCAAGGCCATGGGTAAGCTCAAGCGCGAAGTCGAGAAGGCCAAGCGTACTCTGTCTTCCCAGATGTCTACTCGCATCGAAATCGAGGCTTTCCACAACGGCGAGGATTTCTCCGAGACTCTGACCCGCGCCAAGTTCGAGGAGCTTAACATGGACCTGTTCAAGAAGACCCTGAAGCCTGTTGAGCAGGTTCTCAAGGACGCCAAGGTCTCCAAGTCTGAGATTGATGACATTGTCCTGGTTGGTGGTTCCACTCGTATCCCCAAGGTCCAGGCTATGCTCGAAGAGTTCTTCAACGGCAAGAAGGCCAGCAAGGGTATCAACCCCGATGAGGCCGTCGCTTTCGGTGCTGCCGTTCAGGGTGGTGTTCTGTCTGGTGAGGAGGGTACTGAGGGCCTTGTTCTCATGGACGTCAACCCCCTTACTCTCGGTATTGAGACCACCGGTGGTGTCATGACCAAGCTCATCCCCCGCAACACTGTCATTCCTACCCGCAAGTCCCAGATCTTCTCGACCGCCGCGGACAACCAGCCTACCGTTCTCATCCAAGTTTGTAAGTACTTCATTCTTTTGTTGAGTTGTTGACCATTCTAACATGTCTACAGTCGAGGGAGAACGTACTCTTACCAAGGCCAACAACCTCCTTGGCAAGTTCGAACTTACCGGCATCCCCCCCGCTCCCCGTGGTGTTCCCCAGATTGAGGTTTCTTTCGATCTGGACGCCAACGGAATCCTGAAGGTTGGCGCCAGCGACAAGGGCACTGGCAAGGCCGAGTCCATCACCATCACCAACGACAAGGGCCGTCTGACCCAGGAGGAAATCGACCGCATGGTTGCCGAGGCTGAGGAATTCGCCGAGGAGGACCGTGCCATCAAGGCCAAGATCGAGGCCCGTAACGGCTTGGAGAACTACGCCTTTAGCCTCAAGAACCAGGTCAACGACGAGAACGGTCTCGGTGGCCAAATCGACGAGGACGACAAGCAGACCATCCTGGACGCTGTCAAGGAAGTCAACGACTGGCTCGAGGAGAACGGAGCCTCGGCCACCACCGAGGACTTTGAGGAGCAGAAGGAACAGCTGTCTAACGTGGCTTACCCCATCACCAGCAAGCTGTACGGCTCCGCTCCCCCCACCGAGGAGGACGATGACGACTACGGCCATGACGAATTGTAAAATACCTTAGAGGGTTTCTGGAGTTTGTTTTTTCACTATTAAGACGTTTCTTTTTTACCCGCTTGGCCTTAGAGACCAGCAACCTATCCTTCATATGAGATAGGACACATGATACCTAAATACATGATTTCAAATTTCACTTCTTCCAAGTAGTCTGTAAACCATCTAATTATTGCCTTGCTCAATAAACTCCCTGACAGTCTCAACAATAACCTGATGATCATCCTCCTGCTTCAACCCACTCACAACAACCACTCCAACAACCCCATCAACCCCCTTCACCCTAACAGGGAACCCACCCCCATGCACCGCATAATCATCCGCATTCCTCCCCCCACTCGAACTCCCCAGCGCATACTTCCGCACAAACGCCTCCTCAACCCCAACCGGACTACCCTCCTCCAACCCCGCAATGATCTTCCGCCGCATCAACCAGCTCGACACCCCCCACCGCTCAACGGTATTGCGCTTCCGCCGCACCCACATGTCGTTGTCCGGTACGGTCCCCGGCTCCGTCGCGCATTGGAAGATGATGTGCGGGGTTCCGGTTGCGCTGTTTGTGCTCCCCAGTGAGATGGAGATCAGGGCGGGTTTGCGCTGGCTGGGTGGGAGGGAGAGGATTCGGGTGCGGAGCGCGAGGCCGAGATTCCAGGCTGTTGTTGAGGTGAAGGTTTTGAAGAGGGTTGAGGGGCTGGATTCTTGGGCGGCGAGGTCGCGGGGCTGTTGGTTGAGGGGATCGGGTTAGTGGGTTTGTTCTCGTTCATGTTGGTGAGGTTGGTAGGGTGTGAGGCTTACGTCGGTGCTTGCGGGGGGCAGGGGTTTGTCTTCCATTTTGGCTGAGTGTGTATGCCCTGGCTCTGAGAGGTAGGTGATTGTTGAGGAAGAATAGATCGAGGAAGGGGAAAAGGTTGTGTGAGTTGAATTGGAGCTTAGTGCTACCTGGAGCTCCTCGGCATAGGTAGTGGAGTCTGATAGTGACGTCGTCCGTCCCGAGCTGCATGGCTCAGGTACAGCCGAATGTTTAGCTGCTACTAACTTCTAGCACAATTCTGCCTTTCAAAGTACCCTTCTCCATCTCCTCATACACATGCGGCAGATCTTTAAACGGCCGAACCTGGATCTGCGGCCTCACCAACCCCCGCCGGGTCAACTCCACGGCCTCCATCAGCTCACTCATCGAACCCACGACACTCCCGACAATCTTTAAGGCCTTGATGACGATCGCGCAAATCGGTGTTTCAAACTTTGCAGTCCCAGGCGGCATTCCAACGCAGCTGAGTGTGCCTCCAGTACGCAGCATTTCGCACGCATGAGAGAAAGCCTTTGTGCTCCCGGCTGTTACGACGGCGGAATGTGCACCTAGGCCTGTAATTTCACGGACGCGCTGGACGGGGTCTGTATTGACGAAGTCGACAAACTCGGTGGCGCCGAGGCCGAGGACGAAGTCGCGTTTGTCGGGGGCGTCGATGCCGATTACTTGGGCTCCGAGCACTTTGGCGTACTGGACTGTTGTACAGATCGTCAGTTAGGGCTAGGTATCCCGCTTCGTAGAAAAAAGCTTACCTGCCATGTGGCCCAGGCCTCCTCCAGCCCCAATAACCGCAAGCCAGTGCCCAGCCCTGATATTAGCTCCTAAGACTCCCTGAGATGTTATTAGCTGAGTGATTGGCGGCTTACTTGAACCAATTGACTCACCTTGTATGCAGTGATTCCAGCACAGAGCACCGGTGCCATGACCTTGGGATCGACATCATCAGGGAGAATGGTCAAATAGTCTGCATCCAGCGCAATATACTCCTGGAAACTGCCGTCCTCGTGATGAAGATGATTCGTGCCTTTCAGACAGTATTGTTCTGTTCCGGCCAGACAATACTCGCATCGTCTGCAGACTCGACTGGCGAAGCGAATACCGACTAGAGTCCCCAAACTCAGATCTGACCCGCAACCTGGGCCAAGCCCTACGATGCGACCGACCCCTTCATGGCCGCCAATGTGAGGCAATTTGAACCTTGTGATCGGAATACCGTCGGGGCCCGCGGCTACAGCATCTTTCGTGTGAAGATCTGCGGAGGATGTTGTAAGCCAGCTTTGCTTCTTCGTGCCGGTGCGTCTTGAACGAAAGATCGCTAAGCTTACCGCTCAAGCACACTCCAGTGTAGAGGATTTTAGCCAATACCTCGTTGTTTCCAGGGGTAGGAACAGGATAGTCAGTGGGAAACTCGACAGGACCGCCAATTTCACGCACGAGTGCCACTGTCTGGACTTTTGGGATTTCGGCCATGGTGCAGTATGATTCTGCGTATTCCAGGTAGTCTCTCACATTATGAGAGCAAAAGGGGAGATCACATTGTTGAGGCCAGTGTATTTAAGGTGCCCCTCATTGATCGTCCAAGTAGTAGGGTAGTGTGGTAGGAGATAACGCTCCCAGATCTCCTATCTTTACCCACCATCTTCTCCTCCAGCTTCATTCCGGAAAAGCGTACCCGAGAACATCTTCTCCCAGCTCAAGGACCGATCGCGGACTTTGATTCTCCCGGAGCGAGAGGGACTGTCTGAAGGATCCGTTCATTGACAAGTCACACCACAAGACCTCAATCTTGACTGTCCCGGCATCAGCCTTTCTGTTGCTTCCGCGGGGCAGTTCCGCTTCGCATCGTGAACTCGTCACAGCATGATTGGACCGAATCTCGCATGACAGAAACCCGACAGTCGTGCCGCGCAGACTGCAAACGTTGCTTGAAGGCAGGACGCAGATGCTCATGAAGAACGTGAGTGTCGTGATGGACTTGCTAGGAATCATCCGTGATTGATGGAAACGCCACCGGGACAAGACCTGGCCTCGACTCGGTTCCTCCGCACTTTCCCCAGACCAAATGACGGGATTGCCGATCTCGCCATCTTTCTCTGCAATTACGGGCCTGACGACGACGAGACTGGGTCTTCTCAATCGGGTAAAATAGCGATACGAATTCAATGGTGCCTTGCTTGAACCTAGAATCCGGATGAGCATGCCACGAAGCTCATATGATGCCGAAAAACCAAGGTCTCCGTCATCAATCGAACAGCTTACCCCTGCAAAACTCCACTTGTTGTAACTCCGGCGGGATGGAGCTATCCATAAAACCTCGGAGGAGCTGCGGACTATATAAGGGCGTCGGCCGCCTGTACCTGGTCGTTGAACTGCTTTCAATTGGACCAGCAATTGGATAATAAAGCTACTGTGTCATAATGCAGCTGCTCCGTCTCCTTCCATTTGTCGCGGCGATAACTGCAGCGTCTGCCCATCGCGGATCAAAGCGGCCAGAACCCTACTCCAACGTCGTCATCTTCGACCCTCCAAGCAACTATACTATCCCACGCACTCTTTATGCCCGCAACGAGCAACTTCCCAATGGTGACATATTAGCGACCTGGGAGAACTACTCGCCCGAACCCCCAGCGGTCTATTTCCCAATCTACCGTTCCTCTGATTATGGTGAGACCTGGACGGAGATCTCCCGAGTCCACGATACAGCCAACGGCTTAGGTCTGCGATACCAACCGTTCCTTTACTACCTTCCAGAGCGCATTGGTCGCTTCCGTGCCGGAACCCTTCTTCTGGCAGGGAGCAGCATTCCAACCGACCTCAGCTCTACTCAGATTGACCTTTATGCATCGCAGGACCAGGGGCACACCTGGAAGTTCTTGAGCCACATTGCTGCGGGTGGTGAAGCTATTCCTAACAACGGTTTGACTCCTGTTTGGGAGCCCTTCCTGCTGGCGCAGTAAGCATTGACTTGAACTTCTCGAAAATTAGCTCTCGTCTCTAATTGCGGTCTGATGTTCCAGCAAGGGTAAATTGATCGCCTTTTACGCCGACCAGAGAGCCAATGAAACCCACGGCCAGAAGCTGTCCCACCAGGTCACTGACGACCTTATCAACTGGGGACCCGCCGTTGACGATGTGTAAGGTTACCTTCTTAGTCTTTGTCTACCAAGGCTTACTGACATGTATATGCTAGCGCCTACCCTACCTATACCGACAGACCTGGAATGCCTGTGGTGACTAAGGTATGCTCCTTTTCGCTTCTACACCTTCCTTGGCTGACTCGAAAAGCTCCCCAACGGTAAATACTTCTACATTTACGAATACGGCTCGTTCTTCAACACGTCCAGCTACTCATTCCCCCTATACTACCGCATCAGTGCCGACCCGGAGGGCTTCATCAACGCGGAACACCACGAACTGATTGTGTCGAGCGGTACAATCCCCACCTCTTCTCCATATGTGACGTGGACCCCATGGGGAGGAAAGAACGGGACAATTGTGGTTAGCTCCGGCACACAGGACTCCATCTTCGTGAACCAGGCGCTAGGTGAGGGTGAGTGGACAGAGGTGGCTACTCCTGAACCACACAGTTACACCAGAAATCTGCGTATACTCAAGGAGGATCCCCGGTTCGTGCTGTTGCACGGCGCCGGTGTGCTTCTTGGAGAAGAGAATAAGGTCACTGTGAGCTTGATGAACTTGGAGGAGGCGCTTGCTGCTGCGTGAGGGTAGAGAAAGAATGTAGATTCCTGGCGTATACATAGATGCAATTGATGTAAATAGGCTTTTGACCATCTCACAATGTTGCATTGTTGCAGGAAGGAGCTGCTCTGCAGGTTATGGGGTCGAGTCACTTGACCAGTCACCAAAGGTTTTTCATTTGCCAACCTCATCTTGGACCTTCCCTTTGCAACAGTAGCTCCCTTCAGACCTCTGCGCAGCAAAAGGATTGACATTGCGTCTTCCCTCTATAGACTATGGCAAAAGCTCTATTGAGTTAGTTTCTTGCATTTTTGACTAGCTTCGATCGTTGTTCAAGCTGACAGAGTGACAGTACTGAGTCTACTGACAGGTGCCAGATCGTCAAAGACTAGCGAATGACAAATGCCTAGCGATGGGCCCCCGAGCTGAACTGAATGTCTTAAGAGCCAAGACTCAGGTATTGCTTCATCGCTAAATTGGATAAGCTAGCTCGCTAGTACGGAGTAGTGAACCGGAGCCTGAATCTATGTTGGAGACATCGGGCGTTACCCTTTTTGACTCCCCTTCCAAGACAACCGCAAAATCTTCGGCAAAACTCATATCGTATTTAAGGTTGTCTTCGGATGTCCAGAGACTGAATCGTGATTGGCTATGGGAACTGACAACGGGCACCAAAGTCTATGCAGTCCAAGAACTCTTGCTGAGAGCCGATGGAGAATTGGAGAGCATTGTGCCTCATCCGCAGGGCCCACCCCCATATTCCGGGAACGCGGCTTGAACTTTCCCCTCCAGCCTACCAGTGCCACCCGTAACTCAACGTTGAACGAGTCAACCTTTCTCGGGTACCGGGTATCGGCTGAACCACTATTAGCGGCGAAACGACGTATTGGAAGGAAAGGTTGAGGCTTGAAGGCGTCCGTTACCCATTGACCACTCAAGGCTCAGCTGTGGTATGAAACGAAAGTTACGAAACCCTCGAATCGACCTTCGTTGTCCAAAATGATACATCAGCTAGCAAAGCAAACTTGCATGCCCTGCCAACAAATGCGAGTGAAGGTTCTGTTGGTGCTAATGCATGGCGGCCTTCTTTCTCCGTACGATGTCCACCATACCTAGCATGATAACGCCCTCAGCGGAAACTCCGTACACACTTTTGATGCATCACTTAACGATCCGGCGGCGTACCTCCGACCCAGCCAATCTTCGTCTACTCATATTTATGAAGAGATCATCCATGTTGAACCGCGCCTATCTGAGATTGGCTCTCCACGCGATCCACCTTGATTCGGACCAGTCCATAGGCGCCTCCCGGGTGTCTCTTCCTGCAAACCAGAGTCGCTACTGACAATAATGGAGCATAACAATAAGGGAGTTTATGCATGCATGCGGGGGGATGGATTGTGCAACATCAGCTGGATTAGATTCCGTGGGCTTACAGCCTTGTCTGGTGGCGCGCCCCTTGAACAACACTATGACTCTATGAGAGTCTAGAATCAAATCTACTCCGTATGTGGGGTGCGCCTTCCTTGAGCCAAGGCTTAACTTGAGCCCAGTTGAGTGATATGCGAATGGTGCACCGTATCAGGGCATTCTTCGGGGTTCTCCTAACATGGAGGGTGTCTGTGAACCGGGTTACTGAGTCACCTTGCGGTCAGAGAGCTAACCCCCGGTCAAGCATTTCTACGGAGTAGGTATTGGCTGTAGGACTTGTCCATGCCGGACACGATAAGCGCACCGTTCATATATCTGTCAAGTTATCTACGAGTATCTGCATGATATGGCCCAGAGTATGACAGTTGGCCATTCCAGGATCGGCAACTTGCCACTATCCTTCGGGCCGCCTGCTGGTAGCCTTGAAGATCCATCCACGACCTACAGAATAGGTTTGCTTGGTACTTGGTGGATCTGATGCCACAGTAGTCAGAGTGATCCGTGCACTCCTTCGATGGTCGATATACATTACTAACTCGGCGTCTTACAAGCTGACAGTTTCTCCAGCCATCCTACTCCGGAGTAATCGCCCAGTTGCCCACCCTTCTCACATTGCTTTTTCCCAAGCTAACTAGTCCTCCGACCCCTGCTTCTGGACCCTCGTCTGGTTGATCAGTCACTTAGGCTTCGAGCAAAAACAACGGCGAATCACTGCCCTGGGACATGTGCAAGCGTGGTACACTAGCAGCCTCCGTATGCAACACAGGCTGAGGTGACAACATCCAATGAACCTAAAAAACACGTTTGCTTCATGGGCATGTATTGGCCGTTATAGCAGATTTGAGCGTACTGCTGCAACCAGGTTATACGGGACGCGCACTATCACCGCTAGACCTACGCATGTTTCCCTAACATTGCATCATTCTTCGCTAGATTACCTTGTGGGACTGATATCGCGAGCGTCAACCATACAAACCTGCATAATGATGAATGTCGGCGGCCTCCGAAGAGAGAGTTCTGAACCTATTCACGACCGACAGTCAAGCTAAGCCAATCTTAGTAGCATATGTGCGATGCCCCAGGTGCATACGGTGGTATCAGTCCCCGTATACTTGGCTATCACTGACAGCAGGCTGGCAGGCTTGAGAGGTTGCCTATGGGCCACGAATATACAAAATGCTGACTATATGTGGGCTAATGGCAATGCCACACACATACGCAGCTGGACACGCACACACCTTGCTAATACTTTCAGGCATTCGACCCTGTCCTTGTTTTTCCCCAGATCCGCCTCTCATTCTTTCTTTTTATGCATGGCGTACATGACTACTCCGTACATGGCCACAGCTGTGGAGACTAACTGCGGTCGGATATGATAGCTCGTCACTGCGTCCCATTTCCTTCTAGGACCACGCCGGCGCGCCCAAAATCATCCATCTAATTCACACTTAGGCTTTGTATCTTGTTCAATTTTTAGCTCTATCTGCTATTCCGCCGCCCTTCTCTACGGGCGTACACTTTCTCCATTCTTGATATCTCGTGCGCGACAATCGGTTGGTGATCGAGGCACCGTTGAGAAAGGACCAACAAATGCATATCACGCTCATCCTTACCCCTGGTTAGAACTATTGCGCCGGTTGAAATATGTCCTTATCGAGATTGGGCTGCCAAAACAGGGCATAGCACCTTAATACCTATTTCTCCGCGGGGGCAGGCATCATCAGCTTTTGTGTTGCCTGTACCCTTGCCGCCGTTGGTCCTTGTTGACCGATCCTTCAAGTGACCAGCTCATCCCTTTCCGTGAATGATTCTATCTCTCATTGACCGCTTCTTGATCCTTGATGACTACCTACATGGGGTTGTAAACCACCCAGTTGTTTCAACGCCGGCAGAAATCTGTGGTGGTTGCAGGAAACGACATTTATACCTGTGAAACAAGTTCTCGCCAGATGTCGGGGGCGCCGTTCCAACAATGGATATATATTCCCGATGGCAGGCATACCGATGTCAGAAACCACCGTTCCGATGAAACCCACCGAAGGCAGACTCCAGTCCCAAACCCTCCATACCTGACACAGGAGCCACCTCGTTTCCTCCTGCCTATCAGTCAAAGCCACGAGCCTATAAAAATGCAAAGTGCAAGCTATCCCAGGCTTCCGATACACGGGGTTCCGATACCTAGCCGGGCACTGGATAGCAGAAGTGATCCCAAGTATATGCCTCTTCCAACGACAACATGCTCTCTGGCGCAGTATAGCATCCAGCGGCCAGGCACGTCGAGGAACGGGGAAAGTGCAGGGCTCTTAGGTCCACACTATGATGTTTCAAGTCATAGCCGCGGTTCTGTTGGCTCTGCTGCCCGGGCTGCTGATGTGGACTCGCAGTAAATGCCCCCTCTCATAATGACATTGGCCAAAACCCCCGAAAGGGACTATGACGGTCTTTATACTTCCATTTCATTCCATTATTCTCCAATGAGATGGGTTAGCAATGACATAACGCTGTCTTAAACTTTGATGAAACCTGAAGCTAACATGCGGTACTCAGATATAGCAGTTCTTCTACAACCTTTCCAAGCCCTGTCCGTTCCGACAGAAGCCCTATCTATCCAACAATACCTTCTCTATCAGGGTATCAGCAACATGTATCGGTCCCTCAACGACATGTGACCGCCAGCATGCCATCTGGATTTGAGAATTTACTTCACCATTCGCCGCCGCCATCCCCTCCACCACGGCGCGCAAGCCCTTCATCCCGCTACCGTCTCTACATCAGACAACAGCCCATAGCCGCACGGGCCTGCGGTGCCGGTGACAGAGACCGACGACCCGTTGACCCTCCCCCAATCATCCAATTGCTCCTGACAGACTTCAATCCGGACTCCAAGGAAGACCGATCAATCCTTCAAGATCCAAGATTCACCGTTGGATGCCTCCTATACCCCGTCCAGGAACCCCCCTACCTGCCAGGGCCAGGCTCAAGCGCCGGCCCCTCAAATCCAAATATCGGCATCAACATGGAAGACAGCAACGCCCCTGGCAATTCCACCCCGCTCCTCTCCGGAAAAGCCTTCGCCTCCCCCTTCTACGTCGACGAGGAGCCGGATCCTAACTCCGCGCCAGCGCACCCCTCCAGCACCGACGACTACAGCACCAGTCCTCGAGCTCTAACGCGTAAACCACGCACCGGGTCCCTTTTGACCCCGCCCGCGTCCTTCTTTGTATTCTCTGATCTTTCTGTGCGCACCGCGGGCCTGTACCGCCTCCGATCCAGACTCATGCATTGGGGCGCCATTGAGGATACAGGGCAGTCCATGCCCATTCTCGCCGAGGTCTGGTCTGATCCGTTCCGCGTCTACCCGGCGAAAGACTTCCCCGGGATGCGGGACTCGTCGCTCCTGACGCTGCGGTTGAAAGAGTTGGGGTTTGTTGAGTTGAAGACAAGAGGTCAGGGGATGGGGAAGGGGAGGAGGGTTGGGGTTGCCAAGGGGGCTTCGAGGGCTCAGCTTGAACAAGCATGTTGAAAACAGTGTCTTTGGTCTGGGGGTAGAGTGGTATCTTTTCAATGGGACATTTATCACGGAACGAGTCAATGAGGTGCTAATGAATGGCATTAGGGATATATCATTTCGGACACTGCGGGTTTCCTAACCCATGCTAAATTTGATCAGAGAATAAATAAACAAAACCGTTCGCACAGTAATCTGCAGAACTGCGTGTTTAGTAGCCCTGTTTGCTGCAGGCACCAAGGACGGGGAGTTGACCATGCGTCACGTATCAAGCCATGACACTTTCAGCCCATCTAATCCCCCAACTATAGTACGATCGAGACAACGTTGTGCCATGTTGCGTAGTGACGTGATACCATCCTCAAACGGCAACTCTAGGATTTTGTGCAATATTGTTTCTGCTGTCTCCTTGTCACCCTCCTGTGAAAGCAGGCAAGCAAGGTGCAGGCCAGATCTTACACAATTCTCTGCCCACGCAACGCGATACCATTCGATAGCCATCAAGCGGTATTCGCGACAAGAGCGCGGTGCAAAGTATGATAATAATGTGGCAAAGAAGCCTTTAGGTTGTTTGGCTTCTATTATGCCAAAGTCTTTCCTTTTGGGGGACTTTGTTGTTTGCCGGCGCTCCCCAGGTCGCGATTCTAATCCCACCGAGATGAGATAGTAGTAATTGGCTAGTTTCCGACAGGCGTCTTTGTTTCCAGCCGAAGCTGCCCTCCCCATGAGCTTTTCATAACTCTGCATTTTGCGGAGCGCCTTGAAGTGCTCTGCGAAGCGCATCATTGCAATGGGGTCCTGGTAATCCATCGCCCCGAGACGAACAGTCATTAGTCCGTCCTTGTCATATGGGCTATTTGTTTCGTTGACTGCAGCTGGTGAAACTCGGACTTTCTTATCCTCACGTAGCAGCCACAGATACAATTCCCACGGCGGTTCAATGACTCCGTTAAGGGTAAGGCTCTCATTAATGGTTGGTGGAATCTGTGTTGGTTCAATGATTCGTAACACATCGTGAACGAGATCGATCCCTTGCCGGTATTGGCCTGTTAGACCTAGAAATTTGGCATAGAGAAGCATAGCCCGCGGATCACGGTTGTCCTGCCCGTCTGCATCGCTTTTGGATTGGGTAGCGAGACTTTGAACGCGAGCAATGGAAGGTGTGAGTTGCGGCTCCCTAATATTCTCCGCATCGTAGACATTTTTGTTTCCATGCGCCATTCTGAGTTGCCGGGCTGCGGTGAGCAGACTTGCCATCTGCACACCGGCAAGCATACATGACTCCTGCAGCCAACTGTTCAATTGGCTGTCACCCCGGAAGACTTCGCGGCCGATGTCGTATAAGGTATCTACGGGCACACCTTCGTCTACAACACGAGAGGAGACACGGGTCAGTCAGGGAGCTAGAGATCAAGGTGTTTAAATCAGGCCAGAAATGGAGAGAAAGGTGATAACAGCAATAGTATCATACCTTTGGCAATGCCGACAATAGCATCCTTGGATGGAGACATAGCAGTCGCTTTTTTCAAAAGGGCCGCTCCAATCCTCTTAAACTTCCTCGGGGTAATGGACTTATCAATGACTCCATCTAACAGCATCTCACTCGCGAGTTTGAGTCCGTTAACCTGGACAAATTGCAGACGGGCATTGAGCGCAGCGTTCACCGGCGAGTTGGGCGAAGCATCAAGAAGTTGGTAGCCCGGAAACGCAGCTTTGACATTGGGCCGGGCATTTGATCCAGCGGCTTTTCTTCGAGTTGAAGGGGATGGGGCGGCTCGGCTGCGGGAGGGAGTGGTGTGGAAGGGTCGAGAGTGAGAGTTGCGGTTGTTGCGCGGAGAAGGGTCTTCAATTGCGGGAAGAAACGAGGGACGGACGGGATTTGTGAGGAGCAGAGTCGAACAATCCAGCTGGCTCCATCGTCGGATGGTTGGCGGGCGAGTGCGTGACATTGTTGCTTGAGTTTGAAGAGAGTTGGAGTTGCGGAGAGAAAGAAGTCGGAGATATCCGCATGGGATGATCACACCCGAGTGCGCGGAGTACAGCGCTAGGTACTAGAACCACGCTGTTAGCTACCCCTTGTCAAGATCAATCTACGAAATGTCAAACTTTTGTTTGTCAATTCTAGTATTTCTTTGGGTCCATCATTCTGCTGCTGATGCTCGTTGACACTTAAAATCTGACAGATGTTGACAGTCGCGCTAGTACCAAGTTGGCTAGATCAATCGTACGGTTACCGACTTACCGTATGTACACTTACCGTATGTACACAATGTGCCCTAGTCTACTTATTACCCGGGCGTCATTCCTGCTGAATCCCAATCAGGGCACGGGCAAGAGGTCCGAATACGTATATTCAGGCAGAAGCAGTTATATCAACGGTTCCCAGAATGGCCGGCATGCCAGCGGGCCGGGGTCGAGTTTTATTCGCATACTCCAAGGACCGAGTATGTGTCCTCTTGACCAATAAGTACTGTAGATGGATAGCGGCACAGTAAAACTTCTAGCGCAATTGGTAATCCAATGCAAGAGTACTGCATGTCCCGTTGGCAAAAGCATGTTAGCACGATATGGATGAGACATTGATACTAGGCCTCTTATAGTGGGCTGACGGCAGCAATTGAGCCTGCGAGCCTTTTGACGAATGAGTAGGTTTAATGCGCGCGCATCTAGCTAGAAAGTTAATGTACGACAAAATGAAATGGAGATAAGAGGTGCAAGATTCTGAGGGCTTTTCACTGATTGTCCTTACTACCTTGTTCATGCTGTAATGGCAACGCGGATGCGATGTACATCGCTGACGCCGGCCAAGCTCAAATTAGCATCGGCAGCCTGAAGTTAGTGGGTACGTGAAGTAGTGAATCCGTCATCTCTCTCACGGATCAAAACGGTCCAAACAAGTAGATTATAATATACATTCGCTGCCTATCTCCCACTCCCCGGTCAAGTTATCAAAACACCTTCAGAAGAGACACAGATATATGACAGAAAACAGAAAACACATCTAACCACCTAGGAAGCGGGAGAGACGCAGCACGACACAGAACCCAGGACACGGCCAAGGCGAATGCGAACACTCGTCACAGCATGCATGCATAGCATCGAGAGCACCCAAGTACGTACTTCATCCAATCGACCTGCGGGTTGTTTATTCCATAACAGCCTTGGCACCGACGGCCTTGAGCGTCTCAATGAGCTTCTCAGCTTCCTCCTTGGGCACACTCTCCTTGAGAACCTTTGGCACAGACTCAACGAACTTCTTGCTGTCGACGAGCGATAGGCCGAGAAGCGTCTTGACCTCCTTGATGACCTTGGCCTTAGAGGCGGCGTCAATAGACTCCAGCTTGATGTTGAAGAGAGTCTTCTCCTGCGCGGGGGGGGCGGCCTCCTCTTCTTCGACGGCGGCAGCGGCACCGGGGCCGGCACCGGGGGCCATGGCGAAGCCGCCGACGGGGAGGTCGGGGATGTTAAGGCGGGACTATATAAGACGCAATATTAGTTTCGGAGATGTTATGAAGCGTAGAGGCGTATTCTCTCATGTATAGAATAACCGGAGAAGCGAATAGCGATATGTAAGGTTGGCCGGTTGACTGTGGGGATGGGCTCACCTTCAGGCTAGCGACGAGGTCGGCGGTCTCTAAGAGGTTCAACTGGCTGATCTGGTCGACAATTTGCGTGATCTTGGGGTTGGCAGGGGCAGCAGCAGCCTCTGTGGACTGCCACCTCCGGCTCACTGTCTGCTGATATGTAGCGGAAAGGCGAAGGGAAGCGGATGGGCGGACGAGCTGTCTGCAGCATCGAGCTGCGGCCTGGGAAGTGATGGACATCGTAAAGGTGAGATGGAGAGTAGAACGGCGGGATTGAGGCGGGAGTGAGGTGTAAAAAGGTGTGGTCTTGACGCTCTCGTTCGATCAACAATTAAAGGCGCAATTGAAAAAGAATGTTGATTCCGGGAGGGAAAATCTGGCTCTATCACGTGACACAATACCATGCTCGGTATCAACAGTCCATCCTGGGGTCCGTCCATCCTACCTTCGATAACGGATATTCCCGTTATATTTTGATCTTGATAAAGGATGGTGACATGGTAGATTTAATTTAGATTATAATAAACTCTTGTTGACCCCAGCAGCCACAATTGCACTCATTCCTCCGCTCGGTCTTTCCCGTCTTCCAAAGGGCATATCAATACATTATACATGAAGGTATACAGCATTACTATCCGAGGACACTTTTCTCCAGATTATCCGTCTCGCTACTCTGTCAGTTCCCAAGAAGCGTCTATGCGCGCTTGGTGTACCTCTTCATAGACCGTCTTTGCTCCTTCTGCTGCTCACGGTCAAGGTACTTGCGCTGCTCTTCGGCGTTCATGCCACGAAGTACCCGCTCTCTCTCTTCCTTCTTGATCTTCTCGGCCGCCAACTTACGCTCTTCCGCCTTCTCCTGTTCGTCCAAGCGGCGCAGCTTCTTGATTTCCTCCTCACGCACGTTCCGGATCTTGCGCATCACCTCAGGGCGGAAATGAGCAAGGCTAACAAGACGGTCAGGGAACCGCAGGAATTGGGTAAATAGCGGCAAGGTAGAGGCATATCCCGAGGAAGAAGAGGAAAGAGATCCGACGAGCTGGACACGCTTGCGGGGGGCAGTTTCTTCGATCCTGTGGAGATCGTCAGACGGAGCTTAAGCGTTATGATGAGAAATGAAGACTTACTTGGTGGGCTTGTCGACCGGCTGATCAGTGACAATCAAATACTTGAAGTTGTTTCCGGCCTGCTCCACGGCCTGGATGAGCTCCGGGGTGAGGAGGGTATCGGTTATCTCGGCGTTCTCGGTCATAACAGTCACCCACTGGGGCAGCTTGGCGTTATCCCGGGTGAAGGTAATGGACGCATCGTATCTATCGTTGCGAAAATTACGCATGTGGCTCTTGTGAACAATTGCGAAGATGAAGCCGTCGTAGGTCGAGTTGTTGACCTTGAGGGCTGAGGTATCCTTGCCTGGAACCGGAACAAGATCCTTCTCCTTACCATCAAAAGTGTAAGCGGTAGCCTCGAAGGTCTCCTCGGGCGACGGCCAGCTGTCAAAGAAGAAAGCAAACACCTGGTCCATCCAGTAAGTCACCGGGTTGGCGCGCTTGGGCATCTTGATCGCAACATCAAGAAAAGCGACGTTCTGGCGGCCAGTCGCGTAGGTGGAGAACTCCTGGGGCGACTTCTCCTTCAGAATCGAGTGAGGAGTCGAGATTTCCACAGAAATGGACTCTTCGGGTTTCTGAATGCCATCAAATCCAACTACCGCGAACTCGTCTCGGAGAGCGGAGGCATGAGCCGCGGCCCATTCAGTCGCACGCCGTCGGTTCTTACGGGTACCCCAGAAATGGAAGATGACGATCAACAGGATAATTGGCATTACCATCGCCTCTTGCATGAAGTCCTTCGGGGATGTGCGCTCCCATACCCGGTACCATTTCGTATACACGACGGGTTCAACACCATTTTGGCCTAGCGAAGGTGCCGATGGGGTGTTCATGATAGGAGCGGGAGACGGCTCGGGCGCCTCGACAAAGTCGGCGAAACCTGATAAAGAAATTGGAGTCAGCAAGGGGAATTGTATCGCAGCCTTGAGGTCGATGTAAGAGCGCAAGACTGACCACCATCTTCTAGTCCAGCCGAGTTGGAAGGCTCAGCGCCGCCAAAAACGTTCTTGAGAACTCCCGCCATTGCGAGGAGATAGAAAGCGCGGGGAAGAGATAATAGCCCCGAACAGAGGCAGTCGAGCGATACGGAACTGCAAACGTGGCCTGGGGAGAGGAAAGAAGCGAGAGGAAACCCGGGGCGATGGGGGCAAGTTAAGTGTTGGGTTCGGGTGGCATAATCAATTGACGTTCGCCGCAAGAGCCTAGTTTAGTGGAGCCCAGAGCTCCAAGTCCACCATTTGACGAGATAGCCAAGACTAATCGAGATATCAAATCACCGAGCAGAGATACGCAGTACGAGAACCGGTAGAAGCTGATGAACTCATTCTATATTGCGATGATGCATCAGAAATAACCTTCAATGCAGGCCATATAGAAAGTGCCCTCCGTGTTGCTCGCCCGTCGCAAGCTACACCACGCTAAACCATCGGATTCCCCCGACAAGCGACGGATTGAAGCGAATAAACAGAAAGAAAGTCGGTGGATTAGTGAGAGAATTGGTATCCTGCAAAGAAAACGAGTCCGCAAAAGAAGAATCAACGCCAAGTATTTTAACGGTACAAGCCCAGACCTCAAAAATCTAACACGCTCCAAACCAAACCCGAGGTCTCAAACTCGACCATATGTAACAATTAAAAGCACAATTAACTTCGTATCAGTCGTTATATACTCCGGACCCGCCGGGGGTTGGAGGGAAAGAGAGAAGGAAAGGGTAAAGAGCGGATGGCAGCGAAAGATACTGCCAGCGCGACTGGGCGCTCGGACATAATACAGGATGCAATATAGCATCAGTGGCCATAGGCCGGAGGCGGGGCCTCCTCATGATTCAGGCGATCCCAAAACGGCGTGCACGAACTCGAGCCCGACATTTTCTCGTCTCGCATGCGGCGCGCTATTTCTCCAGCTAGCCGCTCAACCAACGCTTGATCAACAAGGTTCGAGCTCGCTTTCTCGTCGGTAAACGGAAGAATGGTGGAAGGTAATTGTCGCGCCGTTTCAGGCTCTGCCTTCTCATTGTACCGTCCCGGGGCAACGTGAGAGCGCATCGTTCCTCGTGGAGTCGCGTCCACGTCAATTGCTTCAGATGTACGAAGAGAAGAAGACTGGGGTTCTCCAGACTGCCCAAATGCTTCGGCTCCGCGACGAAGCCCGGGTCTAGAAATACTCAGGCGGTGCCGTTCAGGAACAGGTGGGAGGTGCAGTCCAGTCTCCGGTACCAAAGGCGGTGTTACCGGATCATCGGGTTGCTCCCTAACGATGGGCAGGGGTGCCGAGTAGACAGATGGAGCACTACTGCTAGTCTCGGTAAAAGCACCCTCATCGCTAACACTTGCAGCATCGTCGGTTGTCTTTGGACGGCGCAGATCGACAACGCGTTTCTTCCGTTTCCTGGAATGCGCCTTGGAGCGGCTGGCTCCGCTGCTCAGGCCATAACTGCTGAAGCTATGCGTCGAAGTTGTGGACCGTGTCTGTGACGATATCATACTGGCGGTATCTGGGAACGAGGACATGTTGCCGGCCTGGGAATGGGTCCTTGAAAGCGCAGGGCTGGCCGGGGAAATCACGCCCGCAGTAGCATCGCCGGCATCGCTCGGAGATGTCCATGCGCGATATACGACCTCCCGTATGGAAGGTGTAAACAGCGACAACGTCCGCTGGGAATCGGTAAGGGCACCAAGTCGTAAAAGGTTTTTTTGCGAGAACAAGGAATGTGTTTCGACGGAGGACTCGAGGGAGAGCGACGCAATGTCCGATTCGTTTAGGGCATTGCCTAGTGCGTCCACTGGATCCTGCGGAGGGCTGGCCAGAGGGTCTTGACCGGGGCCTTCGGTACTAGCGGCTGTTGGTTGTGTCTCCGGTTCCTCTCCATCACGATATTCCGGAACCCATAAGCGGAGTGACAGGCGATGAATAATGGCAGGCAGCTCGTCCATGAACAGTATTCGAAGTTGCGCTTCTATTTCCTTCTGAAGAAAATCTCGGACGAATGGGATCGAGTCAAATGTCGATGAGACCTTGAGCGACTCTAGGGGGTCATTGCGGAAAACCACAGTGATTCCTTTCTGCTTTGAGAATACCAAAACGACGAAGCCGGACAGTTTGAAGTCGGATAGGGTGATTTGGAGAGGGATGGTAAGGGGTGTCCTAATTGAAGCCCTAAAGTCAGCGCGCGAGACAATGAATGCGTGATCGGTTACTCACGCTGCAGCTAGCGGCAACGGCGACGCGAATGATGGCCTTGTCAGAAGATAGGTGTTGAGTGGGTTCGCTTGAACTCGAGTTTTCAATGTAAGAAAGGCGTCTCCGGTGTAGGACATCTTGAAGATGCCGCGAAACCGATCTTCCGCCAAATCTCCGACCTCCAATATTTCCAACTCAGGCGGAATGGAGCCGAGATTGAGTTCTGTAACGATGATATCGTCGACAATAATCGGAGGCTTTGGCGACTTATTGAGTGCCGCCGTAAGAAGGTCCTGGGCGCGAGTGTAAAAATTCGCGTCCGCGGTCAGCGGCGACCAGTTGAAGTTGAAGGCCATCGCAGATCATCGAGAAAGGTATCTCAACAGCAGCAGCGTTGGGTGATATCGAAAGGATGGGCGACAGTCAGCCTTGGAGGCTTTGATGAATGAGGAGGAAGGAATTAAGAAGGGAAGAATGAAGGGGAGGCTTTCTTCCTCTTGTGGGGGCGCGGCGATAAGCAGAAAAAGGGAAAAAGACGGGAAGAAAAGGAATCCGAGGATCACAAGCAATGTGAGGCAACACTCGCGTGATCGACGCGACAGGCCGTTCTACGTTACTCAAGCGGGCATTATTCTATCAGGGGCGCTGTCAATATTAATAGACGGACTATTGGATATTTCCTCTGTAACTACACAAGCACAGCACCTGCGAGACCATCGTGTCTTTCGATGTTCTCGTCCGCGGTCATGAAGCCGGAGCGACGGAAAGACGTCACTGTGCAGAGCCTTCATAATTTATGGAGACAACCGATGGAGCACAACCATCCAGGCGCCTCCGTACAATCTTATGATTCAAGATCGACCCAGGCAGAATAACTTCTCTCCACACTCGCCCGGACTCCTCCGAACGCTCCGCGCTTCCAGAACCCTAGAAGACTACTCTGCTTTATCATGTATGCTTCTCTTGTCAATAATCTCTACCGTCTCATTATTTCATGCATATGGAGTAGACTAAACTAATCGTGTTTTAGATCCGGCGTTCGAGGTCTCTGAGCGTGGTCGAGACCGCTAGGACGAGGAGCACCAGCACTATATCCATCTAGGCGCTATAATCCACCCCTCATCTTCAGTACCATGGCTTCCCATCTAAACATCGGACTGCCACAAATCCACGCGCACAAGGGGAGCAAATGCGTCCCGCCCAGCAATGATTTCATCATAGGTACCTGGCACGTAACCCACTCCAGTCTTCCACTCTGGAAAGACAAGCGCAACGTCAACATTACCTACGAGCTACTCGCCCCAGACTCCTCGGGCATCGCTAAGATCGACGACCTGGTCCGGTACCAAGCTGTTGGATCAGACAAGATAAAGTCGGTCCATGGTGTCGATACACCGAGCCCTGATAATCAAGGTGCCTGGGACTGGCGAGGCAAAGGTTGGTTGATGATTGCGAGTTCGCACTGGGAGTGCCTTGGTTTCGGCCAGGCAGATGACAATAATCAGTGGATTGTCACGTACTTTGCCAAGACGCTCTTCACACCTGCTGGAATCGATATCTATTCTCGACGTAAAGAAGGTCTTCCTCCGACTCTTGTGGAGGATATACTTCAAGCTCTCAAGGGGCTACACGTTGACGAGATCACGACCCTGGCCAATAATATCTTCCAGATTCCTCAAAACTAGACATACTGCTGCCATCCAATCCCTCATCATTATACGCCTTAAAACATAGAATTTCTCGAATTCGTGTTTGATTCCAGTTTGATTCCATAGTCTTTTAGAGCATTCAACTACGGCACGTGCTCGACTACTCCCGCGGACGTATTACATAATCTCAAGCTACCCCAGCAACGCTGCACTAGTCCTTTTATCGAAAGAGGTCAACATTCCGACCGACCTGTCAGGGACAGAACAGCATCAAATCATCTTCGGGGCACCACAAGACACCAGCCGCCATTGAGCGAACCTTACCGATCACCTACCACAGTCTCCAAACAGCTCCCTCATTGTTAGCTCTAACCTTAGAACAATAATCTAAAATTGAAGAATCAGGGCTGCTCTAGGGTGCATTGTGAGACTAGAAGGTCATGGCATCAGTGCACTCAATACATATCGAGGAGACTCCTCCCCGGCGCACCACCAGAGCACCAAGCACACGCGCTCCCGGAACGCGAAAGGTATACGGCAAGCGACGAACTGCCGCTCCTAGAGCTGTATTCGAAGAACGGAGCCCCGCAAAACCGTTGGAAATAGCGAATACCGATGTTGTTCACGATGCAGTCAATGCTATCCAGACCAAGCTCGCAAGCATTCAAATCGATGAAAGAAAATTTTTGAAAGACGGCCTGAAAGACCGTAAAGAGAATATCCATGAAGTGACAGCATCCGAAGCTTGCGAGATTACCACCAATGAGACCTCTATGTCGAAACTCAAGCCGCCAGCAGAGCCTGCTCCAACTCGACGTTCACAACTCAAAGTCACCCCAGTGCCCAAGAAGCGGTTTCAGACAATGGTGGAAGTGAGGGTCACCCCTAGGGTCATCCCTAAAAACGCTCAAGATCCCGTGCAGGAAACTCTTAGGGAGGCTTCCGCCGTCCTGGACAGCTGCAAGAAAAGCACCAGAAAAAACAAACCGCTACAAAGGCCATCGTCTGAGTACGTTCAAAATGAAAAAGCAACCTCCTATGTTCGATCTATCCTGGACGAGACATTGTCTCCGGCAGCAGCACAGGGCATCCAGAAGTTCGAATCGTGGGCAGCGCGAGCGGGGGAAATGCTGGAAGTCGTGAAATTGGCTGAAGGCTCATACGGAGAGGTCTACAAGCTCCGGCTGAGGGAGGATGTATGTCAGAAGGAGATGTCCAAATCCAAGCTGGCACGTCTTAAGGCGTGTGGTGATGGTGTTTTCAAGGTTGTCCCTCTACGAGCCCAAAGCGGTCCTGGCTCTAAGAAGTTTACGAGTATAGAGGAAATAGTGGCGGAGGTAAAAATGCTCAAATATCTGGACCCCATACCAGGGTTCGCGCGCTTCAGGGAAATCCACGTTGTCGAAGGCCGGTTTCCAGCGGCCTTCCAGAAAGCCTGGGACATCTACAAGAAAACGAAAGACGACTGTCTCAACCCTAACCCTTCAAGTAAACGAGCCTATCCTGACTCACAAATCTGGGCAATCATCGAAATGGACGATGCTGGCTGCGAGCTTGAAAAGTTCTCTTGGTCATCGATCTTCCAGGTTTACGATATATTTTGGGGGGTTGCTATGTCGTTAGCCCGAGCTGAAGAATATGCTTTGTTTGAGGTAATACCCCAACTCTGTCACTTGCATGAGCTATATCTAACTAGAACAGCACCGCGACCTTCACCTCGGCAACGTTTGTATTCGAAGCACGCGACCAGATGGCGGCATGCACCCACCGTCAGACTCAGAGATCATGCGACAATCATATTCAAGCGGTTTTGGATTGAGCACACTCCAAACAACGCTTATTGACTATTCGCTCTCACGTGCAGAGTTAGCGCTTGACGATGAGGCATCAGAGCTGCTGGAAATAACCTCTTCGGACCTTGATAAAAAGCAGATTTTCGATGCTATCGGCGAAGACGAGGACGATGCCCTGCTCAGGGACACCTACCGACAGTGAGTAGCTTGGCTTCCCAACTCAGAAACCCTAGTTTGGACATTGCGCTAATTGTCCGTATAGCATGCGTGCCCAGCTATACAAAGGCAACCCCGTCGACAGCGAGAAAACACCCGACATCCCCGGTATCTGGGCAGAATATGCACCACGCACAAACCTGATTTGGCTGCGCTTTCTTCTCAAAATGCTGCTGAAAAATCGAAAACCTGAAGCCCCAGAAAACTCGACTCATAACCGGCGACAACCGCTCGCGCCATGCTCGTCCAACAAAGAGATCAAAAAGGCGACCAAGTCAAGCAAGAAGAAGCATGACGCGCCCAGTAAGATCAACCGTAGCTCAGATGTCCATGCCAAGATAGCGGACCTGAAGCAAACGCTAGAGGACAGGCTGGTTGCGGTTTTGGAACTCCTGGACCTCGAACATGGACATGATGATATGTGCTGTTCAGCTGATTTGGTTGCCTTTGCTATCGATGCTCAGTGGCTTGATGAGAGGGACTTCTTTTCCGCGGAATAGCGTAGTTAGACTGCATACGGGGTGTTTATTTTATGACCTTTTCGAAGGTCTTTCTGCGTTGCATTGGCATTTTATAGATGGTTAGCGGTTAGCATGGCGTTGGAGCACATTTGATGGTTGCATACAATAATATATTTTTGGCTCTCGGTATTGCCCATACGTTATTGTTCTGACTTAGCATGTTTAGCCACTAGATGGTCTCAGCTGTTGATGGTATGGTACGATGACTATATTTCCGAACGGGTGCCGAAAGAAAACAACAAAACTCCATCTATACATTTCGCACAAGGCCTTTCTATATTTGAATAAGGCAATGTCGAATGAGAAAGCAGTATAGTTATTCGAATCATGAGTGCAACAAAGTGGAAAATCCCCGAATTTGGTTGTTTATGCTCCAGAAGCAAGGAAACTCAATAAGCTTCCCGTCGCTAAACCAGCAACAAGCATGAGACTCATAAACCCACCAGCAGGTTCACGTTCCTCCGCGGAGACAAAATAGCCTGCTCCCATCATACAGCAACTCGACAGGTACCCGTTCGTTATCCCGAACAGACCCTGGACAATGAACAAATAGAAGAAGTCGCTAGATACTATGGCGCCCCGCCCGCCGACATTACACAGTAGATAGAGGGGGATGAATCCCACGCGACAGATGGCGAGGGTAAAGAGAGCCCAAGGACGGTGGGCTAATGAGTAGCGTGGATTAATGACCAGCGTCCTGCCGAGTAGGTCGCCCGCGTTCCAGAAAAAGAACGCGAGTGGGATGAAGGCGGCTGCTCGAAAGAGGCGCGAAGTAGTTGAGTTGTTGTTAACGGACTCAATCTGAGAAGTGTATACAGGGAAAATCATTGTTATCGTGAAGCAGAGGTAGATTGAGATAGCGGAGAGGCGGAGCTTCGAGAAGAGAGTCCAGAGACTCGCGGTCTTTGTTGGTGTTGGGTCATCCGCGCTGGATGATTGGGACTGATCGTCTATAACGTGCAGGGACTGCTGCTTTGTGAGCCAGACAAACGAGACGAGTGTCAGGCATGAGACGCCTGTTGCCGTCATGAAGCACCCGAAGGCTGATTTCCAGGACGCTTCTGGTGTCTGCTTGTCACCATGTTCTGGCAGGGCAAGGCCGGAGAGCATTTGAGCTAGAGACGGCAGTACACCGGCTACTCCTTGGCCGCTCATTATTGCCTGGGTATATTCCTCCCTCCCAAATCCGGAGACGTACGCGAAAACTCCGTTCTGGTTGATTCCTGTGGCCATGCTAGCCCCAAACACCATCACCATCACGAATCCAAAGTATATCGAGACCGAGGCATCCTTGAGCAACAGAGTAGAGAAAGCGAGTAAAGTGAAAACGACAATATTGATCATTAACGATACTATTATTCGCTTCGGATATGATGCTGACTCCTGGAGCTTCGCGAGGATGAACACGGAAGCTAGATTGGTGATCGTCGATACAGTCAGTATAGATGACTGGTAGTGAGTTGTAGCCCATTCATCCGATTGAAATCGCTGGTGAAAAAATGGTGCAGCTGCCAGAAACATATTCCTATACGGAACCCGACGTGATTAGCAAGCCTTCCCCGGTACAAACGGGACAGACATGGAGACATACCAAGCCCATAGCATGGAAACCCCTAAGATAAAGAACACCCAGTATACTGGCCTTGAGAAAGACGGATTTGACTGTGATGCCCCGAGAGGTGTATCTAGATCTTCGCCGTAACCTGCAGGCTCCTCATGGATGGGCTCATACTCCGCGGTAGGAGGAGCGATCCATCGTCGGATGCGATCCATGCTGTGCCAAACAAAAGCAGGTCTCCCGCTTCTGTAAAGAGCACACTGAGGACGGAAGTATAATAGAGTCAGCCCATCATCATGACCTCGGGAGGGTCGAGTAGGGCATGGAAGTCGACGCTCAAGCTTCAGTGGAGAGTTGTTCGAGTGACGTCGAGGGTAAAGCAGCAGCGGAAGCAAGGCCGACGCCAAGACAAGAGGTCACGTTTACAAGGAAGCATCTTGTCAGGTAACGAGTGACTACACAGAACACTTTGATAGAGAAGAGTTTTTTCTATTATGTCTATCATATCGATTACGGCGGATAATTAGGCCCAAATCCGTGAAGCCTAAATATCCCCCCACTTTAAATGCGCGTCATGTACAGGTATATCATCACAGCATGCGCTCAAGCGCACGAGTGTGAGCAAAAGGTCTATAGAAACCGTGGAATAGATGCAAAACGAGAGCCAAAAAAAAAAAAAGGTTTGAAGGGCATTTGTAAGGTGGTTGATGCGAGACCAACCTTGAAGATGGGCTCATCGCTGTTGAATCTTGCCACTGTTTTCCGCGTCGCCATCTTCCTCGGGTTGTTCTTCCCAAGGCCTATCTTCGGCCTCAGGATCAAAAGAAGGGCTGACTGGTGGCTTAGAGTCACCACCACTTAATTGCCATTCCATGAGTTTTGTAAAGGCGCCGTCAGGGCGTGAGCTTAGTTGTTCATATGTTCCTTGTTCAGCGACTCTCCCGTCGCTACCGAGGACGACGATCGAATCGGACCGTTTGATAGTAGAGAGTCTGTGGGCGATACTGATGGTCGTGTTGTTTCCGCGGAGAAGTGCAGCAAGGGCGCTGTTCACCAGTGTCTCGGATTCCGCGTCGAGGGCGGAAGTTGCTTCGTCGAGAATTAGGATATCGGGGTCTTTAATCAGGGCCCGGGCAATGGCAATTCGTTGCTTTTGCCCTCCAGAAAGTTGAGCACCGCGGGGCCCAACCTGAGTATCAAGGCCGTCCGGCTAAGGGTTTGTTAGTATCTGAGCAGAGACGGGGATGCAGTTGAACTTACGAAGTCGCTAATGAATTGACAGTTTGCTTTTCTCGCCGCTGCCACGATCTCGGACCGGGTCGAATGTGGGTTCCCATAAGAGATATTCTCAGCAATTGTCCCAGAGAAGAGCACAGGCTCCTGAGCAACAACGCCAATCTTTCTGCGAAGCGACTTCGCGTTCATCTCCTTGATGTCCTTGCCGTTGATCAAAACACGGCCCTCGCTAGGGCTGTAGAAACGTAGGAGCAACGAAGCAATGGTGGACTTTCCTCCACCGGAAGGACCAACGATAGCGACATTTGTGCCTTGCGGAATCTCGAAGTTGAGGTCCCTAAAGATGGGAACAGCCGGTCTGGTGGGGTAGCTGAATGTGACGTTCTCAAAACGAATAGGGCCACGAGCAGTCACGACCTTGGTGCCCTTGGTTGGAGATATTGTTGGCTGGCGGTCTTGTAGCTCAAAAAGTCGACTGGCTGCTCCAACACCTTTCATCAGCTCAGAGTAGAAGCTAGATAATCCGAACATGCTAGAGCCCGCATAAGCCGTGTACATCAAGAAAGAGGTTAGCTCTCCAATGCTGATAGCGCCAGATTTGACCATGCCGCCGCCAACATAAAGTAGAGCCAAGATCGTCAAGTTACCCATGAGTCCGGTCTATGAAACTGTCAGTACATACTCCCTGTATTAGTGAAACAAGCACGTACAGAACTGAAGAACGTGGCACTAATCAGCGACTCCTTTTTGCCGAGTTCGAATATCTTTCGCACTTGAGTGTTGTATCGATTGACCTCGAGGACTTCGCCGGCAAAGGACTGACTTGTTTTCACATTTCCCAATCGCTCTTCCGCGATCTTCGTCAGAGTTCCAAGGTTCCTCTGGATTTTACGGCTGAGATTCCTGATAGCCCTTCCGTAGAAGATTGCTCCCAGCCCAATCGGGGGAAGCAACAAAGCCAGGATACTGGATAGCTTGAGACTAACATAAGCCATCATACCGAAGCCAACTGCGCCACTAACGCCTGCGCGTAGCCCATCTGAGAGGTTCTGAGTGATACTTTTCCCGACAATTATAGTGTCAGAGCTGAGACGAGATATCAAATCACCAACACGATTGGCGTCAAAGAACTCAGCATCCTGGACAAAAGTCTGGCGGAAAAGCTTGGACCGTGTCCTGGCAACAATGCGTTCACCAACAATTCGTAGGATGATGATACGACCATAGTTCGCAGCGGCACCAAACGCGAGGATGCTGGCCAAAACACCGTAGAACATCACAGGACTTAATCCAAACAGAAATTCACCATTTTCAGATGTTTTCGTAGACGCGTCAATGATCTTGCCTATGGAGAATGGAAGTGACATGGTGATTGCCGAAGATATGAGCAAGCAGAAAAAGGCGACGCCGAGTTTCTTTGCTTCGGGCCGTGCGATGAGCAGAAGCCTCCATACTTCCGAGAAGCCGGACTTTTTCCCACTGGCTCCATCCTTGTTAAGCTTTGCACGAAGATTTATTTGCGCAGCCTGCGCTGCCTTTTCTGACAGCTCAAAGCCTTCGTCACTGTCTTCATCCGTTTTCCCCTTGTTTTCCGCGCGCGAAGCCTTCGTCGGCTGCGGGGATGATTTGGCGTCTAGGAATCGTCGTGAGGAAGAGAATTGCCGTGTTTGTTGCAAGATCGTTAGAGGAGAGTTCGAGTATTTGCAGTTTATCAGAAATGATACGTTTGTTCGCCCAAGGTTCCGGTCAATGTGAGGTAATCTGCAATTGTATGCCGAACCGGAAAGGCTCGAGACCGACCGGAAGAAGGCACTGTGAAAGCCGCGAATATGAATAGCTAGACTGATACCGGAGCATAGTCCCGTCGAGATACCCCCGTTGGACGCAACCAGTGGGCTCAGCCGAGCTCCTACAGCCCAGGTAGGCTGTAACCTGACACCGCGCATCACGGACTTGAGAAAGGGCAGCGAACGGCTAGGTCAGTATGATATAACAGTGAGCCGACTATATGCCATATCTCATTGGGTAGTAGGGAGCGATTGTAGAGAGCGCATGGCAGTTGTGTAAAGAGCAATTATCGGCTTGCAATGGAAAGGATAAGTTGGAGGATATGAGCTTGCGAAATACATCAGCAACGCCGAGTGACGGAACGGAATCGGAGTGATCGGAGAGACCCGAATTCTGCCGCTTCGTACCGCCCACGATGAGCCTCCATGGAATCCGATCGAGAACGATCGAGCCTTTTCGACGCTGGGTCTACTTATTGACGCTTTCTGTCAGTTCTTGCGGAATTGATATAGCTGAAGGAATACCGGCGTTACATCAGCCTGGTCATACTGCTGCGAGCTTTACTTTTGCTCCAATCGCTAAGCTTGGAACCCGTTTGTTTTTACCCCACTTTCCACCCCTCCTTTTATAGTTCTCTTCAAGATGGTGCTTGACTACAGCAAATGGGACGCTCTTGAGTTGTCAGATGACTCGGATATCGAAGTACACCCCAATGTCGACAAACGATCTTTCATCCGAGCCAAACAGGCCCAGATTCACCAGCAACGAGAGCAACGACGTCTCAACATTCAAACCCTAAAGTATGAGCGCATTATCAACGACGGCCTGCTTTCACGCATTGAGAAGCTCCTTACATCCTTCAGAGAGAAAGACGGATCATCATCCAGTCCTGAGGAGGTCATCTTTTCGACACTCATGGAGTTAGCGAGTAATCCAGCGGAAGACCTACCCCCTTCGCCCCCGGAAGGTGTCCATACCCAGGAGAAGGAGCAGCCGAAGTATTCGCAGATGATGAGCGCTCTGGTGGATCAGGTTAAGAAGGAGGTCGAAGATTTGAAATCCGATAACCTATTCCAAGCATATGTCAAGGGGGTACAGGGTCATAAGGACAAGGTGCAGGAGTTACAAAAGGAGCTTCTTACAAAGCTGGATCAGCTCGAAAAGGAAGAGGGAAGCAAAATTACAAGTGAATCTATCCACACAGGCTTCGATACTTCTCATGTATCCAAAGCCAAGGCCGCGCCGCCAGCGAAAGGAAAAACAAGCTCGGTTGAACTGTTGAACCCGAATGCAGCACCAGGACCTTCCGATCAGGAGGCCAATGACGACGATGGTGATGTTGAAGACCCGGATAGCATACAAGCCAGCCCATTGGCTAAGAAGTTCGCCAAAATTGATCGGAACGATTACCGAGCTCTGCATCAATACATATCAGACAATCCGAGTATTGTTGCGGAGAAAGAGACAGATGGCCTCTTGGTTGAAGCGTTCAACAGTCAAATGGAGGGTAAAGAGGACTATGCCCGCCAATGTGTGCACCAAGGTCTCTTGCTGCAATACTGCCGCTCTCTTGGTCCTGATGGAATCTCACTTTTCTTCAAGCGGTAAGTGTCCAGGTCCAATTAGCTTATGGAGTGATTATTGACTGGATTCCCGACTAGTATTACGACAAGGGAGCACCAGGCAGGCACTTTGTTCAGGAACGACGTCAACGAAACCTACAATAAAATCAAGACCCGTGCGGCCGAACTCGCAAAGGATAGCTCTGCATCCAACGATCCGGCTGGAGTGGAGCAAATCCAGCTTCACGCTGTCGACCCGAACACCAAGATTACCATCAACATTCCTCGGCCCGATAGCGACGAGCCTATTGAGATCGAAGCGCGGAAAATCTTCGAGTCTTTCTCCAAGGATCTGCAGAAGGCACTTGCATCGGAATCATTGGACGAGGTCAACAAAGTCCTCGGCAAGATGAGCGTCCCAGATGCAGAAGATGTTGTGGAGAAGCTCGGAGAAAGCGGCATGCTTAGCCTGGAGGAGGGTATCGTTGATGCTACGACAGAAGAAGGCCGGAAGAAACTCGCGGAAATCGAAGCGGAGGGCAAGGAAAGGCAAGTGGAGGAAGTCGGAGAGCCTGGGGGTGATATAACTGAACTGGATTGAAATGAAAGTACAAAGCTGGTAATGGAGCCATGCAGTGTATAACCCATGCTGTTCTATGGTATATGTTCTCACAATAGTACATGAATTGGAAATAGTATTGTCTATTCTCCGAGGTGAATGAAGCATTAATTATTGATGTAAGCAAGCTTCGATTATGTCTCCGGACGTCAGTTGATCACCACCGTGCCTTGTTCCACCAACTCCAGCGCTTTTTGGACCAACTATCGTCCCAATAACAAGATCGAAGGTAGTAAGACGGTGTAATGCAAGCTAGAAAGTCAAGTGGCTTATTTACGTACATGAGGCGAAGATAAAGGCCAGAAATTTAGGGAATCAGCAGAAAAAGTAAGTTCAAACCCCGCTAGCACCGGGCGCCTTCTCATCCTTCTTGAGACTCAGCAGCAACTCGCGGAAACGTTCCTTGCCTGAACCGTTCGCACCGCCCCTGGTGCCCTTTCCAGACACGTCCACGAGCTTCGCGATACGCTCCCAGCTTGTTCCTCCGGCCGATGTGTCTTCGCGGTTTGCGAGGAACTGCTCCGCCTCGGCGGCGGTCTGAGCCCGAAGCTTGTCCGTCTTGTTGTTATACGATACGTAGAAGTCGTCGATGTCCTCCTGGGCCTTTTTTATAGTCGCCTCCTTCTTCTCGTTCGAGAGTTCCGCCCGACGTGCGATGTCCGCATCTCGCTTCTCGCGCCATTCCCTTAAAGTGAACGAAAAGTTAGCGGGGGTCATAGGCATGGGGCGAACGTTGGACAGTCAAATGGAAATTGGGGACCACATACCTGACAGGTTCGGCCTCCTCCTCGGGAGCCTGGTAGCTCGAATAGCCGGTTGGCGGGAAAGGCGCACCGGTTCCGGTGATTGTGCCGCCAGGAGCAACTTGCTATATGATATCAGACACGCATGCCAACCAATATTTATCGCCATCAATCCAAACTATCTGCATACCTCGTTTTGTGTGTCAATGGCGGGGAATGAAGATTCAAAGCCCGAGATCTCCGGTCCAGCGCCGGCTTCATCGTCCGCACCTCCCAGTAGTTCGTCATTGTTCACATCTGCGGAAGTGACGTCCTGGGCGGTTGCGAATTGGTCGGCATCGTCGCCGAGGAGGGCTCGCTCACGAGCTAGAAAGTCGTTCTCGTCTGTGCCGTTGGTTTCGATAGCTTCGGTCTGCCCTATAGTGCATTGTTAGCCTCAGGGACACTATGCAAGTGATGCGGGTAAACTAACCCGCAGAGAAGTCCTCCAAGGAAGGGAAGCGGTCGGCCATAGTGAAACTTGTATTGAACCACAATTCTATCTTCTTGTATATTAGGATATAAGGCAGAGAGGTCAATCAGCGAGAAATGATGAGAAAGTGATGTTTCCAGGTGGCTTCTTGGGGAGAGTGTTAGGGAGACACTGGCTGAGGCCGGGGATTCTGCCACGAAAGCGGTGAATGAGCTCGGGCCTGGGTGCAACAGAGAGCTAGGATTGTTGCTCCTTAATCAACTCTCCAAACGTCAGAAGTGAGTGTTCTCGAACGCTCTTGATCTCCTCTATAGATACGGCCTAGGTAGCCTGTATAGCCACTAGCTTCCGACAACTTTGTCCTGTGTTGAAAGAGTTGAATTGATCTCCGAGCACGGCGACAACGGGTAGTTCAGTTCAGCGCAAACGAAGTGTACCAAACGCTCATCTGATTCTTGATCGCCGGTCGGCCGCGCAAACGCTACTTCACTTCTCTCTGGAACTTAAAAGCGACATGGCTTATACGGATGACTCGGTGAAGGCGAAGCTGTCCGCGCTCAATGAGACCCAGGAAGGCATTGTCACTGTCGCGCAATGGGTCATGTTTCACAGGTATGATCCGGTCGAAGATGCACCTACTGCCAACTCACCAACATATGAACTGAATTCTAGGCGTCACGCCGAACGTACCGCACAACTCTGGCTCCAGAAACTCCGCGATTCCCCTGCCGCAAAACGCCTTAACTTGATATACCTCGCAAACGGTACGCTCCGTTCGGGAAATCGCTGTCTATCTGAAACTAACACAAAAAACAGAGGTTGCGCAGCAGTCAAGGGCACGGCGAAAGGAGGACTTTCTTATTGCATTCTCGCCTGTTAGTACTTATAGAATGGACACCGATGAGAAAGCCCGTGCTAACACGATTCAGATCATCGCCGAAGCCGTGGCAACCGCATACAAGGGATCATCAAATGATATCCAGCAGAAAATTAGACGTGTGGTCGAGGTTTGGAGGCAACGGAATATCTTCGAGTCTCCAATTCAGGATGCCGTTGAGGCTCGAGTGGATGGTAAGACAAATCCGGCCATCTAGTTGTGAACTACATGCTCACATACTTAGAAATTGATAAATCGCGCTCTACCGGCAAGAAACCGCTGCTCGGCGGTTCGTTGTTTTCGGGCCCGTCGGGTTCAACTCCATCGGAGTTGCAACCGCTAGTTCCGCTCCAGGTAGCACTATCGAAGGCGGCGGTTGCATCTGGTACATCAGGCACAACTGCCAATGTGGAATACGATAAGATGAACGACCCGAATGCCCCATTGCCAACCCCGCCTGTACATGCGGCTCGCCTCAGTTCACTTTTGAAAAGCCTGGCAAATGCTGAGAGTTCGGTGTCAGAGGTTATCAAGTCACGCCGTGCCCTTATTGATGGGTTAGAGAAACTTCTTGAGACCAATCGTACAGCCCTGTCACAAGAAGAGGCCCTGGCGCTCCAATTACAGGACAGGAGAGCAGAGACCGAAGCGAAGAAGCGCGATGTTGAGGATGCGATAATGCGAGGGCTGTCCGCAGAGAATACTCCAGCAGCGGACTTGGGAGGTACTAGCCTAGGCGGCGAAGCCACTTCTCGTCCGGCGGTCGAAGGGCTTACGCCCCCTCCAGTTGAAGCCATAACTCCGATCGGCTCCCCGAATCAACAGCCACAAGACACAGCCTTGGATGCCGAAAACGGAGCACAGACCATCGGCGGATTCTCTTTGGCTTTTGACCAAACACCTGATGCTTCCATCCCTGGGCTAAGCGGGCTGCGCCAACCTTCCTATGGAGAACTCGGGGTAGAAAACGTGAATGGATCCCACACCAAGAAAAGGAAAGTCACTCACGGAGAAGAGGACTACGCTCAGTTTGCGGGCGGGGATCTAGATGCGGACGTTGCGGAGCTGCTGAACCAAGAGAGCAATGCTCAGAGTTGAGGTACCTTACAGTTTATCTTTTATTTGTTAAAACATACGGGATCCTGGTTAATTTTCTTTCAACATTACTCTGAATGTTAGCCGTCGGTTTACAGGGCATATAGCGCTTACCTATTGCCCGTTTCTTGATCTAGCATCGTTCTTCAAACTTGGTGTCACAATAGTCTTCATTCGAACGCATTCTGAGAGCAGTTGCTGAGGTGATTATCCAATATTGTGCCCAGCTGTTGGGCGCTTGTTTAAAGCGAGCCTGCGTCACAGTTTGCTAAGCCGTTCGAATATTATGGTTAGTCAATAGCTGAAGCGCGAGGAAGAACTTTCTCGCTCGGGTCATGAATTATAGTAATATTTGCATGCTATCGTATGGTATCTCTAGAATAGACGAAAAGTTATCGACATATGTCAGGGTCGACCCATTCACTCCTAGCAACTCGCGTCAACGACGAGGATCCTGGGCGTCTATAGGCGATTTCGAAACCTCGCGGCCGCAGACCAGGCGGTGGATTCTCTGGCTGAGCAGCTGGCGGAGGGGATGGAGGCGGCGCAGGTTCTGAGGATCCATGTTTCTTCGGCTTGACGAGGAGGACGATTATCATGCCTGCCACTAGAAGGATGAGTAGAAGGATTATTTTGCGCTTTGTGGTTCGTCGTTGATAGCCAGTAGCCTACATAGTTCATTAGTTCCGTTATTTAGCTCGAAATAGAGACCAGCAGAGCCGTTCGAGTAGACATACCACATTGAGTTCCTTCTGGGCTGCTTGAACATCCGTGTTCATCCTCTCCACGTTATAGTCTATGCGATCCAACATTGTACCTTGGTCGATAACCATAGTCTGTAGTTCACGGAAGATGTCCGATAGTTCGATGATTCCTTTGGCGATGTCATTGATTTCTCGCTCTCGTTGTAGAATCGCGGCATCGTTCTGGCCAGTCATTCGCTGTGTTGTCTGCATCAGGGTGGTTTGCGAAAAGGATTTATCGGCGTCGGACTCCATCAATGATGGGTCTGTGTATGGGTTTTGACTTGGGGTAGCGGATCGGTCGAATTGTGACGCTGTGTCTTCGAGTCCTCGTAGTTCTATCAGAAAACACGTTAGCTTGTTGGTACGAGTCCGAGGGATAGCCTGACTGTCTCACTCTTTAAATAGTTGCTTTGCTTCTTCCTAAATTGAGCGCTGGCCTCTTGTACTCTAGACGCGAGCGAGATCTGGATGTTCTTCGCCATGGTCTCGTCCCCGCTACTAACCCCCCCTTGTTGTTTGGCCTCATGTACCATCACTTCGATGCGCTTGACAAGCTTCTGGCACTCGTGAAAGCCGCGGGTGATCTCCTGGGTATATCGTTCAATAACACGCTCGTCTTGTTTCCGGATCTCCTCATCGCCAAATCCGGGCAATAGGTGCTTGTGGTGTAGCTTATCCAGCTGTGCCGACTTCTGTGCTATCTCCGCGAGTAGGTCCGTCACATCGTCTTGCACATCGACCCAGCGCGGCGGTAGCACGTCCATCTCAATAATCGCATCACCATCGTCGTCAATCCCTGTGGACTCGGAGATAAGTCGCCGGCTTTCTTCAGATTGTGAGGCTGTATCGGAGAAGCCATTGGGTGCTCCGAAATAGCGCGGCTTCTTCGTAGGATGATGTGTAAATGATTGACGGTAGGAGATATAACTGTGAGAGCCCAGATGTTAGCATATATACTGGCGCAAGATGCATACGCAAGTGCAGTGCCACTGTACAGATTGGTGCGGTCCCGCCACATGGTGGACGATTAACGGGAGTTGATTTCCCCGGATCCTTCTATCGAGTGTCCTTTATGCTATGCTGCGCATCGTTTGTTTAAATTAAAGATGAAATAGCCCTTCGAAGATAACCGCAAGAGTCTAGGGTATATGAGAGTCTTGCGCAATTTCAAGAAGCCAATGAAGGAGAAGTTGAGCTGTTTCGAGGTTTAGATTCTAGCACGACGTAACGGCGATCCAGCCAGCAGCAACGGACATCGGCAGCTCACAGCCCACGTGAGAGATCCGCGCTAGTCCTGTTTAGGCCGGAATGTGCCTGGCCCGCAGCTTCATACGGGCCTCTCTGCCTCTAGATAGGCTCAGAGGCCAAGAAACGAGGTGCAATCTTATGCGCGGACCCGATCGAAACAACTGCAAAGGAAATCTGCATCAAGGAGCCGAGTTCGGTGAATCTATATCTAGAATCTAGAATCTATGATTGCGGCCGATTCCTCCGCGGTGCCCGTCGATCCACTATCCTCTTATCGCTTTCCATGTGGCTTATACAAGCCAGAAGTGCGAAGCGAATTTATGGTTCGATGCCGGACACTTGTTTAGTCCGAATTGTGTGCATGGCCTAGGGGCCAAGAGGTTATCGATGACGTCCCAGACTCTCAATGGTTCATGCTGGCTTCCGCCGACCAACCAACAGCGCCGACAGGTAGGATTGACCTTTCAGCCGGGGGTAGTGATGTCCAAGGCAGTATTCAGATAATGTTTCACCTGGCAAATGGTGTAAAAGTCTGGTATGAAGAGTGCATATCGAGTTTCGACCAGATTGCATATGCGTCTTGATGGCCACCAGTGGATGGCAGTCTAGAGCTCGGGGCGGCTCAACAAGCGGTACAAGGCCGGATATTGCTTTTCACCAAATTACGGCTTCGCCAAGGAAACACGTCACAGCATAAGATAACCATTAGTGTTGAGTCAAGAACAACAAGACTTTAGCAGTTCGAAAAGTATTGGTGAGAGCCGAGCTGAGATTCAGCCCTTCAGCCCTTCGCGGATACGAAAGACCGGGAGCGGGTCACGTTTTGGACTAAGCGACCGCCTTGCCAGGCATCCAGCTCAGTGGCTGCTGGTTTATTTGTAGAGTCCCCTTAACGCTCTCTCCCCCACCATCTCCACCAACATCTCTCTCGCTCGTGTTATTTCTCCTCATTCCTGCTCCATCTCCCATCCTTTTTCAATTTTCGCAACTTCTTACCGACTACTATCACAATGGTACGCTCTATCCTATCCTTCTGGCGGGCGTTGTGTTCGAACGCTTCCCCGCTTTGCGGGGCAGATGTACTGGTATTCTGCGCAGACGAGCTGACGCTTCACTTTTAGGCCGACTCTCTGACCGAAGAGCAAGTCTCCGAGTACAAGGAGGCCTTCTCCCTGTTTGTAAGTGGCATTGATTACTTCCTCGTCAGCACGAGAATTTCCTTGGAATATACTAATCACTCCGTATTTATAGGACAAGGATGGCGATGGTTAGTGCATTTGCCCCCTACAACATGATCGCATTTATCCGGCTTTGGTGTTATGTCTGTATATCGACTGATTTTAACGAATGACGCTAGGACAAATCACCACCAAGGAACTCGGTACCGTCATGCGCTCGCTCGGCCAGAACCCTTCGGAGTCTGAACTCCAGGACATGATCAACGAAGTTGACGCCGACAACAATGGCACCATTGACTTCCCAGGTGCGTGATTTACTTGCAACACCCAATGCACCGCGTTGAAGAAAATGGGCTCTAACTGGAAAATAGAGTTCCTCACCATGATGGCCAGAAAGATGAAGGACACCGACTCCGAGGAGGAAATCCGAGAGGCGTTCAAAGTCTTTGACCGCGACAACAATGGTTTTATCTCCGCTGCTGAGCTGCGTCACGTCATGACCTCCATCGGTGAGAAGCTCACCGATGACGAAGTCGACGAGATGATTCGTGAGGCGGATCAGGATGGTGACGGCCGCATTGACTGTATGTTGAGCCCCGCTTATGCCTGATAGTAGAGACTTGATACTGATCAACTGCAGACAACGAATTCGTGCAACTCATGATGCAAAAATAAACGCTTCTTATCTTGTGATGTCTGTCGTTAGCGAAGAAGGTGTGGGCACTTTCCAAATGTCCCATCTTAGTTGTTATATCATTGAATGTAGCCCATCTAATTGCGGATACAGCACCTGGTGGTTGCAACAGCTTCTGTTCTGACTTCTGATTACCCCTTTATTTTGTTTTTGTTTCTCAACCTTCTGTTAGTGAGATATGCGTAGAGTTGGGTAGGCTGAAATTACAAACTTCTGCTGGGAAATCACAATATTATTCGCCTACCAGCCTCTCTATGTTGGGTTTGTTACATGGAATTGGCCTGTATCTGTTATTCCTTCTCTTCGCCAGGGATGTCTCTTCTCTTATGTCAAGTAATTCGTGGTTTGTTAGTGGCAATGGACAGGTGACTATGTCTCGGAACCTCGAGTCTGACTCCAAGATCAAGACTTAAGATGGCCACGCTTCATCCAGAATGGAGACCCGGAACACCAGTATGCGAGTACGGAGTAAAGCAACTGTTTATTCCAAGCTACTCATCGGTTAAATCTAAAGATCTCCATAAACTGTCTTGCCACATCCACACCAGCATCCGGATCAGGGTCTTCGTCCAATTGCGGCCCACTCGAATCTTGTCCGACCCTGTCCACACCCTGCTTGCCCTGCTGCTTCAATTTCCGCAACCGCTCCTTGACCTCCTTCCCCACATCCGGTACAAGGATAGCCTCCCTCGCCCCCTCAATCCCCAGCTTGGCCCAAAACTCCCTGATCAGAGACGTAGTAGCCGCATACTCGGCCTCGATATCCGCCTCTTCCACGCTATCAGGGAACGCCATATCAATGCCGGAATCATCGTCATCCTCGTCGCCGTTGCCCCATGTATACGGATTGTGCGCTGCTGCCTTCTTCTGTCTTTGGGACTGGTACAAGCCCGAGAGCGTGGTAGACAGCGAGGGGCCCCGCCATTCGATCTCCACGACTGTCCCTCGCATCCGTACAGCAGGTTGAGTCTGCCGCACATCGCCAACACGGACTCTGAAGTCACCGATTTCGTAGACCACCCCGTTTGGCACCGTGACCGTGTGCCTGTGGCACCAAAAAGGTTGACAGGCGTATGAGAAATGTTGATAGAGTGCGCCGGTTGATGAGAGCGGGACCGTCGTCATGACCATTGGCGTTGTGGCAGGCGTCGCCTGTGTGGACTGTGAGCTGGATGGCGTAGCAGCTGCCGTGTCTGGTGCAGTACCAGCATTATCTGACTGCTGGGAAGTGTAGATGAATCCGTGGTTGGGGTAGTATGTTAGAGAGAGGAACTGCATGAATTTCGGAAATGCTGGGCGTTGGGTCCCCGAGGGAGGTAGACAGGAGGGCGTGTCGCGCATTAGTTTGTGCTCCAAGGCCCATCGTGAGACGGGCGTGGCCTCGTCGGCGAAGAGGGAGGTTAAGCGCTCTGTTACCGTGCCTAGGGCTGTGGCGGCGTTTGGGTTTGAGGGGATGAAGAAGACACTGGGTTTGTTAGTTGGGAGGCCAAAGTGAGAGAGAGTGAGGTAGTGTGTACCCTGAGAGAGGCATATTGCTGGATATAGATTGTTCAATGCAACTCGAGCTGGGGATAATGATATGCTGGTTCAGCGGATATAACTAAACCCTGTAGGCAAATTTGTTTTGATAACACTTTCCATCCAATCTTGCAAGATAATTAGACCTACGCTACAGTTAGAAACTGAGGCACAAAGTAACGAGTGTGTATTGAAAACTGACCTCAGAACAAAGATGCTCAAGCAACTACCAGGAAGTTTTAACAGAATAACATGTCATGTATTAAGGACAGATCAGCACGCCTGACTGTGACGCTTCAGCGTAAGATAAAAATATGGCTGTCTCCCAATTGACTTCTATGAATCTATCCTTCCATCCATCGGTGGACTGGTGTGGCTGGCAGCTCGGGACCGTGGCCGAGACCAGAGTGCAAACCAGCCAAACATTCCGGAGCTTTTGCTTTGTTGTGGGGCCACTCTGGGGTCTATGCTCCGTCAAGATCATCGTACCTCTAGGTGCCCTCGGCATTATCATCTTGGATAAAGATAAAGCATCTCAATCGCTAGACAGTAACTCTGTAAGACCATGGTCCATAGCTCCAGCTCAGGTCAAGAGTCGAGACTCCATCCCTGTCTTCATCGCCAAGACGCGGGAAGAGGCTGAGCCCCAAATTAGAAGCGATGGAGCCGGGCTTCGCTCTGGACCGCCCGTCTCAGGTTCAGGGACCACAGCTTACGCAACGCTGGTAGATCGATTCATGCTTCGTGCTTTTTCTCTGCTCTACCTGACGCATTCCAGTCCCCTATTTCTCTGGCCAGACTCGGCCATCCCGCCACAGTCTCAGATAGCTGTACACTAACAAGCATGGCAAGGGACAGCTTCGCTCGGTATGCGAATGATGGCAATCCAGACTGCCACACTGGAAGACGCTGTTTCATATCATTTGTCCATCACGAGCTCCAGGTCTCCAACTTCCTGGGAGGAGACTAAGAAGTGGACTCAGTGACGATCTTTTGGACATGACACTGCACTGACCTTGATCCCTTCGAGATCGCCCTGTTTCTCCATGCCCCTTGGGCCCTTGATAGACTGGAGACACCCCAGTTTCAACTCTCATTCTTCTCACATTCCCACCGCAGAAGCTTTGAGCAGCTGGCATTAGCTTGCTGCATTACTCTCGTTCATGTTGCCAATCGATCAATGATTGATCTAGCTCAAGCTGTACACAGCTGTCCCCTCCTTCAATGCAATTGACATTTATAACTACTCACACACTGTCTCGAGCATCATGCTTCTGGTAAAGAAACGATATGCTTTGCCGACCTTCATTCTCACATTTCTCATCTATCTTGTTTTCACCACCCTGCCGCCAGGCGCGGAGAGGTCCTATGTCGAGCACCATTCACATCCAATCCATGACGTGACCGAACCCGCGAAAGACGACGATCGTATCCATTGGACGAAGCATGCCGAGCAGTATCCGATTTCCGATTACGTTTCGTTGCCAACTACCTCCCCATCTCCGATTCCTCAGATCCAGTACGACTTTCCCGCCGAATCATGGCTTGCTCGCATGTGGCGGAGAAGAAAGCAGAACGCAGTGAAAGATGCCTTCAAACATGCATGGAAGGGCTACAAGGACAATGCCTGGCTGCGGGATGAACTGTCACCACTGAGCGGTGGGTACAGGACTTCCTTTGCAGGCTGGGCGGCGACCCTGGTTGATTCTCTTGATACCCTGATTATCATGGGACTCATGGACGAGTTCGAGGATGCGCTGGAAGCACTCGAACATATCGACTTCTCAACCACCGACTCTATCCAGATCAACGTGTTTGAGACCAATATTCGATACCTTGGGGGTCTTCTTGGTGCACACGACCTTACCGAGGGCAAATATCCCATTCTGATAAAGAAGGCGACCGAGATTGCAGACTTCCTCTACGGCTCGTTTGACACGAGGAATAGGATGCCCCAATCTCGGTGGGACTGGACAAGGTGAGGATGCTCTACCCTATGCCCCTTTCACTTGCAAACTTGGGCATCATTCAACTAAGTAAACCATCGGTACTAATGGCTGTTAGATCCGCATCAGGGCAGACCATACATCCGAGTGGGAACACTATACTCGCGGAGCTGGGCTCTCTGAACCTTGAGTTTACCCGGATGTCCCAATTGACCGGTGATCAAAAGTACTTTGACGCAATCCAACGGATTACAGATTACCTTGAATCAGCCCAGAAAGACACCATGGTGCCTGGCCTATGGCCCATGTTGGTTGACGCTCGCAGCCTGCGGTTCTCAGATCCCCGGTATACAGTGGGTGGAATGGCAGATTCCACCTATGAATACCTCCCCAAGGAGCACATGCTCCTTGAAGGGCGGACGCAGCAATACCAACGGATGTACGAATCTGCCATGCCACCGATCAAGGAGCGGATGCTCTTTCGCCCCATGACCAAGGACGGCGCGGATGTGTTGTTTTCAGGAAACATCTACGCTGGCACAAAGGCCAATCGCAAGAAGGTGGATGCGCAAGCAGAACATCTCAAGTGCTACCTTGGGGGCACAGTAGGCATCGGTGCCAAGGTGTTCAATCGGACCGATGAGCTGACGATTGCTCGGAAGCTGACTGACGGCTGCATCTGGGCGTACGATATCATGCCCTCCGGAATCATGCCTGAAATCATGTACCTCAGTCCTTGTGACGATGCCGAAAATTGCCCGTGGGACGAGCAAAAGTGGTATGAAGACGTCCGCGCCCGGCCACCAGACCACGCCAACATCGCAGACACCGATGAGGCTGCTCAAATGCTCATCGAGAAACTCGGCCTCGTCCCAGGGGTTGCTGAAATCGCCGATGCACGCTATATGCTGAGGTAATTCCAGTCCCTCGCATTTGGTTCTATTAAAGGACTGCTGACTGACATGTCCGCAGGCCCGAAGCAATCGAGTCCGTGTTCATAATATACCGTATCACAGGCGATACGAAGTACCAGGATGCCGCGTGGCGCATGTTCAGGAACATCGAGAAGGCCACTCGGACCGAATACGCCCATGCAGCCATCAGTGATGTGCGGCAGGCGAAGCCGAAGCAGCTGGACTACATGGAGAGCTTCTGGTTGGCGGAGACTCTGAAATACTTCTACCTTATATTCTCCGAGCCGGATCTTATTAGTCTGGACGAATATGTGCTGTAAGTTCAACCACCCGCTATTCTGGGTGTCATGAGTGCTAACAAGGTATAGAAATACTGAGGCGCATCCGTTCAGGCGCCCGTCGTAAATTGTAATATATCGGAAATCCGTCTAAAGCCATGTTCGGGTAAAGGGATGGCGTTGTACGGAGTACCGGGTTTGGACTTCTAATGAGTATGGTATATTTGGGAATCTCGTGTCTACATAGGCTATATAAAGATATCGATCTATCTCTCCATTCCAGTCCGAGGCCGCTGCGCCTCAAGATACCGATCCCAGTACTCCGACTCATGATGCAAGACCCTATCCGGCGCTCCCCCATCATACTCCACACTAATCTGCACATCCTTCCGGATCATCATCCTCGCGCTCCCATGAGTCCCATCACTCCCCGGCCTCGCATGATCCCAATCCACAAGCTCAATCACATCGTCATCGGGCCCATGGGACCCCGCGCCCCCATGTCCCCCATCCATACTCATCCTATCCATCTCCTCGCGCGCCGCGCCAAACGCCACCGCCTCGTTCCCAATGACTACCTGCGTCCCGCCCCCGGAGCCCATTGCACTGGCAGACTTTGAGCGGTAACCAGACGACTTCTGAGTCTGACCGTATGCGTAGCGGGTGCTTTCGAGCGTGCTGTCGCCGGCCGTGCCGTAGTTTGTGCTTACGGCTGCCATGAAGGGGCGCAGGCAGAAGACGCCGCAGGCGACGAGGGCGTAGTGCAGTTCCACTTGGCCCCAGATGAGAGACGGGATTGCGTCGCGCGTGGGGTCATGCGACCCAATGTCTTTGTTGAGGTGGTAGATGTGCATGACGGCGAAGGTGATTATTCTGTTCTCCAGGGGATGGTGGTTAGAGCTTGGGCATGATTGCTTGGACTTCATCTGTTTGGGGATGCATGGTGCAACTCACGGTAATCGGAAGACGAAAGCGAATCCGATGGTGAACTTCTGTTTCAAGGGCATGAAGAGGCCGGCTAGCAGGAGGACGGCGAGCCCGAAGAGCACCAGTTCGGTGACGATGTCTAGGGCGACGACGAACTTCCATCTCGGGACCTAGGTTCAAGAAAGAAAGCGTCAGCTATGTGTTTTGCACCAGTACCGGTTGCCTCGGTATCAGGGAGACGTACAAGGTTCTCGCACTGCCCACTGGATCCTTTCAAGGGCGATTTCAGGCCACAGTCCACGGTGAGAATCAGGATCGCTGGTATTATCCAGAGGGTGCAGAGGAGTAGTGCAGCCCATGATGCCCTGTTATGCAGTTTTTGAGGTGTGAGGCGCAGATAGATGCCCACGACACAGCATTTTGTTGTGTATAGCGTGAGGAGATAAAGGATGTCCGAGGTGATGATTAGCTGTGGATTGTCAGCCCGAGTCCCGGGGAACCAACCGGAGATATGATATGCTAGGGATGCTCAAGCTCAAGCTTTGACCACAATGGAGGTTTCACTCACAACTTGGATGATACGCAGATCTTTAATATCAATCAAAGTCATCGAGGTGCCGAGACCCTTTGCAGCGGCTTCGAAGATTAGCGATACTTGGATAATGGCAACTATCTGTTAAGAGTATTACAATCAGCTCTGATACCCATTGCGTGCTAGATGAGTATACCGTCGCCCCCAGCAAAACATAGTCGTCCTTCCCGAATGGCGGATGCAGAGCAAGCCGGACATATAGCCGGATTGAGAAGCTGACTAGCGACAGGACGAGCCCTAGCGCAGCGACGATGATGATCCATGCTCCGTGATGGAGGTCATCGACCACCTGGAATGGCGGCGAGTACCCCGGAGGGACGACAGGGCCGGCCATATAGATGGCTGGTTAATGAGAGACACCGACACCGAGGCGTAAGCGAGTGGCGGGGTCTTAGCTGGTTATATTCCTCCAGGCTCAGGGGCATCAGTTGGAAGCAAGACCGCTCAGTCATTTCGTCGAGCATGTCTCCAGGGTTGTCCGTTTAGGGCTGCTATGTTTTCTTTTCTTTATCAGTCCTCACAACGTGCTGCGCGCAGGCGAAACCCGGAAGTGAGGACAAACCTAAGACCCATGCGCTTCTTTGTTGTTCCCACGCGAGCAATCCTGCTCAGTCTCACGAGCAGTCTGCCGAACACCGCCAATAAGCTTTGGGAGTCTGGAGCCTGCGCGAGGGAGAACAAAGGGCTCAAAAAAGCAAGTTTACTAGTCCAATGCCACCGGGATGCAAATGCGGCCTGTCGCTGATCTTCACTCGAAAGGCTGCATATATCCCAGACCCTCGGTTTCAGATCACGACAGTATGTTAGTATGGTATGAGCAGGCCAGGCTGGCCAGCTTTTCAGTTCTGACCCTGGCCGGACCGTCTCCACGATGCAAGGATGGCACGTCCTCGTCCCTTCAGCTCCAGCTTACTTTTCCTGCGGACCTCGCAGCGATGGCACGTCAGCACACCACGCACGGCTATCGCTGGCGAGCAGTGCCCCCCCAAACAAGGGGCTGCCAGCCTGCGTGCCTCCGGACTTAGCTCCCCATTATTGGGCGTCAAGATAACACAAAGAATTCCCGCGCGCCATCTCGTGATATCTGACGACGACTCGACAGTCAGCCACTGTCACTCGTTGTGCGGAAATGATGCGGCGCTGTCTGATTTATGGGTGTGGACTCTGACCGTCTGACGGAATGCGAGGTTACACGGCATGTGCTGAAGAAAACAATCAAGTCGCGATCGCCGATTGGGATTCCAACGCAGCATGCGTTGTGGGGGCTGCTAGCTCTCTGCAGCACTTTCTGCACGAGGCTACCGATCTCTCGCCGGCTGAAGAGAGGGTTATGAAGCTCGGACTTCCGACCTTCATATATAGTACAACAGCATGATGATCTGCGCGGTTTGCCGGGCAGGTCCCGAGAGGCTGTTCGAGACTAGAACGGTTGAGACGACTGGTCACTTGCACTTGCAGGTGCGATGCAACGCAACCCCGAAAAGTACTAGCAGTTGGCGTTGGAACTCAAAAGCTCATTGTCGGCAATTGTGACTCGTCACCCCGAGGCATTGGTTGAGGACTTGGCTGGTGCAAGCCTGCAGGGATCTTGAAATTGGATTTTCCCGGGCATTGGACTACCTATTTCCACATGGTCGCACTCCTTGCTTCTCCCCCGTCCAGCCTTTCATCAATCCAGGAGTATCGATGCCTGACCACGACAGTCTCCTGCCATTGAGAGCTTACAGACTTGATTGGGATTTGGACCATCTTTGCTCTGTCTTCGTTGTCGCGGGTGCCTGGTGAGTTGGCCGTTCTTTCAAATCCGATATTATGTCCAGCGTCGCCTAACATTGTCCCAGCGCATCCATTTACTCACCATGGCCTTCAACAACACAGTCCATTCCAACCCTAAAAGTGCCGCGAGCATTGCTATTGACTATGCTGAGTATCAGCACAAAGGGACTGTGGCTCCCAAGTACATGGGTACGGTGGTGGATCAGCGTGATATGAATGCTATGGGCCGAGTTCAAGTGCTTCGCGTGAGTATTCTCCAGCATTATTGTTGGCAAATGCTAACTCCAAGCAGAGGAACTTCAGATTCATCTCAATTCTCGGATTTGCGTGTACGCTGATTAGCACGTGGGAGGTGATTTTGACGTAAGGCATGGCCATGTGGCTCATTGACCAAGGTTACTGACGGACAATAGTCTTCTAACCAGCGTGCTGACTGATGGAGGTACTGCTGGTCTGATATGGGGTTTTATCATCGTCACTGTTGGGTTCTCGCTTGTTTTTGCCAGTTTATCCGAGATAGCTAGCATGTATGGACTTCATCTCCTGAGAAACGCCCTTATACTAAATAGCATAGGTCGCCAACGTCAGGAGGGCAGTATCATTGGGTGTCCGAGTTTGCTCCTCGTCGGTGCCAGAAGTTCCTGAGCTACATTACCGGTATGTTTAAGGTTTTCGGTAGGTTGCTGACTCTGCTAATGAGATAGGATGGCTTACTGCAATTGGATGGCAGTGTGCTATAGTAACCATCGCCATGCTTGCGGGTACCATCATTCAGGGCTTGATCGTTCTCAATGACCCAGGCTATAGCTTTGAGCGGTGGCACGGCACTCTCCTCGTTGTAGCCATTACTGCGTTCTCGATCTTCTTCAACACCTTCCTGGCCAGAAATCTTCCCGTGGTGGAGGCACTGATTCTTATTATCCATGTCGTCGGGCTCTTTGCCATCATCATCCCGCTCTGGGTGCTCGCGCCTCGAAACAATGCAAAGGCCGTCTTCACCGAGTTCAACAACGGCGGTGGATGGAACAGCGACGGCACTGCAACCTTGGTTGGCTTTTCTACCACAATTACCGCGATGATAGGCTACGATTGCTCTGTTCATATGGGTAATTTCCTACCGTACTCTAGTCGGTCGGCACTGACGAGAACAGCCGAGGAGATCAAAGATGCCTCTCAAACACTGCCCAAAGCCATGATGGCTGCGGTTGGGGTCAACGCGGTACTAGGGTTCATCATGATCATCACCCTCTGCTTTACACTCGTCGACGTCGACGGTGTCCTCGCAACCCCAACAGGCTTCCCATTCATCCAGATCTTCTACAACACGACCCAGAGCTACGCCGCCACAAACACCATGACCGCTGTCCTGGTGATAACCCTGACCGCGAGTACCATCACCGAGGTAGCAACGGCCTCCCGACAGCTGTGGTCTTTTGCACGAGACAAGGGACTCCCGTGCTCGTCCTTTTTTGCTTACGTATGTTCTCTCTCTTCCTACAATCTAGACACGCTGACAGGTAACTAGGTAACACCCGGCTGGAACATCCCCCTAAACTCCGTCCTCGTCTCGCTGGTCGTCACAATCCTCCTCTCCCTGATCAACATCGGCTCAGCGGTAGCCCTAACAGCAATCGTCTCCCTAACAATAACATCCCTGATGTCCGCCTACATCCTATCAATCGGGTGCATACTGCTGAAGCGGCTGCGCAAAGAGCCCCTCCCGCACCGCCGCTGGTCACTCGGCCGCTTCGGCATGGCCATCAATATTGCATCCATGGCGTTTCTCCTGCCGGCCTTCGTATTTTCCTTCTTCCCACTGATGGCAGAGGTCGACGCGAAAACAATGAATTGGAGCGTTGTCATGTATATTGGGCTGATTGCGCTTGCATCGGTATATTACGTTGTTAGGGGAAAGCACCACTTTGTCGCGCCTGTTGCGCTTGTCAGCAGAGACAGGGCGGATGTGGCGCTGGGCAGTGGGAGAAGGATGTAGGGTTTGCATGAGACTTGGGGGTTCTGGTTGTAAATTTTTTCGGACTTTTGATGGTGTAGATCAGTGCAACGGGCGGGCAAAAGGGTGGCCTTTAGTCACTTCCTGTTTAAATGTAGATTGCTATACATATATAGGTCGTTTCGGTTCAGAAAAAAAATAACCTCTACGGGCTGGCCCTTGAGAGTGCTTTCCAAGTGCATTGCTTTTGCGCATATGATACCTAGTCTAGGTCCATGGCCGCCTTCTCTCGGGCGAAATCAGATTCAAGGCAGATGATTGCAAATGCATGTTTGCAATTTCGGGCTGCGAAGTTTGTCGAGCCTTCAGCCCAACACATCGCAAGCATACTTTTGTCAGAGGGGTCACTGTGCCTCACCGGTGAAGATATTGGGGGGATCTTGAGTGATTAATCATCGCAGGTGTGACATTTGACTAAACACAGGTTGTAGCATGAAAAGATTAACAGTGGTCACAGGGCTTGATAAAATTCACATCTACAATTATTAGGTGTAGGTTTGTACTTCTACATCGTAGATGCTATATCCCACACCCGAGCTATAGATATAGATATCCAGTCACGAGCCGCACCACAACAGGAAGCCAAGATAGCGAAGCAACAGCGCGCGGAGAAAATTGATCTAACGCTGAAGTCTAATGTAATCAATGAGGGAATCATTGACTAAACCCAGTAAAGCGTTCCGGCTTGTTCTTCGCCCTCGGCGGCTTCGGGCCCCTCGGTGGCCCCCGAGGAGCTGATGAGCTCCGCCGATACAGCATGACCTCGTAGCATTATTGTCTGGATGTCGTTAGTTAGTGGCCTAATATCGCTAGTAACTTTCTGGCTAGCTATAGTACGATCTGATAAGATGCGGGGTTCCCTGACAGCATTAGTCAAGAATCAAGGCCCTACGGAGAAAGTTCTGACCATGATGCTCTCCTCATGCACCTCGATATTAACTTGGAGTCAATGGATTCAAGCCAGCCAGTTACATGCTCGCGATTAACGACCATCCACCGGAGCCTTGGAGAAGGCTGAGTTGGAGTCGAGAATATGGAGAGCGAGACCCCACGTGGAGAAGAATCGCCATCGTTGATACTCCGTAATGTTGTTCGTACTTATGGCGAATTGGCGATGAGTTCACTCCAACGTAATATCGATCCTCCTTGCGCAATTGCTAGAGTAAAAGCCACCTGTCCTTCCGATAGTATCTTTCCGGAGCGTCTAGACCCAGCAACTTCGGCGTACGGCGTACAAAGAGCACAATGCTGAATGCACAATCCCGACGCATATCTGATTGATCTGATACGGCATGGCCGACATCGGAAGCCCCACTTGGCTTACTCCTTATTGATCTGAATCTGATATATTACTCCGTATTATTCTAGACTCCATTCCTCCTTAACAAGTCTCGTGATTTGCTTTGTTGATACTAAACACAGTAAACAGAAAAGGGGCATGCCCATCGTTATCTGATGGAGCAAGGGGGAAGGCGAAGAGTAAGAATGGATCCCTCGTGTCATACAAAGGTCGTACCAAAATTACGAAAGTTATCTGATCCGTCCGGAACATGGACTGGCACGTGTAACCATCGGATGCATATTCGATCGTTATTGTAGTTGTTCTGGCGGTACTTGTGTCGGTAGATACTAGCGATATAAGCTAGGATATCGTAACTACTAACAGCCTCGTCAATAATAAGGTAGCTGCATTGCAGCTCTATCAGCTCTCCAACCTCGGATATGAGACACCCATAGCCGAGGAACCCTAACCGGCCGCCGGATCAGATAATTTCTCGCGATCAAGATTACCTGTCACTGTACTGTACGAGTACGTATCTCGGCTGCCGCTGTCCACATTCCGCTGCGTCAGGCCACCGCGGGCTCAAAGGGGGCTCTCCTGAATCTGAGTCTCAGTCTCAGTCTCGTATGACATGAAGATCATGCTTGACCGTTCAATAACCGGAAGTTGGAATCCTTCGGGCGGTAGGAGGGATCGGGAGTACGTTCGCGATTCGCATCGTTCGTTCGCAGCTGGGCTATGGGTGGAGGACGCAGATCGGAGAAAGCCGCCGTCTCCACGGTTTCTGGATGCTCAACAGTCATGAATCATGAGTTCACGATATGAAAACTAGCGATAGTGCCCGAGGAAAAAGAAATCAATTCTGCTGTGTAAATCTTCGTAATAGCCTATTTCTAATGATTGCCAATTGACAATAATAGCTTTCTGTGGTCAACTGCATCCGGCTGGCTGTGTGTCGGGTAAAAATACGGTATGTAAACATGACGTCGAGTGGCAAGAATGTTCTTTTCTTATCTGATTCTGCTCGCAGTTTCTTCCTCAGCCCGAACCGACTCCAAGAGCCCAAAGAGGCCAAACCTGCCTGCCGTTGGAGAAAGCCAGCCCACTTGAAACAAAAACCAGTCCAGCCCCCAACGAAGCTAGGAAACTGGGAAATTGAACTGGAAACAAACTAGAAGGCTCCTAATTATCACGCTTTGCTCTGCTAGCGCTGCGGAACCAGTCTCCCGGTACCGGTTTGCCCCAGCCGACAGGTCCTTTCCGCCTCATCCCACCCCCATCGATCCTCCTCGGTTGTTTCGTTTCACCTCCTTGGAGACCTGCATTCCTCCTATTCTATTCTTGATTATTCAATTTCACTGCGGCTATCTTGTCCTACATTGATAGCTTGTTGCGGTGTGCACATGTCTGCAATTCATCGTGAATAATACTCCCCTTTTCCCACCTGGACATATTTTATTCTCATCATCTGCCTGTCACCTTTCTTCCTTCTCTCTGAATTTGTTTGACCTGCCACGGACGTGTATTCACACTTGATTGTTCGACGGTTCAGACTCACAATGGGTAGGTCATCTAGTCTGCCATTGAATTGATCAACTGCTGACTCTCTTCGCTTAGTCCACGCCGTACTTCCCCAGACGCCGCTGTCGCCTCGGGCCACGGCCTCCCGGCCGACATACACTCACCGTGAATCCGGAAATGTCCCTATGTCATCGACGTCCCACCCAGACAACCCCGTCCCGGAAGAACCCCGAGTGCGTGCGCTGTCCGTCACGAACATGAGCTTTGGCGGCTCATCGGTTTCGTCCCAAGAAGCAGAAAACACAGATTCAGAGTCGCCCTCGACACCACCCACAGAAGTCTCATCAGATGAAGAACTTGCGCAGAAGAAGCCGGAGGAAGATGCTGGACATCGACGACGGGCCTCCACCGTCCTCATTTCACAAGGGCCGGATGACATGCGGAGGATCCTTGAAAATGTTGGAACGGGAGGAACACAGAAACTTCAAGCCATGTGCTGCGGTGGTGGTTGCTGTCGTCTCCAACCGTTGAACCGGGCTCCTGGTCCTGTTTCCGTGATCAACCCCGTCACACCACCGGACAACAAGGCGTTCCAGAGCTTGAAGCTGAATGTCGATCTCCTTACCCTCGACAGCGTACTTACCAACATTGCCCCTCTACCTGAGAAGAAAGTCTCGTTCTCGGCAGTCCCTCCTTCAGCGGTAAATATGCAGTTCGGGCCTGCGAATCATCCACCTCCTTTCGTGCAACCTCATCCTCCATACGATGTGTACCGAGCTCCCGTATACCATGCACGAGAACTCACGAGCGCTGGCGCTGAGAAGCGAACGTACCATTTCGACATCGACGTAACCGATTACCCCGCCGAGAGCGGAAACGTTGACTTTGTCGTAGGCGGCGCCATTGGTGTGTGCCCCATGAACAAAGAGGAAGAAGTCGAGGACATTTTCAACCAACTTGGTATACCCAAGTTCATTCGCGATAAGAAGATCACAGTCCGGACCACCAACGGAAGGTGGCCCACCATCTGGGGTAAAGAAGAGGCCCGCGAATTGATCACAACCCGACGAGAGCTCCTGAACTGGTGCTCCGACATTCAGAGTTACGCCCCAACCAAGGGACTCTTCCGGCTGCTTGCCGAATACGCCAGTGAACCGAATGAGAAGAAGATCCTGACTTTCCTGTCGTCAGCTCAAGGCCAAGGCGCCTTCTGCGACCTTCGTACCAGCTCACACATCACCGTCTCCCAGTTGCTCCACGCCTTCCCCTCATCACAGCCTCCTCTCGACCACCTTCTTTCCGCCCTCAACCAACTAATGCCTCGATTCTACTCCCTCTCACAAGACCCCCTTATCTCCTGCAAGCGCAAGGGTGACCAGTGCCGCCGCCTCGTGGAAATCGCCGTAACAGTGGCTGAATCCGATGATTGGAAGGGCGGCAACCGAACAGGCGTTGGATCTGGCTATATGGAACGCCTCGCAAGACAGGCCATTGAAGCTCAAGCCTCAGGCCGGGAGCCAGGAGACCTTAATCTGCACGTTCCCATGTTCCGCGGCCTCATGGCCAACCCCCTCGCCAAGCGCTTCGCTTCGGACGGACCCATGCTCCTCATCGGCGCTGGTGTCGGAATCGCTCCATTCCGAGGCTTCGTCCAGCGCCGACTGCAATCTGCAAATTGCGCGAACAAAGTCTGGGTGTTGCAGGGAGTTCGTGATTCTCTCCTCGATGAGTTGTACCGCGGCGAGTGGGGCGTGGAAGAGGATCAGGTGCGCAAGGTTGTTCAGAGCCGGCGCGGCGAGAGCAAGTATGTCCAGGAAGAAGTCCGCAACCAAGCAGACCTTGTCTGGTTTGTAATCAACTCGCTCGACGGTCGTGTTTTCGTCTGCGGAAGCGGCAAGGGCATGGGCGAGGGTGTTGAGGCGGCGCTAGTCGATGTCGCCATGGCCAAGGGAAACCTGAATAGAGAAGAGGCCGAACTGTTTTGGGAAAATAAGAAAGAGGCCGGACAGTATATAGCGGTAAGTCGCGGAAAACCTCCATCGAAAGATAAAAACGAAACTAACAGGCAGCAGGAGACGTGGTGATATATATTGTGTAAGATACCCCTCGGGGCCGGGCTCGGGCTCGGAGATAAGTGGAGCGATCTGCATCGTTTGCCTCCAGATTTCGGGATATTCGGAGAAAGGGTCCCTTTTCTACTTTAGCGTTGTTTTTGGACCCTGCTTTCGTCGTTTAGATGGCTGTTAAAAACTAGGTTCGGTATATTGGGTATTATTTAGGCGTATATATGGGTGTTATCGAATTCATATCATCACTGGTGTTTATACTTGATCTCTATTGGCCCGTCCTAGTTTTTTCCAGCACGTATTATACAGGGAGACGGTGCGGATTAGCTACTAGCTGGGTAACTCTAGCCCTAAGTGGCAAGTGCCACTACATGAGGCCAAACACTAGTAAAGTTAGAATGCAGTTATCAGGGCTCCAATAGAGTCTAGACGTCTGCTCATTTGACAAGTGTCGCTCTTGAGGCTTCATGGAACCCAAGTGCCATGAATCGCTTCCTGAACCACCCCACCGTCTTTCTTCATACAAGACGACGCTCTCCAATATCCTTGTTGGCCGCCTAAACCCTTGGAAACATTGACTAGCGTAGGAAGGTGCCTTTGTGAGGAGGTAAGCTGCAAGGTCCGTGGGGATTTCGGGGCATGGCCGTTATATCCCTGATGTTATTTTGCCAGCTCGGGCTGTTAGGATAGGCTCTTGTTCCGAGGAAGAAAGACACAGCATACATAGGCTGGCGATGAGGACGTTGCTTGGTCGAAAGAAGTTCAATTCCTTATACACGATCATGGCAACACGCTGGTATTCAGCTTCAGGTTCCTGATGGCGACTCGTAGACGGAATCATGACTGACTATCTTCAACTTCACTAAAGCCAACATCTGATCACCGCATTTCGGGAAATGGAAAGATAATTCCGAGTCCTACTTTAAACCATGTCCAAAAGGCCAGAATTCTGTGTCGATTAATCCTTCTTGATGGCTTTCACAGTCATCTCTATCACCAAACGTCTCAAGGGACGGGAGTGTAGCCGCAGGTATAGACTCTCTTGGCTCTCTTCAATTTGGCAATGCCAGTCGTGACCACCGACATGTTTTAAGGTGTGAGTATACCAGTGTAATGAGAGCAGATGCTCTGATCACCGCGATTGCCATCAAGTCAGCATAAGGCAGTCCCCACGTCGCTGTATTACACCCCGCCAACCAGAAAACATTTGCCGGTTGCGGTTTGCTGTACTCGCACTCGTCGGGCCCAGCCTCCAAACTTCGTGCACAACCTGGATTCCCGTCCTGACAGCCTCAATCCCGTAGACTTTCACCCTTGCATACCATTGACGGAATCTCTCCTGTTGACGCGGCTCGAAGGCCTCTGTAGCCCCCATGAATGCGGGCCAGAATAAAGGAGCAGCTAGAATCTTGGTTTCGGCCTTCAGCTGTTCGATCTCTTCGATACTTTCTAGGATCGCCTGGACGTACTGACGTAGATAGCGATGGCCTAGCATTCGCACGCTCTGCGAAAAGAAGATGATGAGTGCGTTGAGGAACGCGCGTGTTTGGTGGTAGATTATTGTTGCGCTGGTACTGTTCCCGTTGCAGGGTTCGTTGCAGAGGTGCAGACGGTCTTCTAGAGGCCAGTCCAAGATCTTCTGTTCCAAGTCATCGCAGATAGGAGCTAGGACTTCTGGGATAAAGCCCGGAGGGTTCGTGCCATTCAGGGAATGGCTATTTAGTTCGTCTATTAATTCAATAGAATCCTTAAGTAGGATTAGGAGGCTCTGCGGTATACCGTAGATGCATTCGTATGCGGACATTTCAGTTTGGGGAACCTCTGCCGCCAATGTGTATTTGTCCCCAGGCATTGGGATAACGGACGACGGCGACTCGTCATCGTCAAAATATATTTGCCTTCTGGGGACAATCAGTTGTGGGCCGAAGATTGGCGAACCCAGGGATGAAGAGAATCGAGAAACGCCGCTCCTCGGGATTCTCACCGCGGTACTCTCGTATAAAACGCGGAGGTAGAAACATATGCGATGAAGGGATTGAGCCTTGCGGGAGAATGTGGACTTGCGGGCGCTCATGTGGCTGATGAGTTTCTCAGCACCATCTAAATGGACGCTGCAAGTGCTCGTGTCTCCAGACATGACCTTTAGGCTGGATCAGCGGGAGGCCGAGAAAGATAAGGACAAGAAAGCGTAGGAACTTAGGAGATTTCACGCAGAAGGTATCAACTCACATTTATTGTGACCATAGACAGCATTGTAGCCAGAAACTCCTTATACTTTGGCTTTCTCTCAGCGTAGAGATCCGTTTCGACGGCATGCTTGAGAAGCCCAATGGCGTCACATCTGTACCGCGATGCGACAGTGCCCCAGTTCTCTGCGTCCTCATGGCGATGATGCGCACGGTGGTCATTCGATAGGTAAAAAGCACTAACAGAAAGTAGACATTTGCTGAGTGCGTTGCGAATTCGCGTCGTAGAGCCCCCGAAGCTCAGTTCCCCTGCGCACTGCAACACGCGAGGCAGATGAATCGTCTTCCAGGGGCTTTTAGCATTCTCGATCACACAGAAGAGGTTGACGACCCTGGTCATGTAGTGGCCCATGAGGAACCGTTCTTGAGAAGGTACTGACAGGGACACAAGTGTATTTGTGGGGTGGGGATAGGCTTGCTGAGGCTCGTTGATGAGACTATCGTTGCCGTCGACTGGGAGGGCCAGATCTGGCTCAAACGGTTGCCAATGGCTGGAGTTGCCTGCGATCTCTGAGGAGGATATAGTTTCTGTGTCCAGTGTAAGGTCCGCAGTGGCCAGGTCTTCTTGGTAAAGAAAGTCCAAGGGCAAGTCTTGTTCGTGAAGATTGCACAGGTTCCATGCTGCTTCTGCTTCCGGGTTGTCAGACGAGTGATCTGATGGTATTAAAGCTGACTCATCGAAGATCAGCTCGTTTCCATGCTGCAGCTGGTGGTCTTTGGTGATGGAACTGATATTCTCAACTTGGACTTGACAAGGTCCTTGTGCAAGACTGAAAACACCGAAGTTCTGGATACTGGCACTGGCCTGGTCACCGCTGGAGTCGACCACCAACTCAAGGGAGTCCAGGTAGCGCAGAATGCCATCAACTTGATCAATGTCTAGGATCGTTTTGGGAGACTCTAAGACGCGTTAATCAGAATCACGCCTAGGGAAGCCAGCCAATTACACACCTACCGGCAAGAGACGCCTGAGAGAGCGGGCCGTAGAAGCCTCAGGCAAGTCATCTGTATATAGCACTGAGGCCCCAGTCGCCGGTAAAAGCCATTGCAGGCGGGCAGAATACCCTTCGCAGCTGAGGCCCTTGTCGGCACATTGGCGGCAGGAGGGCTTCCCCTCGTCGCACTTGATCTTGCGGCCGCGGCAGGTCCAGCATCCTGTGAACGTTTTTGTGCGCTTCCGTGGCCTGGATGGGGCGGACATAGGACTCGAGATTCGAGAATGGACAGAGGCAAGATGCCAGAGTGAGTTGACGCGCAGGACAAGGCAAGTCAAAGCGTCGATGACTTGTGCGGGGGGCCCGGAGGGGAGATAAGAGTGGGCCTCGCCCTTATCTGGGAGGCTGGGCCGCTTACATAGGTACCGGTACGTAAGGAAAGCGACCGCGTCGGCGTCACCTTCTTTTCTCACGTTTCTCATGCATCCTAGAGGACTCCTTCAGTTACGATGGACGACCACGGGCGCATTGATCATGATGCAATCGATCCGGATGCAATGGTACGACGTTTTCACATATTTTGTAAAGGCTGTTCCTGCTCAACCACTACAGAGTCACCAAGGAGCTTGATTCTGCCTATCCCCGTCCTTTTGAATAGCACCGCTTAAGGGCAACATCAATATGTCGACCACAACTACCCAAACCGCTCGAGAGCATGGCCCACCTGTGTCAGTCATTGCCGATGCCACCAACAAGGCTGCTGGCGCCCAAGCGGCCCTGGCAACCGGGGGGTACGAATTTCCAGGCATCCCCCAGATTGACGACCTATACAAAAAGCGACAATGGCAGCTTGAGCACATGGCTGGTGCATTCCGTGTTTTTGCTCGAAAGGGTTTCACCGAGGGTACCAGTGGCCATATCAGCGTGCGCGACCCCGTTGACCAGTCAACTTTCTGGATTAACCCGTACGTTGAGCCGGCTCCTCCCGAAATCAAAGTATCTAACCAAGCACTAGCATGGGAAAGCACTTCGGAATGCTCAAGGCCAGCGACATGGTACAGATTGATGAGGACGGCCAAGTCATCGGGGGCAACAAGACGGCCGTCAATGCAGCTGGCTTCATGATCCACAGCGCCATACATCGAGCCCGACCTGATATCCATGCAGCGTGCCATACACACTCCCCAGCAGGAAAGGCATGGTCAACATTCGGGCGCCCTCTTGATATCATAAATCAAGACACTTGCAACTTTTACAACACGCAGGCGGTTTACAAGGCGTTCGGCGGTGTTGTGCTAGGGGCCGAAGAGGGGGTGCGGATCGCAGAGGCGCTGGGCAAAACTGGTCGGGTGATGGTGCTCCAGAATCATGGTCTGTTGACAACAGGTGGCACTGTGGATGAGGCCGCCTATCTGTTCACTCTCATGGAACGCTCTTGCGAGGTCCAGATTATGGTGGAGAGTACTGGTCTTCCCAAGAACTTCATCGGGGAGAAAGAAGCTGAATTTACCAGCAAAGTAAACGCTGATCCTGTTCGTCCTCTACCATTGAATCTTCGTTGGACGGACATGCTGACTATTGACCTAGGAGACGCTTTACACTGAATTTCAGCCTGACTTTGAGTATGAGATTTGGAAATCGAATGGGGAGCTTAGCAGAGGAGAATGAGCAATAGATACTGTAGTCTTTATGCCTATTTTCCTTATCATGAATATGTATACTTTTAATTTACAGAATGATTTGCTTTTACAGGATACTTCCTCCCGGCGAAATTCGAAATTGATAGCGTTAAGATACCTATCGGACTGTCATACGTACATAGCCTTGCTAAAGGAAACGCAAGCTCTAGTGCTCTCCTTATCCATCGCTTACTCCAAGTGGGACCCGGAGTGAATTCGGTAGGCAATAGCGAAAGTCATCCGTGACCTTTCCCTTAAAAGCGCGACTATCAGAGCGTCTTGAGGTCGAACTACTCACATCAACTGCTTCCAAAATTTGATATTTTGGCATATTGAAATGGCGAACCGAGGGAGGACTCTTGACCAGCAGGTCTACTGCATCAAAGACCTAGAGCGAATTGGCTCGGCCAAAATGGAGAAGAGCTATCGGGGTGAGTCTACCTACATCAACTACAATCTGGCAATTGCTAACAATCGCGTTAGAATACTACAATGAGGGTGCCATGGATCTGATCACGTATGCCGGACCCAATCCATCGTCCTACCATAATTCTAACCCATGATATCTAGACTACGAGCGAACGAATCCGCCTACGATCGATACATGATCCGTCCTCGCGTCCTGCGCAAACTGTCCACCCTCGACACCAGCACGACAATCGTCGGATGCAAGGTCAAGTTCCCCTTTGGGTTCTCCCCAACCGCCCACCAGAAGCTAGCCCATCCGGATGGAGAAGAAGCTACGTCAAGAGCTTGCGCGAACCTCGATACCCTGATGGGCTTGTCGAATTACTCCACAATCGAGCTTGAGAAGGTTATATCGCACAGCAAGGGAAACCCCTACGTGATGCAAATGAGTTTGTTGAAGAACAAGGATGCCATGGTTAGAATGATCAAACGCGCTGAGGGTGAGTGAAGCTTTAACGGTGCAAGTATCATAAGGGTATACCGTGCTGACAAACTGTAGCTGCTGGCTTCAAGGCCTTGTTTGTAACGCTCGACGTACCCTACCTAGGTCGTCGACTAAACGAGTTCCGAAACAACTTCGGCGTGCCCCAGGGCATGGAATACCCGAACCTTTTCCCTGGTGTTGATGTGACGAATCTCGAGGACGGCGACGACTCAATGGCTTACGGTACGGCACGCACATTTCCCCATTTCCCAACTCGCATTCACTCTGCTAACCGGGTACGGTACGAAAAGACAACGACATCGAATGGTCCGACATCATGCCCTTCTTCCGGAAACACACGAAAATGCAGATCTGGGGCAAAGGCAGTACGTTGCCCTACCACTAGTCCCCGACACAATCACTCACGATCAACAGTTTACACGGCGGCGGACGCGGAATTAGCCATACAGCACGGATTCGACGGCATCGTCATCTCAAACCACGGCGGCCGCCAACTAGACAGCGTCCCCGCTTCCCTCGATGTCCTCCGCGAGGTCGTCCCCGTTGCAAAGGGCAAGATCCCCATTGCCGTTGACGGCGGTATCAGGCGTGGTACGGACATCTTTAAGGCTCTTGCGCTCGGCGCGGACTTTTGTCTTGCTGGGAGACCGGCCATTTGGGGATTAGCGGTATGTTGTCACTTCCTAGGCATTCTTCCCCTGGCTGTGGATCCTGACTGCCGCAGTATGACGGGCAACGCGGCGTGGAGCTTGCCCTCAACCTACTTTATGATGAATTTCGGACGTGCATGGCCTTGGCTGGGTAAGTAGAATCTAATCTGAGAAATGAAGTATTCGCTGACAGGTGTCTCGCAGTTGCAAGAGCGTGTCCGAGATCCAGAGGGAGCATGTCTCGCTCCTGCAGCCGGATGGCCGCCTCTTGAAGCTTTGAATGGAGCGTATCGTATTGGGCAAGGATTTATAGTTTGGAAAGAGTCTAGCATCCATTGAACTTTTGATATTTCACTGTTTTTCTCAACATGGAAGATGTTCTCAGTTTCCTCACGCCAGGTATATCGAATAGAATCTGTCATCTAAAACTTTATTTAAAGTCCTCGTTGTTTGAGACTGCTGGTTTCGATGCAGCATGAAGCATGGTATGGCTGGAATCCAATTTCTACACCCGTATGTAAACCACAGTAAGTCACATCCTAAACGAAAACAGAAGTGATAATAGGGCAAACTCCATCCAGAGAGAAATCCGGCTTAGACTGTTCATAGATACAAAGAAAGCAAATCAAGAACTCGAATTATCCGCACAAGTCCACGGCTTCGAGCCCCCATCCCGATCCAGCTCGTCGATTATGCCAACGACAGCCCCATAAGTCCCCGCAATAGTCATAAACGTGCCTGCCACTATAACGAAGACATTCCATGACGCCAACGCCAGCCACTTCCAGTCCCGGGTATCCCGTGCCTCCCAGTTATCGTAGAACCACATGCACCCACTTGCCTGGTATGCTAGGAAGGCACCTAGCAGAGCGCCTATCAGGGACACGAGGCTGTTGAAGAACGGGATCCCGCTTGCAATCAGGTAGGCAGTAACCGTGACGGAGAGGGTGCATGTCAACCAGGTGGCCCAGTGAATCATGGAGTTGGAGGTGAGATGCGAGGAGTTGCGTAGGATGCGGACGAAGGCATATTTACTTGGGAGCTGGCAGTCTTGGTTAAATTTCTGGGCCCATGACTCGATCTCAATACCCTAGAAGGGCTGAAGAAGAGAGCTTACATGAATGACAATTGTTGTAGAGGCCAGTAAGCCGGACAACGCAATACCGTACGATATCCTCTTGATCAAAGGCCCGGCTGAGCCCAGGGCAGGCGAGGCAACGAATGTCCCGCAATAGTAGTAGACCACGACGCCGATGACGATGTAGACGAGTGTCGAAACAAGCTGGCTGACGATGAGCGAGCGGGTGAACAGCCGGGGGTCACGCATTTCAGCAGCGATGGAGAAATAGGCCGGGGTCGCAGAGCAAGCGAATATCAGCGCCGAGACGGCCGAGACGCCTTCGGCAAAGGACGGGCTGTTGGTGATCTTGAAATCGGAAATCCAGGGGCCGTCTTGGGGTGCTGATGCCGGTCTGTCTTGGATGCCTACACTGATCGTCACGATGAGGACTTGGAAGTGAGGTCAGTACGGTACGCGATGTACCTAGGTAGTATAAAGAGCTGGCGAGGGACTTACTGGCAGCAAGAATGCAGACCAGACCCAACCAGGCTATCCAGCTGATTTTCCCAAGGGTCCGAACGCTCGCTAGCATGAACCCGGTTATAGCGGCCACGGCGACGAACGCGGCGGTGCAGGTTCCGTGGTCTGAGATGGCGTTGAGGCTGATGGACATGCCGAGAATGCCAGATCCTGCAACAAAAATCCAGTCTTCCATATGTCAGTCTCGCTGTCTGAAGTATTGAAGGCAATAGTGACTTACACAGGCTGAATGCAATGCCAAAGACCTCCTTACCAACAGGACCAAACATCAAGGCTCCCGCATCATCAATGCCGTATACATCGCGATGGTTCATCTTGAAGACCCCGACCATGTAGCTTGTCCAGGTGGCGATTCCAGCAATGATGCAGAGAAGAATCACGCCGGGAACCATCCCAAGCGTGTCGAAAACAGACGGTATAGATAGGACGCCGAGGCCGATCTGGGTTTTCAGCATTAGGGCAACGGTGCCCAGCCAGCCAACCTAGGTAACAATACTGAATCAGCTAAATTGGAAGCTTTGAAGCCTAGGAAGGGGACGGACATTGCGATAGTTAGGCCCGTCTTCGGTCACTTCGCCAAAGACGGCATCGTGCACGTTGTTGCCTTCTTTGAGGATCTCGCCCGTCTGCGAAGGGACATGGCCCAGGGCCTCTGCTGCTTCAATATCGTCGGGTACTTTGTTATGCTTCTCGGCCATTGTCTTGAGATCAAGATATACCGATGGAGGTCGATATGGAAGTCGTAGGGAAGAGACACATTTCGAGTGGCTTTTATGCTCGAGATCACTCGTCGAGGGCCGGGGAAGCCGGTAACAATGATGATAACGGTTGGCCAATGACAACGAAAATATCTCGCATTCTCGAGACCAGTAAGCAAACTGGACCAGGAGTGGCTGCCCAGCTGTCTTGCTCCCCAGTCCATCTGGGGTAGATGATAAAGAAGCTTTCGAGATAAGGCTCAGCAGTCAGGTACGTAATGATAAGATAGAGGTTTCGCTATGGCCTGCCTCGTTTAAACAAGCGAAGACTACAGATGTCTTCACAAGACTGTTCCCATGTTTCATGCAACATACGTCTGGCCATGTTTCTGATGTCATCGAAGGATTGTCTGCTCCCTTGAATGCGGTAGACAACATAAATAGCACTTGAATATAGCTAGAAAAGGGCTACGTAATTTCACCAAGTCGACCCAGGATTTCTAGTATGCATCCTCTCGATCTAAACACTAGCCACAAGCTCGATCTCAACCTCCGCATCCAAGGGAAGACTCGCAACTCCAACGCACGTGCGGCACTACATCCTAAGTCAATATCTAGCAAAGTATCATGGATACATCAGGAAACCTACCGGCTTGATATCATGAGTGAAAACCCTCGCATACCCCTCATTCACCTTGGCATAGTGCTCCATGCTCGACAGAAAGATGGTCACCTTCAAAACCTTGTCCAAGCCACTCCCACCAGCGATAAGAAGCTGCTCAAGATTCCGAAGTGCTTGGATCTGAATTGTATGCCGGGCGTTAGCGTTGGTTGGGTGTACGCGTACGGCAACAGGATGCGCGCGAGATCGTTCACGTACCGTCCTATCTGAAGCATCGCCACTGACAAACTTCCCCGTCTTCGGATCAATCCCCAGACTCCCAGAGCAGTAGATTGTCCCGTTGTGGGTGAGCGCTTGGGACATCAAAGGGCTTGGGGGAGGGGCGTTGGGGCTGAGGACGGGGACTCTGCTGGATGACATTCTGAGGCCGGGAAAAGGGTTGCTCTCTGAAGGGTTGAAGACTCGTTTGTTAGGATATAGCTCGACCGTGCGTTAAAACAACTTCCAGGTTATCTATCTCGGGAACCTATAGCGTTTTTACGGACTCGGGTATACAACCTCTGGAAGAGCATGGGTCCATCCGCTCAGTGACGAATTCTTAAATGGGCAGGACATGCCGAAAGTCAGCGTGGCTATCTCTGAAAAAGGAATGGCTTGGAGCACATGGCTGCCATGGAAATATTTGAAAATAGATCTGTTGAGGTGTATCTCGACCATCTGCATCTTGACAACGTTTCTTACCATATCTACCCCATATCTGGGCACTACCCAGGCGAGTCCACAGCAGCTCATACTTTAGCTCCCAAATTGGCATTTTACAGCGTAGCCAATTGCATAACGGCAAATTGAATATACCTTCGGGTAACATGTTTGTTGCTCTGGATTGTCTTCGCGTGTTCGGGGTCGGTGGCCTAGGTAGGTAATTCGAAACCTTCCCTCACTCTCTTTCTAAACCAGCGTTGTGATCCCATGCGGAGGAGAAATAAATGGAAAGGCAGAGTATATTCAACCTCAATCAATATCAACTTTCTCATAAGAGCGTTGCTCTTTCCAATAGCTCGATACTTGTAAGCATACGGGCAAATCGATATTCAAAACCGAAGGAAAACGTATTTGGCAGTAATCACAGCGACGCTTTATGTACAACACTGATATTCCCAGTCACGACAGTCTTCATCTGCAAGTAATCCTCAATGCCGTATTTACTTCCCTCTCGCCCCATCCCCGAGTGCTTGATCCCGCCAAACCTGTTGCATGGTCAGAACACGGCGTTTCAATGAACGGAAGGGGACATACGGGCTAGCAGCGTCAGAAATAGCGCCGGTGTTGATAGCCACCATGCCGAACTGTAGGAGTTCCGAGACTCGATGCGCGCGGGCGACGTCCTGGGTGAAGATATATGAGGCCAGCCCTACATCACATGCGTTCGAGGCAGCAATGACTTCGTCTTCGGTGTCGAACTGGAAGATGGGCGCCACGGGGCCAAAGATCTCTTCGTTGACAATCGCCAGGTCGGTGTTTACATTTGTGAGGATCGTGGGCTCGAAGAAGTTGGGACCTGTATTGGAAAGTGGTGTTAGCAGGGTTCCTGGTTGATGGACATCTTGGCTTGAAGGGTGTTACCCAGATCGTCCCTCTTCCTTCCACCAGCTTCTAATGTTGCTCCACGGCGAACAGCATCGTCCACAAGACTGGCAACCCTATTCACCGCTGCTGGCGTAACCAGAGGGCCATGAGTGGTCTTCTCGTCAAATCCGTTGCCAACACGGAATTGGCCCACGGCGGCTCTCAAGCGCCGGATGAATTCAGGATATATGCTTTTCTGAACGAAGATCCGGTTGGAGCACACGCAGGTCTGGCCCGAAGACTTGAACTTGCTAGCAATGGCGGCATCCACGGCAAGGCCAAGATCAGCATCTTCAAAGACAATAAATGGCGCGTTGCCGCCAAGTTCCAGGCTTAACTTCTTTAGAGAGCTGCTTGATTGCTGCATAAGAAGCTTTCCGACGCGAGTGGAACCAGTGAATGATATCTTCCGGACGATATTCGATGAGCACAGTGCTTGGCCGATTTCCGCGGTATTAGCCAGCGCGGTCACGCTGTTGACTACGCCGGGAGGGATTCCAGCTCGCTCGCCGAGTTTAATCAGAGCGTTAGCTGTAAACGGCGTTTCACCAGCTGTTTTGACAACGACTGTGCAGCCAGCCGCCAACGCAGGGCCGAGCTTCCTGGTAATCATCGCAGCAGGGAAGTTCCATCTATAGGCGTTAGCTAGCCACAACATACAAAGACGAGTCGTAACCTACGGCGTGATAAGGCCACAAACGCCAACCGGCTCCTTCAGAACAGAGACGCGGAAATTGGGCTGCGTGTGCGGGATGGTATCCCCATAGATGCGTGCCGCTTCCTCTGAGAACCACTCGAGAAAGCTGGCCGCAAAGAGGACCTCTCCCGTAGCATCTGGCCTTGCCTTCCCGTTCTCCAGGGTGATGAGCGTAGCCAGGTCTTGTTGGTTCTCCAGGATCAACTCATACCAACGACGGAGGATTCGGCCGCGGTTGCGACCAGCTCGGGACCGCCATGCAGGTAATGCGGTGGCTGCAGAGTCAATGGCTCGTTGTGCGTCCGAGGAGTCGGATTCGGGGCAAGACCCGATGATGTTTCCATTCGCAGGGTCTGCAATCGTAAGGTAGGGGTATTAGACATGGCGACCCCGGGAGATTCTCAAAGTTGAGAGCTTACCTGTGACGTTGAAGCGCTCCCCAGATGCAGCCTCCACCCATTTTCCAGCAATGTGGTTCTGGCCGATCAACAAAGAGGGATCGTTCAAGCGGACGGCGGAGATTGCCATTTTGAGTAGATAGGCGGTTCAATATCACGATAAGCTATCATGATAGGCGATCTATTTATCATATTTGGCCTCGGCTGCCGAGTGGTGAGAATGGTAGGTGACAGCGAAAGGACGGTGAGGCGGTTGGAGTAAGGAAGGTCTCGGCGAGCTGCATGTCCAACACCTTCAACATCTCCAACTGCATATACTTGCTGTCTGTTTCTCTCCTCTTTCCCACCATCTCCCACCCATTGTCCAACTCAAGATGCCCAAGACTGTCGAGACCGTCGATCTTTCCAACACCGCCAGCGCGTACTATGCGCCAGCAACCATTGCCCCCACGGGCAAGCTGATCCATGTCGCTGGCCAGCCCGGAAGCACCAAGAACGGCCTCGTGCCTTCAGACTACGAGTCGCAGATCCATCTCGCTCTCCTCAACCTTCGCAAGATCGTCATCGCTTCGGGCTCTTCAATCAAGCACATTGTGAAGCTCAACCTCTTGATCGTCAACTACGACGCAGACAATCGAAAGCATACTCGTCATGTTCAGCGATTCCTCGGCGGTCACCGGCCAGCTATCACACTGATCCCTGTCCCCAAACTGGCGGTTCCCTCCTGGCTGTTCGAGATTGACGCTGTGCTCGCCGTGCCAGAGCCATCACTTCCTCCAGTCCTTTCCAGCGTCAACGAGACCGCCGATGTGCTTATTGTCGGGGCTGGTCTGGCCGGCCTTTCCGCTGCTCACGATCTCATACGGGCCGGTCTGTCCTGCGTTGTTCTAGAGGCGCGCGATCGTGTTGGAGGAAAGACATGGAGCACGCCACTTAAGGATGGCAAGGGTGTCGTGGATCTGGGTGCTGCATGGATCAATGACACCAACCAGAGCAAGGTCTATGCTTTGGCGAAGCGCTACGGCGTCGAACTGATTGAACAGAACACGCAAGGCAATGCTGTTTTGCAGGACTTTGATGGCAACTGCTCTCCTTTTGCTTATGGTGAGCTGCCTAACGTAAGTCTTGCCGGGTCGCTTTTATTTAATCCCCGTACCATGTTCTAACAGAGCGTAGTTCGACAAGGCCACCCAAGTACATCTAGCACAAGTCCGCGACATGTGCGAGGCCGACTGTCAAGCCCTCGACACTTGGAGACCCAGAGATACCGACCTTGACGCCGTTACATTCGAGGCTTATTTACGTTCTCGCGGGGCTAGCGAGGCGGCTCTCGCCACGGCCACCGTCTGGACCCGTGCCATGCTCGGCCAGGACCCCAGGGACATCTCGGCCCTGTACTTCCTGAATTACTGCAAGTCTGGTGGTGGTCTATTGCAAATGCGATCTGACCGAAAACACGGTGGCCAGTATCTGCGTGTTCGTCAAGGTACCCAGGCATTCTCTTTGGGTCTCGCATCTTCCTTACCGGAGGGTGTTGTCCGTCTATCCAGTCCCGTCCACTCGATTATCCAGAACGCCGACCAGTCTGTCAAGGTCCAAGCTGGAGGCGCCGTCTATGCCGCCCGTAAGGTAATCATCACAACACCTAGTCCGGCCATGAAGAGCATTGCCTTCCACCCCAAACTACCGCCCGCCAAGCAAGCATGGATCGACTCCACCACCTACGGATACTACACCAAGGCGATGATGGAATTCCGCTCCCCCTTCTGGGTCGAGAAGGGGTTCTGCGGGCTTGCTCAATCGTTCACCGGACCTGCCGGTGTTATTCGGGACACCAGCAGTCCCGAAGACCGCAAATATATCCTGACATGTTTTATGGGAGGGGATCCCGGTCGGGCTTGGGCGGCGCTGTCCACCAAAGAGCGTGAGCAAAACCTGCTGCTGCAAATAGGAAAGCTCTTTAATACGCCGGATATCGAAAACCTGTTCGTGCAGATGACTACATATGAGTGGGTCAATGATGAGTGGGCTGGCTGGGGCTGTCCATGCACTGCCCTTACCCCTGGTGTTCTGGATACACTGGGTCCTGATGCCCTGAGGGAGAGTTCTGGGAACCTGCACTTTGCGGGTACGGAGACGGCTGGGGAGTGGAAGGGGTATATGGAGGGCGCGATTCGTAGTGGAGAGCGTGCTGCGGCGGAGGTTCTTAAGAGTGTCAATGGGGGTATCTCTTCGCGCCTCTAGATATATTCTGCATTGGATAAATTGCCCGAGGAATATAGCAGGTTCGTATCATAGGGTGGTTATCCATTGCACCTACATGAATTTGACCTCAACATTCCGAAGTAAACGAAACATTAGATCCTGGGAGTATATGCGCCATATGGTGGTGTGCAACAACTCCGGCCGTAGGCATTGGCGCCGCACTCCAGTAAAGTCGCCCCCACGATTTCTTTTGACGTCGGTCTTGCTCCCACTCTCACTCTCACTCTCACCACCCATCCAAGTCAACGTCCCAACTAAACCACAGGCACAAGATCCGACCACCCTGGCGACTAATATAGAATCGGACAAGCAAACTCCCTCTGAACAGCATCTCAAGTCCTCAAAACTCCTTCCCTACTCACCGAAGACTGCACAACAAAAACCCGGGCGGCAAGCCACCGCGTCGTACTTTTCCTTGGATCTGGTACGTGCTCGCCCTTCTCTCAAAGTTCATAACGTGCTGCACAGCCTGACTCAAGAGGGCCGGGTCTCTCCTTCTCAGATCCGCCCAGGAGTCGTCAGATGCAACTGTCCCGGACCGCTCTGCTTTAATCGCGGCGATGGCTACGTGAGGCCGCGACTGGATTGGAACAGGAGCAAGAGAGCAGCAAGTCTCTCTTTCTCTTCGTCCCCGAGAGGAATCAGAGTCTGTAGCGCGAAGAGGTCAACACCGTGAGAAAGCATGCTTGCGCATGTGTCCATATACCCTGGGGTCGAGCATTGATCTCGATGAGGAAGACGCTTGCATCTGATGGAGCTGGTTCTGATCTCGGGTGAAGATCTATCCCTTGGTCATTCGGACTTGGTCGATATTCGTGGGTGGAATTGCGGACTCGGGCCTCGACGTGGAAGATTCCCGAGTGGAAGCCCAGGTGGAGGATGGATTTTAGAAGCGAGTCGCGCAGTACGTCCTGTTGTTCTGGCGGCGATGCAGATGGGAAGACCAGCTGTGTTTCCTTGAAGTTACCTGCTGCCACGTTGTCTCCAGCGCAGGGGAAGTTAACGACCACCTCGAAGAACAAAAACTCCCCCTTCCACAGAACGAAATTACAGTCGGCCTCGGGGCCCTCACAGTATTCTTCAATCAACACATCCGTTTGCCAGCAGTCCACGGGCTTTGTATCATTGTTTCGACTGTACGCGGCATGCCTGGCAATATGTTGGACAGCTGTCAAAAGCGCGTCATACTCGGATACCTTGACGACATTCAAGCTATGCCATCAGTTTCAAGGCTTGAAAATCCACGGCGGTCCCGGCACAGGCACTCGACCTTGATCCCCGGAGATGACATGGCGGAGTTCCTCTGTGCTCCGAATACGCAGGCACGAACTTGATCCATCATTTCGTCGACACAGGTGTTTGTTCACGGACTTGGCGTATACACTGGATGGCGAGGTCTACCAACCTAACTGCTCTGCCGTCCGAGCTACGGCGACAAGGAAGGAGTCTGTCACGGTGGTGACCCCGTCAATGGGCTAGGGGTAAGCCTTGAATACTATGACGATACGAGCCGGTAACTCCGCGTCGCTTGTGAGATCAAGGAGCGCGAACGCTTCTCGGTATTCTGCGCCTCAATAATTGGACTCGAGCCAATGCCCAGGGTGGCCGTAAGCGGCTACGGCTATACCTAGGGCCCTTGCGGCATGGAAGAATCTCCAGGACAGGTAGAACTGACGCATCTCGCCTATGACCGCTATCGTCGGGGTCGGATTGGGGTTGATGAGTGCCAGGGTAGTGCTGCGACTGTGCAGCATAAAGGGTGCTGGCGCCATCAACCGCAATGCAGCAGACTACTGATTGAAACAGACCGACCAGATTTTGGACTCAAAAGCCAGGAGGCGCGACGAACTTTCCCGGACTGACGAACCCCGCAATTCTCCGTATATGCTGCGCTGCACGCAGTCGTTTTTCGAAGAGATTGCTGCGCATGATATATCCCTTCGTCCTGGGTACAAGCAGCTTGAACGTTTGATCTAGGCCTTTGGAGGTTGCCTCGTTGAGAAGATTGTTCAAACACCCGAACTTTTGAACCTCGGCTTGTGCTATCTGTCCTGCCTTTACTGCTGACTGGGTCCAAGTGACCACAATTGCTTCATGACCGGTTTTGACAGACTCCCTCCCAGGAATTTTCAGAGCAACGTTCATGATCCTGAAAGATGGTGTGTCCGAATCGCATTGTGGCTCATGGAACCGGAGTTCGACTGACGGAGTTAGGGTTAGCCACGTTTGGGGCCGAAAGAACATGGGACTGTACCGTTTCGGTCCCAATCGGTAATAGATAAATCCATGAGACATTATTTATTTTTGCTCTTGCTAACACAAAGATTTGAAGGAAATCGAAGTTGTCTGTGTAGCGTTGGCTGCCTAGGGTACTCTACTCTCGAGCTCCGAACTCCGAGCACCGATGAGCTCCGGCCCCAAGCCTTGGGTATAAATGGAGGTACCTTAAGGCAGGAGAAAGTGATTCAATGCTCTCACTCACACGTTCAACTCGAAAATTCCCTTTTATTCATGAATCTGCCACTGAATCCTCAATCGTCTGTCACTATGTCCTCTACAAACAAGGAAGACCAAGCCGAAAGAGGTCTTAAACTATCAACTTCTCCATCAACCTCGCCAGGTTGCTCCCCGGCAACTGAAGACGAGATTCGCGAGCTGCAACACTTCAAATAGCCCAGATTATCTCATTCCCGGCGCCCTCGGGCTTGGAAAACCCCGCGCGACAACGGTTAATCTGGCGTTTACTGTCGCGGTAAATCTATTGCGGTTGCCGACTTCCTAGTCGATGGGCGACTGGGAAGATATAGAGCGTTTCAGAGCCTTACTTTGTAAGTACCCAAGCAGTGTTGACTAAGATGTCTTCTAACGCTCGTATCCAGGATCTATGCTCTGGGATCCGCGAATCTGTTCGGCACCTCGTTCCCCGCGGAAATGAGGAGTAATGTTGCTCTGATCGGGTTTATCCTGGGGACTGTCTTGATTGCTGTGGGCTTGGGGGGTGTTCAGGCCTCGGTGCAACCGTTTATAGGTATACTTTCAACTTGACACCGTTTGAAGCCTGTCACTGATTCGTGCTAGCGGACCAATACACGGAGCCGGTGATGAGGATACGGATCAGAAAGAATGGCCAGCGGGTGGTTGAAGACCGAGAGCTGACTATTCAGTACATCTACAATGTGTACTACTGGTACATGCCCAGTCTCATCGCCTCTTATCATGATCCTACTGACCGGCTCCTAGGATGGTCAATGTCGGCTCACTGGGACTCGGGAAGTATCGCCACGACATTGATGGAGAAGTACATTGGCTACTGGTCTGCGTTTCTCCTTGATTTATGCGCCGTGATCCTTACGGTAATTATAGTTCAACTGGCAAAGTCAAAATTCGGTATACCGCAAAAGCTCACTGTATCGTTGCGCTAATGATTGCTAACCCTACGGCGCCCAGTCCACCCCCCTTCCCAAGGGTCTGTTCTCCCCCGAGCAGCACACTGCTTATGGTACGCTGCCAGGGAAGGCTTCAGTCTCGAGGCCTCTAGACCGGACTACCAGCTCGAAAAGCATCAGCGGGTCGTACCCTGGGACGAGGAGTTCATCTCCGAACTCCGGGAAGCCTTGTCCGCGTTCAAAATCTGGTGCGTCCGCTCAGCATCAATGCAGTCCATTTATACCTAACTAATTCAGTATCGGCTGGCCCATCTTCTGGGTCTGCATGGGGCAAGGCGCCCAAGTTTCCATCTCCCAAGCCGGGCAGATGGAAACGCACGGGATACCCAACGACCTCGTGAAATCCTCCAACCCGGCCGCATATGTGGTTCTCGGCATCATCATCCAGAAAGGCCTTTACTCTTTCCTCCAGCGCCGAAAGATCACATTCAGTCCTGTTTACCGCATTACGCTTGGCTTCCTCATCATGGCACTGGCCATGGCCTATGCCGCGATCGTGCAGGCGCTGATCTATCACAGTGGCCCGTGTTACTCGTACCCGCTATCTCTGTCCTGCGAAGCGTCTGAGGGCGGGACCATGCCGAACCGCGTGCATGTTCTCCTGCAGCTGCCGACGTTCGTGATGATTGCGCTGGCCGAGGTATTTTGCTGGCCGACTGGCTCGGAGTACACATATTCGCATGCGCCGAAAAGCATGAAGTCGATCTTGCAGGCGTGCTATATTAGTACAGCGGGGATTGGATACTTGCTGGGCATGGCGTTGTCGCCGCTCGCGAGGGATCCGCTGCTTGTGGTGCTGTGGTCTGTTGTTGCGGCGATGATGTTCGGAACCGCAGTAGGATTCTGGGCCGCGTTCAGAGAGTACTAGGGCTAAGGGTTTATTTATCAGGTGTAGGCTCGTTTGTTGAATATAAATAAGATGACAGGGTAAGAATCTACTTAAAGGCTTGCATATATAACATAGTCTCTTTAGGCCGTTCTCGAGTCCAGCCCCATGCCTAATTCCCCAGCTGTGCATCTCTTTGACATCTTCTTAGTCTCTTTAACACTCTACCTTCTTCGTTACTGTTATCATGCATTCTAATCGCTCCATCCTAATCCAGAAGACGATCACGCTCCCCCAGCTGTCCCACAACATCTCTACGCGCCTTCCTCGGATACAGACAGAAGTACTGCGTCATGAAAATCACATCGTAAAGGATGGTGATATTCCCCAGGATCAACTTGGGCGCATTCCCGCTTATGCCCGACCAGTCAGCTTGCAAGGAGGTGTCAATGAGCAGCTGAACGAGAGAGAGGATGCCGCCCGTAAAGTCCATCAGAATCGCAACGATACTGATCCCTGCGGTTGACCGGCGGCGGTAGTTCATCCATGCCTGCGGGGTGTATTTCACTGCTGTGAGCGAGACTTTGATTGTGCTGAGGAGGTAGAGCTAGGAAGGGTCTGCCATTAGGAAAGACCCGACGTCTAGGTAGGGAAGGAGCAATCCATGCAGGGTACGTACCACGTCAATCCACTCCTGCGAGAAGAAACATAGTAGCACCGCCATCACATCCAGAAGAACCAATCCGAGACACCCGCAAACCAGCATCCGGGTGACCCTGCCCAGCCTCGGCTTCTGCCCCTGCCCCTGCCCTTCTCGATTCCCCTGCATCTTCGCGTCCAGACCCTCTAGCCGGCCTTCGCCTTCGAACCCCCAAAGACCTGGGCATCTGAACTGACTATACAGAAGCAGACAGATCAGCGTCCCATGCAGCGCGTACAGAAAGTCGCTCATATGCACGGGCGGATCCGGACTCGCAGGGTGCCGCTGGGCATACTGGGCGCGAACGACGGGGATAAACAACAGCCCGCCGTTGAAACCCGTGTACGCGCTCATCCCGATCACCCGGAGCACAGCCGAGTCAAACGAGCACCCGACTGTCGAGCCCCGCCGATAGTTGTGCACGATCAGCGGGTACCAGGAGACGGACCAGATGAGGAAGTAGGTCCATCCGAGCCCTGAAGAGAGGGGCTTGAGGGCGTCGCGGGTGGCAATCATGATGGCGGACAAGGGAGAGGGGTCGGGGTGAAATGGGTTGAGAGGGGAGGTCAAGATAAGAGTGGAAGATGGAGAGCGCCTTGCAGACTAGAGCCTTGGAGCTGGAGATTAATGCGTCGGCTTAAGGGACTCGGCGTTCGGAGTACTTTGGCGTTGGGCATGTGCCCTAGCTCGGAGTTCGCTTCCCGGAGTTGGGCGTCACCCGACTATTCCTGGTCATCCGTCTCAATCTCAACACACCCTTCTTCACTACGCATACTGGAACTAGAAAACAGAGGGTCAGGCAGTGCATTGAAAGCTAAGCCGACATGAACTACCCAGCCTCATCCATGCACTCGCCGCTCACAAAAACCACCAAACACACTAATCATCCAGCGACTCCCAGGGACACCCAACAGCCTCCTCATTCCCGTCGAGGATAAAATACTGCTTACTCTCGCGGCCCGTCGGATCCCCATAGTTCTTCAGCTCAGGGCTAATGGGCACATCATCAAAGCGCGCCAGAAGCCCGCGCACTTTATCGATGGCCGACTGCTTCTTCAGCTGCGTGGCAAACAGGATATCAAAGACAAAGTTTGGCTGGAAAACAATACAGAAGCAAGGCGCATACCGCGAGCGGCGGCTTGCGTGCGCGGGAGTCAGCGCCGCACTGAACAATGGCTGCCCGTTGAAGCAGAAGCGCCAGAGCGGACTGTCGGTGGAGGTGGGGATGTGTGCTGGCCAGGGTTTGGGGTCTGATCTGCGGAGGGCGCGCAGGCAGGTCCAGTATTTTTGGTGGTAGTCCATGACAGAAAGGGATGTTGATTCTTGTGAGGTGGGGATGGGAAAGAGGACCACGAGGCTTGTGTTGGGGCCCAGGTCTGAGGGGGCGGTGTCGAGGTAGGCCTTTAGAGCGGCGGAGAGGGTCATTGCTGAGGGCGAGGTGTGGTCTTGCATGTTGTCGGACTCGAGGAAGAGGTAGCGGTGCTCCATGGCTTTGAAGCCCTTGGTTGCGTAGACACATGGGAATGCTACGGGGGATTCGGAGGTGACGGCTGTGCGGAAGGCACTATAGGACTGGTGCCCCCAGGTTGTTGAGTCGAGCTGCTCGACCTCTTTCCTATGGTTTAATGCGTTAGATTGATTTTCATCTTCAGAATGTTTGCGTGACATTTGACCTACCGCTTCAATAGCAGGGGCCGAGCAGGGGCATGTTGACTCTCATTCTGAAGGAGGCCTATGCTAGACAGCACGCTCTGAAGCAGGCTGTTGTTCTTGCTGTGGTCCTCTGCAGGAGCCAGCGCGCGAAAAAGAAGATACAAGCAAAGAGGGATAGTCAAGATGGCGAAGAGGGCCATGATGGAGAAAGAAGCCTTGGATAGTCTTGGAGATCTGCACTGACTGGCTTGTGCTCTGGATTGGCATTCATTCTTATATCGACAGCCCCTCGCCTTATATATGCCCACCAGGACAGCGTTTGTCTTTGACATCAACAATCGAGTAATGAGTTGTCGCTTCCAAGGTTCATGACGCCTGTGGACCATACCTTGGGCCAGACCATGCTGAACATCACGCAATGCGGCCGAGTGCGAGTGGAGGATAGGTACTTTGTGCCTGTGGCCCCCATGCCCATTGCTATTAGCGGAAAGAGTTTTCAGCAACCTTGGAAAAAGAGCCCGCTAGGGGAGGGGTTAAACAGGACACAGAAGAGCGCCGAAGGGTCTTTTTTTTGGTGAAATCTAAAAGCGAAAACCGTCCTACTTACGAGGTCAATGTAACAAGAAAGAGGTCAAAGCAAACAACCAGGTAGCCCTTTCAACAGAACACACTGCCTGGTAGTCATAGCCGGATTCTGCGCAATTTTAGTGAGAGTGACCTGCCAGTTCCCGCCACGTAGGGTACGAAGCAGAGTACAGAAGAAACGTAAGAGCAACATGTAAATGATGACGACAGTGGACTCTTCAGCAACGTTTGCTCGCTGAGGTGGGTTCTGCATGGGAATATCAAGCATGATGAAACAGATCGAACCAATTGCAGACAGGACGAGAAACACGATTACCACCCAGCTTGTCATATTTTGCAGCCTTCCTCCACGTGTGTCCACTATTCTTCAAAAAACAAAACACCCTCAGGCCTCTTCCAGGGCCTCACATGGCTCCCTGCAGAAGTACTAGGCTGGATCAGATACCGCCGCTCGCCACGGCCCGCTATGGGGCTCTTGTAATGCCGGCTACTGCTCTCTTAGTTGTCCAGTGAAATGCTAAGCAGCCTAAGCAGTGCTACCCTGCTGCAGCTAAGAGACCGTACATGCAGGGGCCGTAAAATGGAGCCTGGATTCAGCGAATATTCCATTTAGCATCCGGCCGATGATGTCGAGTTGGTAACACCTGGTGGCGACGATGGCCCTCGCTACACCTTCCTGTATCTCCCAGGATCTGCCGCCGATCTATGATTTCATGATCTGCCGGCACGTTGATCTTCGATTTCATCATCTGGATCTCGATGCATACTGAAGGCTGCAGCACACATCCGAATCTTCGCCAGGGATATTGTACTCGAAGACTCGAAGATGCAGAGAATCACATAGACGGGTCCTTTGATGCCCATTGCGGGAACCCTAAGTCCCTAACACCAAGGGCCGGGGGGGATCCGGGCCTGCGCGCTTCGACCCGCTAAGCCGCGACGGCAGAGGGCCGAAGATCCTTGGCGAGCAAGCTTGAAGCCGTCCAGCCAATGAAGGTCGCGATAGATAGATTGCACGCCTTGGTCTAGACTTGAATCCCTGCTAGCGTTGCTTGGCGGGCCCGACTGCCAAGGCAGCAAGTGACCGCGCATGGCGTGCTCTGCAAGACTGCGACTGCAACTCCATACGGAGTAGATTGACGAGCTCTTTGTAACCGGATTAGATAACACCGCTGATTCTTCTCCGCGGACGCCGGAAGGTGTCCGTCACGGTTGCTCACCATGGACTCGCTTCTAGAAAACACATTCTTCCTTGAGCGTTCACTCACCTGCAATCCGCAATCCATCCATCCCCTGCCCTGTAGCGATGATTCTGCCTGAGACCACAAGCGGCCGAACAGGCCAGGATGCCGATCTCCAGACTGTCCTCAATGAGCATGGACTGGAGTTGACCCCGGACGGGGAGTTCGTGCGCTGGGCGGCGTCGAACCAGAACCATCCGCGCAATTGGTCTGCGGTGCGGAAGGTATATGACAGTAGTCTGATCATCTTCCTGGACCTCTTCACGTACATCCCTCTGTCCTGTGTATGAGTTTGCGACTGACTTCTCCCGCAGGACCGCTATCAGCACGGCAGGTGTGAGTGTGATCTCTCCTCGATTGGCAGGCGCGATGCTGACTTTGCTGTGCAGAGCCCTGCTGCCGACCATTCTCACCAGGAATATGGGGTCAGTCGGGTCCTGGCTATCTTCCTCTTTGTCTCGCTGTAAGTTCTGCCGTCCGGATCGAAGACACAGTCCTTGCCAACATTTCACTCAAACAAGGTATCTCATCGGCCAGGGCATCGGGGGCATCATCTTCCCGGCCTACTCGGAGGTCTTTGGGCGCAAGAACCTGTATATCGTCAGCACCGGCCTCTACAGCGTCTTTTGCGTCGTTGTCGGCGTGGTTCCATCCCTAGCAGGCGTGATAGTAGGTCGGTTCTTCTCTGGGTTCTTGTCCGCCATTCCCACAATCGTCGTGGCCGGCAGTATTGAGGACATGTTCAATTCCAAGGGCCGTGTTTGGATGATCTTCCTCTGGGCCATGGTGGCTAACATGGGCCTTGTCCTGGGACCCATCATGAGCGTATACATCATTGCTCGGCTCGACTGGTGTGTTCAGCCCATTCCTTTCCGCTCATACACTGGAGGTACAACGCTGACAATCACAGGCGATGGGTCTTCTACATCGCCGCCATCGTCACAGCAGTCATCACCCTTCTCATCCTCTTCATCCGCGAGTCGCGCCCCTCCCTCCTCCTCGCGGGCGAAGTCGCCCGCTTCCAGAAGACTGCACCCGCCTCCATTCGAGACCAGCCGCTCCGCCCGCTTAATCCAGACCACGCCCCGAACCTCCGCACCTTCGCTCGCATGGCCCTTTTCCGCCCGCTCCGTCTCTTCTTCACCGAACCCATCGTCTTCCTCGTCTCCGTTATGAGCGCCGTCGCCTTCGCGCTCATCTACCTCTTCACCGAGGCCCTGCCCCCAATCTTCCAGTCCATGGGCTTCAATGCGCAAGCTTCCTCCCTGCCCTTTCTGGCTATTGGCATCGGCCTCACAGCAGGCCTCTTTACCCGCCTCGCGGACCACCGTACCCTCGTCAAATACCAGAAGACCGGAGTCACCCCGCAGCCAGAACACAAGCTCCTCGGCTTCTCGATCGGTGCTCCCGTCCTCGCCATCGGGCTGTGGTGGTTCGCTTGGACGATCCCGCCGCGCGTGGAAGGTGTCCACTGGGTCGTGCCTTGTGTGGCTCTCGTGCTGATCGGGTACGCGCTTAATGAATTTGACGCCGTGCTAGCAGGCTATCTGGCAGACAGCTACCTTAGCTACGCGGCAAGCGGGTTCGCAGCGCTGGCGCTCGTGCGCTCGTGTCTGTCTGCTGTCTTTCCGCTCTTTGCGGGGCAAATGTTTGATGGGCTTGGTGCGAATGTTGCGGCGTCCGTGCTGGCGGCTGTGGCGACGGTGTTTTGTCTTGTCCCGCCGCTGTTTGAGCGCTATGGGGCGCGGATTCGGGCGAGGAGTCAGTTTGCCAGGTATAGTCTGCAGGTGTATCAGGATAATGGGATTGATAAGGAGGGGTATTGAGGCAGTTGGGAATAGCATAGAGGTGACTACCTTGGTTAGTGATCTTGAATAGGTTATGTTTGTGCTCAGTAACAACAGTGTATCGTGGGTGATAATGTTCGATCTTAAGTCTGTGGACCATCGATGCCCATGTACATGCAAGAAAAACCAAGCATGACTTTACCTCACGATAGCCCAGATACCTGGTCTCCTTGAATACCCCTTCGTAGCTCCAGTTGTAGGTCACATTCAAACAACCACAACCCTAACCCCCTTGCTCCCCGCGACCGGAAACATAGTGAAAAAGTCATAGTCGTACTCCACATCAGCCTCCGTAGTCTCGTACAGCTTCAGGTGTGGAAAAGCCCGCACAACAAGCAACGCGAGCAGGAGATGGAGCTCACAGTAGGCGAGACTGCGGATGTTAGCTACAGCGCAGAACTTGAAGAGTGCGGTGCGGAAGACGTACTTTATCCCGACACACCCCCTGCTCCCCTTCGAGAAAGACAACAGCGTCCGATCAAGCTCCTTTCTCCTTTGCCCCTTCTCATCCAGCCACCGCTCTGGGATGAAAGAGTGCGAATCGGGAAAGACCCTCTCGTCGTGGTGGGTGACTGCAGAGGACATCCCAATCGCCGAGCCCCTAGGGATGACATAGTGTATGCCCTCAGGCTCCCATTCGCCGCGATAAACCAGATCCTCGTCCGTCGGGACTCGCGCCGTCCGACTGGCGACGCCATACGACAGCCGCAGGGACTCGTGGATAACGGCGCCGAGGTAGGGCAGACCCTCGAGTTTTGACCAGGTGGTCTTCTCTGGATCGTTGATGAGGGGGCATACTTCGGCCGTGAGCTTCTCGAGGATTTTAGGGTTTGAAATCAGGTGGAACGTGGCGACCGTAAGGGCCCAGCTGACTGTCTCGGTGCCGGCGGCAAAGAGCGAGATTCCTTCGCTGGTCATGCGGTCGAGGGTCTTCTCTTGCGCGGGTAGATCGGATTGTAGGATTGAGGTGAAGACCGTGGTCTTTGGTGTTTCTGCCCCCTGCTTGGTGGCCACTTCTGCTTGGGCTTTCTTGATGTAAGCTGGCATGTTTGCCTGGTGTCATGCATCGTTAGTGAGAGTCTACAAGGTAGCAAGGTCGGAGTCCAGGGTGAGCTCACTATGAATGCATCCGACGCCCTTGCCTTCTCCGGCTTCCCCATCACAAGGCTGCGGATCCTAGGTTGTCGTCTTGTCAGCCAATGTCCGCGTACTCTATACACATGCATACTCCTCAACAGCCCACAGGACATCTGCCCACCACGGCACAAACCGCATCACATATCCCAACCTGAGCGCCTTCGTCAGCTCATCGGAGAACCCAAACTCCCAGCCGTCGCTCTTAAGCAGCCCCAGATTCTCGCCGAGACAGTATCCCGAGATCACGTCCGTCGTGCACTGGCTATACGCGTGTCCGGCCATGAACGGCTGCGCTTTCTCCGTACGCAGAATCTTCTCGCAGAGCTGCTCGCCGAGGTCTCGGACGATAGGCTCGAGTTTCAGGACTTGCGCGCGTGAAAAGAGCTTGTTCAGTGCGTTGCGGCGCAGCCGGTGTGTGGAGTGGGAGGTCGTGGAGAAGGTCGCTAGCGCTTGGATTCTGTGTTCGGTGGCAGACCGTGAGTATGCAGGGTGGATTATAGGCTTCGCATTCAGAGAACGATGCATTCGGCTTACCCTGCACTCCCTGTTACCTGGTGAGCAGGCTTATCGCGCTTCCTGCTTCCGCTCGCGTAGATCTCGTTGATGAAGCGGAAGTCGTTGCAGTGGATCTCGTGCGGGCTGATGCGGACAATGGGGCCTGCAACGAGATTGATTGTGTCAGTACGGGAATATATACCATCTTCATCTGATCCAATGGGCTAGTCGTACCGTATTTCTCATGCATCTGCTGGATCCGTCTCGTGTACCGGCCTCCCTGCACTATATCATAGTAAAATTCCGGGAGGTATGTTGCGGCCGCGAGCCACGGGCCAGGGATATGATGAAGCGGGTGGAAGAAGAGATTGTATATGCATTTTCCCAGCTGGAAGAGGATCCAGGTTCCTACACAAGCGAAGGCGAGGGGTGCTAGCATGTTTTCTGCTGGAAGACGCATTGCGGCAGACTCGGTAGTCCGAGGGTGGATGAGTGTTCCAGGAAGATTGGAGGGGAGTCGAGAGGGAAAAGAGAAGAGAAGGGCATCGACCCCGTTGAATCGCTGCGAAGCGGGGAACCTTGAAGATAAATGCCTTGCGTAATGAACAATATGGAGACAATGTTTGAGCTTGGATGGTCTGACAGTGTTAGACCAAAGGTTCGGCCCGCAGTAGACTGTTGACTTGTGTTTAGGAGCTTCTGTGTTGGTCATCTCATTGGTTATCGCCGTTTTCGCCCTTCTCCAAGGGCGCCTTCACCGGCAGTGGGCAGAACACGGAGTGAATGGCTGACTTTGATTGATCAGGCCAAGTCCAATTGCAGGCTACCTTATCTCTCACGCCTTCTCAATGAATATCACCGAACACATCAAGATATCCAACATCACTCCGACTCCCCGATGATGGCCAGCGACGCTTGGGAGATACCCAAAACTGTTTCATTATTTGTGCTCATTATACCGCGGATGTGGCTGGCAAACAAAATTGCTAGGGGTCTTTCCTGCTACTGCTTGCATAGGCCGTAGCAAGCCATAGTCAATGTTGTTAGTGAGCTGTTTGGTGGCAGTATCAGTGTTGCACCCTAAGACATTTGCTACGAGATTGACGCGGCCATCATCAGGGAGGTACTTGTAGACTGATTGCAAGAAGGACACTGTGTCGTCGTCGGGGTTTAAACGGTGGTACTGTCTGAGCTTCTCGTCGAAGGCGCTGGGCTGCTTGACGTACATCGACGCGCTTGACGGCATCTTGCTCACACTCGAGAGACTGCTGTCCATGCTTTCGATATCGTAGAGTTGTTAGGTAGTTCGTACGTAGGATGATGAGGAGTCGTGGGTTTTGACTTGCGAAGGAAGGCTCCCGGAAGTACAGTACCGGATGAGTCAGGCCTAACCCAGCTCTGTGCCAATGGCAACTTGACAAGGGAGCAAGATCATCTGATTTCCGCGTGGATTGTCGTTTCTTCCAATGCATTACATGGCAGCGAAGTGCCGCATGTGCAAAAGGAGGTAAATCTCGACAACAGCTATGCACTACTGGTTCTCATATTTTCCTCCCCTCTCTCACACTCCACCGCTTCACAAAAGAATCATCCTGGCACTCCCTACCACGGAGCATTACTTCCATCGTACTGGTGCCTCGTGTTCTCCCAGCCGGGAAGATAGATTTTGGGAAACTGCCCATTCAACCCACGAGCAGGGCCGCGAATGATATCAAGCGAGAGAGCTGCGCCTTCCTCTGCAGTCAGATCGGCCATGTCTCCGCCTCCGAGCTCGGTCTTCAGCCACTGGAAGCGAAGATCTTAGTAGCCGATTGACGATGGATGGAAGAAACAAGGTGGGCAGAATGGTACGTACGCCGGGGCTAAGCGCCATAAAGGTAAACCCTTCCTTTTCGTAATCAAGCGCATATTGAACCGTTAAGGCGTTCATGGCGGCTTTGGTGATCTTATAGGCTGGCGCGGGGGAAACGTGCGCAGCGCGCGCTAAGGTGATGGAGGCCAAGGTGGTAGAACTAACACTTTGATTAGGGTGAATGGAGAAGGTCGGCAAGATCGACTTACATACTTATGACTTTCTTCTGAGTCCCCTTCTGCAATAGCGGAATGAAAGCACGAGTCACCCAGTGGACGCCCAGGACGTTGACGGAGAAGCTGTGTTCCAGATCATCCCTAGGCGGGTATATCAGCCATGCTCATTTTCTGACGGTAGTCAATTAGGTTCAACTCACATAGACTTTACTCCGTCCATAGTATACTGGCATACTCCGGCGTTGTTGATTAAGACGTCAAGTCCCTTGCCGCCTAGTTTCTTCTCCACTTCGACCGCGGCCTGCTTGATGGATGCTTCGTCGGTGACCTCGAGCTTGATGATGACAACGCGGCCTGAAGACTGCTTGACTAGCTCCTGCAACTCGGGAGATGGTGTACGGGCCGTCGCAAATACGGCACAGACTTCTTCTGCGGGAAGAGCAACGAGTTTCTGGACGAAGGCGAGCCCAAGGCCTCGAGCAGCGCCGGTGACGAGATAGGAAACCATGATGCAGGTTGTTCTGATCCGAGATAGACAGGAAAAAATTAGCAAATGCTGTAAGAATGTTGTTATATCGCAAGTAGATGTCGAAAGCGAGCCGGAGAGCGACTTTATAACCAAGTTAGGGCACGGCGGCCCCCACCCGCTATGGTTGGCTTCCACCAAAGAAGACCCTAAGCCGTGCATGGAGTGTGCGCACAGCTCCGACTTAATTCCTAAGTCCGGCAGCGCAAGAGCATTAATAATATGAAGCTGACAAATTCGAAACGACGTAGAGACATCGTTGTAGCCGAGATTACAGTGGCTCCTAGCTAGTAGCGCCAAGATACTGTTGTGTTAGGGCTTGATTATTGTGCCACAGGATGCTCTGGTAGAAGTAGGCCAAGCCAGTATTCTCCAGTACGAGGGAGCCGGAACCGGTGCACCGACGGAGCGAAACATTCGGCGATGCCACGACACCATCTAAGAGCTCAACCTTCTCAAGATCGCTCATGATGCATCCTGTGTTCCCCATTGCAGACACAGACGCTGTCTACCACAACGGGTCTTCGGGACTTCTCGGCAGGCTTTCAACGATCACATGGTGTATAGATCTCTCGTGCTCTCTATCTTCCCTAAGTAGAAGTGACATTTTTTGTCCGTGGTAGTCAGCGTAGCCAGCGTATACTAAACCGGCTAGGTTGGTGAGTCCGGTCCATGATGAGTTCCGGGTAAAGGGTCTGCGAGCGTACGTCTGCGAGGAATAGACCGATGCGGTGCATGCTCCTGGCCATCTGGATGTTTGGCCAGCGGTAGAGTGTCTGAGGACCATGGTCGAACTTGACTGAATGGATTTCGGGCCGTTCGCGACTTTCAGATATATCCGCGTTGGTGGTTTTCATCAGGTGGAGATCAAAGCCCACCTTGACGGTGTCAGTGCTTTCGTCAGTACAGCATTGGTTACTCGAGGCGCTTGAGTTAAGCAACTAGAATAACCCCGGCCTGGGGCACGGGACAAACTTTGGCCCATTTTTGCATGTCTCTGGTCTGTTGTAGTTCAGTTGGGGTATAGACCTGCATCTGATTTAGTAGTGTAAGTAGGGAACAAGGAGTGGTTCCAAGCTTCCCTTCGGCTCCAACCCAACCTGGATGATTGTAACCTCTAAGCCATCAAGGGAAGGATGACACATGACGCTTTCCAGCAGCCCAGAAAGGGTCCCCTCCCGCGCCAGAATGCGCAATGACAATCCTCTGTGGCGCTAGCTCGCTAACCCAATCAGTTATTCCCCTATCCTCAAGTTTTCCATATGGCGTAGCTTTGGTTGGGATAGCAGTATCCAACTTCGCAGCCACAGGCTTAACGAGCTCCGGACATTGCAAGTCTTGCAGAAACCCAGACGGTCGTTCAGATGCCTCCGCCTAATGAATGATACGTAAACGAGCGTCCAGTTTTGCTCGATTGAGGTAAACTGATCACTACCGCAGTCGAGATATCGGCGAATCCTGGGGACCAGGTCTCCAGTCCTAAAGGGTGGATGGGCAGCTGCGATTCGGCATTGAAGCGAAAGTATGCTGACTGAGGAAGTATTCAATTTGTCATGTTGGTCGGAAGAGGGATTCCCATGCCATCTCATCTAGTCTATTCTTCGCGAAGAGTGCCCGAGACCAGTCCTCGATACTGTAGCTAGTGCTGCTCGCAAGAAGGTTTGCAGGGAGCAACTCTCCCTTCTTCCGAGTAGGAATTGTAGACGATCATCAGTCTCCCTCAGGATTCGCTGAACTCCTTCCAGTGTCCCTTTATTCTATCTTCGGAGGGTGGTAGTTTCAACAGAAACCCCACGCTAGGACGATCCCCCAGGACTTCTCGTCATTGTGTGGAGCGGGCAGATCTGCAGGCACAGGGTATGTATCGCACCAGTACAAGACATTGCCGCCACGAGCGTAGCTGAGGTTGTTCGATGACAGCGAGATGAGGAGGGGTTTGACGCGGACATGCGAGACGTGGACGCTTTGGCCTAATGTTTCAAAAACGGAAATTCCGGTCGAGCCTCGCGACTGCGTGTTCTAGGTTATTGAATTCAGACACGAGATGGACATCCATATTCAACGATGCGTCTGTGGTAACCCCCGTAATAGAATGATCGAGGCGTTTGAGGCGAGATCTGGGGGCGCTAAGATGAGGGGTTGGCGGCGCCCCGCGGCTTGTTTGTGCATTGCTGGAGGCACCCCAACCGAGCAAGACACAAGGAGACTGTGTCCAGTTTAATTTATTGCCAGTGTGCGAACCTGACCAGCGTCAATCCAGTGGAAAGTATGGTGAAAACGATACGTCGAGAGAAATCAATACCTCTTACTTTCCTACATCAGACGCAAGGCTGTACGGAGTAGGTGTTCCCCAAGCCAAGACGCCGGACCCTTTAAGGCTGAAATAGCGTGCTGGGGCCAGAGGGTCCCGCATCAGGGGCCAACCCCGAGGCTCAAGCCAGAAGCGCTATTTTTATCGGCGTCAAAAAAAAAAGACAAATCTCATCTTGCTCCGTACGCGCTCCCCCTATGCGGATATGTCGCCATCATGAAGTTAAGGTTGCAGACGCTCTCGCCATGGATGGTGATAGTAGCGAGTGGTTTGTTTATAGGTGTGTCTACAGTCTACCTACCTGGGGTATAGAACCCCGCTAAACTTGGCAGGCGCGACCGCACGAGACTGCGTCTTTACCGACCCCATCGACACCGAGTTCTACAGCACCCACGATGCACTCTCCGCACTCGATGGCTGCACCACGATCGTGGCAGAGACTATCGAGCTCAGTGCACTTTATGATGATCTCCATCTACCAGATGTGCGCAACATCACGGGGTCAATCAACGTAGCGCGCCGGACTACGAGCTGGAGATCATCTGGGGGATACCCGATTTTGTCGACGATCGACCTGCCAAACCTAGAGCACCTCGGTGCCCTAGACGTCCGGAATGCCACGGCCATGCGGAATATCAGCATGCCCAGGCTCAAAGACGTTGGGAGCATCTACGTCCAGGGCTCGTTGTCCGACCTGAGTTTGGATTTTCGGTCCCTGGAGCGTGTCCCTGCGATCGGGGTTAGTGGGAGGCTTGAAGCGTATGAAGCTCTCTTTTCCTTGGTTGCCTTGGGACGTCTGCTGATTATTCTGATCCCAGGCTAAACTTTGACTCCCTGCGGACAGTCGACAATGACCTGAGCATTGATAGCTGCGGTGCCTGTGGGAGATGGGATTTGGGGCGGGAGCAAGAGACCAGCATAGCGCTCTTGTTCCCTAGCCTTGTCTCCGTCGGATACCTCAAGGTCTCTGGATATCTCAACTCGTGCGCTGCCGCCTTATTCTCCTCTTGTCTGTCTTGACGGAAGGCAAAATTAACCCATCACAGTATTAATGTCGCGAACCTCGTCTCCGCGGGACCGCCTCTCGACCCAGGCGACAGCCAGCTATCGACAGACTCCGGAGCACGCCTCCATCTCACACAAGCAAATGAGACGTTAAGTCTGAACTTGACGAACCTCGCCGCCGTCGATAAGCAGCTTTATATATGGGGAGAGGTGGGAAGGTACGTTACCTGCCTGCGCATATTTTGCTATACGATTGCGTTACTTACCTTGGAAATCATCCCAGCCTCAAGATGCCAGCGTTGAAAACCACAAACGCAACGATCCACATCGACGCCTCAGCACCACTAAATATAAGCTTGCCGCTCGAGTCCGCCGAGTCTATCGATCTGCGCGGACGCATCACCGGGTATATACCCCTCCCTACTTCTCTTACAGATTGTCCAAACTAACATATCAACAGCGTGCACCTCCCCGACCTCTCCACAGACACAAGCATAACCCTCTCCTCAATTTACGAATGCGAAGAAGACGAGCACTCTTCTCTCACCAACGTAACCTGCCACATCCCGTCAACTGGCCTCTCCAAAGCCGCAAAAATAGGCATGGGTGTGGGCATTGCAGCCGGCGTGGTGCTCATCGTCCTCGCCGGCTTCTTCTGCTTAAAACGCTCTAGGAAGAGGAAGGCAGATAGTAGGGAGATAGTCGACTTACCGGCTTACGGGACGGGCTCTGCGGTGCCCCTGCAGCCGGGCGGGAGGCCGGAGACGCCGCCGCCGCCTTACTCGGCTGGGCCGACGTAGACCAAGCTCAGGCGTTAGCTGGGTTAGAATGGTGAACTTTGTATATAGATAATACTCATTTGGGCGCCAATCTATACCTTGAGACATGTCTGTTCGAGATGATGATCCCTTTGGCTAGCAACTTCAATTGTGAATGCATTGGATACAATATGATAGGAGAAGGCGGTAATCAAGGGCCCCATTTGCGGCGCGAATCAGTCAGCTGCCCTGCTGCTCGGTATAGTAATTCATAGAACATAGATATAATGGTTTCACTCAACTCTGGGCTCTCGCAGTGAAAGCATGGATGCTTGGTCAGGGAGCTAATCATTCTTCCGGGGCCCGGTGAAGCAGCAGCTGACCTGATAGAAGATAAACGGCAATAGTATTGGCGTTCCGTTCGTAAAGATATAGCTTTTTGCTCGGTGATCGACATAATGGCATGATGGGACCAGTAGCACGGGTTAGCGAAAGACGTCTTAGATTATTTTCACCTGCCGAACGAGAACTCATGCAAAGCAGCCAAAGGACTCGAAATCACCTTGGGAACCCAGTGCAGACTGATATGCGCGGCGCAAGGGTGGATGAACACATGTAAAGAAGAAATATGGCAAACAGGTCGCAGTCGTCAGAGTCCGCGATGGAGGACTACTTACCTGCACCCAACAAAGTATAGGGCGGCCCGAATAAGGCGACCATGGGACAAATGGCCGGGCTACTGGGCGCCACCGACTGGATTTGGAACTATGCGTCTGTGGCGTCGAGATGTAGGGCATGTGACAGAAGATTAAGGGAGCTAGGGTCGATGTCGAGGGGTTGGGAAGGATACGCCTCTTCCTCTTTTGCCTTGAGCTTCAGCAAGGCAGAATATCGACTGGTACCTTCTGGGCTAGGAATCCCTGTACTCCGTAGGCGCCACCTGTCTGGGCTTTCCCAAACCTGACGGGGACATCAACCGTACATATACATGCATGCTTTTTTAGCACGTCCTAAGCGAGCCGGAGATGTCACCGCATTGACACTCTCACAGTGTTCATTAGCACCGACACCGACATTCCATCGACATTGGCACTGACCTCCGACAACTCAGACCAAATGCCGAGGATGGAATCCGGGGAAAGTCATCTGAAGTACCGGTATGTAGCGCACTGACATACCGACAGCCCTGCCTGTGTTACCGTCGATCCGTAGATCATTGATCTATGCGGCGACTTCTGCAGCGTCAGTGACGTTTCCTGGTTCTCGGCACGTCTAAGATGCCAGGGGTCTGTATCAAGGCTAGTGGATAGTCTCGGCTGCTTGGCGGCTCGTGATTGATTACCGGGGTTTTTGTGTTGCTTTTGATCTATAGACCTTTCAATCAGTTGAGAATATAAGCTTGATCAGAGTAAGCTCTCGGTTGACCGAGGAGTAGGCCGGTCATCTAAACAGGGATAACCCTGGCTTGAACAACCGCCAGGATACAAAAGTACCCGTGAGCTCAGGCTTAATTAAACCTTATTCTGCCCTATCAGTGGCAAATGAAACCTTGAAGCTTTGACCTCAGGGCTTCATCGCAGCGTCGTAGGTCCCCTTACGCCAAGGGTGACATGGTCTCCGCAGCCTTCCGCATACACGTCGACACGATATACTCATCCGGCACATACCAGCAAAAAGGGTCAGGGGTCCAACCCGGGCAACCCAAAAGCCATTGAATCTTTCCATCGAAGACGAGTGTAGATTGGTATGCAGCACCGATCGACGACGCCCAACATCCATTCATTGAACCCCTTGCGTCGCGCAGCAGCAATCGACTGCACGTTCAGACCCCGGACTAGGCAAGCGAAGCTGGATTTCAAACTCGGCCACTGAGTCGATGCCAAAGCCAACGCCGACTGCTGACATAAATACCGGGGAGGAAATAAGGTACGCATGACCGACGTTGCGGAGTCGCGGACGCAGGAAAGTACCGATCCTAGCGGTTCTAGTCCAGACTCCACTGGCACTTGCGGTAGCCGCACTCATATGTAGGCGAAGGGACTGCATATGACATCCTTTGTTTGACACTTCAAGCACGGCATGGACGTAGCACGACGTTAACCAGAAGAAGGATCCCTTGCGAGACAGGGCTGACCGCGAACCTATTGAAGCTTGTCAGCTCAACCGTCGTACTTATGACACTGAAAGAAAGGTGGCAGTACTGAGTAGCACAGCATAGAAAAACAAACTATCAGGCAGAGGGCCGGCTCTAGACTTCACTGTCCAGACCGTCCGGTGACCAAGACCGAAGTCCCCGAGAGCGAGAGCGAGCGTCGGCCTAACAGCGCCCGTGCGCGGGGTTGGCAACCATAGGTACGGTAACAGTGACACAGACCAAGCCACATGCAAGCCTGGATGGCACGGACAGGGTTCGCACACTTTCTTTGTCTTTGACTCGATCCTGCCGGCAGTGGGAGGAGGCTCGAGTGCTCAGTGTGACAGTGTCGGTGCAAGAACAAAGAAAGGCGATCGGTGATCTGGGCTAGTCGGCTCGGCGTGTCGATCTGATGGAAAGGATCGTCGATGGGCTAGACCGCTTTAGGAAGGCGTTCTCGGGCTTAGCTACAGCTCTCAAAAACGTTCTTTATTCACGGTGCTGGGCGATTAAGAAAGCGACGGCATATTGAAAGCTGAAGTAGATTGCCTAGGTAGTTAAATCAGTTCGCGTTTGCCAGGCAGACATTCGCACCAAGCTTTGGGATGTAGACAGACCCCGAAATGACTCGGAGTTAAAGGGTATGTAGCGACTAGCGGTTAGCTGATCATCTGTCATCCAAGTGGCTGGGACAGGGACCAATTTTGAGAACGAGATGACATCTGCGACAGCTCTTGGGATCTCAGGACTACCGAGAATAACTACCGACGTGCGATTTTGCCACTGTACCATGCTTCATTCACCGCAATTTGCCCCGTCCGAACCACGGTAGCGGTCTCCGCATGCTACCAGATTAAATTGGAATGACAGGAACCGGTTCATCCTCAACCTGATCTACGGTACCTCAACCAGGGTTATGCATAAACTGGGTGCATGGTCATCATGATGTGCAACTACGTCGTACCGGCGGAGAGCCCGCGGAGGTAGCGACAGCTGCGACAGCAATTGTTCGAAAATCAGAATCGAATGAAATGTTGGGAAAAGTATGTATTCTATAGTCATAATCGTACGTGTACTGTACATGAGGTTAAAACGAAACGTAGAACACCGAACCCCTTTGTATGCATGGCGATTATTAAGTTGTAGGTCTTCTCAATAGATGAAGCAAGGATGAGGTAAGATGCGCTGAACGTAACATTCCAAATGTCAGGTCATGCAGGCGCGGAAGTTTGAGCAAATGAGATAAACGAGGGTATCAAGGCGTGCATCACTCGGCGAAGTGGGTAAACCTGCGTAATAAAACGAGAGAAGGAAAAGGGAAGAAAAAGACATCATGTCTATCCGATCTGGCACGTAAATCGTAATCTGGATGTACTTTGCGGTGCCGTCTAGTTTCATTCCGGCCTTAATATTTCAGGAAACACGGTGAGGGTCGTGGATCAAAGTCTGCGATGAGGTGATGGCTCGGGTGAGGTCTGTTCCATGTCGCTCAACGACTGTCGTTCATCCAGGTCGCTTCCACCAGTGCGCCTTTGGTTGCGCAAGGCGGGGAGGTGGCGCCTCCTAGCGTTAATGAACCAGTTGCTGATCTGCGGATGTCAGCCGACGCTTGAGAGAATGGGCAAAAAGACAAAAGTACCTGGTTGATTGTGAGACCTGTGCGAGACATGAGCACCTGCTTGTCCTCCTCACTCGGGTAAGGGTGCTCCAAGTTCGTATGGAACCAGCCCTTGAGGATCTCGGTGACAGGCTTTGGTAGGTTCCCTCGTCGGCGTCTATTCCTCGAGTCGGTGGAGTCGCCCATGATCCCGAAATTTGACTGGGGTGCGTGTGAAAGCGGTACAGAGACGTGCTCCGGGTCACTCTGATAAGCCATGGTCGGGTAGTGGTATCGCATCTGACCCTGAATAGGCGGTACGCCCCTGAAAACATCGGCACTTCTGTCGGCCATCGAGACAGGGATTGTCGGGGGTGAATGGTGGTATCCGTGGGGACCGACAGGCCTCGTCGTCATTTCTGGTGGTGGTGGAAGACCTCTGGGATCGGGGTATACTCCCATCCCGCGCTCGGGATACGACTGCAGATCGCGAATGGAGGGGAGCGCAGGACTCGGGCGAGAAGACCGCGATGTAGCGTGTTCTCTAGGATCCGAATTAAGAGGCATGTCGTGTGATGATACTGGACGATCGCGCAATTGTCTAGAGTTATAGTATGAAGTAGACTCGATCTCTTCGTGAAGGTGAGGTGGGAGCAGCTATAAAGCGCAGTCAGTATAATTACTTTTTCCCGTGCTGACATGGACTGGGCCCAACAGCACAACAGTCAGCACTAGCAGACAGGGACTGTCCTGGCTTACTTCGCGAAATGACGGCAAAGCCTGGCTGTCAGCCGGCAGTCCGGTTGCGTATGGAATGGCCATTCTATTAGAACTCCGCCTCCGGTCAGGGTCCCGTGGCATAGACAACAGATCCTAGCGAATAGCAGTCGAGCACCCAATTCAATCGAAGAATTTGGGCTGAGTGGTGGATGATTAAGAGTAGGTATGAATCGGGATGTGTTATTGCACAGCAGAAGCCGGCCCGCGGCTGTAACAACGTTTTTGTACCACCCGGTGGTGAGAGTGTCTAGTAGAGTGAAGTGCTGATGAGGTGGGGAATATCGACGGTCAAGGACAGGAGGCGATGAATATTTAAAGAAGATGAAGGAAGGGGGCGAGTAGTGGGTGTTGGGAATATAGAGCAGGAGCAGAGTCTAAAGTAGTCGAGGCACGATGATGACGATGGGGAACAGCTGAACTCAACCAAGGTTATGCAAGGAAAGGAGGAGCCAACTGACACTCGAACACTGACTTTCCACTTGACCATGGCCACTGCGTTTATAATCCACTCTTCTTGCTACACTTCAGAATGCAGACTTGAGACTCACTGTTGCAGTGAGTCTTCCCTTGCTCACCCTAATGCTTACAGTGTTTCTCTACACCGAGTACTCCATGCTGTGATCACTATCCAGGCCGCAACAATGCAAAATCCCGAAAAGGAAAGCGAGATTTGAAATTGTTAGCGTCAGACTTGGGCTGGTCCAGCGTCCCAGTCCATAAAGGCAGCAGCGCCCATGGGTTAGAGGAACAGGGGGGGAGATCCGACAGAAGCGCCGATCCTGCAGTGGGCAGAATAATTGCCAGTGGGCCCTATGCCTGCGGGTGAGGGGAACTTCTTTTTTTGCTTTTTTCTGGGTTTCCATTTGTGTTTTCTCCAATTATTTTAGTGAGGGGAATAATGCTCATTAATATTCCGGCCAAGTGAGAGTTTAATTTCTCGGTTCCTCTGCTTTGGTACCTCAACTATGACAGATGGCGCCAAGCAAGCGATGAGCAGTTCGTAAATTCTCCATGCTTCAACTTCAATGCTACCATTCTGTGGAGAGTCACAGTCACTGCGAGTCATCTGGGAAGACCCCTGTCCCGTCTGACTGTTGTATGACCTGATCTAGCTGACAGATCCTATAAGCCCGAGCAAGGTGGTGACCGGCAGAAGCATCCTTCTTTTTTATGTTCACTATTCTAAGCTCCCTGCGTCGACAGCTGTGCTCTCCAGACTTTTTCCACTGTAGGATCCTGGTCGCTATTTTCTCCCGCCTCCTTGACCGTCTAGGCTCGCCCTTAAACAGAAGATAGGTGAGAGTAGTCCATAGTCATGGTTTGGATGGAGTAAACTTCCAGAACGCCGCATACTTCTTCGAGTCTACAATAGCACTGTAAAAGCGGTGCAGTGTCCTGCCGAGGCTGCGACATTCCCCATACAGATCGCTGATTCGAAACTTTGCCACCTTGACGGAGTCGCCCCATCCGGCCAAAGTCTGCTATGAATAGCCGTCTCTTATTAAGTGCGAATCTCCCGAGGGTGGAGCTGGCCTCCTACGCTGGCCTCCCTGCGTAGCAGTAAGATGAAGGACGGTCTTCTTGAAGTGTTGGACATCGGAACCATCCTGGAACATGTCTTGCAGGAAATGCAGCAGCAGCAGCCAGGGAGAATGGCTTGCTAGTAATGCAGGAGAGGCTGCCTCGCGGGAATATGTTGGCAGGAACTTTGAATCCGTGGTTATATTTTCCAGGCCAGTTACATCCAAGAAAAGACTAGATTCAAGAAGCAGGTGCACAAATCACAGACACTCTAGTCTCTGCAGCGAGGGAGGCAGATCAACCGGGCCTTGGATCCACACTGCGGTCGTGTCAAATCCAAAAAAGGTCACAACATATCACAGTCCCAGCCAGTATTCCAAGTGTTCCATAGCTTCTCCGCCGTGAAGGATTCAAGGAGGCAATGTGAAATCCATGCAGTAGTGAGGCGAGGGTGACGGCAATGGCGTTGGACCCGCGTCTTCCCGCTGCATGGTCTTCACGGAAGCCTGAGATACTGGATTCTGGAACCGATCGTTGCATAGAACTTGAAGCGAGTCATAAAGATCGATCTCTAACATCGACAGGAGAGGAAATGAAAGGGGTAATAATTAGAGGCCGGATCTCGACGCTGGGCCCAGTTAAACACTAGGAAATGATTCTAGTTTCCAGGACAGGTAAAGCCCGATCGCCCTCTCCACTCCATTTTCGAAGATATAACCATGCGCCAGCATGGCTGCATGCCGACTGCACGCTTCAGAGTTATACACCCAGGCGACTGCTCTCGCTGCGGGGAGGATCCACGTCATTCCCGCAGCCGGAGACTCTTCTTTTCGCTCAAGACTCGGAGAATAGAGTTGATCACCAAGAGATCTCTCTTTCGTTGGTAGATACGAAATACGGATCTACTCCGCAGTTCAGCGTGGGGTGAAAAATACTGAGTTTCTAAGTGAATAATTGGATGCTGAATGCGATGGCGAAGGTCATCCGAAAAGTCAACGACAGCGACAGGTTGTAAACTCGTGACTGACACAGATCCCATATAAAGTGCATACAAGAGTGTCCTGTGCAGATGACATCTTATGCAGGCATGGTTGCAAAGAGATGGTGGTTGCAACAAGAGGCAAGTCTGTGTTCCCTACAACGAATTCCTGTGGAAGAGAGGGTCGGATATGCTGGTAGAATCGAATTCGGAAGGTGAATGCCAAGAGGGTTCTTGCAGGCTGGTTGACTGGCTCGACTGAGATGACCTAGAAACTTTAAGGTCCATAACAACGAGCCACCTGAAGGATTGAGGGCCACGAGCATGACAGTCTGACAGATCCGACTCGCCCACCTGGGTGCATAAAAGTAGGCAATTTCGGCCTACCAGGTCAATAGTTCGATGAACGCTATCTGCGTAGTGGCTTTGACGACCCCACGAGGAAAACGAGATCATCCTTAGCGAGCTGCGAGCGTGGCTGCCAGATTCCGGTGCAGAGTCATGACTCGATCCAATTTCAGCCACTGAGGCAACAACAGCTCCACTGTGGAACAGTCGATAGCATCATGAATCATAGCTTTCCGAGTTGACCGACAGTCTGGTATAACCGTATCACGGATGCGGTTGGATATGGCGCATGACCGTGGGAATCCGCCTGTCCGACCGAGCTTATTCTGAGAGGAACCGGCCAAGCGCAACTCATCAGGATGCCCCCTGTTCCTGTCAGCGTTTCTACAGCACCCGGAGCTTACGGAGTACTTGCGTTTCCGGCTGAAGGATCTGCTCCCCTCATCGCATCTCTGTGAATGGACGCCCGAGTCGAGGCCAAATGTCGGGGCTGGACGAATTATTGGGCCTATGATAATTGCCAGTTGTCGAAAAAGCCGAAACGACTGATACACCGCAGGTGCCAACTGCCAACCTCTCGCGTGCACGCTAAACTAGCGAATCTCGTGGCCATCGATCCGCCGAGATTGATTCGCCGAGGTCTGCAACTAAAATTTTGACAACTTGAGACCGTCGGCACGAGCCACCTGTGTTGAATTTGGTAGCCAATCTTAGGAGATGTTTTGCAAATACTCTTGTTCTCGGCCAGAACCACAGCAATGGCAAGTCCCATCACATCGCTCCGCACTCGGAGCGATCGAGCGTGTTTGCGTATCTGCGTACTCGGACTCGATGAGGTGGCCGATGGGCGATTAGCGTAGCGTCTTTAGCTCCGATCCCCACCGGACTTGAGGCTGAGTCAGCGCAATCACAGGCGCTACACCTCGGATCGCGTCTCCGCTGGCTCCAGGATTCACATTTGGCGACAGGGGCATCCACATCCAGTCATCCACAGATTCCACACCCACCGTCCATTGTAACCCAAGCGGCTGGTAAGTGACGTCTGACACTTCTCTGACAGGCTGACACTACTACTGACACTGACGTGACAGCCTGACAGGGGTTGTGCGGGATTTCCCCATCATCTGTTCCGCCGCCGTCTCGCCTTTCCCAATTTCAAGCCACGCCTCGTCTTGTTTCTACTTCCCGGGGCCCTGACGTTTGATCAGTAGCCTCCGGGTCGTGATCGTGCATATCGCAGGGATAAATCAGGAGCGGCGATCGCTGCCGAAAGACCCAGCTTGAGCAAATTATCATCGATCGAAGGCTGTCAAACACCGCGCCGAATCCTGTGGGAGCCTGGGAGGCCTAGGCAAACCTTGACCCAGTGGTTCGTTGAATTGACCAATTTTTGATAAGCCACAGAGGGAGGAGTCCGAAGGAGCTACAATGACCTGTGGCTATTGGCTGCGATCTTGCAGATCCCGGCTGACCGAACCAGATCGGGCGAACTGCTGCGAACTGCTGCAGTCACTGTGATTCTGACTCGCAATAATTCTCCGCTGGAATTTGTCATTCTGCTTCCGACTGCCACTTGTCGCCCGTCAGTTAGTCTCATGTCGCTCGTTTCCTGGTCGTCGGGTTCTTAAGAGACTATGAGCTGCTCTGCTATATCTACAGGGTCCGGCTTCGGAGGTAGGAGTATAACACGGCTTGTCCCGATGAAACTCTTCTGTGACATCACTTGTTCCAGAAATACGCATTCTTAAGCCACGAGTTGCGACTGATCAATGATGGGAACATATTTTAAATTCTCCGACATTTCAACCATGGTTTGCCCCCCTCACTTGCCCAATCGAGATTGGCTTTCCAATAGTCTGCCGCTCTATTGTATTGACCCAGTCACCCAGGTGAGCTAGTGGGAACGGACTTCCTCCGATCATTCTATCTCCTATGTTTGGTTGGACTCCAAAGGGCAGGATAATCGGCCAAACAGCTTGCAATATCAGCACATTTCCTTGTTTTCTGGACCCCCTTGAAGCACGGCGAGCCTCCGTTCTCATACGCACGGATGATCGACAGCCTATAATTTGCCCTGCAGGAGAGGAGTTCACCCCTTGGTTGATGGGGGGGGGACTGGCGGCGACATAACCGGGAATGGCCTGTCCACTTTCCGAAAATGGACATGACGGCCGTTGTTCAGAACAATAATAGTCTTGTTTTGCTGACCCTTTGTGACACGTCACACTGCTCGCCGACAAGACGTATAACGTTGACCGGGTAGCCACGTTGTGCTGGCGCTGAACGACTTCTAGAAAATCCTTCTTCTCGTTCCCCGTTCTCGTGAAGCTGCCGCTGATGATCTGTCCAGCTCGATATTGATACCCACCCCCCGGCCATCCACTCCATTCTCCGCTTTGGGAATGGCTGGGGTTCAAGGTTCGCAACGCCACACTGGGATCCCAGCTCCAGGGCAGCCGGGGCCCGGGGCTGCTATCCTCCTGCCTGTTTGAGCATCGCTCTTTCGCAGTACATCCGGATCGTCCTTCCCGGTCACGTTATTCTTTAGCACGCCTTGCAATCTTTCATAATGCATTCTGGCCTGCATCTATAAAGCAAGGCTAAGCTATTGAATCATCATCATACACTGATCAAGGCCCGTTTGCCCCTTCGTTAATAGATCATCTGAAACGCGTTTATGTCTGTGCGCTTTCGTCTGCGTGTTTCGGCATCCTTGGTGCAAGCAGGCATAATTGATCCAACTTACAGTTAGTCATTCGAGCAGCGCTTCGTCCTCCTCTGTTTATATCACATGGACTCTGAGGGGCATTCTCACCTTGATGTCCCTGCTCTCAAGACCTTCACTATCATCGCCGAGTTTAGGTCAAAGGCTCTTGAACCTCTGCCCTGTACATGGTGGCCTGCAGGGAATTCTTTATCACCGCCACACACAAGACAACATTTCGATTATCTCCAATTGTACTTTCTTGAACGTCTCAGTGATATGGACGTTCTTCTGCTTGTAGATCACGACATCTTTCTCAAGTAATTTAGGTTCTCGTACTGAGATTGGTAGGGCAGGTTACACTGGTTTCTTTCAACTGGGGCATTGCTCGTGGTTCAACAGACACGGCCTTAGGGCTCTTAGGATTCTCACCTCCGGCTCTTGAATGCCATCCGACGCCCACCACGCCTTTTTACGCTTTACGCATCTTTAGTCAATGCAGGTCGAGAAACATATGATGGGAAGACACAGTTCACGGGTCAGGATGGGTTGTTCCGCTTCTGTATTCCAAACTATCCTCTACCCAATACAACGCTGGTTCAACTCCGGGCCTCTCGAGCAATATTTGCCGCCAAAGAACGATAACGGATCCCTTTGTTTTGCGGTCCTCTCGCTTCACAGCCGACCTTAACGCGCATATGTCCGTACCAAATGATAGATTCAATCGGACACCATGTTATTGAGCTAGCCAGCTTTCCTAATTCCAGCAGCTGGCTATCCGTAAAGCAGTCTCCGGTCGTCCAGTGCTTCCCAATGGTTCGCAGATAACGATCGATTTCGACCTAATTTTCTAACAAATGGGCGCAGTCAGCAGCAAGCAATGGTGAGATGTAGTAGGCTGTCGAACTCCTCAGACAGGCTTAGCCACAAGAATAGCAAGTCTTGCGGGAGTGGACATACTTTGCTTGATTAAGCGCCAAAAAAGCCATCAACCCTTGTCTCTTAGATTCCTGCACCGTTATGCTTGCTCGGAATCCTTGCTCCGGAGCTGCCATCACTGGGTAAGAGAGAAGCGGAATATATTTCTGTATGATGCTGACTGTCGGAATTTGGGTGAGTTGGCGAATTGAAGTCATGGGTGTATAGAGAGGACTCCTTTGCGTTTGCTTGCCTGTTCAAAGCTTGCAGGATGAATAGGTCAAGCAAGGTGCTGGACAAATCTTCTGTGGTTGTGAAGTTAGTCTTTATTCACCAATGGCTTCTGGAGCCAGGCAAATTTTGGATCATTTCTTCATTATGCTTCTGTGACTAGCCTGGGGAGGTAAGCACTGGGATCCAAGAGCATTCAGTGGTGATGATTCACGGATCTTAAAATGTTTGTTTCGAAGGGGGTTTTACTTGAGTTTGTTGACGGAGGGCATCGCTGGCAACCTACTCTAAGAATGTCTGGCTAGATACCTAACCAGGCAGGTGACTTGTCCTGGGACATCTTAACCTCTTTCCATTCCCGCCTCTTTCTACACATCTCTAGACCTTCTACTCTGTTGAAGCTCCCAACCATCCGGTGAAGAGAGTCTTAAGCCGTCTTCCGTCTATATTAGTCCACCGTCTTCGTCATCCTCTTCTCAATTCCTTCCCCCAGAGAGATGATTCATTGTGTTACCGACGATAATTCACTGCTCAATAGAGAAATATAAGCAAGCATGGTATGATTGTTTCTCTTTTTCTTCTCTCTATCTACCTTACCATTTCGGATCGGAGAGGAGTGAATATGATTAGCTTTATCAAGCCAGTGTTACTCGGGGCAAGTGTCCTCAAGAATCATGCCCAGCAACCCATCAAATGAGTATTCCCACAAGCCATCTGTCCAGCTTGGCGATGGTCAATAGCCGACGACTGAACTTCACTTCTTTATCTAGTCTGCAGCAGCTAACAGAAATCAGAGGTGCCACAACTGCGAAGAAGACGGCCATATCGCGCTTGACTGCAGGAATCCAAGAACCGTATGCACTTCATTACTCCCGCCAGGCTGCATAGCCTCTCAAGCTCTGTACCCTGCTGGCTGACACACCCTTCATATTAGGACAATAGAATATGCTTCAGATGCGGCAGGGCAGGTCATGCGGTTACGGATTGCGACTCGGGGATTGAAAGTGCATTTTTTGAAGGCGTGATGGAGATGGTAAGTTCCTTCCACCAGCCACTTCGAATTGGTAGAATTGTTGCGGTAGTTGCTGTTACTGAATAATGTTTTTGCCTTGTTCAACAGGTTCAACAGGGCCGTTCGGTAGAAGCCTCCCTTCCTTTTACTCTACGAAGGGTATCTTACACTGCCTCCATCACAACTAATACCTCTGCATCAGGCTCGCGAGGAGCGTGAGAAGCGCGAGGGCCGCACTGTCCCCAGTGGACACGCCGTTCGTTACCGTGCTCAGGTCATTCGCACCCAGAAACCTGTTTACGTTCCACAGCGTGGCCGTGTTCGGGGTGGGAGCTTTTACTATCGCCCAGATTATCGCTGCTATCGCCTCAATGGAGCGCGCGACAAGCATCGCAAATCGTCTGACGACAAAGGCGGAGGGAAACAAGCACGGCGTACTGCTACCAATAGCACTAATGACACTGGAATAACTGTCTCTGCTTCAGCAACGGACGCAATTCATTCCCCTGATATCTCAATACGCGGAGGACCAGACTGTGTAGATCCTGCGCTGGTTAATTGGTACGCCAATACCGCTAAGCAGGATGCCGACTTGGGCGAGACCGACAGGCTGAAGAAATGATCAAGCATCATTTACCTCGAGTAGTGGTATTCTAAGGGCAGAATATACGTCTTTTTTGCGGACAATGCATGGAAGACTCATGGGGAGAGGTTAGTCAACCCCATCGCAGAAATCACATGTGTTTGCTACTTACTATCCAGTGAATAGCATGCTACAGCAGCAGGTCATGTATGGGAAGTACTCCCCTGAAGAAATAGAGGTCAGACTTTAGATGCAAACCTGCCACCAGAATTGTTTCCTCGTACTTTCCCTCCTATAAACAGCAGTCCAGATGCAAAACAACTTGTTTCCCTGCCTTCTTCTCATCTCTCCCAAGCCACTACGGCGGTTGATTCTTCCCAGAAGCTGCTGGTGGGATTTCTCTCCAAGAGTCCATGCAGTCTTCCAAAGCCAACGCGTGTTGGATTATCTTTGGCCTGCCAGAAATCTCCTCGGCAGTTCATGCAAGCTGCACAACTTTTTCCACATTGTCTTGCGCATCTGCACTGCCATCGTTGAAACCTCAGGATCTCACCTCATTGCCCGCTCAATGCTCGGCCGCTCCCAATATAGGCCGGAACAGCCTAGCCCGCGATGTCAGAAAGTGGATCGCTGTGTCCAGAATGGGGCTGGTCGAATGCTTCAATTTGCATCGCTGATTTAGTAAATAGTGATACAAAGACAGCCCCATTTGACGCGCGCCCAGAGCCACGTCGCCAACCCCGAGGACGTCGCCCACGCAACCCATGACCGAAGACAACGAGCTGAGCTTTTGATAGGGAAGATCACATAAAACCACTTTCAGCACGGTGCTTGCGCTACATCTCATCACGGCTGAACCTCGCAACCCTGCATGGCATGCCCCCAGGATGCTCGGGCTGGAGTCGAAGCGCCACACCTCCGTATATATCGGCATTTCCTCCGCTCCACTCAATTAGCTGGTGTTGACTCTTGAGAGGAGCTGACATCGACCGCGGTCAAAACAAATATGTGATATCCTGATCTGGAAACTCCGATCGATCGGGTCCACTGGAGTGAAGCTATCTTGCAGATCCCCGATCGCCAATAGGTATTCGGTCGGCCATGAACTTCAAGGGTAACATATAGCTGCTAGACAAGTTTACCAGCAACAGTGGTGCATCAACTGAACTGCTTTACAGATTTCAACAAGCCTCTCCGGCAACGTCATCGTAAGACCAATACGGGGAATAGCTCTCAACCAGTTCATTGACAGAGGCAAGCTAAGAGCAAGCGCATTTTATTATACATAAAAGGAGTGGAGAGATAATAAATACAATCAAAAGATAAATAGACATATGAATGTCACTCCTTGCTTGACAAGGTCGAGCCAGAGCCCATTCAAGCCGTACTCCGCAGGTCGTGGTTTCTGGAACCCAAAAACCACAACCTACAGGAAGTCGAGATATGCACGGAACACCTTGAAATCCACAAGGTGCAACCTCGGTACACAAATTCTGTCCACATGTGCTGAGATATGTGCTGAGTTCCGCAAATATTCACGCCTGTCATCCCAGAGGTCAACCCTTTCTTACAGGGTACCTTTAAACTCCTCGAAGATGGCTGGGAGGAAAGCACCCAGGTCTGAAGGTGTGACTTGTTAGCAAGAGAACCCCCCCCCCCTTAGTATAAAGAGCACAGAGCTTACGAGTCATTTCAATATTGCAATGCACCGCGAGGTCATGGCCAAGCTGGGCGGTGCCATGGTTGCCAGCAGCGATAAAGAAACGCGATCGCAGCTCCCGGTACCCGTTGGGCATTCGGCGGACCTGGTGCATCAAGTAGGAGGTATCGTCGAACTCGGTGGTCGAGTAGTTACCAATCATGACCTTGCCAATGACGATCGTCTCAATGCCTAGCTCGGGCCAAGCGGTCGTGTTGAAACCCAGGGATTCGGGGTGGACAAACTCGATGCTCAATTTGGCGGCGTCGTTGCCGACATACTCGTCTATGTAGGAGGTAGCGCCGATATAGCGTTCCGCGTAGCTCTGGTTGGCCCAGTCCTCTGAGAAGGGGGTGCGGTAGGAGTACTGGTGGGCTATCGGGTTCCAGAGCTTGTAACGGGCAGTCTCGACTGAGTGCCATCCAAACCACCAGTCGTACTGCTCGCCAGTAACTAAGTAAGCGAGCACTGAATCAGTACGGCAGACGAGAAAGTCCCGAGTCAATGCCTACCCTGAGGGATCTCACTGCGCACGGCAATCATGAGAGTCCCGTTTTCAGAGATGGCATAGCCATTTTCGAGTTCGAGGTAGCCGGGGCGAGTATAATAGTCGTGTGCCTCCCAGGCAGAATAAGCTAGCCAATCGTTAGTTATCCAAAAAAAAAGAGGTCCAGTGGAGATATGCTCACTAAAGGCACTAGGCCAAGGGCTACCGGTCAAGCCGTTGACCAAAGCGTCGCTCAAAGGTGCAACTACCGGATTGTAATACCTGTTTGTGTGAGAAGCAGTGATAAGCATAGCTTCCTGACTGTAGGCCTTCAAGCCAGATGGGGGGAGAGCATACTTGGCGTAAGGCTTCTGGAAGTCAGCCTCGCGGTATCCTAGATAGTAGTCGGAGGTGTCGACGTTCAGTGCGGCAGTATCTTGGGAGATGGTGCTCTGGCTGAGCGAGGTCACAGCTGATGCAGAGGCTGAAGCCACTGTGCTCTCAGCAGGAGCAAGCTGGCGACGGTCAATGGCATTGGCTTTGGCAACCGCCAGAACGAGAGTAAGGGCTGAGAAGGAGAACATGTTTCCTAACATGAGACTGAGACAGTAGGAAGTGAAGAGGCAATTGCTTTTTATTTGAAGAAGAGTCAGTCACAATCACTCCTGCAATGCCCTTTATATATTGCCGCTATGGAGCTCTAGTTGCCGAAGCTGCAGGCAAATACTCAACTACCGCTATCCAGAAGGACGGTTTGGTCGCCATCCGGATGAAGACGGACGCTGCCCACAGATCTTCCGTCAAAAGTGCTCCACAATAACGGCTCACCTCTTGCGTACCACTCGTTGAGTCGTTGTGGCCCAGACGTTGATAGTGAAATCCACCGAGGGTGCCACGACCGGGGGTGCCGCAGTGAGGGTGCCGCAGTAAGGGTGCCGCAGTAAGGGTGCCACAGTAAGGGTGCCACAGTTCTCTCTACTAAATAACGCAGCGTTGAGACTTATAAATCTTAAGCTGACGTCAGACAAGATTCCCATGGTGCAATGGGTCTATATCAATCGCCACGGCATCTGGCAGCAAATTCCGAAATGGTTGAAAGCGGCTATGCAATCGTCAACCCGGTTTCCGGCACCAGATGAGCCGATTTCCACAGTGGAAAGGTTGCACTATGGCCAAACTAGGTCTATATGTTATCTTGTGGACAAAGAGATGTCAAAAGGCAATACTTGGCGCCTGTAAAGCGGCCTGGAAAAGCTTTTACCACGGATAATGGCGATCTCTTTTTGTACGGTTCCCGAAAGTCCTACAATGGATCATCGAGGTCTGTGGAGCCAGTAATCAAAAGTGTCAACAGGGTCGCCAGTGAGCGTGAAATACCCCAATGCCCGACTCTCCTCAACATGTCAACCAAGTTCAAAAGAACGGTGGACTCCTGGATCAAGGGTCTGCAACTCTTGAACTCGTGAACTTCCATCACCAATTGACCGACATCAATCGCTAGCTCCTTCAATTCTTGAAACTCATCTGCGCCGTGCACAGAGTAGGCGCGAGATTCTGGGGCATACCTGAGATAGCAGTACCACACAATCGCGGCATGGTAGAGACTGCTCGAGACATGTATATTTGATACGGCGCAGATGGGTAATGGCTCAAGTTGTCGGAGCAAAAGTGCTCCGTGCAAGATTGCACGCTGCGAGTTTAATGACGCAGCCCAAGTCGAGGCATACTCAAAATTCTCCGATGCCTCACGGCTGCCTTTTTTCCCAATGGCTAGCTCTAGGCGGCGGATGTCCGTGGACAAGAGTATGAACGCTGAGTGCCAGAGTGGGCGTACACTGAGAAGATCCGGACCGCGGAAGCGGAGGTGCTTCGCGTAAGTTGAGGTCAGCGATCCTTCAACGTATTGTAGGATCTGTGTTGAGGGTGCCAAGTAACCATTGTCAATGACTGTAGAACAAATATGTTTTAGTTGGACAATCACATTCAAGTGATCATTGCGAGAGAGCTCGCACCAAGCGGATGCTGCGTCACGAGGGGCACTCCTACCTCCTGCCGACTGCAGGAAAGGGCCTCCGCATGTTCGAACGGCCTTAGCCCATTCGATGGCAGATGCGGCGTCCCAGATACTGTGGGGGGCCAGACAAGGGATTGAGTTCGGTGCATTATGCAGTGATGGCTCCGTAATGAATAAACGAGTCATCTCATAGTCATGCATATGTAGAGCGACCGCGGCACTATATAGCAACTGTCAAGACATATGATCAAAATGGCATATCTTGCTACAGAGTTCTTACCGATTTCGCTCTTCCTTTTTTATCCACGCTATCCACGCAACAGCCGGGTCGATCAGACCATGATCGAGAACGTCGGGAATCGCTACTTCTGCGTTGAAAAACTCTTGCTGTTTCGCCCACTGGTCCCAATCAGCCATCGTCTTTGCACAAAAAGCTAACACGTACAGAAGTTACTGTTCCATGAAAGCTAGCTACAACAGCCAGATCTCTGGGTCTCTAATTACATCAATTAGTGACACACACTGAACAGTTAACAAGGAAGTAATAGTGCCTCACCCCTGACAAAATGCCATATGTTTGCCCGATCAAGGCATCCTGTATAAGTGGCAAAGCCTGGTATTGTTGCCTCCCAACAGATGTGATCCACTAAAATACTGAAGTTAGCAATTGCAGAGCTAGCTTTCACGTAGGGACGGTACCGAGTTTAGTATGGTCTGATTTAGTTGCTCAGATATTCTCCTTCCTTGTGTGATTGCCTTCTTCGAGCCAAAGAAAAAGCTGCCAATGCAGCAAATCGCAAGCAGGATTAGGGAGTTTTGAGTCGAAGGGCGAAATGTCGGTAGATGTAGTAGAGGAAATATCGGATGGAATTTTGAGAAATATTTCTGGATACTGAGATTCTATAATTCAAATCAGCGTACAAGACTCGAATGTCAGTGAATTGTGGGTAGAATACAAGAAACTCCGTTGATGGGAGGCCGTCTTGTGATGGCTGCCGGTACAAATGGGTGTGGAGGCGTTGTCGAATTTCATCATCTATCTGCGTGGGCGACTGAATGTCACGTCTTATGGTAGGATCCTGTTCATCTGCCCCAGAAAAGGTGAACCAATGCTGTCGAGCAACATCTGGTGGTATCATCTCTATCTTGCGAGGCTGGTTCCATGGTGATTCATTATTTGTGCGAATCGTAATCGAAGGGGATGATGGTATACTGAATAGCAAGGGGTCTCCGATAGAATTGACAACCTGTCTTATCAGGGAAGGGTCTGGTTGAGAGGAGTATAGCCACTCCTCTTCGTGAGGTAGAATAGCGGAGACATTGGGGAGCTCCAAACCGGGAGCAGGAAATTCTGCTGCTGAGGAAGGCCGCATCTCCAGCATATTATCCGACCCATGAGTTGGGGTAAATGTAGGAGTGGCTCCACCAGAAATTGATGATTGTGCGATTTCATCAGGCGCCAGATCCCTCTCGCTCATGCTGGGACGATCGCCAGATAAATGGATCTTAGCATGGCGTAACATCGAATCACTATCAAAGAGTCAGAAGAAAGTACTGCATCAAGGTGATCAACCTGCAACTGACTGCCGACTAAATGGTCTTTGGCATTTATCGCATAGAAACGGCTTTTCTTGCGTATGAGACCTCACATGGCGAGCAAGATGTGCCTGCTTCTTGAACGGTTTATCGCATTACTGACAACGACGATCAGCGGCCTGAGACTGTTGGCGTGGCATCAATCAACGCTGTCAACAAATAATTCGAGCGCGGCAAGTCCTGGTGTTTTTGACTACAATGGGGGGTTCTAGTCGTCATAAAGGATTAGCCGCCGTTTGGTGTTCCGAGAAGACATAGAAACATTGCAGAGGTGGTGCTCTCTCAAGGCGTGGATAGGGAGTGTGGTATGCCGGCAAAGAAGCCTGCTCTCCGCCGCTGCCGAGAAGAGTCTCACGTGAGTGATTTTTGCTGGACATGTCATTTGAATGGCAGAGGATGTGCTTATACATAAAGATACAGATTATATAAATATGCAAAATCAGCTGATACATTATTATTTTCCAATACAGATGCTCGGTTTGCAAGGAGGTTTCACGGTTTTATTGGTACGTAGTGTTACAGATCCCTTAGACAACATAATTCTATATATTATCATTCCAAGGTTCTAGCCGGTATAAGTTTATATTTTCGCATAGCACCCACTACTACTGCTCTATTGTTCACAACTCATCATCTTCGTCTTCAACGGCAACTATCTCGCGTGAGACCGAACCCATACTGAACTTGTCTTGCGAAGAGTCAGGGCACAGACGAGCGTGCGGTGTCTTGAATTTCCTAGCGGCACGCTGGGATGCCGATGCCAGTTGAGGCTTTTGTCCAGGTAAGGGTGCGTCGGGCAAGGATGAGAAGAACTGGGCCGTAGATGGTGGTCGTTGCTGGAATTCCAGCATTTGTGGGCTCTTGCTTTCCCCAAACTGATTGAGTAGTTCAGGTTAGTGATATGTGTTCAGTAGGGAGCTAAAGATGGGCTGGGAATAAAGGGCAATTGCAACTGTACTTCAGAGGCAGACAAATCCCGAATATCAGGCCGCGCAACCATCAGATCTTCGAAAAAACGTGCAGAAGAGAGGAAGTGCCTTTTCAGGCCTATTTGGACGTCCGACTTGCTCGCCCTTGCCGCCCACGTATCCACGGCGAGCAGGCGAAGAGCGGATCCCGGTCTGGACTGCCCGTACGCATGTTCAATCTGAGTACGTGATATGAGGAGTTCGGGGTGGGCTGCCAGAATCTCCTTAATCCGGACAAGCGCCAATTCCTGCAGTTCAGCAACTTGGAACCGCTCAGCGAGCGTCCATAGCTGAAAGAAGTGTAGTCTCCGAGATGATTTCAGCCCCGTGCTGATATTGCCGCAGTATACCCAAGAGACGAAGTCGGCAAAAACGTCCGGGTCATCGTTGGAGAAGACAAGCTCTCCATTTGGAGACTCGGTGTATCTGTTCTCGAGGAGCTTGTCAAAATATGGGGATCGGTCACATAATAGCTCGATGTGGACGTCGAAGGGGGTCTCCGAGTGCCCGACTGTGAGGTTCACGATTCCGCCGGAGAGCGTTCTAGTCCGGTCAGCGATTATTGGGCTTAGTGCAATAGGTACTATGCTTCTTCGTACCTGCGATCTAGGTAATTTAGTGCCATGTTAGGATTTCAGGAAGCAGCGGGGTCGAGATGGTGTGGGAAAGAGAGCTGAGAGGAACCTTCTCCAAGATTTACCCGGCACTAACGCTTGCATCAACAATATCACAGCAACATGATTGGTGAGAGCAAATTCCGAATATAGAATCGCAACGTGTAGCAGTGGCGTGGCATTGCTTTTTCCTGGGACAGTCAACCGTTGAGGAAGAGTTCTAATGAAGAAAAAGAACGCATTGAGGCCCTGGCGCCCCGGCGCCCCGGCTCTGGGCGCCGTGGTCGCCAAACGCTAGGCTACCCGGCCTCTGAGCCGCCCCCCGCTGGGCCCCCAGGTCACGCCAGCCTTAGGGAAGGCTTCAGCCTTCAGTACAAGTACAAACCTTCCCTAATGACAACCCTCCTCAGCCACAACTCGCGAGCCCAGATCGAGAGCTATCCAACATCACCCCTGGCTGTTTTAAGCATGGACTCATCCACGTTCCTCTTTGTCAAAGGCCGTTTGCCAGCATCAAGCCGCGTTAGCACCCCCTTCTGTTAGAAGCCATCGCCAATGACAAAATGAGCCTTACTGTGCCTGTAAGCTCTTCTCTTAAAATTTCGCATAACCCTCCATCTTCGCTCACCTTCCCAGAACCCGCTGGGCTGCTTCTACATTGCTCTCTCATCCTCCGGCTCCTGCTACTCACCCTTCAATTTCCACAAAACCGTCGACTTCTGTTCAGGCTCGTTGGTCATTCCAGATGGCGTCGCTCACCTCATCCTGCGCCAACTGCGCCATGCCTGCTACACTTCAATGTACCGGCTGCAAGGATACACCCGAGTATAAGCATGGAGATGCGAGCCCTGTGTTCTACTGCAGCAAAGCGTGCCAGACGGACCATCGCCCCAGACACCTAGCCCACTGCAAGACCATGGCGACGCGAAAGAAGCTCGTCCGCATCGCAGCCGTCTGCAAGGCAGCTGTGCTTGGTTACCGGGAACTCGAATACGACGTTGAACTCTCAGCCATCGAGCTTCTGAACAACCGCTTCCTCCTTGCAGGGTGCGGAGTTCCCCGGCTGTTCTGGGATGTCGACTGATGATTTCAACTCAGGCTGAACTTTTGACTCCCGGTAGATTTCACCACTTCTGGCAGTATTATGTAAGCGAGGTCCACTGAGAGTAGCACTAAAGATTTCTCCACAGCCCACCATATTCTTACTTCTTACTCGTCACTGCTAGATGCCCCAGAGTCCAGACCGAACTGCGAAATGGCGCGGCTCAAGTGGTCTTTCTCAGAATGGAAGCATCTTTTCGCAAAGCACCTCGCATCGCAGCCTGCAGATGCGGAACAAAAACGAGAATATGATCAGAAATTTCTTGATCAAATACCCGACCAGGCAAAGATACCCATAATTGCCGCAAGCAGCTGCTCGCTGGCCGACCTCAATAACATCTTCTCTCTCAAGGAGATACCCGACCCTAACCCATTCTTCCGACTTCGCGAAAATGAGTGGATGTCCCTTCCGACCGAGTTTGGTAAGCTATCGGTTTGCGTCTTAGCTTCTTGAGTCTAACACGAGAATAGAAGAAAGATTACGCGCGGATTTAGATATGATGGGCCGCGATCCAAGGAACGAAACAGAGTGCCGTTTGACCATCACAGCGCTCCTATTAGAATGCCTGAGAAGTGAGAGGCAACTGATCTCCCGCGATACTATACGCGATACTATAACGAATCTCCCGGAGTTTACCCTGGAGACTCACCTTACGCTGAATGTCATTCACAAAGGCGTGCTGAAGCAAATGTCAGGGGATATGGATTATTCTGTTTGGCATGAACAAGATGATTATGGAACACATCTCACCATATTAGAGGCTAAAGACCTTGGCGGAGTATCATCAGGCATTAGTCAATGCTTGGCATATATGTGTAAGTTACTCAGTACATTATGTTGATGAAGTCTGATTATTAATGGGTTTCAAAGGCATGATCCACCAAATCCGGAAGCAGGCTGGAAGGGTGAACTGTGTTGTTTACGGCTGCGTTACCGATGGGCGCGACTTCACGTTCCTGAAAATCAACAACAACACTGAGGTAAGATTATTATCACATCTTATGCATAATAACGCCAAACTAATCTTCATGCCTAGTGGACTCAATGGAGACCGACTGCGTTCTGGAACCAAACAACGAAGCATCAAATATACACAATGTTACGACTAATCATACGCAATGCCATAACGTCTTCCCCTCGGTCTTCGGTTGTGCCAATAACGCGACCCCTCAACCCTGAACAACCGCTGACGTTCACGCCCGGCCACTATCACATGCGAATTGGCAGTGAGGAAGATGAGCAGCTGGAGTAATTGGAAGGGGACACGCTTCTATTTATTTAGACGAAGGCCTCACACTTATGGAGTCTATGTCTACGGCAAGATCAATGGAGCGTCGGAAACCAATAGGTATCCTTGCGCTTCATAGCATCCGATGGGAAAYTATGGAGTCTATGTCTACGGCAAGATCAATGGAGCGTCGGAAACCAATAGGTATCCTTGCGCTTCATAGCATCCGATGGGAAGCTATGGAGTCTATGTCTACGGCAAGATCAATGCAGCGTTGGAAACCAATAGGTATCCTTGCGCTTCATAGCATCCGATGGGAAACTAAGGGAGTTTTCGGGAAGGAGTTCATCGTTATGTCTACTGCAAGAAGGCGCCCCGGAGCGGTTGGCATAGCCGGATTTGATGTGAACCTAAAAGTTGAAATGGACGAGCACCACCGGTAGAGATGAAGACTGCTTCCATGGAGAGAAATGCGCTTCTTTTTCTCCTGTGTGCCTCAAAAACCAGATTTAACAAGGGTGCAATATTACTTTGCCTATGGAACGGAACTCCAGTGGGCTATCTACTACGAAATAGCAGTGACCGCAATCCGAAACTTTTCACCTACCCCTCCCCGGTATCGTATCTCAGTTCACAATATACCGAGGCTAGCCAGAACCATAACCACTTCGACCAAAGTCTCCCTACTCACGACAGGCCTTTGGCTTGGCATCCCTCTTCTTGAAGACGACGTCAACATCGCGCAACAAGGTGAACCAGAAAGTCTTCTTGACCGGCTCCTTGTCCCCCGCGAGACGAATCTCAAAGTTACGCAGGAGATGAGGGATCAGCTTGTAGACCAGGCACGTTGCGACCTGCAAAATGTCAGTGAGTGGGAATTCTTGCCCTATCCTCCTGGAAGAGGGGCTTGTATGCCTGAGGAAAAAGGAGTAGGCGAAATGACTTACACTCTTCCCAATGCATGCAGTGTCACCGGCGCCAAAGGCAAGCATGACCTTCTCCATACGTTCCAAGTTGCCGTTGCCGTTCAACCATCTGTCAGGGTTGAACATGTCCGCATCTGCGCCGAAAACGTCCTTGTCGTACTGTACAACCGCGGGATTGATACCGATATGGTAGCCTTCGGGGATGTAGACGCCGGCAATCGTTGCTCCGCCCGGGGGAACGACTCGCGGGAGATGGTATCCGACGGCTGGGTGGAGACGCATCGCTTCTTGGATGCACGCCTTGAGGTACGGGAGGGTGCAGGCTGCGTTGTATGAAATAGGGGTCTGAAGGCTGCGACCGGCGTATGCGGCGTCGACTTCGTCGGTCAGTCTCTTGTAGGTGTCCGGGTTGCGCATCAGATGGTAGAGAGTGCTGGTTAGGGTTAATGTTGTTGGATCGGTTCCACCGAATCTATCCCAGACAGAAGACAATCAGCATACCGGTGTAGAAGAAGTAGGTATTGGAAGATATAACAGAGCCAGGATAAGAGTACACTTACAATGCGGCTAGCAGCTCTTTATGAACGTAACCGGGCGTACAGCCAGAACCACCCCCCACGATAGCGCTGATTCCACAGAACTTGGCGATGATATCCGGAGTCATGTCAACACCCAAAAGCAGGTCTTGGCAGCGCTTGGGAATCATGCGGCGCAGGTCAATGCCAAAACCTTGTGTGGCCGAGATAGTAAGGTGACGGAACTTCGAGGACGATTGGCAATATTCGAAGAATATCCCCACGGGGTTCCTGGGCGAAGCCAGCAGGGTTCCATTGGCCGCGAGTGGTAGCAAACCCTCAATTGCACTCAAATACGTCTCTAGTCCTCCAAGTTGAGGGACAGCGTTGAAGCGGTATCCATAGAGCATCTCGCCAAGAACAGCAAATACGTGCCTGCGTCAACGAGCGTGGTAAGTAACCGTGCAACCCTATTTGTGGAAGTTGGATACTCACATCTTCAAGGAGCACCAGAGGTCCGGCTCGGTCTGATAGAGGGTGTAATTGCCGATGCGCGAGGTCAGATCTTGTATATGGACGTTGATAATGGGCTCGAGATCCAGGATGCTTCCCATGGAATAGACGTTCTTCACAATATGCTTCTGCAGCTCGTTCCGGGAGACGACGTGTCCGGGGTATCCGATCGGGTGCGGCAATTTCCAGGCGTCGTAAAATGATGTCTGCCTCGTCAGTACCATGATGATGTAAAGGGGAGGCAGCCTCTTACCCTCTTGAATCTGGATCCACTACCGTAGATAATCTAGCTGCGGTCAGCATCGGTTTGCGATTCTTGCGAGCACGCTCACCTCAATGGCATTGGGATCCGAACAGATTATTTCGCCGGGCTTAACGCGAACCAGAGGACCTGCAGTGGTTAGTGGGAAGAGGCTGTGAGGAACAAGACCATACCGTATTGTCTATGCAGATCGCGATGGACATCGTCCATGTTGCCCTTATATACCTGGTATTGATACCAGAATCTGCCGAAGAATGCCTTCAGCGGCCCTGGGATCTCTCGGAGAGGGTGAAGAAAGCGACAATATAGGGAATAGATGGAGATTAGGACTATGTATATGACGAACCAATTGATGAGGAACATTCTCAACAACTGGATGACGAGCCACATTTTGCGTGCGATGAGGCTGCAAGAGCCTGGTGCAGACTGCGCTGAGGGGAAGTAGAAATGGAGAGAAGAGTTGGTCGAGGAGAGACTCATGTTGCCCCCTCCTGCTCAGCTGGGCGAGCAACGGATATATGAGGATAACTTTCATCTTCCAACTGAGACAAACAGCGATCCAGGCCTGGCAGATTGGTTTTTGAGAGATTGGATCGTCGCCGCCAGCTCCCGTCTCACTGGTAACTCAACCACAAACGCAATTGAGAAGAACAGCAACCTCCATCATGCGATGTGCACTCGTTGGTTGTGGAGTGTTGATTTTCTTCTGACAAACTGCATAGGCCTGGAAGGGGCAACGATGATCAGTCAAAAATGTTTAGCGAAAGAGGAGAGGGAGGACGGGAGGCGGCATGATCAGACTTTTTGTCGCCCCGACATGTCTGGGAAGGAGATTAACGTCCACCGTCCAGCTTACCAGTTCCCCTTTCCGCACGTCTGCCAGTTACAAACTTTGGAACCACGCAAAGGCTCAAGCCAGCTGCTAAGGATACAGAAAGGAAACTTGGTTGATGCCCTTTGATGCCGTCCATTGACCATGGCATGGATTTCAATCTGGACCGGCGGTTGCAGACTCAACCAAACAGCGCATCCCTGTTTCAACACAGCCACTCGTATCTCCGCATACACCTTTCTCATCCTGGCAGCAAAGCGGGTAAAGACGTTATTGAAAAAGCCATCCTGCAGGGATGCAGTGACCATGGTTCAACCGACGGAGTGACAGCGGACATGCTTCTACCCGTTGTCAATTGAGCTTGCAAGCTTCGAAGTAATGCGACTCGATCAGGCGGGAGGTGAAGGCCCATTGTCTCATCTAATTTTACCAAACTCATGAGGCTGGGAGGATCTTCGCTGATCATCTGCTTTCAAAGACATTCTTATGTATCCGCATAAACCGAACCTGTAATAGAGCACGAATACCACCTCATCACGTCCAGCGCATAAACCATCAAGAGCTGCAAACCATCATCTCAAATCAACCCACCCCCTGCCCCAAAAACACGCCCGAACCTCCCTCGCCCCCTTCCCCAGCAACGCCCCCCAAACCCCCGCCGTCCCCGGCTTGACCAACTCCTCCACCTCCAGCGAAACAAGCACATCAACAACCCAGTCCTGACACCGCCGCTTGCCGTCTCTTGGCGCCGGCTCAGACCGAATGATCTTGATGACCTGGCGGCGCTGCTCAGTCGTTAGATCGGCGATCTTGGCCATCCCCTCCGCTGGGAACGAGGATATGTCGATCCCCTCGCGCGCGTCGAACTGGTACCATAGCGGTGAGAGCGAGATGGGTTGGACGTGCAGCAGGTCGCCGTATGTTGCGCTGGGGGTGCGCAGCAGGAAGGACCAGTGGGAGCGGCTGGTTGGGGTGAGGCCTAGGCCTGAGATGGGGAGGAGGAGTTCGTGGGTTTGGGGTTGGGGTTGGAGTTGGGTCATTGTTTTGTTTTCTTATCCGTTTGTTGTATTAATGTTGGTGCAGATAGCGGACGTTGGTGCTTGGGTTCTGGGTCGGTTAGCCTGGCCGGGATGGAGAGGTAGGGTGGGTTCTGATGCATGCTGGTCTTACATAGCATGGACCTGCTACTACTGGTGACCTTGCAGATAGCTTGGTAGCACGGGGCTAGAACCCTCGGAGGATATCGATATCGCGATGCGTTCGTTGCCTGCAGCTAGAGTGTACCCGGTACCGGGCTAACTTGACCGTTTGCACGGCGATCTAGCAGCTCATGCTAGTCTGGTTGAAGGTGAAGATCGTCAGATTGACGAGATGAGATGCGATCAGATGAGGTGAGATCGGCTCTAGGCAACCAGGCATCCCACTTGAAGCCTGGTCTGGACCAACCAAGCAATCGAACTAAGCGCGGGCGTTGTGAGACAGAAAGTGTAAGCGAGGCTTGTCATTGGAGTAGCCTGTACTTTTGTCACCACCTCATTGTGATGGTATACCAGGACGAGGAGCGTGTGATCCCAACCAGAGAGCTGTTTCTAGTTGCAGGAAATAAGAAGGTGCTTCAGCAAATAGTGCCTGTCCGTAAACCTCATGTCATGTCCAAGAACCAACCTAGATAAGCAATATACATACCAACCACCACTTGCACTACTTACTATATATATCCAACCCTGTCCCAACAACTATCCAAGTGACCCCAAAACATGCTTCCAACTGCCCAGCAATCCAAACCACTACCTTCCACAAATTCCACTTCCCACGACCTGCGCTCGCGGATACAGTACCCGTGGCGAACCACCACTCATAGGAACCGGCACCTCGCCATTACTCGATACCGTAATATCCTGGCAGGTATAGCCCTCGATGAGTTGAGTCCCCGCAGCGTAGCCCGTATTCTGAGCATAGAACGTCGAAGACCCAGCTCCAGAGCCGGCGTTCGTGAGAATCGTAATAACCTGCGATCCATCGTAGCCCTTGCGCATGACGAGTGTGTTGGAGGTTGTGTGGACGGCATAGTTCTGTTGTTTACCACATTAGTCTCGACCAGAGACCGGAAATATATTGATGGCTAGGAGCATACCATGTAAGAAATGTAACTCTCGTCGAGATAGATAGCATGGTTTCGGATCTGATTGGTCACGGCAATGAAGTTGTATAACTCGCTTGAGGTGTCGTACCCAGATAGCCAAATTGCCTCGCGGTTTGCGGGGTCGGCGTTACCGGAGTAGTGCTGTTCTTGACCCGCGTAGATGATGGGGATGCCGTCCGAGAGGATGACAAAGGCAAGGACGTTTTTGGCCTGCGAGATGTCGTTCGTGTACCTGCGCAGGTGTTTAGTAGTATCCCAGATGGAGATGGGGTTGAGACGGCTCACGAGGGAAAGCGCGGGTTATCGTGGTTCTCGATAAAGTTACCCAGCAGCGTGGAGTCAGGGCAGATATACTTGACTGTTTCGATCATGTTGGCCAATTCGCTGATGCTGCCGGATGTGGAGCTGAAGGCCCTGAGAAGGGGGTAGTAGCTTTGCACCGTTAGACTAGACAAGGGTGATGACGGGAGGGGAGAAAGGTACATGGGATAGTTCAGCACCCCATCCATAACATCCTGATAAGCACATGTATACGACGGGTTACCATCAAAGATCTCGCCCACAGCATAGACACCCGCGGCATTGTTGAAATCACGCCAAAAGTCTTTCTGGACGTGCTTGACTGTGTCAACGCGGAGACCGTCGACTATCACCATTGTCAGCCAAATCAATCTACACCGCACTTAGAGGATGAAAGAGATCATACTAGAGTAGTTCGACACAAGATCCGCAATCCAATCATACCAGATAGTCTTCACATCTTGCCGGGTGGTATCAACATCCGGCAGGCTGACGGCGTCCGTATACAGCCAGCAGTTCTCGATCGAGTCCTGGCTATCATAGTTGATGTTGCAAGGGGAATGGAAGTAGTCTTGGCTGTTGAAGGGGTTGAAGACGCTGTAGTCCACCGAAGAGGCAGGGGCGTCGTATCCCTGCAGGTGGTCTTAGTACAGGTACGTCCACGGGTATAGGATGCGATGCCTAGGCTAAGACTGAGGGACTCACCATGTGATTGGCAACTACGTCGACCATCAGGTACATCCCCCGCTCGTGCAGCGCGTCAGCGAGCGCGCGCAGGTCATCTTCATTGCCGAAGTGCGGGTTGAGGGCGTATCTATCTCATCATTAGGCTGGTTCTATAAGAGTAAAAAGTCGACGCACATGTCCTGCTGCCAGTAGCCGTGGTACGCAGCTCCGTGGGCCCCATCCTCGAGGTTAGCAGTCACCGGAGTGATCCAGATGGCCGTGAAGCCCATGCCCTGGATGTAGTCCAGCTGGTTGATGATGCCCTGCCATGTCCCGCCGCAGTATTGCTTGTTCTAGTTAGCAATAGGATGCAGTCCAGACCTCGGCACAATACATACGGCTGCACTAGTATTGCATTCAGCAGTTGTCGAGTTGTCGGTGCGGGCGAAGCGGTCGGTGAGTAAAAAGTAGATGGACTGCGAGCGCCATTCCGCCGGAGTCGCTGCCAGCGCTGCTGCTGCAAGGGAGAGAACAAGGGCCGACCGCATGGTCGCAAAAGGGTTATCGATGGCTGTGATGTGCCTACAACAGATACTACGGACATGGCTGTATTTATAATGGTCCAAGATCGCCTGACGAGGTTTTAATCTCCAAGGTCCGGCCCTGGTCGGAGGTCTCTGCATTGGTTGGTGGGAGGTCCGCGCCGATCCAGCCACGATGCACCGATGCAGGAAGATTTCAGGGGGCCAGTGGGGAGAAAAAGGCAAACTGTAATTTGAGCCCTCGCAGGATGCGGGGAAGCCCTTGAGTATCATTGGTCTGCGGTGCCTGCTGAAGTTGCATTCTATAAACACTACTCACGGCGTTTCCGGCCCCCAGCGCCAGCCACACTCACCACTGCAGAGTCCAATCTAGCCCCCAAGCACCATCGTTTGTAAATCGGCCCAGTCCGGTTACGAATAGGACCCGCGACTGGACATCATATTCTGCGGTCACCTGTTGTCCGTTGAAAGTCACTGCGGGCGGCTCGGCAGGGACGCCAAAAATGGTTACATTCGCCAAAGGATTGGTTTCCTTCCAGTCGCCTTGGGATGAAACACTAAGGGTGGATTGAGAAATCGCAAATTGAACATCGAGCGCCGCTTCTGGTTGGATGCTCTCCCCGTCATCCAGATAGAGCTTGCCCGATGCAGTGCCGTCACTACCGAGAGCAGCCAAGAGTGCCCATGGCGTCTTCCGGGCTTCCCTGATGGTCAAAGCAGGTTCTTGCATTGGCAGGATGCTTCCTCCCCGAACATAGACCGGTATGTGTCCGAGGGGCGCATCGATTGTGGTGTTGACTCCGGGCTGGGCGTCGACTGCGGTCTGCGTGTACCAATCGTACCATACCTCTCCCTGCCCTACTCCCGGGAAAACGCCCTTGACAGTACTAACTTGGGGTTCGAGAACTGGAGTCACCAGGATAGACGGGCCAACCAGGAACTGATTGTCAATGGCTGCGAGAGAGGGATCGTTGGGAAACTCCCAGGCTAACGCCCGAAGCACCGTAGAACCCGTGACATGTGCATCTTGCATCAATGTGTAGAAGTAAGGTAGCAGGGCATATCGAATTCTCATCGCCGCCTTGCTCGCATCTATGACTGATGCCCATCGGTAAGGCTCCTGGGAAATCGCCCCAAGGACATTATGGTTGCGATAGAAAGGGAAGAAAGCCGACAGCTGCATCCACCGGTTGCAGAGTTCCTCAGCAGAGTTTCCACTAAACCCGCACGTATCTACTCCGAACATTGGTATGCCAAAGAGAGAGAACTGCAGCGCCTGCGAGATGGAAAAGTACATCGACGACCATCTGGAATAGTTGTCCCCGCCCCAATGGCCTGCCCACTTTCCGGACCCGGCAAAGGTCGAACGGCCGATTATAAACGGGCGCTTCTCTGGCGCAATACGAGTCAAACCCTGGTGGGTTGCCCGAATACCCATGTGCCCGTACAGACTGTGTACATCGTACTCGTGATAGCCATCTACATGGGTAGCGTTCGGTGAGACCGCATGCACCGCAAGGTCATGTCCCCTCTGTACATGATTGATCACGTAAGGCGGGTAGTTCACATTACGGACTCCAGGCGTGGGCGACGTACGCAAGTGCGGGCTGGTAGTCGTCGTAGTCTCCGTAATCGTGGCTGCGGCCTGGCTAGAAGAGGCCGCAGAGGCGGAGACAGCCTCGGTGGCATTAGACTGCTCGAATCCTTCAGGATAGTCGTAATCGACATTTCCCGGCGCACCCGGCAGTCTGAAAGGTGGATGGACTGGGTTAAGTGTCCGGTAAGGGGACCCGCAACTTCCCACGCAGAAAGACGATACTTCACCCATGTCATACCATACCCCGTCAAACTTGACTTTCTCATACCAGGTGACAAGTTCGCTGGCCCAGAAATCGGCCGCATCTGGGTGATGCCAGTCGGGATAAACGGTATAACCAGGCCAAACTGCCCCAATGTACAGGCTGCCATCTGGATTCTTGAGAAAGACGTCTCGTGCCGCTCCACGAGTGTACGTGTCATAACTGGAACTATCAGCAATACTCAATCAGATGCAGAATCAAAACTTACGCGTCAGACGGATTTTCAGGATTTGGGATGTATAACGCCGCATCAACAATCGGGACGAAATGGCGTCCACCTGCGTGAAGTTTGTCCAGGAACACTGTGGTGTCCTCGTACGAGAATCGAACCTGGTCGTTGTCAAAATCCCTATAGCCATGCATGTAATCGATGTCGGCCCTAACCAACGTAAGCAGCAGCTCAGTCAAATATATACTGCGTACTAACCAGAGATACTCCAGCGGAATCTCGAAATTTACAAAGTTGGCCAGAACATCTTCAAAGACCGACCAATTACTGTAACCCCAGCGGCATTGATGGAAGCCAAGTGTGTCGTACTTTTGCATAGCAGGGAGTCCAACAGTGCTGCGCTGGTATTGCATCGTTACTTCTGCCACTGTCGGCCCCGAGTAAAAAGTGAGGTCGATGCTTCCTCCAATGGTCCGCCATGTCAGACCTTGAGGATTCAAGACCACCTCATGGCCATGAGAGTTTCTGAGGAAGACTCCGTGCGAGTACGAAGTATAAGATTGCGTCGGGTCAGCCTCGCTGCTCTTCACGTATGCCTGCTTGCCATTTCCATCCACGGCGTAATATCTTGTATCCACGTAGAATGCATGCTGTCCGTAGATGTTTCTATCTACAATTAGTGCCTGAAGGAAGCCCACATAATGCAACGTACACATCAATTGGGTTGCCAATGTCGGCAGCGTAGGTGGTCAAAGTAGCGTTTCTCAACAGGCGCAGCTGATTGATTCGCTCTCCTAGCCCATACAGATTGTATTCCTCCGGCAAAGTCGTCACAAATTCGATGAATTGATTCTCAAACACCAGGACAGAGCCGGCCGTATTGAAGAGCACTTCTCCGGTCGATTTACGGGCCACCTGGAAATTGAAGGTGGCATCGTTTGACCATGTCACAGAGAAATCGCTGTGCGACTCGGAGGCATCTGCGGCCGGTTCCGGCCGGGGGACGAATTCTTCTGGAAGAATATACCAAGACGCGTTCGAAGCGTCGACGTAGGTAGGAGTGATTTGTATGTTCAGGCGATCGGTCTCCTGGAATTGTACCTCCAGGGTCAGCGAGTCGACATCCGTCCCGTATACATTGCATGGCTCTCCGGCCAGAGTTAAGCTGGCAGTAAAGCCATAGGCTGTTTGTTGCACATTGGACGCCCGGTAGCCAGGACAGACGGACTGGGCATTGACGGCTTGCGGGTCATTCACATTGGCGATCAATTCGGCACCGACATCGACGAGGTCTGCGAGGGTGGCCTGGGCACGTTGGGCGGTCGCGGTCGCAACCTCGGCAGCGGGCTGGAGGGCGTCCTGGACTGCCCCGAGAGCTAGAACGGGGAGGGTCCCAGCTAGGTGCATGAAGCGGACCATGGTGGGGGAAGATGTAAATGATCGTACGATGATCAGACAACCAACATGGCCTTGCCCTTGATTTAAGGAGATTGTAAAGTCGACAGGGAAATCACAGTCACATACGTACGGCCTTGAGCATGCTGTGGCACCGTCGCGGGATGATCATCCGCTGATGTTCCAGTGCAACGATGGATGCAAGGGGCCTTGGTGAGGGATTGTTGTTTGCCCAGAGAGGGGCATCGCGAAGCCAGCTGATAATGCGGGGAGACCAGCCCCCGCGCGGAATCCAGGCCAGAGCATTGTTGAGCTTGGAACTTGGAACTCGAAGGGATCGATCGCCGGGTAGCGGTGGAAGAGCGTTGATTGGCCAGTCGTCCGATAAAAGACCGAGCCTATAACAAGGCCGTTAAATCTCAGGATCAAGGGTGAACGAGAAGAGGTCGAGTACTATTCCAGGAAAGATGGGGAGGTTGTGGAGTGCGAGGAGGGTCCATCTCCATCTCCCCAGAGACTCAGCGAGCGTAATATTACTGACCAAGTCCCCAAAATTACCGGTGAGCAACTCGAGCCGCCGGCTTCCAGCCTCCTTTACCCCTACCTACCTAGGCGAGCGCCAAAGAACTTGCGACCAAGCCTCAACGCTGATCTTGGTATCCTTGCGGTACCATGTCCAAATCACATGGAATACAGAGATCCAGCACTCCAACAACGTCAAGATTGTGACTGCGAGGCCGAAGTCGGCCCATGGAGTCCTTGCTGTGGAGACTGGAGAAACGACAAGCAGGCTACGAAGAATCGGCATCTGACGCTGCGCTGCATCGGTTTCCTGCCTTATCGTCATCCAGCTTTTCCTCGGCTTCCCGACTTCCTTGGACCCATTAAGCGAGCCACCAAATGTCCGACTCTCTAGGTCGCTTCCCTGTCTGCACTGGCAAATGCCATCGCAGGAGGCTGTATTATGCCATGGATCACAGGCAAGTAGCATGCAGGGGGAGGGCTTCTAGAAAATCACGCATCCTGCCAGAACGTCATCCCGGGCAACAATCCTGGATTCAGGGGTTCTGTAGTCCGGCTCTTGGGCCTGTACGTAGAAGGAAACGGTAACCTCGCTCGTTCTCTTGAGAAGGGGCAGAGCTTGAGCGCAGCCCACCAGGAAGCCTAACGCGAAGAAGCCTTAAGAGAACTGCTAAGAGCTACTGACAGACGAAGCCGAGAACTGATGGTGTAACGCGGGGCTGGAGCCTGACTATGGCTGCAGGCCACCGGAGTATACCAGTGGAGTTAGTCTCTCCTGCGATGTTTTCGCTCTTTATGACCTCCTCCCCCCGCTCCCTTCCCCAGATTTTCCCCTTGCATCCATCCATCTGCAATGTGCTAGAACGTTTCGATATTGCTCCGACCGCGACCGCCATGGCCTCGCGAGGCTAGCACCTCGTTCACCCGCCTCCACTCATACTGCTTGTCACTACGAATCCGGCCCTCGACATCATGGCCACTCCAGCATCTCCGAAGCACAAAGCCTTCAAGCAGGCCTGTGACAACTGTCGTCGGAGGAAAATCAAGTGTTCGCGAGAGCTTCCATGCGACAAATGTCAGCGCCTGCTTCTCTCCTGCTCATACAGCGATGTCCTTCGCCGCAAAGGCCCCAAGTTCCGGACTCTGTACCCTCTAGCACCCATCCATCCGCTGGTTGCTAGACAGCGACAGTTTCTCCAGTGCGATCCCCAACGATACTCTACGGAGAGGGAATGGTATGCGGATCCAACAAGTTACCCGATGAGCGGCTCGCCGGTCTCTCCGCCGTTCACCATGGAAGAGCAGCAATATCTACCGCCAGAACTCCCGGAAACATACAGCCGATTGCCCCCTCCAGAACTGGTCTCTTCGCCAGACTCTCTAAACTCTCTGTCAGACTCTCCAACAGCGGTGCTGTTCCCATCCCCGCGGATTCTCACTGGACCTGTGATACTGGCGCATGTCAACGTCTACTTGAAGTACATGTTCCCCATCATGCCAGTCGTTCGCAGCGAAGAGCTCCAGCAGGATTGCCACCACCCCGAACGGCTGACTCCCCAGCGGTACGCTTTTCTGGCGTCTCTATGTGCCGCTACACATATCCAGCTGAAACTCGACGGAGCAACGCCCGTGGCGGATACGTCGCATTTTCAAGCCGGTGAAAATTCATTGATGTCTGGCGAGGAACTACTCGCCGAAGCCGTCCGAGCAAGAAAAGACTGCGATCCAATCGAGGACATGAATTTGGAGAGCCTTTTGACCTCGTTCTTCTTGTTCGCTTCATACGGGAACTTGGACCGACAAGACCACGCATGGTTCTATCTCTGCCAGGCGACGTCAATGGTCTTCACATTAGGGCTTCATCGTGAATCAGCATACTCGGAGTTAAGCACAGAAGAGGCGGAGCAGAAACGAAGGGTTTTCTGGCTCCTCTTCATCACAGAAAGGTATATCCACCAGACTCAAGTAACACACAATAACTAATCTATCCGCAGGGGCTACGCACTCCAACAAGCGAAACCAGTAATGCTCCGCAACTCCATCCACAAACCACAAGTCCTCTGCTCCGACGACCCAATCCTCGCCTACGGCTTCATCAACCTGATCGGCGTCTTCGAGAGCCTCAGCGTCAACCTCTACGACTGGGTCTCTGCAGGCGGAAGTGGAACCGGAAGAGACGGGTCCTCCGAGATGCCGCCTACATCTGCTATCCAGGCAAACCTCAGCAAGCCCATCTCCCTCGTGGGTGTCTCGGAAATCCAAAAAGTCGATATCCTCATCACCCAGCAGTGGTTGCAGGCTATGATGTGGAAGCTCTCTATGACCCGTGCTTCGCAGCCGGGTTCACGGAATGAAACCGTCCTCCCCTTCCATCTGCCCGTGCTGGTAGGGAAGGCCGTGATGACTGTTATCGCGGAGGCCTCGCAAGGCGCCGTGGACGCGCACGGTATCGGAATGGTTAGTCCACTCTCAAACCACACCATCTCAATCCCCTACAAGAATTCATAACTCTCTCTAACACGACGTTGTCATCCAGGAACAAAAACTCTTCGACCTCGGCATCTCAATCGCAGACGTCTCGCGCTCCCTCTCCACAAAAGCCGCAAACACCCTCGCCGAATCCACAGTCGACCCCCGCGAGCTCCTCTGGGGCATCCTCTCCACCCTCTCCCGCATCCGCGGCTCCCAGTCCTACCTCTTCCCTTCCCTCCTCGAGCGCTGCAAGGGAACACTAGGCTTCGATGTCCCAACGCCCCTGTCCATCAGCGATTTCACTAACCAGAACATCCCCTCCTTCCCACCTGCCGTATCTGTGTCTTCTACGATGGCGTCCGAAACGACCTTTGGCCCGTGGCCTGCGCCTGCGCCTGCGCCTGCGCCTGATGATAGCGCTGCGAGCAGACCAGCGGCGAATCTGAACACGGGTTCATGTGCGTGGGAGATCACGTCTCTTCCTGACGACTCGAATGACGAGCAGCCTTCGGGGTCTGGATCGGTGCCCGGCTCTCTCCCGGGGTCGCGGATGATTCCGCCGACCAGTATGGCGGAGCTTTCGTTTCAGGAGGCGGGTTTGTTGAGTTGATCTCCTATCCTTAACCTATGTGTGCACACGCATATACTTATCCATATAGCCCTGCTGTGATGTCCACGTCACATTATATACCTCTCAATTCGGCGGAGGGCTTTGGACGAGCAGGTCTACCTACCTACCTAGCGACCTACCTCTTCTCTTCGTGTATCTAATTCCCTTATCTTCTCTCTGCATGTTTCAGTAGCGGGGACAAACTCGACACGACATGGCACGATATACATTATATAGACTCGATGGAATGAATACTTCTACAATTCATATATTCTTTGTGAAGACTCATGCGCCCCGATAGACAAATGAAGAATAAGATATTTCTTTCTTGTTCAATATTAACTAGAGTAGTGTAATTTAATGTCTCGATTTGACAACACAGACGGAACCCAGCGCCTGATTTGGTCGTTCTGTGCACGAAGACGGACAGCAGCAACACGGATAAATATAAATACAACGAAGCGAAAAGAAAAGACGACAGTTGCGGTATCATGGGGACATGGAGATGGAAGAGTCATGATCTAGGTCGGGGGCGGTGACATCAGTCCGCTGGGGACGGCAGAGACAAAAGTGAAAGTAGTCTATATATGCAGTCAATAATGCATGCAATGCAAGTGTGGTGGTGTTCACCAGAGTTTTCGCAGGGAAAAAAAAAGGGTATGGCGCGATATGTAAAAGCGAATGGAAAAAACATAAGTGAGCATGACTACTGCCTTCGCCAGGTCAATTCAACCACCTGGTCGCCGTGGGAGTCATCCCGGCGGATGTACCACTGGCGCACCTGGTTGCCGTCTGTGACCGATTCCGTCATGAGATAGCTGACCTTTCCGTCATCTTTCTCGCGTAGAGGCCCGAGTTCGTGCATAAAGGCTTCGCGGTTTGCCCCGTGGTCACCGTCCCATGTCAATTCCATTGAGTGATCGTCAAGACTCAATTCTTCACTAAACTTGGTGATAGAAAACCCGTTGGTCAAGGTCCAGCCGTCTGCAAATCGGAATTTGCTCAAAAGGCATGAGTCGCCGCAAACTTCGCTGACAGTGCTGAGTTTGGTCATGTCGGTGTTGAACCAGCTCTTCCAATGATGAACAGATAATGGCAATGGTCGAGCTGCTTCAAAGAATCCAGATGCATCGCCGCGGAAATCGAGTTGGCGCAATCGGTGATCGATCGTCAATGACGCGTCAGAGTACTGGTAAATGCAGAGGGAGATTCGGCGATCACCGGTGTAAACCATCTGTTGGCAGGCGTCAAAGACCTCGGGTTTGCTGAGTTGCTCAACGAGAGGCCGAGACAAGAAAACGCCAGCGCCTCCGAATCCCATAAGCCCAAATAAACCGATCTGTGCCACGCTTTCCGACACTCCACCGACGTACACTTGCTGGGTGTGGTCGTAACGCTCAAAAGCCTCCACTAAGCCTTGGATAGAAGGGAAAAACGTGTCGTCGTCGATGATGCAAGACCAACGAGTCTCTTCTCGGAGGTTGTGAGCCAAGTGTGAGACCAGGGAGAAGTACCGGGTCTGGTATTCCTCGTCGTTCTCCGTTACGAACAACTGAATACCAAGCCTTTTGGCCTTTGCCAGTACTTCCGGCACCCGGCTATCGGGCTCAATAAGTGCAAAGATGCGAACTCCCGTGTTACCAGCCCAATGAGTGAAGGCATCCAACGACTCATTCAACCTATCCCATGTTGTAGCGACACCGAAGTCGAAGTGCGACGCGTCAATGTGTTGAGGGGGTCGTGGGACTTGTAAAGTGAGCGGGCTGGCGATTGAGCAATCGCTCTGCAATGGCTCTGCGCCCTGAACCTTCTTGCCGGTTGAATGCTTATCAAATAGGGGGATATCGAGTACTTGAGTCAAGGGTAGGTTGGTCGGCGACTGAACTGCAACCACTTCCCGGCGCACGTATTGCGACAGCTTCTTGACCCCCAAACGTTCCAGAACATCGCGATCGGGCTGGCAGCCAACTTTGGAAGTAACTGTAATGTTCTCTGTCGAGGGAGAAGCAAACCCTGCGACGGTTTCTGCGGTTTCCGTAGCGGCCTGGACTATTTCCTGTTCTAGTGTATGGCGATTGATTCGAGGGCTGATAAAGAAGAGAAGGGTGCCGATTAGACAGGCGGCGGCGAGGAAGCGAGGAAGCTTCTTCTTCCAAACCCATGAGGAATTCATCGGGCTTCGATCCCGGAGGCTCAGTTTAGACATGGTCCAGGAATAGATCCAGACGTAAATTATGTGTGCTCGTCTCGTTATTAGGCGGAATAGGTTGATGGGGATGCGATACTAGCGCATTCGCATCGCGGGCGCACAAGGTGGAGAGTACGATCAAAAGGCAGAACAAGGTAGCGACTGTAGGGGGCGACTGAACAAGCGAGAGTTAAGTATTAAGAGTGGAAGATAAATGAGGTGGATGGAGAAGCGAGGTTGGGGGGTGGGACGGAGGCAAAGATAAAGAGCGAAGTACGGAGGAGGAGCACCGACCAGTCCAGAGTCCAGACTCAGAATTATCATCTGCAGCTGCGAGCGATTCAGAGAGGGAAAGGGGCGATCCACTCTGCTGTTGCTTCTGCGGTTCTTTTTCTGTGCTCTGAAGAGCTTGTCTCTGACTCGCCAGACGGTCTGGAGCCGCGCGTCAGATTCTTAACCTTCAGGTGCTGATCACTCTACAGTACGTATACTACGGAGGACTACTAGCCTCAACTACGACCTTGTGAAGTCATAACCGGTCGCTATATGGGCCTCCAGCCTTCCAAAACATGGCAGTTAAGTCCCAACCACAGGAGACTTTTCCGAAGACGAATAACCGTTGATGACGCGTAATAGGCGATCCTTGTGGGAGACGGAGCGGCTGGATGCGACCCACGGATCTTGGCGGTTGGAGGCCAAACTGGCCTTGCAACCATATGATCCTGTCCGGAACTGGCAACAAATTGGATGTTCATCTGTTGTCTCTGGCATCTACAATAATAACTTCTGAAATAATGGAATCTCATGGCATATTGTGTGCGGACTATAAGCATGAATAAATAGGCGCTCCCCTGACAGGCTGAAAGTGGTAATAAGTCACATGCCTCGGGGCGCCGCGAAGCGCATCTCCCGCAAGGCATCCGATGCATGCCCGTTGGCGTTCTACGGCGGTTCTATTATTGGCGATGAGGCGAACAGGGTTACTTCAAGGCTCAACCTTAGTTAGAGCCCAGAAACAAGTTCTGTACGACTGATAACGTATGCACCGCACTTTGCACCGAGTTCGGGCATTGTATATTCTTGCTTGTGTCTGAAAGTGGTCCTGCTCCCCCGCACGATGGAGTCCCATGTTTTGGATTCCTCAGATCCTTTGCGCTCGCTGCTCCAGCCCTGAGCCTGGGCTCCATCTAATAATCCCGCAACCTCGTGCCCCTCCAGTTTTACCGGCTTCACTGGCAAATATGTCATCAGAGCACAAAGTAGTCCTATGGTTTCAACAGTGCGCACAGGTAAGCTTAAATATGTTTATAGCTTTTGTAGCTAGAAGGTTAAAAGGTGATCCACGACCCATGGTCGTCAGCCTTACCGATCTTCAGGGTCAGAAGCCGGGAATGGAATATTGCTGCCTTGAAGGCCAGGCCCTAAAGACGGCCGCAACCGGTCTAGCTTCAGCTGACTGGATCCTTACTAATCAAATGCTGGCTACGGCAATCCAGGAAGACCAGATACGCCAAGTTCCCAATCGGGAAATATCCGCAGTGTGGGCAAATGGTGTTAGCAATTCCATGACACTACTGGAACCTACAAGCTCTATCAGCAGTACATGGGACCGTGGACAATCAAAGGTCTCCTGCTATAGTGCGCCATTCCGGGCAGTCTTTCCTTCTACCCGCGTGCTTGCGTCTACTCCCCGTGACGCACGAAATCACAATGTCCACGCAGTCGTTGAGCTCGCTGCTCTCCAGAGCATCCATTGACGATCATGAAGAGGTCCTCCGCGCGTGCGATGCTGCCTTGGCCAAATCGAGATCCGACAGCCAGGCGCAACATGTCAAAGTGGTTGCTTTGCTGAAACTCGACCGTTACGAGGATTGTCTACGTGTTTTCGAGGATGGCGGGGATAATCTGAAGAAGAAGGCCGCGCTGGAATACGGTTACGCCCTTTACAAAACGGGAAACCCAGAAGCGGCCATTGATGTGGTTTCTAGCCTGGCTGACGACCGAGGTTCCCGTCACCTGGAAGCCCAAGCTGTATGTTGCCCCGAGACCTCTACGTGGACAGTTGGCTAACGATTTATTTCCGGGCTAGACATACCGGGCCGAGAAGTTTCACCGTACGGCGGAGTTATACCAAGGGCTTGCTCGAGAAGCAGCACCATCGGCGAATGAGGAGAACGATTTACGGATCAACAGCTGGGCGACGGATGCACAACTGCAGTGGAAAGGCCACCCCGAGTCCGTCCGCCATACCAGACCTACGAGGGACGATTTGGAGGCATTCGAAACAGTCTACAACGCGGCTTGCCTAAGCATTGCCAAAGGGGAATTTGATCAAGCTGGATTACTTTTGAAGCGTGCTAAGGGTTTGTGCCAACCAACCGGATGACATGAATTGGGCTGACGGTCTCTACAGAACTCTGCCGCACTTCAGAAGATCTCACCCCTGAAGACAGAGCCGCCGAACTGCTCCCAATTGCTGTTCAGCAGTTGTATGTTCTGATCTGTCAAGGAAAGTCGGAAGAGGCCGAGTCTATTCTCCAAGAAATCTCAGTCAAAGAGTATGCCGATTTGAACCAGTGGATAAACAATAGCTTACAGAACCACAGAATCCCCGAACTATCAACGAAAAGGATTGGTCAGAATAACGTCGCGATTGCTCGCGGCACCACGGCGAACCCCTATGCCCTATACAAGGCCCTTCACGAAGTGCCTGACTCGATTGAGAATGACAAGCTGTTTGACTACCAATACAACGTCATGACAGGTAATCTTCACGCCGTCGACCTCCTCGTCCACAAATACGATGGCATCATCCGATCCACTTCCAAGGCTCTCTCGCAAGCCCCATATCCTTCGACAGAAGCTATCACGAACCTCTTGTCAGTTTACAACGTGGCAGCGCAGGCCAAGGGTGAGACAGGAACCCCAGCGTTGAAGGCCATTCTTTCGGCGGTAGACAGACGACCCAAGGACATTGGCTTGGTGCTCACTGCCGTGCAACTCTACGTGAACCTGGGCAATACCACCGCCGCGATAGTTACTTTGGAGAAATCCCTCCAACTCCTCGACGAGTCTGTCTCCGAGCAAGATAAGGAGATTCGCTTCAACCCCGGCTTACTTAGTGTTCTTATCGCCTTATATAAACGTGAGGGCCGGAAGACTCAGATCAGGGCCGAATTGGCCAAGGCCGCAGCGTTCTGGAAGGAACAGGGTACCCAGCCAGCGTCACTTCTGCGCGCAGCGGGTGCATCCCTGCTGCACTCATCGCTTGCTTCGGACTCAACCCAGGCTGCAGAGTTATTCAAGTCACTGTATGAGAAGACGCCAGACGATCTATTCGCCGTTGCTGGCTATGTCGCTTCCCATGCAGCTATCGATTATTCTCGAGTCGAAGCTCAGGCTAAATACCTTCCTTCTGTTGACGACCTTATTTCTGACGTCGATATCGCCGCTCTTGAGGCTGCGGGCGTTTCCCCGTCATCCTCCACAACGGCGGCTGCTGCCGCGGCGATCGCAGGAGCAAGGAAGCGGCCTGCACCCAGCAAAGATCGTGTTGTGAAACGAGTCCGAAAGTCTCGGCTTCCCAAAGACTACGACCCCAGCAAAACAGCTGACCCCGAACGGTGGTTGCCGCTACGTGACAGATCAACTTACCGGCCTAGAGGGCGAAAAGGCAAGCAGCGAGCTGCGGAGCGTACACAGGGAGGAGTGGTCACCGAGAAATCCGAAGAGACTACACCGTCCGGACAGCAGCAGCAGCAGAAGCCTCAGGTCGGGGGATCCAGTCAGAAGAAAAAGAAGAAGGGCAAGCGGTGATCGATGTTATATATTTCATCAGATCAGGCGAAAATCATCTAGGACCATACTTCTAGTTAACGCGGCACGGCATATCAGCTCCATTACAACCGTGTACAGTACTCAGCGGATAGAACTTGTCTATAGGAGCAACCGAAAAAGCATATTACCAACTAGCCAACTCATCTCCGAACAGCCAAACAGTCTCTAACCAAGCGGGGTGCGAATCGTGCCGCACTGTCTATCGTACTGCTCGAATATTGTTTGGAACAATTTAATATCTTGCAACGAATCCCTCGCCGTCGTCTTCGCCTTCTTTCCATCAACCAGATACGCATATAACGCCTTCAGCTCCTCCTGATACGCCTCCTCCCACGTACTCACCGTCTCTGTCTGCATCAACCCGCCGCGCTCATCTGCCCGTTCAATACCTACGCGTACCGGTTGCCCTCGCGCATACGGCAGATCATAATGAATTGTCACCGTCTTGTTCTGCCCATATACCGCAAACTGCGCATCACACCGGGGCACGCAGTCCGTGCCTGTCTCGTACATGAGTGTAAACGGGTGCTTGCGCTTGCTGATACCCCCGGTGCTCCCGTTGTAATGGAACAGCGCCGAATAGAACGGCTCATTTACGGATATATTCGAGATGGCGTCCGGATAGCCTAGTGTGTCTCGCATGATGCCGAGGTCATGGCAGCCCAGCGAGGCAAGGAAGCGACTTAGCGCAATACGCTCGCGGTTCGGCTGCTCGTCTTTGCCGAAGACTTCTTCCATTAGGTCGCGGAGGCGGGAGGCTTGGTCTTCGCTGCTGGAATCGTCGTCTTGACCATGGTCCGTTTCGTTGTCGCCGTGCTTGGCTGCAGGTACAGGTTCGGGCCCGGATTCATCTTTCCCTGGAACAGCCCGTATACTAGTGGCTGTGTGCGCAATGTGCGGCCCCGCGATCATCCTTAACCGGGCGTAATGGATCCTCTCGAGCGCTGCGACCTCCTTCTTGAACACGCTCTCGAAGCAGGGTGCGTACCGCCTCGCACAAGCTACGAATACCCTTGCCCCGTTTGGCGCGTCTCGCTCCGCAGCCAGGATCCGTTTTGCGGATGGGATGCTTAGACTCACGGGGGTCTCGACCATGACGTGCTTGCCGGCTTGCAGGGCGGCGATTGTGTAGAGTTCGTGGTATTCGTTCGGCATGAAGTTGAGGACTAGGGATATACTGGGATTGGTAAGGATGGTGTCTGGTGTGGGCGTGGGTTCTTGGGAGCCGGCGGAGGTGGAGATTGAGGTGTAAATTGCGCTTATGGTGTAGAGGTTTGAGAGGGCTTGGAGGGCTGGTAGGTAGATTGTTTGCACGGGGTGCGTGCCTGCTGCCAGAATGCCGACGGTGAGGGGCGCTTGTGTTTGTGGATCTGGTTGGGAAGCCATTCTGGTACTTTGTCTGGTTTGGAGCTTTCGTATAGTTCAGATGGTGTATATAGCAGGTATAGAGGATAGGCCACGAGCGGACTTGAGCTCCGAGAACCTGTTGGACACTGAGATTCCAAATGGCACCGAGTTTGACTATATTGACAACCTCACGCAAGGCGAGCGAAGTAGTCGTAGTCAGAGCAAGCAAGGGATAGCAACTCCGCAAGAAACGCTGCGCAGGGACTGTCAAACCACAGAGACGTATCTGACTGAGAGACCGGGTCTGATGGGGAAGTTCCGTTTGACTTCTGATAGAATCCTCTTGTACAAACTTTTCAGATCGGGGAGTATTTCCGCAGTGACATCAGATGCCATGTCTGTTAGCAAGATCTCTGTGCTTTTGCGGCTCATAGATCTGTGCATTAGACGTACTTTTGCCGCGATATCCAAGCTTGAACAGTATAAGTCAGTGTAGTAAGATCGTGTCAATGGCCAATGGACCTGTTGGTGCCTAACAGCCAGCTGCATAGGGTATCACCCATGGCCATGGCCGTGTCTTTGATGTCACGGAGTCATGAGATTCAGCCTTAAGGGTGGTACCAATGTGGCTGAGCAGTCTATACTCAATCAACGTTGGGGCAGTGTTTGTACGGAGTATCGCGGGTGGAGCTTGTGCCTGCCTCCTGGAGCTCTGGAGCTTGGATTGGATCCGCAGCTCAGCCTTCGCCAGCATCATCGTCTCCGTCACGGCTCTCCGAACTATTTATCCCCTTTGCCATCTTCTTCCTCGTTCCTTCTCTTTTTCAATCACCAGTCCATCTCAGCCACATTGGTATTTAAGATGGGAGTAAGTAGGCCCCCTCTCCTTCCTCATATAACAGCTCGAGCTGCCCCGCGTCTGCTCCCTACCCCGCTACGTGGTGCTTCCACGAAGTCATCCATCAGCTTTGTCAGTGAAAGTCGAGACCTCTCAGTTAACCACAGAGTTTTTGCATCATCAACAGTTCGCTTCGAAGATCGCCAACGCCCAAATGAGCGCCTCCAACAACTCTGGCGGCGTCTATGGAGGAGCACCCCCTAGTGGCTACACAGGTGGCCCTCCTCCTACTTCGGGCCCTGGTCCTCAAGGTGGATATGTAAGTGCAGAAGAATGTTGATGCCTGCCAAGTGGCCATATCATGCCCCTCTTTCGCCCAGTTCTAGTTTCCCGGCTGATGACGTCTCCAGCCGCAGCAGCAGCAGCACGGGCAGCAATCTCAGCAGCCTCAACAGTACCAGGCCTACCCTGGTGGATCGGTAAGCTAGTTTTCTTTCTCTTCTTTTCTTTCATTCTTCTTCCTGAAGTGTGTGTTTTCGCTTTTTCTGTCTGCTTGCCAGTTACGCGTGTTCTCTCGCTTGCGTGGCATTATTCATCCGCAGCCCCTCATCAGTCCCATTAACACTTTCGTCATCCCATCTCTATTCCTTTTCAGTCATCTTCCTCTCCTTTGCAATCGGGAAATATGTCTCGTCCGTGGTCCAATCAAGGATATCCTCCTCCTGCCGGCCCGCCTCCGCAGCTGCGTCCGGGGCAGTCGCCATCGCCTTACCCGCAGTCTTCGTCACAGCAGTATCAGCAGCAATACCAGGCTTACCCTCCGGTCCCGCCTAACAAGCCATCGCCATCGCCTGCATACTCGGGAGCGCCTCCGCCTCAAACACATTCTCCAGCACCGTATTCACCGCATACGCCTCATCCCCAATCCTATTCTCCGGCGCCTTCTTACGGCAACGCGCCGTACAGACAAGGCTCTCAAAACTACGCGCCAACCCCGCCTCCAACTCAGCCTTACGGAGCGCCTGGCCCGAACTACCCCCCACAACCTCATGTATACACTGCCCTAACTCTTGCCATGCTTTTCGATCGCTTGATTTTATTCATTGCATTTCATCTCCTATACTGGCGACAAGCTAACACGGATCATTTTAGGCCTCAGGTTATCCTCCCCAACCCCCTCAGAATGCGCCGTACCCACCTGGCCCTCCCGGAGGTCAGCGTCCTCAGCAGGGGCCCCCAGCAGGTGGCCAGTATGGCCCGCCCGGCGGAGCTGCCGGCGGAGCTGGACCTGCTACTCCCCAGCAACTGGATGCTTATCGGCAGCTTCTAATTGCAACGATCCAAGAGAAGAATCTTCAAAATTTCTACCCTCCTGACAAACTCGACCGGCTGGTGCAAGGCCTCTCTCGAGATGGACCTACCAAGGTCAACAGAATTGTTAACGAATTCGCTCTGCCTATTGAAATAGCCATGGATGTCATCAAACTTTCGCTCTATGATATTGTCCTTTATGTGGACGATAGCGGCTCCATCGAGTTCGAGGAAAAGGGTGTCAGAAAGGAGCAGCTGAAGCAAATCCTTGGAATCGTCGCGACTGTGGCGTCTACCTTTGACGAGGATGGTATCAGCTTGCGTTTCATGAACAACGACTTCATGCAAAATAACATTCGCAGTGCGCAGGATGTTGAGCAGATCATTTCCAACATTCGCTTCTCTGGTATGACTCCTTTGGGGTCGGCTTTGAGGACCAAGGTGCTTGATCCCATCATCGTAGGCCCAGCAAGAGCAGGCCGCCTGCAAAAGCCGGTGCTCGTCATCACAATCACCGATGGACAGCCTGCTGGAGAGCCACTGGACTCCGTATCTCAGGGAATTCGCTACACTGTTGACGAGGTCTCGAGAACCCAGTATGGCCGCGGTGCGGTTGCCTTCCAGTTCTCGCAGGTCGGGAACGACACCAAGGCTCGCGACTTCCTCGGCAGTCTCGATAACGACCCTAGCATTGGTGGTTTGATTGACTGCACATCCAGTAAGATATGACGTTTCAATATCAAAGGGCGCATTAGCTAACGTATTTTCTAGACTTCGAGGTTGAGCAGGACGAGATGTCGCGTGCAAACCCACCTGTCCACCTCACCCGTGAACTGTGGTGCGCGAAGCTCATGCTCGGCTCTATCGATTCATCATACGACACCAAGGACGAGAAGGGTAGCGGCCCGTCCGGTGCCCCTCCTGGACCTCCAGGCCAGTACGGCGGTGGCTATAATCAGCAGCCAGGTTACCCTAATCAGTCTCCCGCCCCGGGATACGGCTCGTCTGCACCATACAACCCCGGACAACAAGCTTATAGCCCTTCTCCTTACCCTCAAAGCAGTGGACCTGGCGGTTACCAGCAGCCCCAATATGCACAACAACCTTATGGCGCCTATCAACCGGGCTATCCTGGTCAACAACCTTCTTATGGGGGCCAGCAACCACCTCCACAGCAGTATGGACAAAGGCCCGGTGGAAATCAGTACCCAGGCCAGCAGCCTCCCTACGGACAACAGAGATATTAGGCCAGTGCGCAGCCATTCGACGACCGGATGGGAAAGGCTTAGTGCCCGCATGTATCCTTTATAATGACTTTTTGCGTTTTTGTCTACTATCATTGCACGTTCTGTCACTGGTGAATTCCTGGAAACAAAGGGACAGTGGGTGATTCGATATGGATGCAAAGCTCTCGCTTTTGTTGATCATGACCGTTAAACGAAAATGCTATGATGATTCCAAATTGACTTTGTCTAAGATAGTGCGGAGAGGTACACCCTCAGGTCTGCAATATGCATATAATCAAACTCTACCTCTCCAGGTATCCACACTGCAGACCATGTCCATAGCATAGACATGGTCCTTGCCTTATAGGCCTGGTTAGTACAGTAGCTAATAAGAGTAGGACATAGTCTATATTGCTATGGCATTTATAGTTGCCATAGAGTTCAGACCGGCGGTATTCCGTATCTACACAGTGACCACGAAGTATAAAAACAGGTGGGTCGTTCTGTTATATGCAGGCCAAAGGGGACAAGGAGGAAATGAGGCCGGGGCCGGGGCGGGGGTATGGCTCGGAGAAACACCGGTGGCAATTCTAGCGCAGTTCGAGCGGAAGTTTCTCCGACGCCAAGCAGCGGTGCCCCGCTTGGCCACTGCAAAGTCACTAAGGAACTTCTAGCTTCGTTCCAGCGGAGTTCGAAACTCGACAGGTCTCAAAGGCTAAGCACCATCGCATCAGATGGTGCATCATAGTGGCAGGCTGGCAGCGAACTGCCGGTTACGTGTCGCGAACGAGAGGGTTGGTGGACAAATAAAACGATAGGACGCGGGGACGAGACCCTGGAGGCTGTGCAGACGAAACGTCTGGTCGGTGGACCATTCGCAGTCAATTTAATTATAGCAGCTTGCGATGCAACGCTCACTCGGGCTTTGTTGCCTCTCAGGCAGCAGGTTTGCTCAGATGACATTGATCGCAGATGTCACTAAGTCAGTGGTAGTAGTACTGCTACTCTAGAAGATATACTTGACATATATTGTAGGGCCGTCCAAGGCACAGTAGGTGTACCTGTCAGAACCGTTGGATTAGAGTGGCCTCCACTTTGCCTCCAACCACGTTGGTTACGTTACGCCGACGCGGTGTCCAGAGATTGGCGCTGTCTGGCCCGAGATCCAGCCCAGCCTGGGGTTACGTTGCCCCCAAGACTTGGAGGCCCTGTTCACGACTCTCCCCGTTCACACCTTGGCCTCTCCTTGTCTCTCTTCTTTTCCCCTCCATATTTTCTTGTTATTTTATTTTCTTCTGTCTTTCTCGTTGTCGTATCGACGATCGTTGCCTGCTGTCTGGCTTGCATGCTGCCGGTCGGTCCACCGTTGCTGTTTTCGGCCAACCACGTCTTTTGACTTTTTACTTTCTGTTCCTGATCGGCTGCAAACAGTTGTGCCTGCAAAGATCCAGCTTTCGCATTTTGCATTTGTCTTTTAACGGCCTTCTTTATCTTCTTCTTGTGCCTATTCTCCTTTCCTGCTATACATTGTTCCCTCTTTTGCTTTGAGAGGATGAGTCCAATTGCTCGCCTAACGTCATAACGCCCCGCCGATCAGCGCCTGTACGACCGACCACTCGATTATTTTACCCACGGCTGGAGTCGAGGCTGACAAGATTGAATTGAGAGATTGAAGGGCAGAGAGAGTCATATTTTCAAGTGCCCCGACTGTGAACCGTTGACTTCATCATGTCACAGCCGAACAGATTGCCAGGCTCAAATCAGAATCACAACCCTCATCAGCCGCGCATATCTCAAGACCAGCATACCTCCTCTGATTCGACGTCACAGATTCTTCCGCGGCCGCCACAACCTTCGAGAAGCCATTCCCTGCGTGCTCCCCCAGGACAAACACCGCACTCACCCTCGCGAACACTATCGGATTCAGGAAGGAGGTCATCACAACATCAACATGTCCGGTTTTCGACAGATTTGGAGCTCCCAGCATTGGAAAATAGACAAGCTTCGAGGGAGCAGGACCGACGACCGTCGTCTAGAGGACTCTCTATCAACACAGGCGTAGCGAATACACAAGGCCCGTCCATTACATCTCCTGATGTCAATGCCAGCGGTGCCCCGAGTTCGACCCTTTCGCCGCGCTCGGCGCTATCCCCTACATCCCCACAGAGCCCAGATGGCGTTGGCCGCTCTCGATCACGAAACCGTGGATACTCGCTACGTCGGACGATTTTTGCGAAAAATATCGAATCGCAGTCAGCTCCTTCGTCACCAGTTGAGCTAGGACATATTGTGAAGACGGAGCCGGAGATTGTGGAGCATGAAGTTCCTGCGGCTGCCGCCGCGGCGCCTGGTGCGTCGGGATCGGAATCGAGCGAGAATGAGAAGCTGGAAGTCCATGTCGCGCAAAAATCTACCTCGGCCTCAACTTCCACGGAGCATGACCTCACCGTATATTCTTCTGACCAGACAGATCTGAAGGAGGGACGGAGTCTGTCCACGAGTTTATCTTTCGATCGATGGCACCACAAAAAGGCGGCCATTACCACACTCCAACTTCGCGTTGAGGATTTTCTCGAAACGCTTCGCAAGGTTATCCTCCGGATCAAGACCATTCCACCGAGCAAAGATGGTCGCCACATCGACCTTGAACCAACGCGAACGGAAGATCTGGTTGATGAGCGGACAGGGAAGCCATATGTCGAAAACTGGATTCGATCCAGCCGCTACAGTCTATGGAGCTTCTTCCCCCGGCAGTTCTTTGCGCAGTTCACCAAGCTCGCCAACTTTTACTTCTTAGTGGTTGCAATTCTGCAAATGATCCCTGGATTGAGTACGACAGGTAAATTCACCACCATCATACCCCTTCTAATCTTCGTCGGTATCTCGATGGGCAAAGAAGGCTTCGATGACTGGCGCCGCTACCGACTGGACAAGGAAGAAAACAACCGCTTCGCCTACGTTCTTCGACCTGGCGCAAACGTGCTCTCCCGCTCTGTTACTGGCGATAGCGCATCGATCTCGAGCGAGACACAGGACTGGGATCGAATCAAATGGAGCGAAATCAAAGTTGGCGATGTGATCCGGCTGGAACGCGATCAACCTGTACCCGCTGACATGGTCTTACTCCATGCGGACGGGCCTAACTGTACGGCCTACGTGGAGACCATGGCATTGGACGGGGAAACGAATCTTAAAACCAAGCAACCGTGTCAGTCTGTGGCCAAAGTGTGCGGTACTGTGGAAGGTCTCTGCAGCAGCTCCATACACTTCGCTGTGGAAGATCCCAATCTCGATCTGTACAAATTCGATGGAAATGTCTCAGTGGCTGCTGGAGAAAAGACACCACTGACCAACAATGAAGTTTTCTACCGTGGCAGTGTCCTTCGAAACACTCAAAGAGCAGTGGGAATAGTTATTTACACTGGCGAAGAATGCAAGATTCGCATGAATGCAAACAAGAACCCCCGCATTAAGATGCCCTCCCTTCAGGCCAAAGTCAACCGGGTCGTCATGCTCATTGTGGTTTTGGTCGTGGTGCTGGCTGGAGCTTGTACCATTGCGTACAAATATTGGTCTCATGACGTGGAAAGCCAGGCTTGGTACCTAGAAGATGCCAACGTGAGCTATGGTCCAGTTTTTACCTCGTTCTTGATCATGTTCAACACGATGATTCCTATCTCACTCTACGTGAGTATGGAAATCGTCAAAGTCGCACAGATGCTCATGCTTAATGCCGACGTTGACATGTACGATCCTGAGTCTGATACGCCGCTTGAAGCCCGAACCTCGACCATCAATGAGGAACTTGGCCAAGTTAGCTATATTTTCTCGGACAAAACTGGGACTTTGACGAATAATACCATGCGTTTCCGGAAGATGAGCGTGGCTGGTACCGCGTGGTTTCACGACTTTGATCTAGTCGACGAGGCTGCTCAAGAAGGTGAACGGGAGAAGCTGGTTCATAAGAAACGCAGCGTTAAAGGCAAGAAGGCCGTGTCCCGTCAGTCGAATGTGTCCGAATTCCGGCGGTCTTTGGCTATAACCAGACCGTCCATGTCAACCTATGACGGAGCTCGCAAGGAGGGGCTATCTGTGCCGAACACTCGCACAACTGATATGCTCAAGTACATTCAACGCAAGCCGTACACAGTATTTGCGAGGAAAGCAAAAATGTTTATCCTCGCGATGGCTCTTTGCCATACCTGTCTGCCAGAAGAAGATGAATTTGGCAACACGACCTTTCAAGCTGCTTCGCCGGACGAGCTCGCGCTGGTCACGGCTGCTCAGGAGCTAGGATACATCGTCCATGACCGGCAGCCGAATACATTGACTGTCCGAACATATCCCAACGGACAGAATCAATCGCCTGTTGATGAAGTGTATGAGATCTTGGATGTGATTGATTTCTCCAGCGCCAGGAAACGCATGTCAGTTGTGGTGCGGATGCCAGACCGACGGATTTGCCTGTTCTGCAAAGGCGCTGACAGCGTCTTGATGAAACTCTTGAAGCGAGCTGCGCTTGCTCAGGAGAAAGTTGTCGAGATTGAGCGCCGAGCGAGCAAGCGCAAGGCTGCGGAGGCGAGCGAGGTCATTAGGCGAAACAGCGAACATCACTCTCGCAAGGACAGCGGCGTCCGGAACAGTTTTAGCCGTCCGAGCATGTCGCGGCGTCGCTCTAGTGTTTCTGGAAGGCACGTGTCTACGCTAAGAGATAGCATCGATGTTTGGCTTCGTGACCGTGAAACCGACGGTGGACTCCTCAACAGGAACAGCGACGTGGAGTATTACAGCCCGAGACCTTCGGCGCAAATTGGACGACAGTCCAACACGTTCTCTGACTCAGGAAGTTCCATCCATGACGACGAGGAAGATTTGGTTGAGGAGGCGCTTGTAGTTGACGAAGCTGCTGTGTTTGAACGTTGCTTCCAGCACTTGAACGACTTTGCTACTGAGGGGCTGCGAACGCTCCTATATGCCCACCGATTTTTGGATGAGGCTACGTATACAGAGTGGCGGCGCGCCTACCAGGAAGCTTCGACCAGCCTTGTCGATCGGCAAGAACGGATCGAAAAGGTCGGTCAGCAGATCGAAGAGCAGCTCGAGTTGACTGGTGCCACGGCGATTGAGGATAAGCTTCAGAAGGGAGTACCCGAGGCAATTGACAAGCTGCGTCGCGCGAATATCAAGTTGTGGATGCTTACTGGTGACAAGCGAGAGACTGCAATCAATGTTGGCCACTCATGCCGCCTGGTCAAGGACTACTCTACTCTTGTGATCCTTGACCAAGAAATGGGCAACGTGGAGGAGTTGATTGCGAACCTGACGAAGGATATATTGAGCAAGACTGTGGCCCACTCTGTAGTTGTGGTTGATGGGCAGACGCTTTCCATGATAGAAGCAAATGACATCCTTCGCGCGGCCTTCTTCAAGCTTGCCATTCTTGTCGAGTCGGTTATTTGCTGCCGTGCCAGTCCGAAGCAGAAAGCTTTCCTGGTAAAGTCGATTCGTCGGCAGGTGCAGGACTCGGTCACTCTAGCGATTGGCGACGGTGCTAATGATATTGCCATGATTCAAGAGGCCCATGTTGGCATTGGTATTACAGGTAAAGAGGGACTTCAGGCTGCGCGTATCTCGGACTACTCGATCGCTCAGTTCAGGTTCTTGTTGAAGTTGCTTCTGGTCCACGGGCGGTGGAACTATATGCGAGCGTGCAAATACACACTGGGAACGTTCTGGAAGGAAATGCTCTTCTACCTGACCCAGGCCCTGTACCAGCGATGGAACGGATACACCGGTACAAGTTTGTACGAACCATGGAGTCTTAGCATGTTTAACACCCTCTTTACCTCTCTCGCTGTCATCTTTCTTGGCATATTCACCAAAGATCTCTCCGCATCGACCCTTCTCGCCGTCCCAGAGCTCTACACTAAAGGCCAGCGCAGCGAGGGCTTCAACATCCGTCTCTACCTCGGCTGGACATTCATGGCTACCTGCGAGGCAATGCTTGTCTACTTTGTGATGTACGGTCTCTTCGGGAACATCCTCTTTACCACAGGCAACATCAACGATATTTTCTCCGCCGGTCTTCTCACCTTCTCCGCCTGCGTTATCATCATCAACACGAAATTGCAGGCCATTGAAGTTCATAACAAAACCTACCTCTCCCTCGCCGTCTTCATCATCTCTGTCGGCGGCTGGTTCCTCTGGAACATCATTCTTGACAGGCAGTACGACTTCAAATCCGGCGATGGTATTTACCACGTCCCCGACAACTTCCTCCTCCATTCTGGTCATGATCTTGCTTTCTGGGTCGTGCTCCTCATAATTGTCACTGCGGTTATTGTCTTCGAAATCAGTGTCGCCTCGCTCCGCGCGAACCTCTTCCCAACCGACGTTGACGTTTTCCAAGAATACGAGAAAGACCTCGACATCCGAAAACGATTCGAAGAAGCCGCCGCCTCAGAACTCCAGCAGGGCTGGGACCACGGCAAGAAGAAATCCAGTTTCGAGCTCGCCCGAGAGGAAGCCGAGATGGAGGCGCGCGAGAGACACGTTGCCGAACTGCTTGCAAGACCCAGGGTCATGAGTGATGCGAATAAGAATGATTCTTCGCGTGGCGTCGGCGTCTATGTTGAGTCCGCCTCGGAATCTGCGTCTGCTTCTGCTTCTGCTTCTGCTTCCGCGTTGGGAGAGCCGAACACTCAGAATGCCGGGTCTTCGGCGCCGAGACGATCAATGGAGATCCATGAATTGTTCTCCAAGGGCTTCGGAGCGATGAAGAAAGGACACTTGAAGTGACCTACTTCCTCCCTTTGCTTCTGCTTGTATCTATTTTGCTTTGATGTTTTGATTTCATGTTTTGCTTGGCGTAGAAGCACTTATACCCCCGGTGTTTATCCGTTGTCACTCATTTCATGTTAGATTTGCATTGCATGCGTGTTGTTGTTTGTCTTGGCCCTGTTTACTTGGGTGGTGTTAGCTTACTATACCCGTCGGTAGTTTGTGTTTGTGTCTTGTATTATACGAGGAAGTGAACATGATTCTTCTACTATATGCACTTGAGCTCCAACGCGTAACGAAAACGAATCTAGACAACGATAGAGAGTTAACAGCTTGCTACATCAAGACAGGAGCCTCGCCCCTGGAGCACTGAGAATATATATAGCCGGGTTTTCCTAACTCCGCCGGGCGGACAGTAAAAGATATATTTTTATGGACTCGTACCACTCTGTACTATACATCGTACCCATGACACAGTATTGGCAATGGAAACGAACAAGGTGAGGTTTTCGATGCCAACCACACAGAGCCCGATAGATAGATCATTCAGTTTTGTAGTAGAAGGCGGCCTTTAATTGTGCTCATGGTGTACAGTAGGCCGCAAACAACATGTGATTGGCTCCTTGCATGTATGGCATGTCAGACACGGGTCACGGCCACGGCCCGGACCCGGCGTTCACCCATGTTCCCAGTCTATGTAACTCGACTCCTCGAGTAGGTACTAGGCAGATGCCTACGGCCGGGGAGTATCTCCAGTCTCCGATATCCTCTAGGCTCTAGCCTGTGGTTTTTTCCCCCTCTTTTCCCCCGAGACCCACCGGGTTTTCCTCTACGGAGTACCTCCTCCACACTCTTCAGAGCGGGTACAAAGACTATAGACAGAGAGTTCATGGACATGCCCGTGAATCCGTATAAGGCACTGTTTTCTACAGGTGGCCGGTGCGAGACAATCTCATCTCCTCTTCTACCTTATCTACCTATCTCTCCGCCACGTTCGTTGGAGCAGTGGGGCCTGCGGACCAAAGTCTGCAAGCGCGTCTCAGCTTGAGCATTCGATTAATTTTGAACGCGGATACCGATAGATCATAGGACGATGCGAGGAGGCTAGGAACACGGAGGCGGTGCTTAGAGGCTAGTCCTTCCACTAGATCACTAGTGCTGCTCACGTTGGTTTTGACTCTTCATGTTCAAGGATGAACCATAAACCTGGTAGATCCATATTGAATAATGCCCGAGTCAAGTATCGCGGAGGAGACTTTGGGTGCAGCCAGGCCCACTCGAATTGATGATCCGGGGTCGCCACCCAGCTGAGCTGGAGCCTGGGGACCGGGAATCACGATATCTCTCGGGTCGTCGAAATCGGCCCGCTTCTACTAGCATGCCGTCAATGTGCCCTAAGATGATACTCATTCTCCACCATGGTCGTCTTAGCATGGTAGACGGCTCACATAAGAAGCCGACAACCTTCTTGCCGTTGATCATCCTGGAGGCGAAAAGAAAAGCGAAAGAAAATACATACCGTCAATCAAGATGGTCGGCATTATCGACACCAAACCGATCGTTGTGATCGCCTGCCCTCCGGAAAACGGACACACGCACCCATTTCTCCCACATGCCGTACATCTGGTCAAGCAGGGCTACATCGTACACTTCATTGCAGGCACTGAGTCTGAAAATGCAGTTCGTCGATCCGGCGCAGTTTTTCACCGTATCCACCGGGATTGGCCGCCCGGCGTGTTGGAAAAGATGATGACACTTCCAGATCCCACGCAGCGTTTCAACTTCGCACTCAGCGCTGTTTTTGTCGACTTGACCCCAGTGGCCATGCAAGTGCTGCAGGACGTACTGGAGGAAATCCGTGAAGAGCATCCGCAGCGCGAGGTGGTGATCGTCGCGGAGTTTGCGTCCGCTGGAGTTTGGCCGTTTGTGCTGGGGGCACCGCTACCAAAAGGATACACCCGGTTCCCGAAGGTAATCACATTTTCGACGTTGCCGTTTGCTGGTTCCAGCGTGGACACTGCGCCGTTTAGACCGGGCCTGCCGCCAGATTCGAGTGAGCAGGGCCGCGTCCGCAACGCGGCTTTGTACAAAGCTTTTGAGGAGTTCGAGGTGGAGCTGGTAGGACATGCCAATGCTGTTTACAAGAGGCTTGGTGCAGCAAAGAAAGCACCTGGGCACTTGTTAGATCTGTGGGCCACTGGGGGAGACGTCACTGTGCAGCCTTGTAGTCCAAGTCTGGAGTACCCGCGGAGTGATTTGTCGCCCAAGGTTCGGTTTATCGGCGGCACTCCTCGCGCAGAGGTCGACCCGGAACTTGTGCTTCCTGAATGGTGGAGAGAATTACTAGAAGCAAGAAAGGCCGAGAAACCAAAGAATATAGTATTTGTTTCCCAGGGCACGGTCATGGTCGACTACAACATGCTTTTGATTCCCACCATCAAGGCTCTGGCTGATAGGGAAGACTGTATGGTCATTGGAGTCTTGGGTCAAAGAGGCGCGAAGCTGCAGAACGTTACGGTACCAGCGAACGCGAAGGTGGTCGATTACTTATTGTATGCTGCAATTCTCCCATACGTTGATGTGTTCATCAACAACGGGGGATATGGAGGCTTCATGCAAGGCGTCATGCATGGAGTTCCCATGGTCTTAGCTGGAGTAGAACGTGAGTTTCTTCTGTATCCCAGCAGTTTAGTCACTGCCAATTTGCTCACCATGCTCTAATTCTAGTGGACAAAGCTGAGGTGTCGATGCGGGGAGAATGGGCCGGTATTGCGGTGAACTTGCGTACAAGCACTCCCAGTGCTGATGCCATTCGGGGCGGGGTGGACCAGATACTCGCCGACAGCAGCTTCAAGACCCGCTGTGTGGAGATTCAGCGTGAGAATGACGAGCTTGATTGTCGGACTCAGTTGGAACGCATCCTCGCGGAAGTTGTATGATCAATGCATGGAATCGAATATAGAGCCGAATATGAAATGTTTACCAGAATGGACCCTAGTGATCTGGCAGACTGAACCTGAGACATCAATCGTCTGTGGATGGAGGCCTTATTCGAGAGGTCGTCAACCGCTGTCAGATCTGGTAAGAAAGGTGCCCCCAATGTGGGCTCGATCGGGGCTGACCTCGGACTTCTCGTTTTGATCCGCGGTCGAAAAGGGCATGTGTTTTCGTGCGGAATTTGAATCATACTGTTTCTCTTCGGATAGAGAAAGTCTCTTTCCTTACATATTCGTGATGCAGTATACTAGCCAGGCCTGATAGAGGCCACGAACGACCTGTATCATTCGATCGGAGTCGGTTCAGCCATTTCCACCCAGCTCTGGGCGCGGAACGAATGTATATTGTTGAGAGTCCCGACGTGATGCAAGCTCGCCAAAGACAGATTATCGAAGCTTGGAGGAAATTTAAACAATAACCTGACAGTGCTCGGGTGAAGGGCACCATTGCAGGCGCCATGGTGATACTGGATGATGAAGACCATCTAGACTTGCAGACTCGGTGCCATGCACCGGTTCAGTATCAGCTAATTGCAGATAGAATTCCAGAAAGTCAATGCCGGAGAGTAATTGATAACGCAGTGAGCTGGTAGGCTCTTGTTCTGATAAGTATGTTATGAATCGGGTCAATAATGGAGGCTGGAACTTTATACTGCGGCGTAGCCCTTCATCATTGCGGATCGCAATCTTGTATTCACAGCTTCTCTCCAACCGTCCAATTGAGAATAGAATTCTATTATTGTTTCGGACGTTACTTGAGCCCGCGCTCGGTCTCACGGTGTACAGTTTGGCCAATAAGAACTAGACCACGGATGAGATCATGAGACTCACTCTCTGAGACTGTCTCATAGGCGAGACGGGGCCCAGCGGGCCAACGGCCGAGTGCGTATCAGACCGACGGGCTCCAGTTGCGCTCGCGACGTGGCTGCGGTTGCGACTTTCCTCAGCTCAGGCGCGAGTATCAGTAATTCATTTGGGGCTGTAGATGCGATTTGGGCTGAAGCGCCAAGGAATCGCCCAGCTTGGCTGTTTTAGGTTGATTATTACATCAAAGAAGAGCACAAGAGCAAGATCGTGAACTCAAAAACGGCATCGCCCTGCTCCACCTAAATCCGGAGAAGCTGCTCCGTTTTAATATATATCGAAGAGGACGTCCGATGAACTGGTCTGATCCGGCGATCTGGGTTTGCCTGGATCGATCTTCTCTCGATGTTGAGCCAGATGCTGCCCTGGCCCAGGGCACTGTGCCTTTCAGGAGCGTCGGATGCGTCTCCAACTTGTGAAACATACACTCTGCTGACACTACCTTCTTCTCAGCAAAGGACCGCGCCGACTTGCTGATTGAAGGACGTATCGGAGTGATTATGTGCCTGGAGTCCTGTACCTTGCAGCTCGTCACTCGTGGATCTGTCGGATGCCGACCGCCTCGCTCAACCAATGAAAAGAGTACAGCTGTGCACGGATCATCAGTGGATGGGGGCTGCTCCAGCTCTAACCGTTCAAGGTAGGTAAATTACCTGCCCCAAAGCTTGCCGTACGGGAACTGTAAGCCTTACTTCCAGACACGCTGTAAGGTGTAGAAGGATATCATGTTGGCTGCAGACACAGAAGGACAGCTGCATAGCACCTTGCCAATAGCTCGAAGCAGCCTCATCAAGGACCTGTACGAACTTCCAGGATGAAAAGCATGAGCGCTGAAACGACAATGCGCCCTTGGAGGCTGACGCTGCCGGTTCCCAAGCCAATGATAAGCGGGAAGCTGCGGGTACCTGAATTCTACCTTGGAACCAGAGAAAAACACCGGTGGCAGAAATAAGAATAGAACAACCGATCAAGTCGCGACGTTCGGATTCCGTGGGTGGCCGTACGGTGGAATCGAGCTCCTAACCCCTAACAGGTAAGTTCAACCACGCAAAACCAGGCTGCGGGCGCCGGGAACCACAACAAGCTGGCTGCTGCCCTTGACCCCTGGCGTCCGGCCGCGTCCCAGACTCTGACCTCGCATTTCCCCTCTTCTCAAGCTGGCTGAGGCAGTATGTGGATGCGTTTGTGTCACCTCAACCTGACCGCATCTTCTGAAACCGTCTTGGAACGAGCCTAGGTCACGCTGTCTTTTATTTTCTGACTGCTTAGTGCTCACGCGGAGTAGCAGATAGTTTTTTCGGTAGTGGGGTGGACTATTATCGACTCCATCTGGATCAGGGAGCCGGAAGCTGAGCCGAACTGGAATCGCAGGATGGCTCGAGCGAAATACCTGTAGAATACGGAGATGAAAGCTGTCCAGAGCTGGGGATATGTTCATGGTTCATTGATCGGAATTTTAGAGTCGGTGGTCGCCAGGTCGCCAGTGCCAGCCTTCCGATCATCCGATGAACTGTACGGAGTAGGTCCTGCTCCTAACAGGAAAAGCAAGAGCTAGTTATTGGACAGCGTACTGAGTAAGGAGATGCAGCTGATGCAGGGGTCACGGCGCCGCCGTGGGCTGATGGATGCGATGGTGATCTAGCGAGCGAAGCCGGCGATAGAGAATAGAAGATGATGGTATGCCAGGCTGGCAGCTGAAGCCTAAGAGCGAAACTTGGGTACTCTGTAGAGACCAGTACACTGTACAGTAGCAACAACATAAGTAGAGGAGCGCCCGTACTCCGTATCCTCGCTGGTGGTTGCCTTGATGACGAATACACCTGCCTTACCGGCCGTATCGTACCAGCCACGAGCTAGTGATCCCCAGACTATGCCCCTTTTGGGAGCCACGAGCATGAAGTCTGGCCGCCCTCTTCTCTGAGTCTCTCCTTTCCTCTCCCCTTCCCTCACCCCATCCCCATCCGTCTTTTCCATCGTTCTGTTTTTCTTCACATTCGCTCTTTTGATTCTTTTTTATCTTGATTTGTTGTTCCGCTCTTTAACAACATTTCGCCCGCTCTTTTCGCGTACCCTAGGTGTGATCCGCTCATTTGTCACCCTCACCAGTCCTCTACTAGACACACGGACAGGCATCAAGTCTCGAAAAGAGCTACCATTCTTTTCTTCCATCAAAGCTGCATAGGCCAGCTTCCTTCGTCTTCTTCGACACTTCATATAACTTCGACGCTTCTGTGACGCGCTCACAGGTTAGCTTTGCGTCTGGGTGGTCACTCCCAGCCAAAGCACTTTCGTTCCTTTGATTACACACTACTTCTCTGGCGCTTGACGCAGCTGGAGGCATTCGACTGTCGACCGGATCGTCATCTACTCTTTCCCTCATAGGCCAATCTCAACCTGGCCCTATCTCCTATCGTTTCTACTCTTCGCTCAATCCCTGCAAATATGTCTTCGACAGACACTCCCGCCCTGTCGACCGTGTCGACTTCCGCGACCGCGACTGCCCACGCAACCACTTCGCCCTCCTCGGCTACCTCGACCCCCTCCCCATCCACTTCTAGTGCCACGACTGCTCTTTCGACATCAGCTCGGCGCCCGCAGCGGAAAAGCACCCTCACCCAACAGCAAAAGAACAATAAGCGCCAACGGGCAACTCAGGACCAGCTAGTCCTTCTCGAGGTGGAATTCAACAAGAACCCTACGCCGACGGCCGCCACGCGCGAAAGAATCGCCCAGGAAATCAACATGACTGAGCGCTCCGTTCAGATCTGGTTTCAGAACAGGTATGTGGGCAATTGAGATGTCACTTCTCTTCCACTAACGGAAATTGCAGGCGCGCAAAGATCAAAATGCTTGCCAAGAAGAGCATTGAAACTGGCGAGGGCTGCGATTCCATCCCTGAGTCGATGCGCCAGTATCTAGCCATGCAATTTGACCCCAGCAAGCCTGGTGCGCGAGACCCCTTTGGCCGTACTGGTGGATATGGGGCCCATGGTCCATACCCCAGTGAGCCTACACCTTCAGGAAAAGTTGGTGCGTATCGAAGTGCATCTTCAGTTGATGAAAGTGCTCGTGCTGACCCTTACAGTGATCCACCATTTCACATGCCGGTCTCTAACAATTGGAAGTTGGAGGCGGATCGGACAAAACGCTATGGACCTTGTTGTTTTCTACTCACCCGAGAAGGCCTGCATGACCTATTATATCAACAACGATGCAGCCGGTTACAAGATCGAGTACCCATTTTCCTACATCAAGAACATTACCCTTGAGTCCGGTGATCAAGGACCACAACCCAATGGTGCGCCCCCACGGCCTTCCGGTCTCGTCGTCGAACTGAACAGACCGCCCCTCTTCTACATGGATTCCTCGAACTCGGGTGGCTTCTACCAGTGCGGCGACTTCACGGAGGACCAGCAAGCTAGTTCAATCATGATTCATCGTCTTGGAGGACACCCCAAGGTCCTGAGCGTTCAACTCGCGAAGCTGGTGTCGCTGGAGTCTTTCCAGAACCGTCTGGCGTACGGCAACTTCCCCATTAACAACCCCATGTCGCCGCCTTTCATCCCACGCCCAGCTTCGCAGCCGAACCAGTTTGCTCCTGCTTTTATGGGGATGTATGCAGAGAATCCGGCCGTGATGAACCTCCAGGCCGGCCGTGGGCACAAGCGCCAAAGGAGCCGCTCTGTTCCTGTGGCTATCGATTTCTCTGCATTGGGAGCGCCGATGACGTCGTTCAGCATGCCACAGGCTCCGCAATTTAACCACTCCGATTCAGGAATATACGCACCGATACCCCAATCGACACACTCACTTGCTGCGAACCTCCGCATTGATACGTCTTCCGGCTATGCTTTTGACCCGCGTGCGCATCCTATGTCCGCCACCACAACTGCTTCTCCGTCCGACTTCGCTAGCCCTGCCCTCTTCAGTGCGGGCCCTCAGGGAGATTCGACTCCGGTAGGTGGAGCGGGGGCTCAATTCACCTTGCCCTATGTCTCTCCCGCTGTTGATTCAGGCTTATCCACACAAGCCGCTTCTCCGTACTCGAATGTGAGCCACGCCGATCCTATGATTGCCAACCATTCGCCTCCCTTGACAAACATGTCGCATACGCCGCACGATATGTATGGCATGGGAAGCGAGCACCAGTCCGGTTATGCGGAGGAGGGTATGTCCCTAAGCAGTGGGTTGTTTAAGCACATGAACTTCTCATCTGTGCCTACCACAATGGGCCTTGAAGGCAACACGTTCGAGATGCCGATGCACTCCATGCCTGGGCACACTTCGCCCGGTGTCCAGGGTGACTATCAGGGCATCACATTGGAAAATGTTGACCCAAATGTTTTGACTCCGGGCTCATGAATAGCCAATTGAGCTCCATTTGTTTCTTCCTGGCTCACGCTATCCTTATCGAGTTCTCGTTCCTGGAAATGGAACCACCAAAAAGCCTCGCGCCCCGGAATTATCCGGCGAGCTTCATTTACTGAAGCGCCTCTATCCATTGTGGCATATCGGCTACTTGCTGATACTTCGACTTTTGACGACGAGGAATATATCCCTATTTGCGGTATATATTCCGAGCATCTTCACTTTTTGCTTTTTGTATTATTATCCTTCTACTTCGCGGCCGGCCCTTAGCGATTTACATTGCCCATTTGTTGGCACTTCTTTTTTTTTATTTTTTCTTCTTCGTTTCTTCTTTTGTTATCTTCTTGCCTTTTGCCCTTGGCCCTTTACGTTTTCTTACTCACTTCTTTATTGTTATCTTTTTATACTGGTCGGGCATTTAACGCGGTCATGCAAGAAGTCGGACTAAGATGGTGATTCCCTTTTGCTTTTCAGGTCGGCGGGTTAGGAATTGTTTGCATATTCCCTTTGTGATGAAGTCATTGTGTTTGAATCTTGAGTTTCTTCTGCATTGACATGTTCATCGCCTGTGTCTGCAGGAGCCGAAACTCTCCTATAGAGATAGTGTTAGTAAGTAATCTACAGATTCACCCACATTCTGCCTTTAAGCTATCGGGGTACAAGGGTATCATAAGGGCACCTCTATACATTCAGTCACTCTTTGACCTGTATCCTCGCGGCGCCGGCGCCTTCAACCCCCTGGACTCCGTCAGGTACCGCTCAACCCAAACCTCCATCTTCTCAAGTACATTTCTCTTTCCCTTGGTCACATCCTCTCCAACCCCATCCCGACACCAAACACTCCATGCCCCCATTTCCTTCGCCATAAGCACATCTGTCCCCAACCGATCTCCGACGACCGCAATCTCGTCCGCGCTCTGTACTACCCCACGCTCCCGGAACCACTCTAGCACCTCATTTCCACAGAATGGCTTCTTCTCAACAATCACGCCCTCCTTCGGAGATAGCGGTAACCGGAACACGGGGATCTTGAGCCCCGCCAGCCGCTCCTCAATTTCCAAAGCCTCGGACTCGTAGCGCGGGTGCGAGCCTGCGCGGTTCGAAACGATGAGAATAGAGTTCGGCGCACTCGTGATGTTAAATGGGGACGTTGGTGAGTTGCGGAGCATGTGGAGGTGCGCGTAGATGTTGGATGGGAATGTGGTTGTTTTTGCGGGACAGAGGGTGTTGTCTTTGTCGAGTACGAGGGCGCGAATCAATATCCTTCGGTTTCCTCCGCTTTCTTTTTCTTCTTGGCTTGCGTTAGGCGCGTACTGTGTTTCGAGGAGCGGACCGATTGACTCGGGGAGATGGGTGATTGTCGGGACTGTAAGATGCGGGAGGAATTGAGAGGGTGTGCTGAGGAGGGTTTGCACGGCGAGGTTGAAGGCACGAAGATTCGTATTTGGGGGATTCATCTTCGTCGTGCCCTTGTCCGGGTTGACTTGTCAAAGTGAGTGAAACAGTCTGTCTAGGTAGGGTTGTACGCCTGTAGATAAGGAGATGGCGGTGGGCTGGATCTCCAGTCTTGGCAAAAACTCCAACGCCAAATCCTCCGCCGCCATCAAGACCCGCGACGACCAGCTCTCCTCCCCTCGCTTTTGCAGTTGTCGGCCAATCCAGGCGCTCAATCCCTCGCATCCCACTCTCCGACCAGTCGTCCTTCTTGCGCACTGCATATCTCGCCATAATGGGCAAGTTAACTAGCACAATCGGCATCCCAATCAAGCTTCTGAACGAAGCTCAGGTACGATTGACTACCACCACATCGCGGCTCCAAAGCAGATGCCGCCGGAATTGAAAGCACAAGAACTGACAACTTCCAGGGTCACGTCGTTACCCTTGAAATCACCTCCGGTGTTGTCTACCGCGGAAAGCTCCTCGAAGGTGCGCTTCCTCCTACCTCGTTCCTCCCAACCCACTACCTACATCAGATTCTCGGCTGACAGAACCTTATAACTAGCGGAGGACAACATGAATGTGCAACTGAAGGACATCACCGTCACAGCGCGCGATGGCCGCGTCTCGCATCTCGACCAGGTCTACATCCGCGGAAGCCACGTGCGATTCTTCGTTGTGCCGGATATGCTGCGGTACGTTATCTCACTTCTTCTTTTTTTGCCTTTCATTCTAGCCTTGCACCGCGGCTGACGAAAATGCCTTTAATAGGAACGCTCCCATGTTCCGCTCACGAGGACAGCGCGGCAGAGGTGTTGGTCTGGCGCGTGGTAAGGCGACGGTGCAGAGGGCTCGGGGGCAGAGAGGTGGTCGGTAAATGAGATGAGCATGATCATTCGGAATCTGGTCTTGTCGGCGTTGGATGATTTTTATTTTCTATGCTACTATTCGTTTGTTACATGGTTGAAGGAAGAAAGATCAATAAAATTATTCGAATGGGCTGAATCGGTAGCTATACACTTGTTAGCTGGACCCTGGATTTTGGTACTCACATAATGCGAGATACCACCGTTCACAAGCCCGTCCAATATTCGCGTGACCCGTGGTGGTTGGTAAATACTGTGTAGTAAATCCATGGAGTTGAAGCCGGAGCTCCTGGGACTCCGCCACCATCTCCGCATCAACCACAAAATTCCCCAAAATCACCGATCCCTCCAGGTTTATTCCACACCGCAACAAGCCCTACTTTCCTACCCACACTTTCCTACCCACCAACCTATACACAAAATATTTACCTCGAGGTCAACGAAGGACTTTCCAAAAAATGGCTCCGCAATCCCCCATAGAGTCAAGCACAAAAAGCAAAGCCAAACAAATCCGCAACCCCCGCCGACTGCTCATCCTCTCCCCGGCCGCGCAATCACAAACGCTCATCCCCTCTCTTCTAAAACAGCTGACCGGTCACTCGCCATCGGAAACGCAAATCCAGACCCAGAGCTTCGCGGGGTATACGACGCATCCGCCGCTGCGGATTGAGAATCGGTATTATACCGCCGAGGTTCCGGTTTGGGTTGATGAGATTCCGGTCTCTACGCGTGCGTCTACGAATGTGAATACGAATGGCGATGGTGCAGAACAGGCAGCGGGACTCGGGTCTGCGGACAAGGAGGAGGATATATCCAGTACAACGTCGGAATCGCAAAAGATATCTGAAGGAGGACAAGGACGGAAGGGGGAGAACCCCTCCGCAGAATGGTCTCGCGAGTTCACTGGCGAGGAGGCGCGCGTTGTCCGTGATGCTATTGGCGCGGTAATGATCTGCCTCCGGAATCCACAACCGAGTTCGAAACTACCGAATCCCGAGGGCGCAGAAATACCCGCTGATGAAGACGAAGACTCGGAGGAAGTGCGCGGGTCAAAGGCATTCATCCGTGCTGTCGGGACCGTCCGCTCACTGATTGAGGAGGAACGCGGGGAGATCGGCTCTGTGCCTGGGTTATTGGTTCTCGGTGGGAAGAAGGAGAAGAAGGAGAAACCGAAGATCAGTGGAATTCGGGAGGACGATCTGGATCTGGATGCTGGGCTGGACGAGGCTCTGGATGAGCCGTTCTCCATCGGCTGGTGGGAGGACCAGCTGTGCGAGATGGGACTGATAGGGTTTGATGTTGTAGAATGGGATTGGACGCGGGATGACCAAGTAGAAGAGCGGAATCAGTATGGGGGTATGTTCCTACTCGACCTGTCTAAATACGCCGAATACGGTGCTAAATGAGTGCAGAACTTCAAGGTATGCGACGGGTTAAGGAGGTCCTCGAAACGCATGAATGGGCTGGGAATGAAGATGAAGATCTTGAGACGGGCCTTCCAGACGATGACGATGACCTGGAGCGTGGGCTCCTTGGGTTGGACGAAGAAGCCAGCGGGTTCAATAACGAGGTCGATGAGCTCCAGAGGGAGATGGTGGGCTTGCGATTTGCCATTGAGCGAGGCGGAGATGGGAATATTGACGACGACAATGAAGGAGACGAGGAGCTCCAGGTCGATGCCGTCGAGGCGCTCTTGACGCGCATGAGAGCAATCAAAGGTGGGAGCCTCCTTGATCTTCTGTGATACTTCTCTGGGTTGTTAAAACTGACATGCCCAGATATGAGTGATGAGTTGCCGGAGAAAGAGAGAAAGCGATTTGCAGCAAAGGCTGTGAGGGACATCATGAAGGAGATTTAAATTGTTTTCTCACATTCCGCTTTACATTATACCGCGGTATAATTTATCCTGGCCTTTGCCTTATCTATACCCCCTAACCATATGTCTATTACACATTTATGCATATACAGCTGTCTCCCATATCTCACCCGTCTACTGTTTATAAACAAAATACATTACTCCTTCTTACCCTCCTTCTTACCAGCGGTCTTGCGTCTCTGCCGAATCATGTGCGTGTACAGCACATACGAACCTAGAAGCTGATTAGAAGGTAAAACCCTCGGAATCAACGCCGGGAAAAGTGTATACTTACCAGGAACGTAGATCGCCAAAACAGCAACAATAAACCACCAGTAGAGCGGGTGAAACTCTTTCGCGGAACTCAGCGCTTTGTACGACAGAATGCACTCGCTGCTGATTCCAACAGGGTAGAGGACATAGAACGTGTTGTACCTATCACGCATTAGCGTAGCCCACTGTTCTTGCATGAGAAGTGAGCATACCTCAACCACTGCCACCACTTCGGCACGGTCTCAACACCCCCATTGACCTGCATAACAAAGAACCCATAGCGGATACACTCCGTGATGCCCCAAGCAACCAAGCATCCAATGTATCCCAACTCGCCAACCTTATCCTGACCAACAATACCGCCATGGAACGGGTACAGAACGGCCCAAACCACAAACAGCCGACTGGCAACCTGCATTACCGTCGTCACGACAGGGGCGCGCACAATGCCGACGAGCGAGTGCAGGATCTCCAACAGCGCGAGGGACTGCGTTATCTGCAGCAGCGGTGAATAGGTATCGGCGAAGACGGCGGGAACGTCGACGTCGAGCGCGAGCGGGTTTCGGCCATCGGCGACGAATTGGTTCAGAAGGAGTCTGAGTGTGCGGAAGGTGAGCGTGCTCCAGAGGAAGAAGTTTGCGGCGTTGTAGAAGAGGAGGTATTGGCGGGTTAGGCCGGAGGGCGCGCTGGATTGTTTGGATTTCGGTTTGGATGAGGAGGACATGCTGGCGATGTCTATTAGGGGATTGGTGATTGGGACTTGGCCGAGTAAGGAAGACGGAGGGAAATACGAAGGTGAAAGTTGGCGACGGAGGTTAAGGAGGTAAGGTGAAGTTTTGATGGGAATGCCTGTGATTGTTATTTGTTGAGAATCGGCGACACGTGGGTGTCGAGGCTTGGCGCTGCTTCTTGGGTGGCGTGGAAATGCAAAACCTTGGAGTCAAGTTAAATACTGTGAAATGGTATAGAGGTGCTGCAGTGAGTATACTTGAACATGGTAGAGAGAATACTGCCTCCAGGGCCGATTCGAGGCTTGCACAAGCATCAACAAGGAGTTCAATACTCCTGTATGCGCATCGACTGTGATTGGTTCGGCTTGCACTTCCACGAGCCTATTCCGGATCGAGATTCGAGATGCGCGAGGGATGGTCTTCAATGACTTTATGGGGATAGATAAACTACAGACGATACCTAGAACATGCTCTGTCAATGTAATAATGGAATCACTCTTGTACCATCACCCTCGCGGTAGCATTTAGCATTGTAGCTTTTAGCATTGTAGGTTCTATGGAAGAACGCCTGATACACGAGGACCGGTGATAAGACCCAACCTGGAGAAGGGGGTGTAGACTACACTGTACATTGTTCGCAACCTCGGGTAAATTAAGAGCGGGATCTGTAGCTGATGGTGTGGTTCGGTTTACATAGTACCTGCAAATCGGTTGTATCCCGGCCAAGGTCTATAAGATCTCTGGGAACATACCTACAAGTACAGTCATCCATACAGCCGCATCGCAAACCTCTCAGCGAATTCTGAAACGATGCGGCGAAATGAATCGGAAATTCCACAAGCACTGCCTCAGCTCAGCAACGGAGTGGAGGCCGTGTAAGGAGAGTCAGATATTCGAGAAGTTGCGCCAACAGCCATAACTCGGCAGCTACGGCCGTGGAAGATCTTGCCGTGTTTCAACATTAAGTCATTGACTCTAGATATACGGATTAGCGGGGTTGTAGAGCACCTCACCGTATGTCCAACTGCCACATTCTCACTTCGCAAGGGGCAGCAGAACTAACAGCTGACGACCTCGGAGCGGCCAGGGTGCTCGGCATTTTGAAATAGTCCGTCATTCGACAGCGTCGTATGCAGCTTGATGTCACTATCTCGGTGGACCAGCGCAAGTCGCGAGCCTTGGGCGATTCTGATCTGCTTTTGATCCGTACAGGCGGAACGGGCATCCGAGCCGTGCAATCACATCTGTAGATACGGAGTACGGAGTACTCAGCAACCAATTGCGATGAGTGGCCGGCTTGTGATACCCGCTTAGCAAGAGGCGACAGTGGCTCTGCTGCGCATTAGCATATTATTTTCAGGCACAATGGGATATCCCATACAGAAATAACGAGGTTATCCAGCATCAAAAGGAAAGGCTTTGGAAGACTGGAAGACGGCCCAAGCTTCGGCGGGCTTGGCGGCGGTTCATTTGTCATCTGCAGCCCACTGTGATGTCATTCCGAATGGCGCGCTCTGATAGGGCAGGTTGGCCGGGGAATCCGATCCCTCTAGTTCATGGATCGCTTTGTTATAACCCTATGAAAGCCAGGAGAACACTCGCGACTCGAACAGCGAAGGACTCGAGCGCTCGAGTCACATCTCATGAGATGCGCTGTCTGGCACCATTCATGTTTGGGGGGTGGCCATCACTTTAGACCCCGCACGGTGTCATACGGGGTATGACGAAAGAGCAACGGCTAAGGTTCTCAGTCTCAGCCAACCGTTGTCATCGTCGCTAAATTGAGCGGTCCCTGAGGGGGGCTAGACCGTCGCGATGATGTTGTGACCGTGCAAGTTGACAGGGTCCGGATGATTAGCGAGGGGAAACATATCCGGGAGGCTGGTGCACGGTGCAGTGAGCAAGCAACAGAAATTGTCGAAACGGGCGGCGGGGGCTCCATTCCCAAGTTTCCCGGATATCAGTGAAGCAGCGAAGCTTGAGGCTGGCAAACGGCTTTATAAGTGCCGCCTTCAAGATGGCCCGCGATGACGAAGAAACACGACAAGGAAGGTTTCCACGTGTTCAGACTGGGAGTTCAACTTTGTACTCCGTATTATTGTCAGCTGGATGGATCGGCACCTACGTCAGCGATGATCTCAGCGTGCAGACTGGTTCCATCTAGCGAAGAAAAAAAAGAAAAGAGAGCGAAGAGACAGGTCAATTCTGCCTTATTTTTACTCCGTAGACTACCATCCGCCGCCAATGCGACCTAGCAGCAGTAAGACATGCAGTTCCTCCCCTCGAGTCCAGTCTAAAAGTAGAGACATGACAGCGTGACACTGACAGGCGCCGGGAGTCGGGACGGCGATGAGGCTGCCCTGAATGACCTCATCGCCCCACAGAACGGGATTTGGCCTCAATTTTATCAAGGAGAACCGTTTCTCGAAGGCTTCGGGACAGCCTTGTCTTGCACGAATTGCTTTAAATAATGACCCGCCTTCGTAAGAGGGAAGGAACATGGAATGTTAAACAGTGTTGGATGAGATGCTTTCTAAGGAGATGGGTAATATGAACAGTAATGCCTATCAGCATCGGCAGCCCACTTGGTCCCTCTCCCCCTCCATTTTGCTCATTTTTTTGGTTCCTCCCAACCTCCGAACACAACTGCAAAAGGGGAAGCGGGTTAAATTTGAAAAAGAACTTCGCTCCTTCATCTCTCTTCTCTTCCCTTGATCTCCCGATTGGCCTCCTCACCCCTCCCTCCTAATAATCCTCCGCTATCACCTCGCAATACTAGGCTCTCTTCAGGCACTTTTAGCTCAAATCATTACAGGTGGGAGTTCTTTTCTAGCTCTATCTACCCCTCCTTCCCTCTCCCAAACCTACCTGCATCACGGCGTGACCATCACTGGTTGTTGTCTGTATCTCTCTTCTCCTTCCACCCTTTCCTCTGCCGGTACACACTATTGTACCAAGAACCTTGCTTCAGCCACCTTCTCCTTCTCTGCGCCATAACTCCAGGCGACTTTCCCAGATTAATCCTGCTGTCCGTCTCCCCTCGTAATAGCCTTATTGCGTAGGGCCGGCTTTTTGTATACCGCCATACTTGAGCTGCTGTAATTTCGCCATCGGTTCGTGGATCAGCAACTGACATGCATCTGAACCAGCAGACCCGCAAAGTAATCTCAGTATTCGTGTCCGTTGGGTAACTTCTTGGACATTCATCTGCGATACAGCCCGTGGCCCACCACCCACCCATCATCAATCAGCCGGCATAGCCTGACACATATCATCATAACCATGGCATCGTCAACTACTACCACCAAGACCACCAAGGAGGAGAAGCCGGTGCAGGTGCGTGTTTCGTTCTCTTGAATCTTCTGCGCGGACTTGACTGATATCAGACCAGTCCAAGCCAAGAACCCTGGCAGACATGTCCGAGAGCATCGACCAAGCCACATTCGAACAGATCCTCGAAATGGACGATGAGGACGAGCACGAGTTCAGCCAGGGTATTGTGTACGGCTTCTTTGAGCAAGCCGAAACCACTTTCGACAAGATGGAGAAGGCCCTGTGAGATCCCCTTCCCTTTTCGACCTGCCGCAGTCAAATGCTGATAGCGAATGCAGCGAAGAGAAGAAACTCGGCGAGCTGTCGTCGCTAGGCCACTTCCTTAAAGGCTCTTCGGCCACTATCGGGCTCACCAAGGTCAAGGACGCATGCGAGAAGATCCAACACTATGGAGCGGGCAAGGACGAATCGGGAACCAACGACGAGCCAGATGAGGAGGTGTCTCTCGAAAAGATCGAAAAGACGCTGGCGACCGCTAAGAAGGATTACAAGGAAGTAGAGACTTTCTTCCGCCGGGACTACTATCATGATGATGAGACGCCCTCGTCCCCCGAAGAACCCAAGAAGGACGCCAAAGCATAGTTCCACTTCTGAGGGTTTGGATGGACGAGGTAGAAGGTTGTCGTTACTACTGTCTTGTTAACTGGATATACCACGAGAGGGTGGCAGTGGACCAAGCCACGCCCTCCCTCCACCCATACACACAACGCTCGCATACTGCATCTCAACCACGTCAATGAAATCGAAGTTCTTTCACAAAAGGTACGACAAGATCCGACTTGGAGGGCCTGAACTTGAGGCTGGCTGCCCCGGCACCGGGCCGTGCGCTCGAGTGCCTGCTTTGTTAGAATTGTATGAACCCAAGGCGTTGCCATGATTTTTTTTGAGGTAGATGATAGGTCTGTCCGCATTATGAATGATGATATATCTCATGCAAACTGCCTTGTGGCAGGACTGGTAAGCAGCGGCAATACAGTACGGTCAGTAGTTGGGGGTCGGTCTTTCCTACCTATTTATGAGCAAAAAACGGACCAGTGACGACAATGCGGTTTTTTGGCGGGTTCTGTGAGACCACTCTGTACAACCTCTTCCTCCTCCCGCCTCACCTCGTCCTCTTCCACCACGGCCACCTCGCTCGCTGGCGTAAGATAGTCTGGCCCCAATTGGATGCCCCGTCTCTTGACAGAATATTCGGTTCCCTCTCCGTCCTCCAGCTCCGATCCCGACCACCCCAAACGAGCCCGCCGTTCTCCCTCACTTCCTCGATACCGTGCGCGTCCATTGATTGCACACGAGATCCAGGTCCAGACACGAATCTTCCGAATCGAGCCACGGTGTTTGTCGAGCAGCACAACGCCGACGGAGCAGGACAGAGACGCCGTTTCGTCTGCACTCAGTCGCTCCGTCCGTGCGGTATGTTGAGGGTTGAAGGTTGCACAGCAGACGCTCAAGCGGGAGGCGATCGACAGGGAACTCCCGAGTCGCAGCTCGCTCCAATTTTTCCAACTCTCGGCTCGATATTTACAGCGCTTTTCTCTTCCAGTGACAGTGGCAAGGTGCGGATGTGTGTATCCAGAGGGGCGTGCGTGCGTTGTGTTGTGTTCTTTTCCAGGTTGATCAGGGTCAAGCCAATCTTTTTTTCTTCCTCGGATAGCGACAGGATGGGATAAGGGAAAATGAGGGGGAAGACACCCCGGCCGGACTAAATTCAATTGCCTGTCGACAGATTGCCTAATCATGCCTACCTAGACTGCGCTAGGTAAGGTAGAAGGCCGTTCTCTTCAAGCAGCCCTAATCAGACGCGCAGCTTGCACGGTACCTGGTTAACTTGTCCGCGATCGTCGGCGGGCAGGACAGGGAAGGACAACAACGGCGCTGCATGCATGCATGCATCCCAGTCGCAAACGCAACAAGCTCAGTCGGTAGCAGCTTGGTCCCGTCCTCGAAGCGAAGCAGAACGAAGCATCCTTGACCAGCATTAGGTGGCCTGGAAATGGTCTGATTGATTGATCGACTTTTGCCATTGCCATTGCAACTGCCTGGCAAACTACATCCCCGATCCCATCGATCGAGGACCAAAAAAAGAAGCCCTGGGTAACTTGCCCTTGGAAAGGGGAGAGATATCAGTCCCCCTATGGAGCCACTTTTTTGTTTCCATCCTTTCCTCCTGCGCATCGAGGCCGTTTGTACGACGCTTCTTTGCCCCATTGGGAAGTAGGCAGCATCCCGGCGCATGTCTTTGACTGGACCACGGTCGTGTGTTCCTTTCTTTGATCGGTTGTGTAGGTATTTAAGTTTGGCTTTGTTGAACTTGCCATGCTGCCACTGCTGTTATCTTCCTGACCTATATCTACCACCACGACAGAGACAAGAGACACGCCTGTATCTTTCTTTCTTTAGAGTCAACCGTGCAACAACGAAAAGATGCCCCCGGTAGGGCCCCGCGCCTCCAAAGAGGAGTTCATGGCCGCCCTCGGCCTCAACTCTCACGATCCACAGCACGAGCAATTTTACCGCGCAATGCGAGTATGTCTTTACAACCTTTCCTTTGTCTACTCTAATACCGACTAACGAGTTATCTCTAAGGACGAAACAATCCTGATATACAACCATCTCAACACCTCCCCTACCAACCTCCTCGATACTCTCACCAATACATCCGAAAAGCCCAAGCCGCCTTATTTCTGGCACCACATCAAGCCGGAGCGCCAGCAATGGGCGATCCGCGAGATAGCACGCAATGCGACGCCACGCACAAAGGCACTCTTTGCCTCGGGCGAAACGAATGGCGAGTACGGACCAAACTGGGTTGCTGGGTGGTTACTCTACAGTGTGTTTCGGAGCCGAGATGTGAGGAACAACCGGAACAGGAGAAGGGGAGAGGAGCAGGGCCCGAGTCAAGGCAGTAGCCAAGCGAGGGCGTCCGATACGGGACAGGCGCAGGGGCAGGTGAAGAAGGAGTATTACGATCCTGTGAGAAATGGGTGAACGGTCGAGGACTGGACTGAGCCGCATTTAGCTGCGCTCGGGATGAGGCTCGGGTTCAAAATGGTATTGAAATTGCGTCGACACTTGAGATTGAATTTGTTAGGGCATAGCGTAGCGCAAGGAGACGGCTAATTCGCTCTTTTTTCTTCTTCAATTCTAGAACTCAAGGGCTGAAGTTATTACTTTAGTTACCTCAGACTGTAGCCACGATGTTCCCTTGTTTATCATCTATGCCGTATCATTAAGGTACCCTAACCGTGTTATCTTCTGTGCCATCATGGGACTTTCTCGGAAGCCACCCTCACCTTCATGCGCCGAAACCCAGCTGCCTCGGGCACTACCAGTGTATTTTTCTCATACCTGGTAGCCCAGTCTGTCTTGAAAAGGATATCCCCTTGCTGCTCTTGAGTCCTAGGCAACCTGCGGCTTAAACTTGGTTGACCTAGTGCACCCTGCACAACGAAGGATAGTACTATTCTACAGCGTGACTCTATTTCGAATTCCGTCCTCTTATGGAGTAATTTGCTAACACTCCGCTAGACTTACCACTACGACAGTCGAGCTTTGGTTCGGTTTGATGGCTCTTCGTATATATTTGAGTTGATGGGTCTCGATGACTGGCAAGAACCTTAGTTGGCATTCCTTCAGTTTCGAGGGTACTTGTGTACGGCTGTTGTTCTGCGTAGAGTCAGGGGAGGGGAGCTGCTTAGGGCGGTTGGTGGGATAGTTGGATGGACTTGGGGGGCTGATGATGATTCATTGTTCCAATGTGTAAAGAACCAGTAGGATGAGAGAGTAAGATCAAATTAAAATGGCTGTATGGCGAAAATGACCATCATAACTTTATATTGGATCTGACTTATTCAGCATTACATCGAACAAAGCTAGCTCTTACCCATTGGGTACTTCTGCGTACTCATGACAGAAAACAGTGAATATCAATAGAAATACATAGACAAATTGACCTTTTCCTCCTAGTCAGAAAGACTGCGGTGGATGTGGCGCCGAAGGATTTTCACGAGAGGTCAGGTCTCCAGCAACCCCTGCAAGTCAGGTCTGGAATAGAAAAGTATTTTGTCTTCCTCTCCGTCGAAAAAGTCAACAAATTCCATATTTCCGCGCTTAATCCTCTCCCAGGCTGTCATCGCCTCGCAGCAGCCAAGACGGCCGTATCGCAGGCCTTTGAGATCCGAATTAACCACTTGCTGTAGGAGCTTGCTTGCGTGTTCATGGCTGTCCTCCCATGAGCAGGTATCTGCGTCAACCATGATCACATTTAGCTCCTCTATGGACTGTTGGTCTGCAAAGAAGTATGGCGGGCAATGGCCCGCGGCATGCAACTCGCAAAACATCTTCCAGATGTCGTCCATGGTCCCGTCCGGCGCATCTTCCTCGTCTTCTCTCCATGGTATCGTGTGGCAGTACTTGTCATAATCATTGTACTCTTCTTCTAGAACTCCCATTTCCTCCATTTCGTTGATGAATATCACAATGTCTTCGTCCGTAATACGGTTGGTCAGAAGAAAGACTGCAAGACTACCCATACCCACTTCTCGTGGGATCTCCCAGGGTGCGGACACATAATATAAAGGTTGCTCGGGTTCGTATAGGATTTCTGTGATAGCAGGGCTTGTTTGTGCGTCTCTGTTTCTCTTCATTTCTTTCCGCAGCTCAACAGCTCTGAATGTCTCAGATGGGCGAGTCAAAACATGCCGAACCATGCGAGCGATCGTGTTTCGCGATATGAACATAAACCCTCCGGCACCATGATAAACACTTCCAAACGGGGAAGCTTGCGGCTGTGGCTCGCTCTCGGGTAAAGGTTCGAGAAGAAAGTTGACAGGGCATACATATCGTTCATGTATGAGCTTCCAGTACCGCTGCAGATCGAGTCGGCTTGCAGTCCAACTGTACTTCCATGGGATGAGACGTACGGTCAATTTCTCTGGAAACCTCATGGAATGCTCATGAGCCCCGCCGTCATCCGAATCTGAGCTCATGTACAAGTCCGAATCTTCATCTTCACCTTCTTCGTCGTCGTCGTCGTCGCCGCCGCATTTGTCACTCTCGTTCTCTTCCGTGTCTTTATCAGTCTCCAGCTCGTCTTCTTCGTTTCGCTGCCCTTTTTCTTCTTCTGCTGCTTTCAACTCATTAAAACACTTATCTACCTCTCGCTGGATGCTCGACTGCATCAATTGACATTCATCTTTTGTTGCCGGGAAGAGAAGGAAGATGTTCAGGTCCCCTGTACAAAACTTGGTCGTCATCACAAATGGCGGCTCATCACCATCGTAGAGACAGTTGATTACCTGGCTAACCAGCTCTCTAGGCAGCGGCGTACTTTCTGCCAGTGCACTCCTCGCTGCCTCCTCAAACTCTTCACGTCCTGTCAGACTTGCAGTGTTCGGCAAGAATACGCTCTTGGTGGGATCGTGAAGTTCAACGCCCCAGTTGAAGAATTGCTCGAACCGGTTCATCCAGTCTCTTCCAAGAACATCAAGGAGAGTAACGCCGTGACGCACACGTTTGAGAATATTACGATGTCTTCCATCACTTATTGTTTCTCGCACAGCGAAAACATGGATTTCGTCATTCTCCGGTGCGCTGTCTGCAGAGGTCCGAGATCTGATATCAACCATGATGCCGCGGTGGCCATGGCTTGTCGGAATGAAACCGGGATTGGACTCATCCCTGAGTCCACGTCTGAAGTAATCGTCCGCAACAAAGAAAAAGTTATATCCGGATCTGTGAGCAATGACAGCAAGACCGTAAAGGTTGGTTTTACTATCCTTGTAGTACCGCTTGAGCATGTCTTGATGTTTGTCTCTGAGTGGCTGGAGGAACGCTGAATTTGAAGGACGCCATAATTGAACCAATGCCGCCGCTTCATTTCCGTCGTTATCCTTGACACATTCCTGCAAATTACTGACGGTTTGAGCTACTTCAGAGTCTGTCAGGTTGGCGATGTCGATAAAAAGAAGTGGGTTCCTATCTGCTGCTGGTGCTTGAGGTAGGAAACGGGATGGAAGGATTTCATGGCCGGGGGCAGCTTCAGTCTCCATTCTGTATCAAGTCCTTCTTGAGCGGCTAACTGATTAGTAGATGAACAACGGCACTGCAGTTTGAGTATGGTGTGGACGTTAGACCTACCTTAGAAGAAGGTTGGGTTGAGGCATCGATGGCTTCACAAAGAGCTCAGATACTTTCGTGAAGGAGCATATAGTGAGAATTATGTCAATAATGGAGATGGAATTGTTGAAGTCTGGAAGAATAGAGGGGGAGAGACAGGTGAAAAATGCGGGTCTGGGAGATTATGAGAAGAAACTGGTGATGAGAATCTGATGAATAATGAAGAAAACGTTGACCTCGAGCTGAATATAACGAGGTAGGAGTGATCGGGAAGAGGTTGGAAAAGTTGGTGGAGAGTGTGTTGGCTAGGAATGCAATACAAGAAAGAGGGCAATGGCAGATTATCCACACCGGCAATCACTGCGCAACAGGAGTCTTTGAAAAGATTGGCCACACATGAAAGGAAAAATGGCATTCGCTGGTCTCAGCCACGGTCTATGGCTTAAATGCAAAGGAGACATATGTACAGATACTATATACAGCCAGGTAGTCTAAGAATACAGAGAAGAAGGCAAATCAGCAGTAGAAGGTGGCTTTCAGTCGTCGCGGGCCCCCTTCTCATCTGGATCTTCACCCTTGCGCTTCTGTTGGTCTCGCTCGTTCTTCAAAGCCTCGACGACGCGCTCATCGCGCTCATCCTGCGTCTCATCCCATTCAGTCTCATATTCAGCTGAAATGGTCTTTATCTCCCTGCGCAGGGCATTTCCTTCATCAATCAAGTTCTCCCACAGCTGTAGATCCACACCTTTGAGCTGATATAGCTTCTTCTGGCGAGCATTAATGGTGAAATCGAGCGCCGAGCGGTATGAGATCTCGCGGTTGTGGTAGAGGAACCAAAGGTAACCTCCCATCAGTGTCGACAGTGATGCCAGGTAAGTGATTGGCTCCATCGTATCCCACCCCAGGTCAGTCTCAAATGTGAGCTTATAAACAAGAAGCCACCAGGAGGCCAGCACTCCAAAGCCGCCGAGAGCAACACGCTGTGCGCCTCGGTGCGCCAATCGATCACATTCGTGCTTGATATCTGCAATTGTGCGAATCCGATCCGATATCTTTCTCAACCGCATACGAAGGTAATGCGTCCGCTCTTCGAATGATGGGACCGTTATCCTAATCTGGTCCAGCCCCAGTGGCGCCCCTTCAATGGCCACGATAAACTCTCCGGCTCGCGCAGCATCCCGAATAAAATCACCGATTTCTGTCGCATGTGACCATCGAACGTAGCGTTGCTCTCCGTCTCCGTTTGGCTGCGGTTTCTGTAGGGAGCTATATGTGTCGAGTTCTGCCTCAGGCGGCTGCGATTCCTCTGGATGACCCTGACCTTTGTCATCTGCAACTGCCACTTCTTCCACCTCCATCGTTTGCGATGAATCGACAGATTGCTTGGTCTTCTTGCTACGCGCTTTCCGGGGGCGAATCGGGTGGTTTTCAAACTGGTACGCAATGAACGATACTCCTGGCTGCCTTTCCAATCCTCTGTCATCTTCTATCGGTGGTAGCTCCGACTGTATCAATCGTTCTAGGTATGATAAAGGTTGTTGGGAGTGGATAAGAATGGCGATGGTTTCGACATCTAAAAAACGATTAGCAGCCGTCGACTAGCCACGAAAGTACGCAGCCTACCCTTGGGGTGGTCAGTCGGCAATGGAATTAAAAGCTTCAGCAGCCTTGAAGGGGTAGTTAATAGCTTCCCTATTAAGAATTAGCCTCCGCGATGACGTTCTCAGACTCCAGAACATACCTTTCTCCGCCGAATTTGCAAAACTGTCCCTCGGTCGGGTCTCCCGCCGTAGCCTTTCGGTCCCTTCCTCCTCAATAACCTCAGACCCATTTCTCTCATACGAGCCCTGCTCTCTCAGCCCCGTCCGTTTCTTCTGCTCGGCGCTTAGCTCCTGTCCTTCCCCACAATCAAACGCCGACTGAGTAAATTGCCGCCCAATAGGTATCGTCTTTCCAGTGTCTAGGATCCCAGGGTATATATGTTTATTCCATGACTGACACCCTGACAGCACATGCGTTCGTCGTAAGTCTCCCATTGTAGCGAATCCCGAACTCCGAAAGGGCGACGTATATGTATGCGTATGCGGTAGGCTTCGTCCTCCAGCTCGTAGGCCGTGGGCAATCACCGTGGCCTGGCGGCCTCGGAACGCCAATTGCATCTCTCGAGATTGGAAAAGGTGTACCGTGGTCGTAGGTGGTAGGTTTAGTTTAATGCCAAAGTAGTCGGAGAATGCGGGGAAGGAAGCAGAGAGTTGGGGATCATCCGTTTGTGGTTTGGGAGACACACGATTTAGTCTCTGGCTCTTTGCAATGCCTACTAATAACTTTTGAGTGTGAATATTAAGTTTGAAGGCCAGACAGAAGAACTGGACACGCAATGAGTGTGTTGTTCCCGGTTGTTATTGCTGCAGAAGCTTGACGGTGTAATCAGTGATGTCATTCTTACTCAGCAGTCTCGGCCCTGTCCATGGCTCGACATCACATCTTCCCTGTTAGGAACGTGGTCTCGGTTAAATTTAGTATCTTGACGGCGTGTACAAAGTACGCTAGTCAATAATCCATAAGAACTGGAACGATATCGGATCGATGCTGGTTAGATGGTTATGTACGTGCTGTTCGTGCGGATTATGAAATCGATTAATCCGAAAAGTCTGCCTATAGATAGGAAAATAGACCCTGTTGACGCTGTTTGAGCGAAGGAAACTGATCGCTAGCCACCGCTATGCAAGAAATCAAGCATGCATGCATTCTGGAGCTCTGCGAGCCTGCCAGCAGACCGGATTCACCACTCCCGCCGGGAGATAAGGACACAACAGAGAGCTGTAAATAATTGACAATTTAGCAATGAATGAACAATTCGATCTATAGGATATTCAAGTCAAGTCATAAGTCATCAAGTCATAAGATGCTGTGATCATTTCCCGCCACTTGTTAGAGATGCGAGTGCTTTGTACCCGCTTCAATCAACAACGCGTCCGCTTGTCTTGCCGGGCATTGTCTTGGATGGTCAGGGGCCAGGCCCGGGGTCAAGACAAGAAAGCTATTACGCCCGCTGGCTGAAGGCAAATGCCCTTGAATGCGAGCCAATAGATCGTCGATCACGACCCATCTGCTCCCCTTCATAGCTTCCTGGGCTGCTTCCGCCGCTTCTGCTCCCTTCACTCGTCGACATGTCGCTCTCGTCTGCGTAGCGGGAATGCCTCCCCTTGCCAATGGCCACGGGAATCCCCTGGACGACGCCACCGTGGTCGTGACCAGCTGGGTACTTGCCGTCATTGACGGAAAAGTTGCGACAAATGAGGTATGCGCGCATGGCTGCGTTTTCGCGGGCTAGGGTCTCGGAAGCGCAAACGACATCTGTCTGGTACTCGCGATTGTTGACGCGGACAATGCAAGTGTACCCGGTAGCGCTGGCGTAGGATTCGTAGAGCGGCTCTGGCCAGTGACGGCGTCGGCAGAGACCTGTAAACATGGTTATTGGACACTGAACGTCGGACGTTATTTTAGGCGACGAATTCCCCGGCTTTGGGACACCAATGACAGCAGTTCCCCACAGCTCAACAAATCATATAAAGAATAGATAAGATGGCACTGTCTAGTATATTTTTGTAACCAAACATGGACCTGCAGTGAGTGTATGTTGCCAGCATCCGCAAACGCATGAGGCGCAGGATCTCACGAGGCCCGATCAGGGTAAGACTGACAGCAAGAGACCTTGAACAAGAATAGAAAGACTACATACTTGCAAGGTAGAGAACATAGTACATCTTGACGACAAGTAGGTGCCCAATGAATAGCGTGGTGTACGACGATATTGGGTCAGTATTCGCTGCCTTGACTTCCTGGATACTGCACGAGATCCTGGTAACAGCCCAAGGGGCAATTGAGACAAGCCCTATATTGACGGGTGTTTGTTTGGTGCCCAATGGCCACGTTTCTCTGCAACAATCAAGGTCCGCGACAGGGGAGACGAGTCGAAAAAGCTTAGAATGACAAGTTGAGGCAACGAGAAGGGAATCCACAAGGGATTGAAGCTAGTAGCCCTAGGGAGACAGCAGCATGCCCTGCACTTGCGGGAGATGAGATAAAAAGAAAACGTAGGCGACAGCCATCATGTTAGTTAGGTATAATCAGCTCAAATAAACCAGGTGGGGTCCATAAAGCAGCGTCAGAGAAAGAGAGATAGAAAATATCAAAGGCAAAAAGGTAAATGGAAAAATAATAAGAAACATTTAAACGGTTCAGAAGCAGCGGCTTCCAACCGTTGCAGAGGTTTTCTCCACCAAGTCGGCGGACAGAAGACGTGGAAGGGGAGGATTCAATGGTCCAACGCGGTCCTAAAGTTCCCTAGCTTCAATCGTCTCGCTTTCCTCCTGTTTGGAAATTGAAACTGTGATGTGCTGGCATGGCTTGTAGCCAGTGATTCAGCATGAAAGATCAGGATGTACTGACCCATCTGCCACGGTGTAATTCGCCGCTGATCTAGGCGGCGAAGATTGACATGGTGCTCAGGATTCCGGACCAAATCGGCCGTCTCGACCTTAGAGGACTTCTGCAGCACGAGTGCCGGTTTTCTGGGTCCAACCTGTCCTAGACTAAGCATCCTTGACAGTTTCTTTTTTTTCCTCTGGACGCTTCGAGGAGGTACAGTCAGGCCCCGCAGAGAAAATTAAAACAATAAATCAATCCTGACATTAGACGTTGGCAGTCAAGACTCAAGAAAGATGTGCATGGAAAGACATTAATTAGGAATAGTCCTCCAGGGTCCGCTAATGCAGACAATGATAATTCATGATGAGTGGTAGCTCATGTCGCGCAGAGAAGCTCTGAAATCCCCGGATGGGGTACATGACTGTCCGGAGGCGATTGGGAGGGAACTGCATGGAGGCAAAATCATAAGGATTCAGAACAATATTCATTGTAATCCTTGATTTGTTGTAATCATGCAATGTGCACTAATTGCGCGCTTTGGCATTTGATTAATGCTGCTAAGAGACGATCATGCTCTGCGTTGGCTCGGCTCGTAAACCGAGTGTCGCTTCCTGCTGAGGCCTGATTCCTTTGTGAGCGATTGAACGTGTGGAATAGGCGCCGATTGTTGTATTGTGAATGACCCGAAATCCAACTCCAGCGGAAAGTATATCGACAAGGCCGTGTATAATTCCCGGTTCGACCATGATTTGGCGCTCCGCTAGGTATCGACGACTATTCTGGGTGGGACGATAGGCTGGCAGTAAAATCCCGAAAAAGTCCTGGACTGCTCAGCCGCGGGTCAAGAGCAGAAGATTGGCCCCGGCTATGCCTCGTTATTATCGATGTTGACGCCGGCGGGCAGGCATCGGATGCAATGATGAGTTGGCAGTTTCGCTTGCTTCGCGCGGCGGGGGACCCCATGCCACTTTCTTGACACGAGGTGAAAAGGAGAAAGACTTAAAACCTTGCAGCCGCATTAGTATGATCCTTTCTATTGATCACAGATATCTCCGGGGAATTCCAGTTCACCGTCAGCGGGCGCCAACCTGTGCTTGGATCAGCCTCGATTCCCCTTTCGCCGTCGGGATGGGCGGCTTGCAGCAGATTGCAGTGCCCGGTGTCTGTGCATGGTGTGAGTCTGCTTCCTGTTGACAAATTAATCTCGCGGCGTCGAGATTACGACGTGAATCGAAGCGCGTCGGTTTTTGACTGTCAACCCCTCCTTTTGTTTAAGGCTTTCCTCCGATTTGATGAGCGTGCGCTTACTCGCGATGAAACAGAGCAGCTTATTATGCATTAACTTCGGATTTGTGATGACAGACAGCGTTGTCGGCGTTGCTCCAGAGGGCATGTGAGAAGAAGGCCGAACTCAAGTCGGAGAGAAGGGGAATGTCTTGGAAAAAGAAAAGAAGCCTGAGACCCCTGGTTGGTGTAAAGATTGAGTGGCCGGCTCGCCAGACTCCCGGTTCGCCATCTGTAACTCGAAACTAGAGCTACCGGTCATGCATCTATATTTTATTTCTCAGAAGAAAGGCCTTAAATAGGGGGTTAGATCTATTGCTCTGCTATAAATCCTGTCGCCTCAGCTCGAGTAGGTGCTGAGGTCATGTTCGAGTTAGGAAGCCTGCATGTCAGAAGACTTGGAGCCTTGAATCCTACTATGGCGGGTTTCTGTACACGGAGGGCTAAGATGCGGTACTATCAATCATGGTTTTGGTGATCCATTTTTCAAAATAAAAACCTCCTTCACCATTTGTACGCCGCTATTCTCTGGCGTTCCCCAAAGGCTTCTGTGCACACCAAATACGCATGCTTTCTGCGGCTTCATGAGGAATAACATATAAAGGATGAAACGCCTTCAAGCGGTCTTTTTCGTCGAAGACATTGATGTCGGATATCTTGTCATCCGAGTCTCGAGCAGGCCTGTATTTCCATGAGAATGCCGACGAAAACTGTCCGTCGAGAACAGCGCTTGAGTTGGTGTGGTAATGGTAATGCTGAACGGAGCTTAGACCCGTGAGAGTGTAGCAGGTATGATATGAATCAGGGTGCCTTTTTGCAGAATTAGTACAGCGAGTATAACAAGATTCGACGTGACTTACTTTCCGGGCTTATCGCGAAGTCCTCCATTCTTCGACTGACAGCATCCAAGGATATACCTTGTCAGTCCCTCGCGGCTGTAGAGATTGCGAACAGCAGACTGAGGGCTTGCAGCATCCTGAGTTCCATCCAGCGCAGATTGGATTAAAGGCCAACAGCTCCCAACCCAGTGACTATAGCATCCATCAACCAGCTTATTGGTTCTTCCTGCGAATCCGCCTTCCGGTGCGTATTGTCGAGCTGAGAGCCAAGATAGAAGCAACTGGACGTCCATGCACCTGTTGTCATTAGTAATCACCACTGAGACATGAATCATTATCTCACTTTGGGATGGTCACTTCAGGTTCGCCAAGGATGCATAGACATGCCAATGCACAGAATGCGTATGCGCCATGCGCCTCTGAGCCTGGACTCCCAGAAATCCCACCTTCGAATGTTTGACCTAAAGTGCCTATTGTTAGTTGTGTTCAATAGTCAAGCGAATTAATGAAACCTACATCGCGATAGGTATTCCAAGAGTCCGTCGGTAAATGTTTCTAAACCATACTCTCGTGCTTTGGCCTCAGGGGGCAAAGTAAGTGGCAAGTTTAGAAGCGAGATGATCACCATTGCGCAGTATGCGCCTCTGATTATGCATTAGGCTCTGGGATACAAGGAGATATAAGAGGCAGAATTACCGCACGTCTTCTTCCCCACCCTCGAAGACCGTAATGCCGCCATCTGGCTGCTTGAGCGTTCCAAGCCATTTCCACCTGTTTTCCATCAGAAAATATGATACTCCCAAGGTCAGGTATCTTACATCGCTTGGCGATCAATAAGGTTCAACGCCTCTTCGCCGCCAACCATGGCTAGAGAAAGCACTGCGGCATAACTTGATGCACAATGCGATATTTGGCCATGACCTCCTCCAAACCCACCTGTGGGATTTTGCATGGGTATAATTGTAGAGATTGCACTAGGGAAAAAAGATCTTAGAGGAAGATTGGTTCCAGGAGAAAGCGTTGGACAAGCCCGTATGACAAGGGTGATGCCTGCAAGCAAGCGCAGGATTGTAATTCAAACTGAGCGGTTGCTTACCGATCACGGTGTCTACTCAAATCTTCTCCGAGAAGGCTCAAGGCAGCCAGCGCCCAGTATATCATCCAGGGCCGGCTAGCATCCATTGCAACAAACCCTGGAGGGTAGTCCTCTAAAGAATCGTACAAATAGCCGATGTGCTCATCTCGCATGAGGGCAGGCACACCATGGCGATTCAGAGGGCCCTTTTGACTGCTGTGAGAGCCCGCGAGAAAGATTAGACACTTGCTGACAGTCTCGGTTTGGAGCTCGGTTGTTTCCGTGATGAGCGTATCGCGGATCACAGGCAGCTCTTGAAAAACCGCCGGTATTGCCGCATGACTTGAAGCTGAAGCCATTTTGACACTTCGTTTTGACGGTTGTTGATGCGAAGCAGACAATAGAGACTGACTGCTATTCGTGGGTAGATCGGCTTGGGCTCTTTGAAGCTGAAGCCTCTCTACCTGGGTCGTGTAGCTGGTTGATGAGAATCGAACCTTTCGACGCTTGCTTCCCGTCGCAGCAATGACAGGCATGGACTTGCAGAGGAAGTGGATGTATACGACGTAGACAGTGCTGATTTAATTGTGCGTTCAGGAAGCACCTGGATTGGTAGTATTGTCTCTTCCGATTGTTGTCTCCAGGTTGACAATCGTTGGAGCGAGCATTGTTCTTTGCCGCTGACCAAATCATCCACTGCCCCTCGGCCCAGAAGCGGGAACCAGCCGAGGGCGCAAAACTAACACAACTCAGACTGGTCGCATGCCAGTAGGAAAGGCACTGTTAAAGAATACATTGATATAGCATGCTCACTAGTCGGAATGTTCTTAATGCCAGAGTAGTAGGCTGACTGTCGGATTTCGGCGACGATGACTGGTCCTCCTCACGGTCAACCAGTCGAGGTCCCGTGACTCTCTTTCTGCCCGAGCTAACCTGGAAAGGATCCGCGCGAGGATTCCCGCCGAGGTTCTCTGAGTCTGGCCGGATCGGATATGTCTGACGTTCCATCTTCCAGCCCCATTCACAATGATCACAGACATTCCCCTCTTTTCAGGCTGAATCGCTATTCGTATTACTATTCGCCACTCCCCAGCGTCTAGAGTCCAGACTAAGGCTTGGAGGAAGAGGCTGAGGTCTCTTCAAAGTTCAATTAATGGTCTCGACTCTTAGCAGCCGCTCGCTGGTCGAGGAACAATATACTTTTCTGTCTCACTTGGATGTTGATAATGCCAAAGTGAATACCAAGCTCGGCAGACTTTACGATGTCGCGAAAAGCCAACGTGAGGGCTGGGATGGCTTGCATAACCCAGTCCAAATTTAAAGTTATTAGTCGTACGCTTATTGTTGCTAATTGCGAAGCGTAGGTAACTCCAGCTACCCAAAGCAGTCAGCGACATTGCCTCTGCTTTGATCTCGCATCAGCTCGCTGCTGATAACATCCCGCAGTACGGAGTATCTAGTCTACCTCCCTGTATCCAAGTCACAAGGGAGGAAACAGACCAAACGCGTTGGACAGAATGTGAGATGGCCTGCAGCCGCGGAGGTGCTGTCTGGCGAGTCAGGATCAAAAGATTCCACCATGCTCAGAGTCAGCAACTCGATTCGCCAAACTTCATGGTGGGGATTCCCCAGGCTCAAGCGGCTGCAGAACACAAATCTTGCCTGTACTCAGCTTGCCTGGCATGCCTGCTCGAGCCTCTTGTTCCTTTGAGATGGTTCGTAAAGACATGGCCGCCTCCGGAGAAGCTTCCTGGTAAACTTTTGTCCTTGCAGCTCGATCGAGAAGGGATATATGACCTATCAGTCAACTCTGCCGTGTCTCAAACTGAATGAGGCCACTTGGTCCTTACACGTCCAAGACTTCTTCGAGAACAAAGGTCATACGGGCGGCGCTAAGGATATCAAGGGCAACCCACGAACAAAGAGCGGCTTTTGTCGAGATCAAATACATATAGAAAGAGGGCTTCCTCAGTATTTCAGTGCGTCATGGTTGCATTGAGAAGTCACAAACTGCGGAAAGAATTTTTGACAGTAAGCCCGGCAGGCTTTATCTCCTTAATCATTATCATGATCATCATCACCGGCTGTCTGTCATCTTATCACATTTATCTGTCTTCGAATCGCGCCAGTCAATAGAACCAGAGTAGCAGGTTATCCGGGTATATAACAATGTTGTACAGTAGCGCGCGAATGAAGAATAGAGCTAGCGCAGCGTCAGCCGCCTTGCTAGCAACGAGGGCTACGCCGCGATGATTGAGTACGGACACTGATTGAGGTATTGATTATCATTGGCGGCAACTGGCGAGATAAACGTTAAATAAGTCTGAGCTGTATCTCGAGCATGCAGGGTACATGACTCCGACACAACCACTCCGTACTGTGCGCTACGTAGTGACGGAGAGGAGAGATGGGGGTTTCTACATACATACTTCGCTAAACAGATAAAATAGAGAATGTTCCTTGAGATAGCGAGTCCTCGCGCAGGTGCCAGGTAGATAAATTTACTCCGAGCAGCCCTGTCACAGCTGCTTGTCAAGTTGTCATAGGCCATGGCCGCACGGTGCTTACAACAACCTTGTGCTCACTGCTTCATTATTGTCAGCGGGGTCAGTCCGAGCCAGGCTTTTTCGCCTCCAAACTCCAAAGCTATTGCCACGTCCAGTGGATCGGCGGATTCGGCGCCGTCCTCAAGACCTCAACAGATCTGAGGTGATGATTTTCCACTGATCTTCCTCTCCCGAGAGCGCGTCCCATGTCTCGTCCCGGCCGGTCCGCACGGTGCCATGGAACTCTTTGTTGACCCAAGCTCTTCTTCAGGCCATCTAGTTGAGTCTCGATTCTCCGAGTCTCTCAAATGATGGATCATGCAATGGGACATTACAAACTAAGAAAGTGTGCCATTAGTATCACGCAGGAGAGAAACCACTTTCGTCGGCCTGAAGAAGAGGAAGGCCCGTACCGTGGACCCTGTGGGCATTGTTAGCTCACCAGACGGAGTAAGCTACTCTATATTGAGCATATTGACCAATTTCTCAGTCGTAGCGCCGCGGGTGTCGGCACTCGGATTGATACTCGAGTCAAGATCGATGATGATAATCATGGGACTGGCTTCTTGACGCCTTAGTGGCCTATCATCGCCTCAATCCTGCTGGAGGTCAAAGACTAAACTGCAACAGGCAGCCTTGGTGCGAGTTTGGACCAACTCCAGCCAACAAAAGCGCCACGAGCGTGGCATTAGCAGCCGTGCGCCGTCTTACTCGAAGGCCAAGCAGGGCCCCCCACTTCGACAGCGATAACTCCTTCCCAGGATCCCCTAGCGTATCTCCGGCTCACGCACCTCCCTCTTCACCGCTGCTTTGCTCCCCACCGCTTCTGCCCGCCATGGTCTCATCCTATCGCTGTGCCTCTTCTTCTCTCTCACGCCCCCGGATTCTGGGCTTTCTGCTCACCCGAGAGAGCCTTTTCCCTGAGGCTTCGTGGTCATCTTCCATCCTGCTCCCATTCTCTTTTGTACGACCCATCATCTTTCGACGACCTCTTCTCTGATTTCGGCCGCTGTTGTCTCTATCGTTAGATATAGACTATTGAGACGATGTCTAATGTTGATTTAACCGGTGACGGTTTTATCGGGCTTGATTATGACTCGAGGAACTACATTCACGCTCAGTCGTGGCCAGTGGCGGTGGACCAGCGGACAGACGCTTCTCGAGATATCTCACCCTTACAAACCAGCGGTCACTCCTTCGACCAGACGGTAGCCCAGGACCCAAATCTCATCGTTGACTGGCAATTCCAACATCTACAACCCCACCTTCAATATCCTCAAGATGAGGCCGCTGCCGCTCCCCAGTTCACTACCGCAAGCTATGGCATGACTATCCACTCCTCCCCCATCGATATGATGTCGGGGCCTCACATGACTGGCAACCTGCTAGACGGTTCTTATCTACCTCTCGCTGCGCCCGTCGACATGGTCTCATATCCATACCAAGATCTCCAGGCAGATCTTCTTGGATTCCAACCTCACGGCCTTCCCGACATGTCCTCATATGCAGCAGCTCAGAATATGGTTGGAAGCAGTTCACCGACGGACACGTACCTCGAGGTTCGATCGCTCACTAGTTCTAGCAGTGACAACGGTTGGAGTATGGTCGAACCACGTCATTCGCATGAGTTTTCTTTCCCAGACCAGGTCTTTATCAACCCAACACAGACCCTCCATGACAGAAGTCTCTCTGAGTCCTCGTACTCGACTTCTTACGGCAGCTTTGTCGAGGTTTCGAACCCGGTCAACTCGCCCTGCTCGGAAACCAACTTTGAGTCAACTTTCAACAGTCCTGTTAACCGACGAATTTCGTATGACCACACTTCTCATGGTTCGCAATCGCCCACCGCGATCAGTCCCGCTGCCATTGTTCGACCCATCCAAGTGCCTTCAAAGAAGGACACCTCTCCCGCACGCTCCTCAGCCGCCTCATCTTCTCCGCCGAGCAGAAAGCAGTCTCGCAAAAGTCCGATGGCCGCAAAGACTGCAGAAACCAAGGTTCGCAAGCAGTCGCACGGTAAGTCTGAACCCGGCGAGAAGAAGGTGGGCAAACGGAAGGGTCCTCTTAGACCCGATCAGCGAAAGCAGGCCAGTGAGATCCGGAAGCTGCGGGCTTGTCTGCGTTGCAAGTTCCTCAAGAAGACTGTGAGTTTCTTGTACACTCAAAAATCACATCGCCATATCACTAATCAAAACTAGTGCGACAAGGGTGAGCCATGCGCTGGATGCCAGCCCTCACATGCAAGGTTATGGCAGGTTCCCTGCACTCGTATTGACATCAAGGAGATTGGTTACTTTATGAAGGACTGGAAAGCGGACTATGAGCGACACATCACCCTTGGATTCTCCGTTGGCAATATCAAGGGTTTCTCGGACCAGGAGAGGACTCTCTTCATCACTCACGGCTATGGACAAGTTCTTCCAATCAATGCGCGTGAAGTATACGTGCATAACGAACAGTGCTTCAGTATCGATTGGGTGGAGGGAATGAATCGTGAGCCTAGCCAGTACGAAGTCGAGACTGCCAAATTGTCCGCCGGCATGGAAGGTGTCTCGCACGCCATGTTGTCCGACTATCTGGATCGTCATATCGACGGCAACGGTACTTTTGAAAAATTCGTCGACGATTACTTCGAGGGCACCCCATTCCTGACGCAGATGCTCAAAACGGCGTTCCGGTATTACTTCCGCACAAAGATGCCCGTGATCCGCAAGGCGTTGAAGCTTATTCTTGCCTACAACCTGACGCTGCATGTCACAATGGTGGAAGGTCTGGGTGAAGAAGAAGGCTTCTTGGGCAAGATTGATGATCCCAGCTCGAAGTTCAAGGGCAAGACAGTAGCCCCCGTCATGATCAATTTCCAAATCAAATGCGCTTTAGCCAACATGTGGCGTGAGCTCCAAAAAGATGTTCTGGAGGAACTCTCCAGTCTCTATTCCAGTGTGTACAGTGGCGAGAAATTAAAGAACTGGCCTACTATTTTCATGTTGGCGTCAATTCTTCTGGGCGTATGGGAGGAAATGCAGTTTGACTGCCACTACCGCACTCCAGTAAGTTCATACGCTTGTATTACGCAACTCTTTTTGCTAATGTACTTGATCAGGACGCTGCTGCTGTGGAGAAATTCTGCACCGATATGGAGACTACTCCAGTTGGAGTCATTGTCGGTCTGTTCCAGGCAATCTCTCAGAAGCTGCCTTCATTCTCCGAATGGGAAACATCCAAGCATCATCATCTGCTGCACTCGAATCCCGATGTTTGCGCCACTATGACTGAAGTCCGCCAGCACGTTGAGAAATTCGGTAAGAATCCAAATTCCTCCTACTCATTGAATGACCCGTACTGATCATCCACAGAGAGCTACCTTCGTGGCCGCTCAGCCTCGAAATTCAACAGGAACGACTTTGACTGCCTCTCCAACAAATTCGTCTCCAGACTTGTCATTCGTGCGAACTAGACTGAACTTCTACGGCCGGCAACTAAACGATACGAAAAGTCCGATGAGATATGCCAGCATTTATGATTATGAGACTTGCAGTGATGCTATTAGCAGCTCTTACTCTGTCCAGTTACATTTGATTGTCTCGGTCGCTCCTCAACTATCTATTTCCTTTTTCTCTTTTGGGAACCGGTATATCCCTTATTGTCTCGCAAGTTCAGCCTGAAGCACCTGTTTGATCATTTATTGAAACTACGCTCTTTTTGCCTCTTCATTGATGCGCTTTCTCGCATAGTACTTACAGCAGCGATGATGAGAATCACGATGTTACGATATTGTACGGCCACGAAAATGTTCGACGGCAAATCATGGCGGCAACTGAGTTGTCGAGTCTTGCTGGAGGCTAGTTCTCGCTTCATGACGCCGATTGCCTGCATTTGTGTACTTAATCTTTTGCTTTCTGATTCTTGTGTTAAGTATTGGATGTTGGTGGCTCTGAACAGGGGAAACCTCGAGGGAAGAGCCGGTGGGTGTTTTACAGTACCAAGAGAAGCGCTCTCGCTGGGTTTTCACTCTCAGGATCTTGATTAGTATATTTTTGCTGAAACTCGAACGATGATATCCCATTGAACTCCAGCCTCGTTGATTTTTCATGTAGCTCGACTAAATAAATATACACAAGGAGCTCCCGACATCTGGCCAGATGATATCGGCTGCCAAACTTGATCTTGCGGCATATGTAAATGACCCCCCTTGCATTTCTTGCGCAGTGATGCACTCCCCATTGCATACATAATAGCCACGTGTACAGTGCTACAAACCCGACTTCAAGTACTCCTTCCCTGTTGTCTCAACTGCAACTTTACCAAGGAGTCGAGATAGGAAAGCGGGGGAACCGCATGCGACGATCACCTGATCCCCATAATAAAGGGCGCTAGTCCGTAAGCGCCTCACTATCTCCAAACGGAGCCCGTGTCCACTCTGCCCGATAAGGAGACAACACACGTCATTTACTGATAGAGGATGGGGAACAATCATCATGTTTTAGAAACAATGTCGCAGGCCTGCCATGGATCGCAACCTCTTCTTCAAACTTGTCTCAAGGATGGCATGGATACGGGAGTAAGAAACAGCGGGTTGGACTGACGGTTTGCTATGGTGCTATGGTGGCGTCGGTGGCGTGCCGGGCGTGCTCCCAGACTCGTAGACGAGCTAGCCTGCTTATGCCAACCCAACACCAGCTTGACATCAATACGGACATTATATGAGGTGAGGGTCAGAGTTTTCGGCCTGATCCAGATTGACGGAAGTCCACGCCGAGCATTTGTCTTGCTGGCTCCGGAATATTGATAGCGCTGGGAACGGGAACAGACGCCGGCGGCTAGTGGCAGTGCTCTTGAGTCATCGTTGGCTGGAATCTTGTCAGCCTAAGATACGACTAGATCCGATACTTTGTAGTCTGGTAGGACCAGAAATCGAGTGAATAGCCTTGCGCTTGCCCCTCGGCGATCACGGCCGAATTAATGGGGATCGGCTAGACCGGAGCCTGGGGTAGACACAGTGACCGCAGAAGGCAATGGAACGGAATGTGCTCGTAGGCGCCAGAACCAAAGAGCGCAAAGAAACGGCCGGGTGCCTGCTGCAAAGAACAAACTGTCTTAATAATGAATGCGCCTGGGAGTCCGGCATTCGTGGCTTGACATCACGTTATTGTCTGCGAGCACTGACCGACTGACTAAGTTGCTTCGCCTCCCCTCATCTCTCTCCCTCGGAAGGTACTTAAACCTCTCCTCCTTCCCCCTCTCTCGTGACCGCTTCCTTCCACTTACACCTCTCTTCCTTAGACGTCTCTGTCGCCTCTCTCTCTCCCCACCCATCTTCGACATTATTCTTCTCTCTTCCGCTTCAACTGCAACTCATCAATCTACGTCTTATCGTCGACATCATGCAGATCTTCGTCAAGACCCGTAAGTATCCTGTTGCGTACCACCTATGTAACACCGAGCGAGTCTACTAACACTCTCATCTCTGCAGTAACCGGCAAGACCATCACTCTAGAGGTCGAGTCCAGTGACACCATCGATAACGTCAAGACCAAGATCCAAGACAAGGAGGGCATTCCTCCTGACCAGCAGCGCCTGATCTTCGCGGGCAAGCAGCTTGAAGACGGCCGTACCCTTTCCGACTACAACATTCAAAAGGAATCGACTCTTCACCTTGTACTCCGACTCCGCGGTGGAATGCAGATCTGTAAGTTGCCTTCCAACTTTCGCCACCTCTTTGGCCACTTGCTAATGACTCGGCAGTCGTCAAGACCCTTACTGGCAAGACCATTACCCTCGAGGTTGAGTCTAGCGATACTATCGACAATGTGAAGACCAAGATCCAGGACAAAGAAGGCATTCCTCCTGACCAGCAGCGCTTGATCTTTGCCGGCAAGCAGCTTGAGGACGGCCGTACTTTGTCTGACTACAACATCCAGAAGGAATCTACCCTTCATCTTGTTCTCCGCCTTCGTGGTGGTATGCAGATCTTCGTCAAGACTCTTACTGGAAAGACCATCACCCTGGAGGTGGAATCCTCCGATACGATTGACAATGTGAAAACAAAGATCCAGGACAAGGAGGGTATTCCTCCAGACCAGCAACGTCTTATTTTCGCTGGAAAGCAACTCGAGGATGGGCGCACGCTTTCTGATTACAACATCCAGAAAGAATCCACACTACACCTTGTCCTTCGTCTTCGTGGTGGTATGCAGATCTTTGTCAAGACGCTCACTGGAAAGACGATCACATTGGAAGTTGAGAGCTCCGATACAATCGACAATGTCAAGACAAAGATTCAGGATAAGGAGGGTATCCCCCCTGACCAGCAGCGTCTCATCTTTGCTGGTAAACAGCTAGAGGATGGCCGCACGCTCTCTGACTACAACATCCAGAAGGAGAGTACGCTCCACCTGGTCCTCCGTCTCCGTGGCGGCAACTAATGACGCTCCTTCATTCGAATTTTACGGCTCATCTACGGGTTGACCTGCGCGGCGTTGGATGGGTTTCTTCTTCACGTTAATCTGGGCATGCCTTCTTATACCTTCTTTGTTACCTCCACGTCACCTTGACGGTGTTACGATAGTTCTATCCTTTATCTACTGAGCGAAACGCATAGACTGTTTCTCTGACCTTGGACTTTCCGGCCGTAGTGTACTTGAGCTCTCTACATCTCTGTCTCTTAAAACGCTATTCGACGCAATTGGTATATTGTAAAGTAATCTGTTCTGTTCCCCCATGGTGTGCGATTTTGTAGCTTCTGATATCATTGACTCTTGCCACTGAAACTCACGTGACGGCAGCTATGGCGTGGAGAATCTATGCTGCACCTTTTCCGACCCTGGGTGAATGAATGGGTGGTGAAGAAACATACAAACACTAGCAGCATGCGCAATCGGCCGGGATGCCCTCTTACTTCTATCATCTTGCGATTGAACTTTTTTCACGCCCTCAGTCCGACCTGAATAGCTTTACCAAAAACCCGTCATTGACGACATCATTATCCTTCGAATCTGCATGCGAAGCTCTTCTCCCTTTTCAAAAGCAATCTGCAAGCCTCTCGAAGCGAAGCTCTCGCAGTCAACTACATAGGAAACATCGATGTGAATCCCCGGGCTTTCCAACTGAGTTCCATAACCACCCCGCACCGAGCACTACTAGTTCCTCTCCGTGCGTACCGCCCTATACGAAGACTCCCGCAAGCACATCCCATTTCGAGAACGACTTGCGGCTGGATAAAGTGTCCATCGAGTGCATCGACATGATTCTCTCGTCTAGAAGCAACCCGGTCACGACGGGAATTGGAACCGATATCCTAGGTGGTCTCCGCACAAAGGGCCAGTACACGCCGCTCGATCAGAAGACGTCGGATAGCATTTGGGGGATTGTACATCTATATCGCGATGCGCATGAAACACCGTTTCTGGGCGCAGACGAATACCCGGCTGAGCTGAAGGGGTCTTCTGCCGCGGCTGCGAGGCGGTCGTATGCCGATAATACTGAATATGGCGTGAGCAGTGGTAGTGTCGAGCGGACCAGCGGCTTAGGTTCAGACTCAAGTTCGACTTTACAACCGGATGAAGAGTGCACGACATTGTGTGTGCTCGCCGTACCGTCTTATATGTCTGCTTCTGACTTGCTGGGATTTGTGGGCGAGGCGACTATGGACGATGTCAGTCATTTCCGCATGATACGAACAGCGCGGGCGAATCGATATATGGTTTTGATGAAGTTCAGGAATGGGAAGAAGGCTGGGGAATGGCAGAGAGAGTGGAATGGTAAGGTTTTTAACAGTATGGAGGTATGTTTGCCTGCTTTATCTCTATATCATGATCTTGATACTGACTGTTGGCTATAGCCTGAGACATGCCATGTTGTGTTTGTCAAGACTGTTGAGATTCAAAGTGTCGATCCGGATGTCCAGGGCTCGATATCGCCAAAACAGCAAGTGGCGTTACCCACGACATCCGCCCAGCGGCCCAGTGTCTCATCCACATCCCAGCCCAGCAGTATAGGCTCAGCAACGCTCTCAACAAAGCCTCTGGCTCCTCCAACGCCGTCGCTGATCGAGCTACCCACATGCCCCGTTTGCCTTGAACGGATGGATGAAACCACCGGCTTGCTCACCATCATATGCCAGCATGTCTTCCACTGCACCTGTCTCCAAAAGTGGAAGGGCAGCGGCTGCCCCGTATGTCGCTACACACAAGACGACTTCCGCAAGACAAGCCAAAGCCTCCCGTTCGACGACGAAAACGTTGAATGCAGCGTTTGCCACTCCGACGTCAACCTTTGGGTCTGCCTCATCTGCGGTAATGTCGGCTGTGGCCGGTACGACAGCGCCCATGCCTTTGCTCATTACAGCCAGACCTCGCACGCCTTTGCCATGGACCTTTCCACCCAGCGCGTGTGGGACTACGTTGGAGATGCCTACGTGCACCGCATCATCCAGAGCAAAACAGATGGCAAGCTTGTCGAGCTCCCTGCAGCAGACAACAGCGCCCTCGACCCACCCGATTGGACCGACGCTGTGCCACGCGAGAAATTAGAAAACATGAGCGTCGAATACACACACCTTTTAACCAGCCAACTCGAAAGCCAACGCGCCTACTTCGAAGGCATCCTTGAGCGCGCCGTCGACAAAGCCTCCCAGGCCAGCGCGGCCGCCTCTTCCGCGCAAGAAGCTGCCGACACAGCAACAGCCACCCTTCGTAGCCTCGAAACGCAACATGTTAAACTCGCTTCTGAAACAATACCCGTCCTTGAGCGCGACAAGTCCCGGGCCGAAAAACGGGCGGAGAAATTCGAGGCCATGGCGAGGAAGATGGAGCGCGAATGGCGTGAGGAAAAGGCGATGAATGAGAGTCTTATGGCGCGCATCGAGCACCTCACTAGCGAGGTCGAGTTACTCAAGGCGAGTAACATTGACCTGGCGGAACAGAACCGGGACTTGACTTTCTTCATTAGTGGGTCGGAAAAGTTGAAGGATCAGGGAGATGAAGTCGTCCAGGGGACTGTTAGTGTACCTGATCCGCCCTGTGGTTCGAAGAAGAAGGGGAAGGGGAAAAGGAAGTGACATTATCTCGTCTGGAATTTTCTAGGATAGTAACAGGTAGTTAGACTCATACCCAAGGAACGATTCCAGATTTTCCCTATTATACACGTAGATATATATATGTTACAGTCTGATCCTCGCAGATCATCCTACACACCCCTCCTGATGGCCCAAAAGTAATTACCCCAACTCTCTGACCCAGGTACAAACTTCCACCCAAGCCCGGGGAAGTACACCACACCCGCGCACTTCCATCTCATCCCATCGAGTGCTTCACTCCCACTCCTCATTACCGAGTTCCTCTCCAAGTCCACACTCCGCATCAACCCCTCGCTCGCCCAGCTTTCCAACTCATCCGGGTTGACAAACTTCTTCCACTCGTGCGTCCCCTTCGGCACGACACCGATCGGCCACGGCGCCTCGGCGATAACCTGGTTTACAAGCCAGGAAGGAAACGTCCGCGCAATTGTTGAGCCGACCAGCCACCCACCGGGTTTGAGGAGACGAAGACAGTCTGTAAGAAAGGTGAGAGGGGAGATATGTGCGTTTGTATCAATGTGTTCAATGACCTCGAAGAGAGTAATCATGTCGAAGCCGTCTTTCCTTCTGACGCCAGCCCCGGCTCCGATTGCGGCCGCCGGGTCTGAGGGTTGATTCGTGTTCGGTGATGAAGCGATGACGTCCTCCAGCGTACAGTTCACATATTTGAACCTCCCGTCGTTCAAATGCGCTGAGACCTTGGGGTCCTTGCGGGCGTGGTCGCGCGCAATCTGGATGAGTGTCGTTGTGGGATCGATGGCTGTTATTGACGCGGCGCGGGTGACTGTTTCTGATTTGGACTCTGTTGACCCTGGGAGTGGGATAGTCCGCGCGAGAGATTCGGCGAAGATGCCGCCGCCGCAGCCGACGTCAAGGTAGTGTAGTGTGTTCGGCGGGCTTCCGGGTTGTTTCGCGGGGGATTCTGGAGAGCCTTCGGCGAGGCAGGAGGCGATGAATTCGTGGCGGAGAGGGTTCATAAGGTGGAGGACTCGTGATGGGCCCATCGGATCCCACCAGGAGCTAGCGAGTGAGGAGAAGTGGGAGACTTCGGAGGCGGAGACGGAGGAGCTGGCGGAGGTGGTGGTTGAGTGGGAGCGGCGGGATAGAGGGCGGAGGAGAAGGGAGATGGAGCGCATGCTTGGTCTGGCGGGTGTCATGGCCATCTTTGTGTGCTGGAGAGGCCCAGCTCCAAGCTATATATGTATCGAATATGTAGTGTTTCGGTGAGTGCCGCGGTGGATGGCTATCGCAATGCGGAGATCTAGCGCTGGTTAGAGACGTAAACAAACGATGAGCTCCAACATGCCTATATCTGTAGAGATCTTACCATGGCAATTGAACGACTTCATATGCTATTCAACTCTTCAAGGCGTCGATACTCTGTTCACCGGGTATGGCGATGTTGGTGGAGAGAAAAACAAGGCGCGGAACAAACACGCCAAGACTTTGGATAGATGGTCAAGGCTGTCCAAGACGATCCAGTTTGCATCAATCTCAGTGCAGTAGTAATGCAATAACAATGTGGATCATACGGTTGAACATGTCATGCATCACGCAAGAAATTATCACAACCAAGCAGGGGTCAACAGGGATCCATTCCGATCACCAGAGGCACAAGTACCGAGATGAAACAAGGGCACTGTATCAGAAGCTCGGTCCTCGCTCAGATTAACTGGCGTCCAGACCGTTTCATCTCCAGACCCAAAACTCTATCGCCTAGTTCGCAAATGAGCTAGGATGCTCGGACCTCACCTTCCTCTGCTGGATCATGAGCCTCGAGCTTGTCTTGCTGGTCAATATAGCACGAGACAGGAGACAGGAGGCTATGGGCGGCCTGCCGAATTTATGAGTGCCTGAAGGATCGACATTTATTTGAAGCTTATGAAGACACTTTGCGCTCTATTTTTCTTTACTACTACAAAGAACACTAGCATCTACTAAGTATACAGCTGCACGGCATGTCTGACTCCAAAACTGATGGCTGTGACTTCAATACCCCGGCCCCGCCTAAGATATCCGCATGGGACATCTGCTGGACCTTGATCACGCTGGTGGTATATGCGCCCTTGTCGGTGCTCACATCGTTATGCCACCCAGGTCAGACATGGGGAGACATGAAGGAGCAAATCAGCCATGATCTTGTCCTATGGTGCGTACTCTGGCCCTAACTTGGTTGGATACGGTAAGCTAACCCCTCAGTTTCGGCCGTCGCCTGCCAGTACCCGTTATTCAGCGCGCAAGTGAGAAGACTGGGGCCATTATCAGAAAGTCTTTACGCTACACCGGTGCCCCGTTCCACGTGGCAGAGAAGGTGCAAAAGCCTGACTTCTCGGGATACTGGGTGTACCGTGACAAGTCAATCAAATCTCGCCCTCAAGATGCAGACCTCGTCCTTTTCCACCTCCACGGTGGAGGCTATGTAATGGGCCATCCGCTTGACAATGCGCCTGAACTACTCCTCATCGCAGAGACACTGTCGCAACGCAGTCATACGGTGGCCGTGTTCTCTCTAGAGTACTCGCTTGTACCAACCGCGCGGTTGCCGACACAGCTTACTCAAACCACCGCTGCATATACCTGGCTCATAAGCGAACTACGCATAAATCCATCCAAACTATACCTCATTGGAGAATCAGCTGGTGGCCATTTGATCCTCTCTCTTCTTACAACGCTGTACGAAAGATCTGTAGATCAGAATCCGCTTGCCCTTCCAAAGCCAGCGGCGGCTTTCTTGATCAGTCCTTGGGTAAACCTAAACCCATGCGGAGCCGACGCACGAGCACGACATCAAGGTCTGGACCCCCGCAGCGCGGCATTCAAACACGTACTCGAGCGTTTCTCCAACCTAGTTCTGCATGGAGCACCTCCCGAATACCTAAAGCTACACGGCAGTTTTGCGCACCGGGCGCCAGGACGCGGCTCGTGGAAGTACATTCTACCCCCAACCACGTGGGTCTCCGCGGGCACCGCAGAGCCTTTGTTCCGCTTCGACATTGAAGAGTTTGTAGCGGCTTCACGACGCGACGGGGCCGATGTGAGGTTCGAGCTCGCGGATGGAAGAGTACATGTTTGGCAGTCCGTTGAGGCCCGGGATCAGGAAGGAAAGTTTCTGGCGTTGGCGCCGGGAACAGACGATGCCCGGTTGATGCCAGGGTATCGACATATTGCAGAGCTGATAGTTGGTTGCTTAGAGGATCGAGCGTAAACTGCCGTGCCAACAAACAAGTGCAAGATCCCTTCAGCCACCATCCACCTCTCTAGATCAGGCTCCCAGCCACATCGCTGTTAGGCAGGTGCGATCGCCCTGCCTCGGGTTGCTGCTTTCCAAGATTGCGGACCCGGGCTTCATCGCGTCTTCCTAGTATTGTGTATGCCTCCTCAGCGAGGCAAATGCGAGTGGCTTCGGCTGTTCGTTCCACCCCGAAGCAGCCTTTATCGGAATCGGGACCTGCTGGAATTGTGATGCACGTGTTCGATCGCTAGGGCAGCGCGATAGAGAGCCCGAAAGCCGCCCGGTTTCCAGAATCTTTCCAATTTTGCTCCAACTAGTCAGCCTTATCCAAGATAATGGGATATAGATTCATAGGACGGATGGGGCCAAATGCACAGTCCCATTACGTAGCTATGACTCTATTCATTGTCGGGAGATCAGTTTCTTCACCGAGATAGAGTTATGGCGCTGGGTCGCAATCTAAAAGCAGCGCAAGGAGCATGTACGGGGTACCTCCTCGGATTCGCTTTCTCCGTGCCCATCTACTTCCTCCGTGCCCACCCTGAAGTCAGGGTACCAAAAGTCCGGAACGCATATTCACGGTACTTTGCAGGGTCACACGGTTCACGACTCCACGGACGTTGACCGTTCTGAGAGAAATAGTAGTAGTAGTAGTACGGACTCCGGAGGACGCCCACATCGTACGATCCACTTGCCCCTAGGGAGTGGACACTAATACAAAGGGCCGGAGGTAGATCCCATTCTTCGCGTCTTCTAGAAGCATTCTACTTTCGGTGTGCAGCGGTGTTTCTTTTTTTGTCCTACGCTAGTGGCATTAGACCTGGGCTGTTATGGGGCGTGTACGTAAGTAGCACGGGGAGAGCTAGGCTAGGTGCGCTAATCTACACCGTTGAATTGATGACCCGATGGTGATCATCATTCCGACTTTTGCATGGCCGGATCGACGCCGGGAGTCTGTGAATCCGTGTACGGACGGAGGATATCTAACTGTCTGAGTCTCCCTCGTGGCGGGTCTGCATAATGTATGACGAAGGGTTGGAGAGGGCGAGATAAAGGGTGTTAGTTGTTTGGGTCTGGACGTTCGCAGACTGTTTCAAGATGCTTGGTATGAACTCCAAGGTGAGGGTGTGACAAGAAAAATACATCGCTTATGGGTCTCGTCGACTTCGTGGTACCTATGTTTTGCAGGTAGGATTTGTCTTGTGGTAGATAGAGTAGCAAAGCTTTACATACGGGTCCGTGGGAGAGGCATCGTCGCGATCTTCCGCCATCTTGTTTCAAAGCGCCCCCAAATGTACCAGAGTTGCTGGTATAACGGTACGCAGGGCGATGTATTTAGTACCTTGATGCCAAGTAGTACCCAGGTAGATCAGTTTGTACGCTCAATGAGCCAATAAGCTCGTGGTAGGGTTACGTAGAACAGCGTCCAGGCGAAAGTGGGCGACGGCTGAGTCTTGACGAGTGATCATCGCTGGTTCGACTTGGGATATGCTTGCAAGAACAAGCCAGTGAGTGAACAGACCGAGTGAACTGGAGTTGAGGAGGGTATGCACATGATTGTGGAACGGTCCTAGTCCAGATCGGTTAATGAAAGGCTTCGAGAAGTTCCATGGCAGAAAACCATTCGAACCTGGGGTGGTCACGGTGTGACTGCCATCTTCAGATCTGCGCTGAGTGTAGACTACGGGGTGTCATTCATGCTGATTCACAGACGGTGCTGATGAGGATACACGGTGCAGGCGGCACAAGTAGTGCTCTTTGCCTCATCGCCTAGTCATCAGCCACGATCGAGACCCCTGAGGTTCTCTTTCCGGTTCCAGCATCATTGCACCGCTAAGATTAGTGGATCTGATGTTATTATTATTAATGCTCCTTCGTTGGGTGAGCTAAACTGCTGTTCCGTGCTCCGTAAAATTATGCGGCAATGCCTGGATTCTGGAACGGCTGAGCCGGAGCGAAACTGGGCCTCACGGTCTAACCTGAAATGCCAAATGTGTGGGCCGTGGGGCAGATCCTTGAACCACCGATTCGCTTCATCACGGGCCTCTGCAGTGCAGAGGGAGTTTCCTGTTGCCGGACGCTGCATGGCTTCAGAAGAAGCAACCTAAGAAAAGGGGGGGAGCGCAAGGTCGTGAAAAGCCGCAGTTGCAGCCTGTAAACCCGGGTCAGACAACATCCCACGGACTTGTGCTTGCTGTTGTGACACGAGCGTGGCCATCCTCGTTGGACAGATAGGCTCCTCTCGCCCAATTGCCGCCCTAACAACGGCTGGGGCCGGAGTGGCTCAGGCTTTCCACGAGTCGTCGGTGGACTTGCTTTTTCTTTCTAGAAGCTCTGTAGAAGGAAGTGGGCTTGGTTAGCGCGCTGTACGAGTCCGCTTAGTGACCTTAGCGTGGATGGCATTTTCCCACGTCAGGAAACTGGAAACAGCAGGCTCCCCCGATTCCGATCCTTTTCTTCGAGCAGCGAACGACAGGCTGTCGCACATTTGCGAGTCGGCGAGTCGCAGGCTCACGTCCTTTCATCATCTTCCACTAGCAGGAATAGTGGACGGACTAAGGCTTGGGTGAGGCAAGGATAGCTCCTGTCTGATCAAGTAGCAACGCCCGTGAGGTGCAAGATCCACTCTCGTTCGTACCCCCTGAAGGTCTGACGTAGGTAGCGATGATGCCCTTC